GCTATCAAAGCTCAAGTTTTGGCAGATTTTACGGCGGAAGGCGTAGCTGACGGGGGAGCCGGCGTGGAGGAGTGTTGGCAGGTGCATGTTGATGGAGCGGCCAGCAGAGCAGGAGCAGGGGCTGGCGTAGTCCTCGTAAGTCCGCTAGGCGCCTTGCATGAGGTGGCATTGCGGTTCGCTACTCTTAAGACAAACAACGCGGCAGAATACGAGGCCGTTCTTGCGGGACTACATTTTGCAAGAGAGCTAGGCGCCCAGAAGGTGAATGTCAAAACAGACTCGGCGTTGGTGGTTAACCAGTTGAACGATGTGTATGAAGTGAAGGAAGAGACGTTAGGAGCTTACGTGCATGCTGTGCGCAAGAGGTGTGCCTGGTTCCGGGACGTGACGTTCACCCACGTTCCCAGAGAGGAGAACGCCCACGCAGATGCTTTGTCCAAGTTAGCAACGGCTCTAGATTTTGAGGAAAGTCGGACGGTGATCGTGACAAAAGAAGTGCCGCACGAGGAGATGGTGATGGCATCTCTCGCAACAGAGGAAATGGAAGGATGGATGGCACCAATTTGGCTTTTCCTCACCCAAGGAATAGTACCAGAGGATTCGAAAGAGGCATGGCGCTTGCGAAGAAAGGCGGCCCGATGTGCCATAGTGGATGGGGTGTTATACAAGAGGTCACATTCGGGCGCCTACCTGAGGTGCCTAACTGAAGATGAGGGTCTGGAAGCAATCAAGGAAGTCCATCAAGGAACTTGTGGCATGCATGCAGGCGCCCGAAGCCTAGAAAAAGTTCTTCTCCGGCAAGGGTATTATTGGCCAACAATACGGGCGGACGCCGCGAAGCATGTGGCAGCTTGTCACTAGTGCCAAATTCACGCCAACGATGTCCACATCCCAGCGGCACCCATGCAAGGTAATGTGGGCGCCTGGCCCTTCGCACAGTGGGGCATGGACCTCCTGGGCCCCTTTCCTAAGGCGCCCGGTCAATTCAAGTACCTGATTGTAGCGGTAGACTATTTCACCAAGTGGATTGAGGCAGAGCCGTTGGCATCAATCACTGAGTCACAGGTCCGGAAGTTCACCAAGAAGAACATCTTTGCTCGATTTGGACTCCCGGAGTCCATCATCACTGACCACGGAAAGCAATTCGATTGTAAGAAATTCATTGAATTTTGTGATGAAAATGGAGTGGTTTTGAGGTTCTCTTCCGTAGCTTACCCACAAGCCAACGGGCAAGCTGAGGCGGCCAACAAAAGCATATTACATGGACTGCACACCAGACTGACAGAGGCCAAGGGCAAGTGGGTGGAGGAGCTGCCGAACGTCTTGTGGGCGCATAGAACCACATTCAAGGTGGCTACGGGCGAGACACCCTTCGCCTTGACATATGGGAGCGAAGCTGTTTTGCCCGTGGAAATGCGAGTCCCGACTTTCCGAATGGCCCACCGGGACGAGTCAATGGGCGCCCAGGAGCGGATCGACGAGTTGGACCTATTGAATGAGCGCCGGGAGGTTGCAGCTCTAAGATTGGTCGCAATGAAGAGTCAAGTGGCGAGGTATTACAACAAAAAGATGAGGGCACACAATCTTGTTGTGGGCAACCTTGTGCTGAAACGAGATTTTCGTCCTAATGCTGCAGAAGGGAAGTTGGCACCAAAGCGGAAGGGGCCGTATCGTATTCAGGAAGTTGCTGGCCCGAATACGTTTAAGCTGGAAAACATGTCGGGCAAGAGAGTCAAGAGGTCATGGAACGCCCAAAATTTGCGGAGGTACGAAATGGAAGGAATGGCTGGTGCTGTGCCCACGACAGAGGCACAGGCGCCCGACCAAGAATAGAGTAAGTAGCAAGGCGTTTGTTGGGGAAAGCTTGTTTTGCTTATTAGGTTTACGTTGAATTGTCAAAAGCGCCATTCTTTGCGCCCGAAATTTTGTAAAGCGCCCCACTTGCGCCCGCTCCATGTAAAGCGCCCTCATTTTGCGCCCATTTTCCACAAACGGATTAATTATTATCTACAAAATTTGGCTTCAGTATACCTCGTTGCGCCCATTATAGCGCCCATCATAGCGCCCGCATATTTGCGCCCAATGCATTGCGCCCGTCATAGCGCCCATTATAGCGCCCGTATGTTTGCGCCTAACATAACAAGATATCGTTATGTAAGTTTGTGAAAGGGTTGCAAAAATAAGCGCCAACCAAAAGCGTGTAAGTTCATAAGCGCCTAAACAGGGAAGCTCCTTCATATTTAACAAACAGGCGCCTAACATAGTAAGATTTGTTTACGAAAGTTTGCGACGAGAAGGAATAGATAGGCGCCCATCATGAGCAAGAGAGTTCATAAAACATGCGTATCAAAGGCGCCTGAAAGAGACAGACAAAATCCATAGCGAAACAGGAAACAGTTTGGCAGGCGCCTTAACCCATTGCAAGGAAAGAAAGTTAACACAATAAAGGGTTCACAAAACATAAGAATAGAAGAAAATAATATACAAGGGTCGGACACTACGATGCAGGCGCCTCGTTATCACAATCGGCGGAAGAATCACCATCGCCATCATCTTCGTCTTCTCCGCCATCAGCAGGCGCCTGGTCATCGGCGGGTGTTTCCCCCTCCACAGGCGCCTCATCTATGTGGGAAATGACGAAGCTCACCATCGACTGAAGGTCCCAGTCGAGGTCAGGATGCTCTGCGACGAGCTTCCTGCGCAAAAGCAGAATGCTGTTCAGAGCAGCATCAGCCTTAAGCGCCTGGCCTGCACTTGACTTAGCGAAATCCGCGGATTGCGCTACCAATTCCTCCTTCTCGGCCTCGAGCGCCTGCTTGCCCTTCTCGAGCGCCCGCTTCTCCTCCTTGAGCGCCTGCATCGCGCTCGCTTGCTTCTTATTATCCTTGCTCAGGGTCTTATTTTCCTTCTTCAGGACACCCTTCTCCTCCTTCAAAATATCCATCTCACTCCACAGATCGCCTGCCTCCCTTTCAAGCGCATCCTTCGACTTCTCCAACCTAACTTTGGTTTCGGCGTGCGCCCCCTTCTCATCTTCGAGCCGCCCCTCGAATTCTTCACGCACCTGCTTCCTCTCCTCATCAATCTTTATTTGCACAAGTGAGGCGCTCTTAGCGGCCTCGAGTTGTGCCTCGTTGCACATCTGCACCAGCTCCTCTTGGCGCCTCTGAGCAGTCGCGAGGTTCTCCTGGGCCACGCTGAGGGAGGTGGTGGCTTCGCGGGCCTTGCCGCGTAGCGCCTCACGCTCCATTATTCCCTTCTTCGCCACCAACATCATCTACAACAATAGGCATAAGTGTGGGATAAGATGGTCAGGCGTTCGTCATGGAAATATAAACAAAGATGTCGAATAAAATACAAGTTAAACAACTTACATGGGCGTTTATTCTGGCCACCTCACCCCAAGGATCGGCGCCCTCTAAGTCTAGGGGCGCCCGGAGTACATCCCCCGCAGACAGAGCCATGTGAATGGCGGCGCCCCGTTCCAGCGCTGACCGATCGGAAAAAACTATATCCACCTTGTGCTTCGGAGGTTGAAGCCACTTCTTCAGCCCCTCAGGCACCTCGGCGTCTTCCGACAGGCGCATACGTTTGCCCGAGTCTTGCTGGGCGCCCTCTGCCTTCCTCTTTTTCCTAAGGGATAGAGGCTCGTTGTCCTCGGGATCATCAGACCCCTCGAGCAGGTCAACCACGGGCGCCTGGACATCTGCCGGATCGGTGACGGGAGGCGCATCCCAAGTAGACAGCAAGTATCCTAAAGGCTCCGACGCCTGGGGGCTCGGCACCTTTGTGGGCTGAATCTTCTTAGGAGATTTAACCCTCCGGTTTGGGCGCCCCTGCCCTTTACTAGTAACGAGGACAACTCCAGCCGTTTTAGAACTGGCGCCCTTCGAAGATGTGGGTTTGGCGGCTCCGCCTGCTTTCTTGCCCCCTTTATTGGCAGTAGGCGCCTGCTTGGGCGCCAACCCGAGTTGCGCGAACCGTGACTTCATCAATGTGCCCATTGACGTGAAATCGGATCCTGCACAAATAAATTGAGTTAGTATGCGGCAATAAGAAATGTCAAGTTCAACAAACAACGTTCATAGCTAGGCGCAAACCATCATTATAATATTTCTCCAGAACAGGCGCCCGCGCGCTGGTGGGACGAAGGTTAACTGGATGCAAGGAGATGAGCTGGGCGCCTTCAATCTCCTCAGCAGTGGAAAGGGTCACGTCAACGTTAAAGGCCTCATGACTGCCCATCACCCAATCTCTGGTGAACGAGGCCCCACTTTCGTAGAAAGAATCCCTATGCGCCTTTACGAAGAAGTAGCTCCTAAACCACCCCCTCCCTAACTTGGGACATTCTATCAAAAAATGGCCGGGGAGACCTAGGCGCCTCTGCAGCGATAGGCAGTTGTCGAAATAGACCATGTTGAAAAAGTAGTGGAAAAGGTTAAAGGTGGGCTCGACATTATGCTGACGAAATTTCAACTTAAACAAAATGTGGATAAGGAAAACGGAGGGAGACAGGCGCCCAAGTGAGCATCGGCAAGTGGATAGAATGCCCTCTAGGATAGAATCGAGGGGAAATCGGAGTCCAAAACTAAAATATTCCCGGTAGATGCCAAGCCACCGAGGCCCAACTACTCCAATCCTGGCCATACTAGAGGCAGGCGCATAGGACCAAGACCGCGGAAGTTGCATCGACACGATCAGATTCTCTAACTCCAACGATTTGATGGTTGAAATTTTACGTGGCCCTCCTTCTTGAAGTGAAAGGTGGTGTGTTTCTTCGGCCGCCTGCCCCGTCGGCCAGGTGTCCACCCACCTCCGCAGTCTAATGGATTCACCCCCCTCGGCGTCCGAGTCCGAAGGCGGGGGAGACATTGTCGATCCGGAAGAACGCGATGAGCCAGGCAAGGCGCCTATAAGGGTCGACGCAAAGGGAAAGGGAAGTATCAATTCTAAGCCCTATAGTCTACAGGCGCCGGCCCTAAAAAAAAAAAGTGAGGAAATCACTTACTCGGTTGGGGATTCGAAGGCGCGGCGGCAGGGTTTTTTGGGAGGTTGGAGACAGGCACCGACGCGTCCTTATCAGCAGTATCACGCGCGGGCGTCGTCTGAGAACCGCGTGGAGTTGTGTTCGAGGGGGCATCACTCTTGCTAGACGCCTGAGACCTGGTGCGAGGGGTCCAGGCGCCCTTCTCGCGTAGCGGATCAGGCGAGAAGTGCCCCTCCAGTTCTTGTAATACATCGGCCTCCAATGGCTTATCTTTCGCTGGGCTGGTTGAGGGGGCGCCCGAGCCAGATTTGGTAGACATGACGAGAAGAATGAGGAAAAGAGTAGGCGCACAGGCGGCTTGCGAAGAGAGAGAAAGGGGCAGAGCGAGTTAGAGAGAGAAAGGATTTGTGCAAATGAGGAGGAAAGGAGGCGGAGTAAGGTATTTATATGGGAGAGGAACCCAACGGGCACCTACGGGGATGCGCGCCCGACCCTCAGATCTCATCCTCATCGTCCGTTTGAATTTTGAATTAAAAAAAAAAAAAATTCAAATTTTGAAATTCAAATTTCAAGACGCACGGAGAAGGGGGGCATATGGGGACGGGCGCGCCATGGGCTTCATAATTTGGTTAGTTGGGGCGCCTACTAAATGGCAGACCTTGCAATCTGATGGGACGGGGCGCCTGACTAGATGGTATTGGCGCCTTCTTAGGAATGCTCAAGCACGGATGGAAAAATAAAACACGAGGGACCCATAATTGGGGCAAGAACGGGGGGACAAGGTTTGCTCATTAAAACACATTGGAAGGCGCCTAAAAATGATCGAACAGGTAAAGCAAAGCGGTTGGGGCGCCTAGATCACCTGGTAGCCGTTCGGACACCACGGGCAGTGGAATTACGTATAGTTAGACACTCATGGCATGCCATGAGCGCCTAACTGGGGGACAATTGTTGGGTATATACATAGGTGAACCATTGGGGGACATGGGCCCGTCCAAGATGCTCAGGCCCAAGCCCGCTTTAGGAGATGGGGATGAAAATAAGGAGTAAGGCCCAATCAGCGGCCCACAGGCGCATGGCGATAAAAGGGGACCAGAGTGTTCAGAACGTGCCACCTGGACAAGTGGTCCCTGCAGGCACCAGGAGCCAGGAGCCCAGGAGCTGCCACGTGGAGGCGCCCGACCGTTGGGCCGTACCAAGAATTTAATGACGCGCTGACGTGGAGCTGGATTCTAGGAGCCTGGTCGGGGCCTCGACGAGTATAAATAGTACTCGGTAGGTAGCATTTACGCAGGTTGGTTTCTCTCACTAAAGTCCCCAAAGTACTTCTCTCTCTAAACTTAGGACTGACTTGAGCGTTGGAGTTCTAACGGGCATCTCAAAGCCCTTAGGCGTACATCTGTGCAGGATCTGGGCGTCTGTGGGGAAGTCCATCGTACGGAAGTTCGAAGGAGCAGGTTCGAGGGTTACGTGGCTTCAACAGAATGCATGAATTTTCTTACATTTAATGAACCGTGGATACTATCAGGTTGTTTGCTTCGTGGATATGAAAAATGAAGGTTTTGGTAAAACCTGGATTTTGAAAATCATGGATATGTGAGAGTTTTGAGTTCGGTATGGACTTGAAATACACTATTATTTGTTTCATAGATTACATTATGGACTTTGGTAGTTAGATTTGTATATATGAAGTGAAATTTGAACTTTGTTGTCCTAATTGGCATGAGGAGAGATAGGAAAGAGGAGGGGTAGGTTGGTCACAAATGATGGATTTTAAAGTCAATGATCAATACTGGCATAAAATGGCTGGGATTTTCAAGTCCGTGGGCACCACGATTTTGGAACCTCAAAGTCCGTGGATTCTACAGATTTGTCGCCCCTAAATAAACGGATCAAACTCAGAAAAACCGTGGTCTAATAGTGAAAGACAGTTTAGTACCAGGGACCATACCAACAGTGTATTCGGTCTGCTTTGGTCCGGTCCAAATGTCAATTCAATTCATTTTTCTAGTATTTATAAAATCCACGAGACTAAAAACATGACCATATTATATCCGATTCGATCAAAGCATTGATTTGGTCTCATGCGGTCTACCACAGACCAACCCGTTTCACACCCCTAACTAAATCTCACCAAAAAATGAGATTAAATATACATCATTTTCTATGTATTAGGAATATCACATTTATTCTCAATACATGTATTTATGCTCAAATAAAATCATAAAACATTGTATTATGTAAAATAAATGTATAGTAAAAAACATTCATAAAAGGAATAAGTCTGCAGCCGACCCAACTTGTCAATTACTAAAGCGAGTATAACTCGTCTCCGACCCAAAATCTGTCAATGCTGGAGTCAACTCGGTTTGACTCACATTATTAAGTGGGGGGAGTTTTTAATAAGATCCACACCCAAGTCAATTCGCTAACTACGAAAGCGGATAAAATTCGTTCCCAATGCATAATCCATCAACACTGAATTCAACTCACTTTATCGAGTCAAATTAGGTTGAATACACATGAATTTCGTTAGAATTAAGGTTTCCAAACAACACTTTTTTTTTTTTTTGTCAACCCTCTCCCCCCACCCACCACTCTTTATTTGTAGTTAGTGAGTCTTGGTTAGTGGGTTGAGTAATAAACCGGCACTGCCACTCCTTCCCCTTCATAGCTAGTGAGATTCTTCTATTTTTTCATGTTTCCTTCCTGTAATATATGACTACTCGTATCGTGACAAAACAGATCTTTCTAATTAATCCGTGTTAATTATGATCATATCTTGTTATTCCATTTTGAAACAGTTCTTAAAAACAAGTGGATATTTATAGGAATAAGTGTTGCGAGTTATATGTGGTGAATTGAGTATTATGCAACAAAATATTACTACATGTACACACAACTTTTTACATATATAGTTAATCCCCACATAAAAATTACTCTATCAACCTCTAATTTCTAATCTCTAGACACTGTGACATTTTCCCCTCCTTCCATCCTTCCACCTTTTCTAATTTCTACTGCTCTGACTAATTAATAGTTTACAGTTTAACCACCAATATAGAAGGGGAAAAAAAGGAAAGGAGAAAAGGTAAATAACGCGCGAAAATAGGGAGGGGGAGAAGATCTAGGGCAAGAATCGATTCCCGTCATCGACATCTTCTCGCGCCTTCAATCCAGCCTCCGTTTCCGGTCCTCCTCCTCCCACGGGAGCGGCGGCGGCGGACGAGGAGCTCGGGGGCACGCCGCCGCACTTCTGGCACCGGTTGACGACGAGTATCTGCCGGCAGGAAGGGCAGGACGAATGGCTGCCGAGCCAGGTGTCGATGCAGTCGACGTGGAAGCCGTGGCCGCACTGCGGGAGCACCCGGAACTCGTCCCCGGCCGCGAATTCCACGAGGCAGATGGCGCAATCGGTGAATTTCGCCGCGGCGTCGTCGGCGGGGGAGAAGGTCTGCTTGGGGAGGGCGCGGAGGATCTTCTTCTTCACCCCCTTGTTGGCCTGCGAGGCCGCCGCCGGAGCCCTGCCTCCCTCCGCCGCGGCGGCGGGTCCGGAGGAGGAGAGGCGGCGAATCCAGGCGCAGCGGGCGACGGCGACGAGGCCGAGGACGCAGATCAAGGCGCAGAGGAGGGCCGCCAGTATGACGACGAAGTCGCTGTCCACCGGCGGGACGGGCGGTTGGGAATCCCCGGCCGGTGCTGTTGTTACTGGTGCCGGCACGGAATCGAGCAGCCTGAATGGACGAGTCATGTGGAGGAGCTGTAGAGAGAGAGAGAGATTGGAGAATTGGGGATTTTGGGGGTTCATTGAAGGGGTTTAAATAGAAACTAAGAAGAGAATTTTTAATTACATTGTTTATAAGGTGTAGTTTGGCTGTTTGGCATATGCTGTTACCATAATCGATACTTTGCTGCTGCATTTCACTGTATTCTTCAGTCCGTTCATTGCGCTCCTTCACCAGCACTACCTTTTTACTTTCTTTATGTAAAATTAAAACATAATCAACCAAACCAACCTACCTACTTTCCCCTATTACTCCTCCATCTGTCTAGTTGCTTGGTTAACACACCATTTCGCGCTTACTTGTCGAGTAAGATATCTGGTACGATTTTATAGAACATGTTTTTTTAGCGTGAGTAGAGACTTAATATGAAAAGAGAAGGAGGAGGTGATCATGAGACTTTCTGCTTTCCCTCCATGGCAATCGGTATGATTCTACTTCGCTCCCAATAAGCACATAATTTCGTTTACTATTCCTTACGTTGCCCACCAGTCCACGCCACCAACGGATTCTTTGCTGGTTGGGATTAGGAATGACAATGAGCAGGTCGAGGATGGATATCTCAATATACATATCAGTTTCATGATAGGTCGGATTTAGGTTGGATAATTCATTACAGAGCGCGGGTCGGGGGAGGTTGACCCATATTGGTACGTAGTTTGAAAGGAAAATGTTAGATACTTGTTTTTTTTTTGGGTTAAAAAATGAAGAAACAAACTAAAATATAATTAAGCTAGTTAAAATTATGGCAAAATACACTTCCATAGCCAAAACTTTGACGTTTGTGACAATAATAGCCATTTTTGGCGAAATACCAGATATAGCCTGAAATTTGAATGCTTGATGACAAATATAGCCATTTCCGTTACATTCTTTAACGGTGTGAGTGACACCGTTAGTGAAATAAACGGAATGCTGACTTGGCTGCCTTGTCAGCCTCTCCGTCGCTTACACCTCATACTTCAGTGACATGTCTGACGCCACGTTATTAAATGAAAAAAAAAAAAATTCGGAAGACTTAAAATCGTGGACCAGAGGCTCGTTCTTCTTCCTCCTCCTCCCTTTTCACTTCACCCATTGAATCTAGGGTTTCAAGTGGCATCACCGCCGCCTCCTCTGAACCACGACCGCTGATTAAAGGAGGCCCGCCGCCTCCTCTGAACCTTAACCCCTTCGCCGCCGGTGTTTCAACCCGACCCCGCCTCCGCTATTTCGCGCGCGACCCAGCCTCCCCTTTTTCGAGCTTGGCTCGACTCTGCCTTTTCCAGCCGACCCCGACTCCGTGCCACACCGACCTCCACCGTAGCCGCTGCTCCTCCACCTTAGCCGCTGCTCCGCTGCTCCTTCTCATCATGTCTCAAAGAGGCGCTTCCTCTTCGAGAAGCGAAAATGCTCAAAATAGCCTTGGGGAAGTCGCTTGCTACCACAATGCGCCTTGTGTGACTAACAGAAGCAGGAAGTCAGGCAGAATGTTCTACGGCTGTCCACATTGGAAGGTAAAGTTGAATTTGCTTTCCCATTTGTAATTCATTCATTATGAGATGAGATTGGTGACTATAGAAGGTGTTGTTACAGGATCCAAGTAAGAATTGCAAATTCTTTATGTGGGTGGAAGGGGCAGCAGTGGATGAAGTGGATGAAAGGAGAGAAATATTGAGGCTTGAAGAGAGTTTAAGGTTGGCTGAGGCTAAGGCAGAGAGGAGGAAGAAGGAGAGAAAAATTATAGAGGAAGAGTTGAGGAGGGTTAACCAAGATGTTATTGCAATTCGACAAATGTTCATTGTTGTTTTTCTGTTGAATGCGTTGTTACTCGTGGTCATGTTAATGAACCGTTGGGGTATGTATTAGTAGGCGACTGTTACTTGTTTTGTAGCATTATGTGGCAGTTTGGTATGTATTAGTAGGCGACTGTTACTTGTTTTGTAGCATTATGTGGCAGTTTGTATTTCTGGTTTGTTGACAGAGTTAGTACGCAAAAGATGGGTTGTTTCTGGTTTTGTTCTGTTTCTTACTATGCAAATGACATTATAGCGTAATACACAAGTCTTTACTTCTAATAAATAACATAAGTTCACCTGAATTACATAAAGCATAACATCCACAATCTACCATCATTTCACCTGAATTACATAATGCATAACATCCACAAGCTACCAATATTTCACCTGAATTACATATGTTTTAAAACCCTAACATCTGTTCCTAACATACTGTTCCAATGCCGGCTGATTACATGAGTCACATACCCAAAAAAATCCTCCACGGAGGTCATTATAACCGACATATTAAAAAAAAAAAAGTGACCCATGCTAAGTTTGGTAGTCTAAGGTTGCGTTGTAGGGGGCTGGCTTCCTTGCATGTCTACCTCAGTGGGCTGACTACCACCAACAGGACGCCCTCGTGCTCCGGCAAGCTATCACAATTAACAAAACATTAAGAATCCAGCAAGCATTCACAATTAAAGTAAGTCAAGCATTCATGTTCATGCTAACAGGAATTAACATTCATCCTAATACTTACCCTCACATAAGTATTTCCAGTAGCCTCATTTACATACACTCCCACCCCACTTGTTGCAATTCGCATCTCTCTTTCAATCGTCCTTCGATCACCAACGTTCAATCTAATATCCTACATGGTGACAAGTACATGCATTTCAGATTTGTTCAATTAACATCCTACATTCTGCGTTATGAAAAGCATATTATACTTACTTGGACTCCGGCACCTTGGTTGAGAGGGCAAGTTCGCGCGTTATGTGTGACACTACCACACTTCGAACAATGGGCGACTCTCTTCTTCCTTGTAGTAGGGTCAGTATTGTGGTTCCCACCATCTGCAGTAGGGGCTGCAATATTAATTCCATCTCCTGCAGTAGCAGTAGGCCTCCTCCTATCAGCTGGAGTTGTGTTTCGAGCTCTTGTATAGGCCTACAAGGAAAATCAGAGTTTCCATGTTAGTAAAACACTACCACAAGTCAAAAAAGAGGGAAAATGACAATTGCACTAACCTGACAGTCAGCAGCGGAAGCCTTGATTCTCCATCTTCAGAATCCACCTCTTCAAACTCATCCAACTGTTCCACCTCCTCCCCGTGACCAACAACCCTTGTCTTCACCTTTCTTTTTCTCATCTCACCGTAAGCTCGAAGGTTGTTCCTTGCTTCATGGTATTCATCATCGGAGGTGTCCGCATCGTCTGAGTCATACACATGCACCAATTGTCGAGCTACAGAATGGGCAGCTTCACCTTCATTTGCTGAATTGTCTTCACCCGAATTGGCTGCCTGATTCGGATCATGCTCTTCCCATGAACTCACCATCTGTACAAGGCACACCAACACTTTGGTAAGTAAGCAATAATCATGGTTAATAAAATCCTGGTTAATATCTCTTAAGCAAGAAACATTCATGGAAGCAAGAAGCATTCACGGATTATTGCTCTTAAGTAACTACAAAGCTGGGGCTAAACAAGTAGCAGTAAGCAAAGCTGGGGCTAAACTAGAAGCAGTAAGCATTCATGGAACTCATTTCAATGCTGGTTGGCTATCTATTTGAAAAGTACCATAAAACCCCTTAATTAATTAACCCTCTAATCACAATTAAGTAACTAACCTAGTTTAATTAGTTTTTAATTCACTAAACAACAAAGGCAGAACCACCTAATAACATTATTCTATCCTAGGGTTTTCCAATCCAATGACAATTGTACCCAGAATTTTGAGCTGCTTACCTTCGATTTCAAGGGCAAACTCGAGAAAACTCGAGAAAGAAGACAACCAGTGGTCCCGAGCTGCCTTTGTTGTGTCACTTTCCTGCCTTTATTGCCGCAACGATCTATAAAACGAAGGCAGCAACAACTTTACAACAGTGCACTCCCAAGAGAAAAGAGGAAAGGGTGGGCAACCAGATCAGCCACTTACCGGTCGAATGAAAGGAAGAAGCCCAGGAAATCAACCGCCCGAGATTCCCAAAAGCATCCTGAGGATTAGGGTTTTTTGCTGTCGAATTGGAATTAGGATTCTTGGCGTTTCGATGGTCGATTTGAGCTCACCAGAGTTGAATCGAGTCGCCGGAATGCTCGCCGACCCGTTATTAACCACATGGAAGCATCGCCGCCTACTCGGAGGAAAGGGGTTTTTGGGATGGGATGAGTGGATGGGAGAAAAAACTGGTACGAGGAGGAAAGGGGTTTTTTGGCGTTGCCGGGATCGATCGGAAGCTGGGGCGCTCCTCGTCGGTGAACAGCGCCGCCGTTGTGGAAATTGCCTGGGCTGTTCGTTGTCTTCGTCGGGGGCGTCGGGCGAGTAGGGTTCGAAGGGAAGGGAAGATGATGTCGATTGTCGACTGTGGAGAAAAGAAAGGAAAAATGAAAAGGAAGAGAGAGGGAGTGGCTGATCTGTTCCCCTTTTTTTTTTCCACGTGGAAAATACTTACCGGACGAAAATCGCCACATAGGATTATCCGTTAATCCAGTCAGCACCTTAAGTAACGCCGTCAAAGAATTGGACGGAAATGGCTATAATTGGTATTTCGTCAAAAGTGGCTATATTTGGCAAATTCGTCAAAGTTTTGGCTATACAAGTGTATTTTGCCTAAAATTATTAATAAAATTGAGGTTTTCGCTTATTTACAACTTTATTATAGCTAAAAAAGTCTAAAATACGATGTAATAAAAGTAAAATCGTAAGTAATTTGAGAGAATTACATGTAAGTTAGGCAAATGCGGGTAAAAAATGGGGTCAGTCGGGGCAAGTCAGGTCAGGTCAAAGAGAATACCCATGCCCATCCAGCCCCGCCCCGCCTCGAAACAAGTCAAACAGATTGGGTAAAACGGGTAAAGGCAAAATTGTCATCGCCAACTGGGGTGATTTATATCTATGAACGAATTATACGATCAGAGTACTTGTTGGTTACTACCACCATTATCCTTTCTGTATCCGTCTCAAGGCTGCGTGAAACTCATTAGTACTTTTTCGGATTTTGCTCTTTCATTACTCTGGGATCGCTCAATCAGTCTAGAAGCAAGCGATCAAACATTGTTTTCCATGGGGAGAATGAGGTAGACAGGAATAATATCTCGACCTTTTGATCCCCCCACTAGTTAGTCAGTCTTTCCCACCATGTGAGTTCAGAAGGAAGGAATAAAAGTATAAAACTGGTAGACTAGACTGCAACTTGGGTCAAAAGGAGCCATCCTTCCTACCATCGTCAGTTCTTCACAGTACTGGGATTCCCCAAATTCCCACCATCCCTTTTTCTAATCTCGATTCAAGGAACTTAAGAAACCGTTAAACCAAGATATTTAGGATTAATTAGGTAGTGATCAGCTGGTGGGGAAATATCTGATTAAGCTGCTGAAAGTCAGAAAGTGCCCGGCGGAAAGCGGGCAATTGGGCTGATTTCAGCGGGATAATGCGGTCCAGTCACAGTCAGCCAATCTTTGCCCACCAAGATCAAAGATTCTGTTAATCCTTAATCGCAACCAAATCCGTAGAAAGCAGCAGCGCACACAATCTTCCGAAATCTGTCAGCTGGAGGAGTTGGGATGGAGCCACGTAGAAGGCCTGGGACCAACCCTCATCGGCAGAGTTTTGTTCCCATTTTGCGACTGAATGGCTGGCCAAGGATACCATTTTAGGCATATGTTGTTATATTGTCACTCACTCTTTTAACTTTGGTCGGCTGGTTTGGATCAGGACGAAGGAGGCAGCCTAGCCCACCACCTTGTCACTTTCGACACGAAATGTACCACTCGCATCACCTTGATGAGCTTCATCGAACAGGGGAGGTTATGGTGGCGGCTGCTGCCTGCACGTAAGCGAAAATTGATGATCCGTTTGTCGCGGAGCTTCTCGCCATCCAGGATGCCATCCATTGATGTATTCAGCAAGGTTGCAGGTGGTGATAGCGATGTGAAAGTAGTCTTGGATAAAATTTAGGAGGGGCAGCAACAGCATCAGATGCTCACTGTAGTGCCATCTCGGCTGAAATTGATGGGCTCTAACTTTCAAGTGATGTTTATTCAGGAAAGAAACAGGGTTGTCCATTTAATGGCGGAAAAGTCGCTTTTATAGTATCCTAGTTCGGTAAGGTTCGAATTTTGTTCTTGGCTTTGATCTTTTACTCAGTAATACTAGTGAAGCAATGAGGGGGGAAAAGCTACTTTTCAACTACTCAGACTTGGGTGAAAAGAGTAACACTACAGAATTCAATCAATATTGCAGAGTCTTATGGTAAAATCATTACCCCATCATTGTTTGGCCACTAGGCCGAAGGGATAAGGAAGAATCATGAACCTTGACTTCTAAAACATGGTAACAGCAGGGTTGGTCTTGCCTTTGCCTTTGCCTGCAATTTCATATCATGTGGAAATTGAGCTTCCACACAAATGTGAAAGTAACAGAAAACAAACAAAAAGCTTTTCTTTACCTCATAGATCGTATCTCACGTTCCATCTCCCCTTCAAGTCAGCGTTGAAGGTCCAATTGTTCTCTCTAATCTGCAGATATGGCAACTGAAACAAAGACCAAAGGTTTGGGAATTAACAAGCTGTACCAATGTAATAGTCAAGTTTGAAGGTATGCAGAACACTATGGCAGACCAAAGATGACCAAAACCAAAATTGTCTAAGATGCATAAGGTGGGACGGGTTTAGGTAGAAATGCAGGAAGCATCCATTCGAAAGCTCGAAGATTCTTAATGGTAGTCACAAGCAGTCAGCACAAACAGTTTGTTGGTTCAATCAAGTATAATTATCATATTGGCAGAAATTCAAGCTGCTCTGTTCTTGCGTTGACTTGCTATTGCCTTCATATCACTCCAGAACACAAACATTACATACAAGAGAGAATCAAGGGAGACAGTAGGTCTAGCTGAATAGTAAAACAGCAACAAAAAAATAAAGATTACATTAACGATTCATGGATATATAAGATTCTATACCTTGTCAATGACCTCATATCCAACTTTGATCCTCACATCTTGATCTTTCTGAAAATTGAATATGCTGCAGGAGAGCTCAGTTGCTGCTGTTGGTTTCCTCTGTCATGTTATATGGGAATAATAAGTTCTTCAACAACAAATTGCTATCTAACTTTCATGATGGCCATAGTTGCAATGAACTAGATAACTATAACGACTCAAAGTAACCGAGACACAGAGACCATAGTGTGTCCAGTGATGCCGAAATGAACAGGCAAATTCTAACCCCAAATACCAAGTCGAAAGAAGGAAAAAAACCAACCTCCTTCAAATCCTTGTCAAGATGGTACCGACCCTTGACATTGAAGCTGAACATGCCGTCACTGGTGATGGGGAAAGCCTTCTTACCACGTAAGCTGTACAGAAGCTTTTCTTGCTTGTCATACTGCACTCCCGCACCCAAGCTAGCACCCAACTGATAGTCAATAGTTCCATATGAGGTTTAAGTCAGCAAGGGAAGTTGCTTAAAGTTCCAGTTGAGAAAAATGTCATATTAGCAGCGATTTTAGAACGTACGTCAGGGAGGAAGTGCCTTAAAATTGCACTGACATGGCTTGGCGCTCCAATCCTCGTATCTAGTTCTCCATGAAACTAGCAAAAGAATTGAAATTGCGACAGAAAAGATTTCAACATTCATACCCTAGAAAGAAAAGCACAGGTCTTTCCTTCCGTTTTCATGCATTCCCAATTGAATTCACATAATAGAGAAGTAACCCAGAACCAAAAAGCAGCGAACTTTGTTACTTGCGGAGAAAACTAAGATTCCCCACAAAGTTAACCAGATACGAAGGGAAGACAAAGCTCAATTAAGAGAGAAGGTTCACCTGCAACTGCGTTTTAGGATCAAAGAAGAGCTTCTGCTTGGCATGAATCCTCAGGGATTCTTCTCTCAGGGTTCTTTTCGAGCCTCCGCTGTATCTCAGAGACGTCTCCATTCGGTAAAGGATATTCTTTCTTTCTCTTCCACCTGAAACTCCAACCCAGTTCTCTCCAAACCCAAAACCCTGGCTGCTTTCAGTCCTAATCTTTCGCTATCCCTTTGAGTCAGCTGAGACTCAAACGAGAGAAGAGAAATTGGAGGGAACAGATAACTCGCGGCCCAAAAAACCCCTGAATTAGTATGGGCTTTTTCTCTTGAGCCGGCCCAATGTTAAGGGAGTCTGGCCCGCTTGAACGCTCTGAAATTCTGAGCTAGTAGCTGAAAATGGAAGGAGAACAAACCGGCACTAGAGAGTAATAGCGAAGAAGGGAACGATCTACTGTCACTGTCTACGACGACGACGACGACGGAGAGCTGAGCAGAGAAGAAGGAGAACGCGCCGGCGATGGCGGTCGGGATAGGTTTTAGGCGTAGGCTTGATTTTCTGCTGTTGGTAATTGCGATTCTCTCGGCGCCTGTACTTTCTGATCTGATCCTCTCCAAAGTCGAACGACAGGTAACCCTTCTCTATCTCTGCCTCTCATTTCAGCTCAGTCCTTGTAGATCCGGCGAAGAGCTGAGCTGGTTACATGAACATAAAGAAATAGCGAGAGTCGCCATTGTAATTTGATTTAGATTTGTGAATTTACGTTTTTTTCTGTTTGGCAGATTGATTTGACCTCACAGATCGCACGCATCTCCTCTACAATCAAGGTTCTTCGCCGTACCTTCCTCTTTTCTTTCTTTACTATTGATATTTTCATGTTTCTGATTCTTCATTTTTTGCTCTGACTCTGCCATGTCAGGCGGAGAATGACGGCTCAAGTTCGGTTTCGGAGATTCTGCTGGCCATCCCTGAGCTCCAGGCTAAGAATCTGGCGTATTTGACTGCTAGAGTCATTGAAGGGAAAGGGAAAGCGAGAACTTCTGGTTTAGCTCTCACGGTTGAACCTGCCAATCCTAAAGGGATGCCGCCGGCTCTGAGTTTCTACTCGATAGTACTGCCCAAGCCTTTGGCTAATGGCGATAGTGTGACCTTGGATGTCTTGGCTGCCTTTACCCATAGCTTGAGGCCATTTCCCGAGAAGATCACTCAGGCTGACATTCACCTGGTGTTGTTCCAAGATACTGGACACTATCTCTCTCCTTATCCAGTCAAGGTTCAATCCCTTGCTGTGAAACTGCCCCAGGCTAGGATTGAGTCATACACGAAGCTCGATAACACAAAGAATCTTGGCTCGGAGATCAAATATGGCCCGTATGAGAACCTCCCGCCATTCTCATATTCTCCAATCGCCATACATTTCGAAGCCAACCAAGCATTTGCTGTTGCTCGGGAGCTAGTGAGAGAGATCGAGATCTCCCACTGGGGGAATGTGCAAGTCACCGAGCATTATGACATTGTCCATGGAGGTGCCATGAGCAAGGGTGAATTTTCCAGGTGGAACTTCGCTTTTTTTTTTACCCTTTAATGTTTCTTATAGTAGATCCAATTTTATCATTCCGATTGGATTGTGGTTACATGAGTGTGGCTGAAGTCTAATGTTTACTTGCGTACTTCCACCCTACAGGCTTGACTACCAGTCCAAACCCCAAATTCGTGGTGCATCAGCCTTCAAGCATCTTGTCGCTAAACTGCCTCCCAGGGCTCATTCTATTTATTACAGGGATGCGATTGGAAACATATCGACATCCCATGTGAGGGGGGACTCAAAGAAGGTCGATATCTCAAATTCTTGATAGACCTGATGTTGGTTGTTCGAGTTGGTGGCTGTGATTTTGACCTCAAGCTTCTCTTTGCTTGCAGACAGAAATTCTGATTGAGCCTAGATATCCATTATTTGGTGGTTGGAGGACTGCATTCACTATAGGATACGGTTTGCCGCTTCACGATTTTGTGTTCGAGTCAGAGGGGAAACGTTTCTTGAACTTCTCCTTTGGTTCTCCTATGCATGACATTGTAACAGATAGCATCACTTTGAAGGTTTGTATGTATGGATTGGTGCATCAGTTCTCCTTTCTCTGCTTATTTACCTTGACCTTTCACTTAGTGTGGTTCCCTGTGTGATGACGTGTATCTCCTGCCGAATTTCTTATGGCTATACAAGGTTCTTCGGATGACCAGATTAGGCATGTTGTTTGGCATAGTGACCTTTCACCTTTGTAATTTGTCTGCAAAACAAAGCAAAATGGATCCTGTGTTCGCAAGATTGCAACCTTAAATTGTGCTTAAACTTTTCAACAGAGCTATCTATCTAACCCGATGTGCTGATGTTAAGGCTTTGGATTCAGGTTGTCTTGCCAGAAGGATCCAAGTATCTCTCTGTTTCTACTCCATTTGCTGTCCAACAGGAGGAAGAGGTATTGAGAGATAAGAATTAGTGTCGACTCTCTTTACTGTTGTGCTCTTAATTTCATCAGAGTTTTACATTGTGGAGCTTCTTCTTTTATTAGATGATGATTGCAATGACCTAATGCAGATAAAAATGTCTCATCTAGACATTTTTGGCCGACCTGTTATTGTGCTGAAAAAGGCTAATGCTGTGCCAGAGCATAATCAATTTTTCCAGGTAAGCATTACTCTCCCTTTTCATGATGTAAAACTTTGTTAAGAGATACGTATATATTATGAGATGTGAAGGCTTCACTTACCATCCAGCACGATATCGAATGACGGACAGATACATAGTGGCTTTTAGCACTTACATGATGGATGGTCTCTTTTGGCTTCATTTGGCTTAAACATTGTAATTGTGGTCATTGTGTAGGTCTATTACAAGTTCAATGCACTTGCAATGCTGATGGAGCCATTTATGTTGATAACTGGAATATTCTTCCTTTTTGTCACTTGCATAGTTTATGTGCATGTTGACTTATCAATCTCCAAGTCTTCAGCTTCATATTTAGCAAAATTGCAGTGGGATGAGGTAATGGCATCTTTTCATTTTCTTGACTTCATCTCAATTCAAAGATTGAGACTTTTGGAGAGTAAAAAAACCTTATTTATATCCTCTTCATTACTACAGGTGAGAGCAACAGTGCAGCAGATTCAAAATATCATCAACCAGTGTCTATCCACACACGAAAAGCTAGAAGCATCACTACGTGACCTCTCCAGAACTGGAGATGTTCAAGCTTGTAAAGCCGCTCGCAAGGCAGCTGATGGCTTGTTGAAGGAGCTGTCGAAAGAGCTGAAGCCCTTGATCGCATTCTTGCAATCTACACCTCCTGCTGCTCATATTTTGCCCAAGGTTCATTCATTAACATCTCACTCATTATTCCTTGTAGAAAAGGGTTTATTAGATCTCTCAATTTATATTGCCTTTGCATAATAGGTAGAGGAGCTGGTAGCAAAGGAGAGGGAATTGCAGGAGAGGCTGATGGCCAAGCACTCAACCATAGTCGATTCCCACGAGAAGAAGCTTGGAGGAAAGGAAACCGAGAACCGGGTTGCTTCCGTGCAACAGAAGATTGTAGCTTTGAGACAGGACATTGAAGATCTGATGGAATACGTCGATGAAATATAAAAGTTTTGTTAGACTGGCACTGCAGAATTATGCTAGGAATTCGTATTAGACGTTTCCTCTACTAGTTGTGAACTTTTATAGCTATTAGAAGAAGAGAGCGTTGACGGTTGTTAAGAATTTCAGTCCTTCAGCTGTAACCAACATTGAACGATAGCATGGGGTTGAAATGGGTTCCATAATTTATTATCTACTAGCAAGACCTGCTCGCTTGTGCTTCGTGATGAGTGAATCTAAGCCTGCGATGCGCTTTCGAGAATTGATCTTGTAAGAGAGTCAATATAGATTCTTAACTTAGCAAGAGTATTTTGAAAGGTACATATAAACTTGTCTTATTAGTAAAGTAACTCAGGTTACATAACTAAAAAAGAAGTTGATTCTTAAAGAGCATAACACTATACAGAATTACAGACTAAAAAACACTAAGCAACGACATTGACGCTTCATATAGTTAAAGACCAACAAATGAAAGGATAGCGATAAAATACCGAATGTACTTGAAATGCATTTAGTTATACTACAATGCAATAACAGAGCAAAATTTGAGCTGTTATATCACTAAAGGAACGTATCCAATAATATCCTAAGAGTCTTTCCATAGCTTATACTGGTCGAGAAGAAAAAAAGAAGTGTAATGCCTGTCTCTAACTGGCATAGAATGACAAATTAGAAGTGAAACGAAGAAACAATCAGAAAAAGAAAATAAATACAACATGCAAGACCAAAAATGGGCCTAACCTAAGTCAACGTCCTTGGGACTATGGCCGACGTCGATTGTCGCCGCCATTCACCTCGTCTTCCCTTCCCTCTACTGTTTCCACCCGGAAGAACTTCCCTCGGCGTAACAAAAACCCAGAAATAATCAGAATTCAAGACAACCCCAAAAATTCTAACAATTCAACACTCAAAACCAAAAACATATCTCACCTAATGCATCGTCGTTAGGATCATCACCGTCATCGACCGTAGTTCACCATCTAAGGACCTTCCTACCGTCATAAGAGTGGGTAGAGCAAAGAAAGAGGAGTAGATTTAAAACACTTAATCGATATGATAAAATAAAAAACTCACCCGGCCAATAGGCCAGGAATAAAGCTAGTTATTATTTATATAATAATTGTTATGGCAATGCATTTTTGATAAATTGCTAATCAACACCACTAAAACTGATAGGTGAAGATTTAAACTTCTAGCCAAACACTTGGCTTATTGTACATATACATTGCTAATAATGCCTACTAAAACTGCTAGTATAAGCCTTAAACAATACGTGAACACAATGGACTCCATAGAAAAGTTACAATCATATGTCTATTTCTTTGAGAACACTCTGATATACATAGTTCTACAGTGAAATATTTCCCCGTATTTGCTCAATTAACTCTTCTTGCTCAAAATATTGAAGAATACTAAAGTCTTGAACCGACATTTGCAACAATTGAACCATTGCGGAATGACTAAACTCGATATTTTCATTATCCACGAAATCTTTGCAGCACACTAATGCATCATACCTGCATTGAATAAAAAGTGTTCATCATTGCTTATAGATAACAGAAAAAATAACACACATAAAATTCATCCTAACTTACCAGCAAGTGTTATTTTCTCGTCTCACTCTTCCATGATCTGCAATAAAGTCCTCAATTTGTACCAAACACCAATATCTTGCCTATATAGAAATATACCGGGTTAGAGAAAGAATTTTATTCAATTTGACTTCTCAACGATATAAGATAATATACCTCAAGGTTAATATCAGCAGTAGAAAGGAATGTACGCATCATCTGTAAGGTAACCACAATTGGCAAAGGATCTCTAAAGCAAGAAACACTCCTTGTTCTTGTGTGCTTGAGTATAATAATTGGCCTATGTTCATGAAAATATCTGTTAAAAGATTTTGGTTAGTGAGTAATTCTTCATATTTAAAATCAAAGAATAAATCTAACAATGAGTTACATACCATACCTGTTCAATAGTGCCCTATATCGATGTATATATGAACCACGAATCAAGCGTGTTGCATTTGTGCTCGTGAGGAGCAAATTAACTACAAATTAGAATAAACAACTAAATATTAACATAAGTATAGTTTCTTACAGTTCGGTTCAGACTCATAAACTAAGATACTCGTGAATGTAACGACCACTGGATACATCATTTCTTGAGTTTCAGCCCAGGAATAGAAATCATTCACGGTAGTGATCCAATTGATAGCAACGGTTGCATTCCTAATCACACAAAGAAGTATTAATTCTTACATAACATAGTTCAATATATAGGATATGTATAGTAATAAATTACCTATGTTTTCTATTTTTACAATCACAAGCATTGTGCCATCATCATTATGCATTGGTCGTGCTATGGACACGACCTGTAAGATCTACAAAGAGGAAAAAAATAATTAATATAAAAGAAATATAATTTCAAATATATACTAAATACATAATTACCTGCAAGATGCGTCGGATTCACAACCATACTCCGAAGATCCTCGAATTCATCATTTTTAAAACTATCAATGGGGAATCATTTCCTAAATCGATCTTCATATACTACATCAAACTTTCATGTTCGACAAATGTATATACGAACATCTCCTGGTGCTGTACGATGAATTCTCCTTGCTTTTTTTAGACGTACATCTTTGATTTTATATAGGTTCCTTACTCTCAAATAAGTCTGCATATAACTAATATCTTCTTCAGTTGTTACTCCTTCCACCATATTTTTCCTGTAAAGCAAAGAAAATAATAAATATTGTTTAAGAGATAAGATAAGATATGAAACAATTAAGACAACATAGATGCATATACAAACCTCTTTGTCAATCCATAGTGTATACATAAATTGACTTGTTTCAGTTCCTATATATTCATCAGAATACCATATATGAATAAGTCGAAGCATAATATGCCCAGTTATGCATTCCCCTTCAAGATCTCTAATTACTAAGGATGTGACAATTGGATCTGAAAGCAAGAAAAAAATAACCATGATTTAAAAATTAAGATAACATATTCATAAAAGTTACTTTCTAATAAATATCAACAAATTGATACTTTCTTACCATCTGGAGAATCAGGAAGTGAGTAATTTCTGGACATTCTGAGCTACAAATACTATTGGTCAGCAAAAAGAGTTTAAGTAGACCTGAAAGAAATAATGAAAATTAAATCTCACGCACATAGATAATAAAGAATATAAAATCTTACTGAATAATTATACATAGGTAGCAAACTAAAAACAAACAGAAGTTTGATCTACTATACGTGAATTATTCTTATTTCTCATTCCTTTTCAAGACAATTCCGACCTCTATCTAATAGAACTGACTGCAAAGATATATAAAGAGAAATGATGAAACAAAACCAAATCATGGAGGCTAGGTTAGCCGAAAGATGGTTATTGGTTCAAGGACGCACAGTGTTCCTATTTTTTTAGGGTAAGAAGGAGTAGAGAAAATGCTCGAGCCAATATTCGAGTACCAGGCACTACGACGCTTAGATCCTTTCGATGACGTATGTTGTGTTGAAGGGATATCTATATGATCCAATCGATTGCGTAAAGCACGCGGAATCACTAACTAAGACGAATCGAATACTAATAGAATATAAAAGAACTGTCGAGAATCATCAACCGATACACATAATATCTAAAGTAAGTAAATGAGAAGCATCACCTCAAAGATCTACAGCTGGAATGAGTACTGTCGAGAAATTAAAAGAGAAGAAGAGGGCCATTCAAGTGTCGCTGGGAATAGTTACAAACCACACGCAAATAACGTAATGTAGATTTAGGATAAGACTCACTTCTGAATCCTCAAGTTTAAATGGCTTATCTAGAACACTTGAGAAAGATTACAAATGAGTTCTAAAAAGGAGACAGCTGGAGACCATGCAAAGTACAACTATTGCTTTTGTAAACTAATATTACTAAGTGGCAATCATAATAGACCAAGAACAGACAAATGACAGACAAATGATACCTTAGGTGGCCTAAATAATCTATATAAATAGTTATATCTTTCCATTCATAAAGGCATACATATAAAATCCTTTATAGATAATAATGATATAAATACCGAAGAAAGATAAATAGACCTCCTATTTATGATATGAGCATAATCAAATCACAAATAACCTAAGTGATTCAAATAGAGTTATATATAATAATAACATATATTAATTAATTAATATACAACAAAAGATTGTCTAGATGTCATAGTTATAATAAGGATATTATCAATATCTAGCTAATTATGCAAGCACCAAATCCCATTAAGAAGCTTTTCATCTGGAAAAGAAATCAAACTCCATAGCAGTGCATAAGAATTAATGCCCACATGTAGATATATCTGCAGAAAAGACGAAACTTATATCATATTAGAATACCAAACTGGAACAATAGTATTCTAATATAATTTAAAAAAATGGACACCATAGATTATGCTCACTTTATTTATTATATGATTGAATAAGAATCACATCTGGATCCACCGAGAATTCTGAAAAAGATCCATCTGCAAATCTGTAATTATCATATAGATAAATACATATAATCAACCAACTTGATTACCACCTAAAAGAGACAACAACAACAACAGCAAAAAAGAAAATATAAAAGAGAATATACCATCTTGCAGTAGCAAAATCAATGCCACTAACATTTTCAAAACCTAAAAATGCTTCATGATAAACAATATTGCGAGTATAATTTGCTGGAATGCCTTTTTCATTAACAATCAAGAAGCGTAATCCAGTAGCTGCTCTAACTCGCGATACAGCCACATAAAGCTGACCATGACTGAACACAGGCCTAGGTAGATATACACCAACACTATGGAGAGTTTGCCTCTGGCTTTTGTTTATTGTCATTGCATAACAAAGGCGTATTGGAAACTGTCGTCGTTTAAGTATGAAATGCCAGCACGAATCATTGATATTCAAGACCACTCTAGGAATTGCAACAGTTTTACCATCAAATGTACCCCTCATAATCTTTCCTTTTATGACATAATGTCCCAGATAGACAATCACCAACCTTGTACCATTACAGAGACCAATACATGGATTTAAGTTTCTCAGTAGCATTATTGGAGTAAAAACTTTCAGATCAATTTGATGATCAGGGTATCCATTAAAAGATAATCCATTAAGAAACTCTGTAGGATATTCGGCTTCAAGAAGAGCTGGATTGCTTGCATCAGTCTCCAATGTATCACTGCTGAAATAACTCCGTGAAGTTCCTGGAATTAAAGAGAGCATGTGAGTATTGATCTCTGTTACATCCTGGTTTCTCGGTGTAACAATAGATCTTTCCGTGAGATATGAAGCATTATGAAAATGCTCTACAAAGTCAGTATACATCTCAGATGCAATCTTCTGAATAGGCATTCTTGTGGATTCAATAAAAAAAGAAGCAGGTATTTCAATCCAATCCGCTGGCTAGTTTTCTCCAAATGATTTCCCCAATATACTTCCATTACCAACAGCTAAAGTCCAATCATTGAAGTTCATTCTATGGAAAGCTGTATGTCGATTTGCAGATGAAGACATGACACGCATGTTTTTAGTAAAATGTAAGACAAAACAGTAATTCCATAAGTAAGACCGAGTTAACGATGCATCAACAGTCTCTTCTCTTCCAGCATCTGCAACAATTGGCAATGTTTGTCGAAAATCACCACCTAATAGGACTGTTTTACCTCCAAACGGCTTATAGAGTACACCACTGAAAGGAACGTTCATAATATCACAAAAGGCTCTATCGACAGCCTCAAAACACAAACGATGCACCATGGGCGCCTCATCCCATACTATAAGAGATGCATCAGCAATCAATTGAGCAAGTAGAGTACCTTTCCTTATATTACATGATGATCGATAGTCAATCTCAAGTGGGATCTTGAACTTTGAATGAGCTGTACTTGCATATGGAAGTAATGTTGTAGCAATTCCTGAAGAAGCAACCACAAGAACAATCTTTCCAAGTTCTTTAAGGTGTGCAAGCATTACTCTATATAGAAACGTTTTACCAGTTCCTCCATGGCCATGTAGGAAAAAAAAATTATGCTTATCCACCTCCACCGAATTAATCGAATCAATGACAGCATGGAAAGCAACCTCCTGTTCTGTATTCAAATCAGTTAGGAGAGGAAGTGACAAAGAAGAAGATTATGTCACGAATGGCTGCAGATCATTATCATAACACAAACGAAGATCTTCTGGGAGCGATACAACTGTCGGAAGAGGCAAATTAAACTGTGAAAGCGTTGCAGAATAGCCATCTAACATATGTTGCAACTCCAATAACAATTTATTTTTTTGGCAATTCTGCAGGAATCAAATGATTGTTGAAGTTGACATCACGTTGACATTGATATGTAATATCATCTGAAAGCAATTCCCATGTTTTGTTGAATAGACTTAATGGATCAGATAACTCACAAAACATTAACATTGTAACAAAGAGATACCTCAGAAGGCTACACATCCCCCATTGGCTCACTTCCTTTATCACAAGCAGCCATTCATCATCATTCGACAACAACCCTAAATGTTGGCAAGCAGCTTGATATGTCCGACATAAGAAACCATTAATTGTCCGAAGATCAACGTAACTGACTGCTCCACGAACTTTCATCAGGATCTGTCTAAGATAAAAATCTCCACATCCTGGATGAATATAGACAACTCGGCCAATTGCAAAACCCCTTTTCCTCCGACACCATATCTTTTCCTTCAAATTCCAGACATTTATTTGGAATTTCAGAATACAGTAAACTTCGAGCTTCTGGATCTCGTTGATTAAGAGCAAACCATTGTGTAAGGGTAGTCTCTGAGACAGCATCACGTGCAAGAATACGTGACAACCACTGTTTCTTTCTATAAGGAACTTGATGCCTCCCTTCAAGATGTACACATAAGCGTTGCACTGCTGGCGTCCTTTCATGAATAGGAAACTCAAAAAGTCGCCATGCAGCCTCATATGATGATAAACTCCGACAATCGAGGAACTGTTTAATTTCATCTAGAGGTGGTCGTTGGATTGGTACATCAGATGCAACAGAAGAGTTCGGAACAGCCTCAGCAACAACCATAGAACGGTCTGGCCCTTTAGTAATATATTTGAAAAGATACTTGATCAATCGTCCTTGATGACAAACTTCAACATTTATATGAGCTTGGAAAAGCACCAGCAAATTTCTATTATAGGGAACTACATACCTATTATCAAGTGTTGTTGTCCCTATTGTCGCTGTTATGCCAGTATCACGCCTCTTATAAACCGTGTAACCAAATTGATCCGTTGTTGTTTCGGAGTTGAATGATCTAGAAAAATACTTAGAACATGATCCATTCTTCATACACACATTAGCAGGATTATCATCACCACATGGCCCATGGAGCATAAATTTTGTCACAGCCTCATAACCAAGAGGATCAAGTTCTAGATCGGGCAATTCAGTAGATATTGTAGCATCAACATCTGAAGACGTATGAAGTTTATTTTTTGCATCCAACCATAATAATATATGCACATGTGGTAGACCTCTTTTCTGAAACAAGGTCCTCACTTGGGTTGAAAGGCAATAGCTTCCTTCTCTTTTAGGACATGACTAAACTTCCCGCTCTTTTCCGCTTCTTTGTGCTGTCTGCAATAACTCAAAAGCCCCTAACTTACATAGACTCAATCGAGGTACTTCTGATGTTTGAAAAATGAGGGTTTTGGCCAATAAAAACTTTGGGATTTATGTTGGATTTATTGGATTATGGATTTGAAGAGTCTAATGTTTGCATGATAGATTTGATGATGGATTTGTTAAATAAATAACTAACCATCAAGGATTTGTTAAATAAATAACTAATCATCAAGGATTTGCAAATCCCAAATCAATATGTGGGATTTACAAGTCCGTGGGGTCCACGGATTTGGTTCCAAAATAAAGACCAAATCCGTGGACCCCACGGATTTAGCAGTTTTCAACAAACAATGGACTTATGTTAAATCCATCAAGCTTGGGATTTGGGTACCAAATCCATGACCCAAATCCAACAAGCAAACGACCCCAAAGTGAGAAGGAGAAAGAGATGGTGGGTGTGGAGAGATGAGGGAGGGAGAATGAATGAATAAGTGATATGCGAATAGTTTTTTTTCTTCTTCCTGTTCTTCTTTGAGCAAGAAAGAGACATAGAAGCTTTGAGAAGAGTGGGAGATTAGAGATATAAACTTGTACTTATGGGTGGGTGGGGGCGTTGGAAAAGGAGAAGTAAAAGTTAAAAAAAAGTCCTTAAATGGCTAATTTCAAAAGAGCACTCATTAGCTCTTCAACTATGGTTAATTAAAAAAGAACACACATAATTTGATGTGACATTAAGGAATCGTAAAAGTTTTCTTGTTCTTTTAAAGATATAATAATAATAATAATAATAATAATAATAATAATAATAATAATAGAATGGAAGTGCTCCGACTGACAACAAGGGGGTGCAAGTTGATGGGAAAATTGAAGAGGGGTACAAATTGATGGAGGATGTAACTCACATGTAAGTAGATGGGTAAATTATTGTTTAGATGAAAAGGTAAGGGGTGCAAATATAGTAAAAAGTAAGGAAACTATATTATTATTGTTATTATAAAATAAATTTATAAAATATTATCACAAAAGAATAAAATAAAAACTATTATATATAATAATCATAAATATTAATAAATATAATGTAATAAAATAATTATTTAGACAATAATGCTTAAATAATAATTTATTATAATAATCATTGATTGAAAAAATCTCGAAACTTGAAGCCCAACCTATAGCCAAGACATATATATTACTATCTCATGTCTCCCACTTGAGCGTTGATTTGTCGATATGGTGATCTCGATACGACTAGACGAACCTTAACAAACTTGCTCCCGAAGTCAATGGGTGAACCCGAACTAGGTAGGTGTGTGCAACAATTCGGTTTGGTTTGGTTCAAACTTGTCCAAACTCATGAGAACTGCGATCCAATTGACCTAAGTCAACCAAATTGAGTCAATCAAATTGACCTAAGTCAACCAAATTGAGTCAATCAAATTGACCTAAGTCAACCAAAAAATTTCACATTCTACTTTTTCCATGACACTTTTTTTTTATACTTTACAACACAAATTTGAGTCAAACTTCGGCGAACAAATTCAACAATTGGAGCCAATTTGACAAACTTGCGATCCATAGACAAATTTTACATTAATAATAATAATTATTATAATAATTATGATTTATGATTTAATAGTAGTAATCTTTCTTACTATCTTCATTATAACAATAATCATTTACATATCCATTATTAAAATATAATTATTTAAATATTATAATAATATTAATATCAATTTTACATAACTCACATCTTCCTTTTTCTTTCTCTCTTCTTGCACCCCAAATTGGGGGTTAAGGGGAATAATGAATTAAACCCCATGTGTTCCCAACACTATTGCAAATTATCCGAATGGGGATAAATGCATTGGGAATGACATTTATCCCTCAAATTTCGCACCCTCCATTTGCACCGCTAGCCAAACATAGCGTAACTAACGGCCAGAGAGGCATTCTTCGATTGGGATGTTCTTCCGGTTCCTTCTTTCAATGGCCTCCGACAGTTGGCGTCGGAAGAACCACCAGGCCAGTAACGATGGCAATGTGGTGTTGACAATTGCGTGCCTTCTGGAATGCCAATCGCCGGAAACTGGTGCCGACTCTGCTTGCACGGTGGCCAGGATTGTTACTGCTGGTTCCGGCGAGAATGCATCTCTGTAAGCTTCCCTCAATTGGAATGGAAGCCATGGCTGAAACAGAGGAATCCCAAGGAAGCAAAACAGAGAAGAAAGAAAAACTAACCAAAGAGAAGGAATCAAAACATTTATCCAGCCAAAAAGACGGTCCTGTCCTTCCATGGATCCCTTTTGCTTTCGCTGAAACAAAGTAGTTAGTAGTTACCCGCCCTCTTTGGTTGATGCAATAAGCAAACTCTACTATAGCTTCAAAAATTCTGAATGCCTTCCTTCAAAATTTACAATCCAAGTAGGCTTATTCAGTACATTACATACACCATCATAGTAATTAACAAATCTACAACAACAGTCTCTTTTACCATCAACAATGATAAAGTTTGAATCAGTCAAGCGGTAGGTCGTGTGCTCTACAACCAAACGTCATAATAATCCGAACCAAAATAGAGATAAAATGTTAAAATAAATTCTTGAATCTAACTTAAAAGATCACGTTGACCATGTCGATCCCCATTGATATCCACTGTCGCCATAATGTTGGCCGACGACTCACCATCTGCGTCATCTCCTGCGGTATGACTTCGGTGATGGACTCCATCGTGGGTATGATCATCGTCGTGTGCGTGCTCCGTCGGGTGAGGATGCTCAGATTTCTTGTCATGCGCCTGCTTGTGTGCTTTCTTGTGCCATTGCATCAAGGCCTTTGATGTTTGTTCATCAAAGATCGATCGTTTCATCGTCGAACCCATCTATAAAATATATAAGCATACATAAGAATCAGACTATCTGATCAGTCATAATTATGAGTAATGAAACTAATTTCAAACATTTTGAATTTGATTAGAACCTGAGTGACAAGGGCATAGAGCGGGAGTGTGATGTAACTGCATAGGAATTGAGCTCCAATCCTGTTCAAAGTTTACATTTGTCAGAATCAATAAGTTTAGCCATATCTATCCATCTCTTTGTTCTGTCTAACTCTCTCTATCTATGCATCATATTAACATATGGGTTTAGGTTTTCTTTTGTTAGATTTTACCCGATAGTAACTCTGATCACTGGGATTACAAGGTGTTCGTGGAAGCAAGACTTCCACCCAAACTCATACTGCAAACCACCAAAGCAAATCAGGCATATGGTTAGAAAACACCCCAAAAGAGAAGGAATCATTTTGAGCATGTTTCATTCATTCAAATTCATAAATTTTACCCATATCCAAAAGGAATAAGTGAGCTCAAACGCATTTTGGAACAGAGTGAAGTGGATGATGTAGAGGATCAACTGAGGCCAACTGAACCAAAAATGTCTGTCAGAGACTTGCACAAGGGGAATCCCTTGTACCACAGCATGCCTTTCGGTAATCTCGATCGCCATCTCCGTTATGATTGCTTGAAGCTTTGTTCCAACTGCCAATATCATCTTCATCACACCCATAACACTAAACTAGTCACTTCGTCGATCATCATCGTCAAACATTATACAGGTAACATGGTTGGAAGGAAGAGAGGTCCTTACAACTACTGGCAGCAAAGACAGGTAGAACATCACATGCCATCCTGAAAAAAAGAAGTGTTTGAAAAAAGTTAAGAAATAAGAAGAATGGGATGAATTGATGGAAACTGACTGAAGGAAGAACTTTCACTGACTGACCATGAACATTCAGAAGCATGAACAAAACCACAGAAGCCCATAGCAGTGGACTGCCACACACACAGAAAAGTTCAGTTTCACAAAGGGGAAGAAAGGTTGCAACAAACCAAAATCAAGAAGCTACTAACGTGATTCCCACAACAACTTTGAAATCATCTTCCAGAGATCTCTTGATGTACTTCTGGAAATCAAACTTAGTCCCAGGTGCCAAATGAACCTGCACAAGATCAGCTGCATTCCATCATTCAATTACATAAACAACAAACATGTCTTTGCAAGTTAAAAAAAAAACCCTGCAATTAGATTTACTCACAGAAATGAAACCGTGCCGCATTGTCAAGTAGTCAGCTCTGCTCACAGACCTAAAGAACTGTCTAAAGAAGCATACCTACATAGCCAACACAGCAAAGTAAAGCACCAGCTGATTTTTTTTTGTTTTGTTCCACCATTGATATTGTGAAGAAGCAGAAACCCCCACTTTTTTTTAATCAGGTTCTTACCACATAGAAGGAGACTGGCGTTTTGGTCCAAAAACTAGTGTGGGATTTAACAAAGGACGTCTCATGAGTAAGCCTGAATCTCGTTGGATCTGCACGAACGATGATCGAATGAAGTATAATACTCGTACGCAAGCAATTGATTGACGCGAGTAAGTCTTATATTTGATGTAACACAGTTTACCATTCAAATGCTCGTGCTCCTTGGCACCTATAGCTTCCCACTCCTTCCACCCACGAATCTACCACAGAAAATTTACACAAAATTTTAGCTCCCACTTAAATGCTAATTTTGAGAGCTCAAGCACAAGATCAAGTGTTGGTTTAACAACCTTTAGTCGCCCAAGCAACATGGTTATGGCGCTGTAGATAACATGGAAAACTGCCAGGAAAAATATGAATATGTGCAGTTGGTGCAGCCCATTCACTGAAATCATCGGCATTTTCCCCTGAATGAAACGGGGGAAGAAAAAAAAAGGCAAAAGGAACAAACTTTTTAAGAACCCAATTGAAAATTTGAGCCCAAATGTTGTTAATTGATTGATTAATTAATCACCGGGTCACAATGTATAGGTCCGCCATGCCCACTAAGCTCTCTGCGTTCATACCAGAGCAGCTTCCGGTGATTCTCCGCGGCAGCTGCGGCGGCAACGGCAGCCTCGGCACCTTCTTTGTGTTCTCCGCCACCGGCTTTATCCGGGCCAGCAACGTCACCGAGATCGTGGCCGCCGGTGTGGCTCAAGTCGCAGGGCAACATAGAGTTGGCGTATTTCGAAGGCACGCAGATTTGGGCGATGTAATTTTGACTGAACGTCAGCGTCAATGATATGAACCCCAAAACCATCAATTCTGTAAGGAGAACCAGATCATTAACCTTTCAAATCAAACAAACCAAAATTTTGTTTTTTTTCCCTCTTCCCTTTGTTTACCTCCTTTGATTTTTGCTAGAGCTTCCACCAGAGCTTTCTTGTGCCTCTCGTGAAACCACTGCAAATCAACACACAGACAAATCACTATAAGGGTAACAGTCAATTCAATTAATCTGATTCAGAATGATGAATCCCAATTCGTTAATTTGAAATAAGAAGCCTGATGAATCTTAAATCATTTTTGCGCTACCTCTTCTGTCAAGTGGAGGAATTTCTCCAAGACAATGGAGATGACGATGATGGCAGCGCAAACAACTGCGACGGCCCACGTCGGCGTGGCATCGAGCTCCCTCGGCCGGGCTTCTCCTGCTCCTCCTCCTTCGCCGCCGCCTCCCCCCATCTCTGTCTCTAAAACTGTACCCTATTCCTGCCGGAGAAGGAGAGATAAGAAGACGTGGTTGGATTACAGAGGTTAGAAATTGTTCAGTTGCGGGGACATAAAACAGAGTCTCTTTTGCTCTGTTGGGGAATGTGAAAAATGGAAACGGCAAAATCGAATGAAAGGAAGGGGGAAAAAAAAACAGAGCACGAGGAAGAAAAGGGGGAGAAAGGGTCGCTCTTCTTCTTCTTCGCTCTGCATTTTTTCGTTTTCCTCTGTAATTTATCGTACACTAAAATTGGCAAAAAAAATTGGGAAACAGAGGAAGAGAGGAAGAATTTGGGAAGTGACCGGTTGTTATTCAACCAAAGCTATGTTTCCGTGCCGCCATCATTTATTCTCTTTCCCGCTTTTTTCCCGTTACTTACACTTCGCGCCCAAGACATGATTACTGTATCATGGGCTTTTCATTTGACTGGACCAATCTGATAAGCCCAGCTGGCTGTAGGATTGTTTTTTTTTTTTTTTTGACTGAGGATTGTTATGTCACAACAAACATACAATGAAAATCCTACCGTAAATCCTAATGCCCTGTTTAGTAACCATTCCCATTCTTGTTTTGTCATTCCATTTCATTTATTTAGAAATGCAAACAGGAAACTGTGTTTACTTTCCATTCCCTTTCCATCCGTTTTTATTTGGGGAATCAAATAGTGCCGAATAGTAAAGGGTTTTGGGAAACAAAATTTTTCAATTTCAGGAATGGGAAACGGACGGGTTTCTCCTCTTTGTCATTAATGAGATACATACATCGAGGCCCCCAACCACCCAAATCAATTTGGACCCCCAAACCCTAACCCCTTCTTCTCATCTGCTCCCCGCCGCCTCACTTCTCCTCCACTCTCCCCGACCTCTTATCTCCTCCACTCTCCCCTGTCTTGCTTCCGTTGCCGCCGAGGACTCCCCTGCCGCCGTCAGCCCGGACTCCCCTGATCTTCGTCGACCTGTCGAGGCCTCCCCTGCTCGCCTTCAGCCCTCGTTGTCGTCAACCCGACCTTTGGCTCACCGCTCGCTGCCTTGTTCCGGCCTTCAACCCCCGCTCGCCGTCGACCCAGCCTTCCCTGCTCGTCGTCAACCTGGCGTTCCCCGCTCGCCGTCGACCCAGCCTTCCCCTGTCTTCCCGCTGCTGCATTGTTCCGGCTTTTATCTCCTGCGCCTGGTGAGTTTTGAATATCTCTGCTTACATGAGATCCCTTCGTCCTTTTAATTAATATATATGTGAAGAAGGGCACAGGGGAGGGAGCGAGTCAGTGAAGTAGTGCTTACCTGTTGGCCATGGATCCGTTCTGTGAAAAATAATATTGCTTCTTTACCAATTCTTTCCCTCTCCAATTTGGAAGCAAGCGTTATAGCTACTGGAAGTCTGGAGGGGTTACCTTAAGTCATTGTTTGTGAGAGAAAAAATAATTTTGTATTTGGTAGTTGACAGAATCAGAATCAGATGCTACTCTAATTAATCCATGCATGACCTCTTCACTGTCGAATCTGTGTTGGTGTGTTGGTGTTTGATTGCTTATTATTGTTGTATATCTAATATGACCGACTTGTGTAACTAGTTCTTATCATGGACAATAATGAGGCTCAAAACAAGAATGATTATGTAATGACGGGAGGAAAGGAAGTATGGCCTAATGAGGTCAAGTTCTATCTTATTGATTTGATTGTGGAAGAAGTGAAGAATGGAAATAGAACTACCACTACTTTTTCAAAGGTAGGCTGGGCAAACATAATAAATGGATTGACAAACAAGTTTAGGAAGGTTTGGAATGAAGATCAGTTAAAGAACAAGTTTAATCAGATGAGGAGAAAGCATAGGGTTTTCACGACAATCATTAGTGAGACTGGAGTTAGTTACACTACGGCAACAGGGAAGATTGATGGCTCTGATGAACGTTGGGAAAGATGGTTAAGGGTAATTGACTCTTTGTCTATTGTGAAATTTTGTATCTTTATTATTTGTGCCTTTGAATTGATTCAAATATTTTTTTTTTTGTAGTTGGATAAGGTGGTTGGAAGCATTAAGAAGTATGGTTGTCCGAAGTATCCAAAACTTTGCATTATCTATGGGGATACTACCGCTACTGGCAACGATGCACTACCTTCTACACAGGAGATTATAGACAGCAGCAGCGAGGATCAGAGCAAGGAAGTTTCTGAAAGTATTATGGATAAGACAACTGAACTTGCAAATGAATTGAAAGGCAAAGCAAAGTCTAAAGGGAAAAAGAGAAAAGCAGTTAGATCAACCTTCTCTTCTACCATAGAGAAGGCAATAGTTGACATGGCTGAGATGGCAAAAATGAAGAATGAGATGCGTATGGCTTCTCAAGCCAACTCTTCTATTAGAGGTCCATTGAATGAAGTAACTTCACCGGATAAGGATTTAGATATCATGACTGAATGCATGAAGGTTTTGGATGATTTGGATGTGGATGCTGATATTTTTGTGAAGGCTTTAGATATTTTACATGACCAGCCATTAAAAAGAGGGCTTTTCTTACGCATGACGGAGAAGAGAAGGATGGAGTGGTTAGGAAGTTTGGTTTGATGTTTGCTGACGTTTGCTTGAAAAGAGGGTTCACTTGATGATTATGTGTTTTAGAGTTCAAGTTTGAGTATTTATGTTTGCTGTATGTTTTATGGAGCTTTGTTTAAGTGTGAGCTTGTATTTTGGATTAAGTTTGTTTAAGTGTTTGTTTGATCAAGTATTATGTATTTGAAGTTTGTTTGTGCATTTTCTGATTCGAATATATTATCTATGCAGAAACGGAATGGGAAGTTCAGATACAGATTCTGATGATGAGATGCATATAAATCTGATAATATATTTGGCATTGTTGGAGAATGAGAGATTGAATTTTCCTAAAGAACCATGCAGAAACTCAAAATTGCCAGGACATCAATGGGTTCAAGAACTTTTGCGTGGTCATCCGATTAGGATATATGAAGAACTACGAACTGATAAAGAAACATTTATTGCTTTATGCGATGAATTGAAACAACAAGGATTGTTGGAATCTACCAAGAGAGTCATTGTTGAAGAACAAGTGGCAATCTTCCTACGAACTTTAGGTCACGCCATTGACTTTCGAGATGGTGCTGAAAGGTTTCAGCACTCTACAGCTACCATCTCTAAGTACTTCGGTAAAGTATTGAAAGCAGTGGTGAAGCTTTCCAACAAGTACATTGTTCCCCCAAATTTCGATAAAGTTCCTGAAAAAATAATTGGTTCAAAATATGATCCATATTTTGAGGTAAATTAATTTGCCTCTATAGTTAGTTCAACAATTTTATAACATGTTCATCTAACATTTTCTATTTTGTAACTTAGAGCTGCATTGGGGCAATAGATGGAGTGCATATTGATGCATCTATTCCAACCGGCGAGCAAATACCATTCCGAGGGCGAAAGACAACAACTACTCAGAATGTGATGGCTGCATGTTCATTTGACATGCTTTTCACCTATGTAATGGCAGGGTGGGAGGGCACGGCAAATGATTCTAGGATTCTTGCTGAAACAGTTTCTAATCCAGGGAATAAATTTCCAATGCCGCCGCGAGGTATGTAATGAATAATTTTTTATGTCTATATAGATTACAAATTTATTAGTTTATAACTAATTAACTTCTAAAAAAATTTCAGGTAAATATTATGTTGTTGATTCTGGATATTCAAACATGCCTGGATTTTTAGCACCCTACCGGACAAGAGAATCTTCTCATTTCCAAGAGATTAACCGTGCAGGTGGCCCAAAAAATCGTAAACAATTGTTTAACTTTTATCATTCGTCCCTACGCAACGTTATTGAGCGTTGTTTTGGAGTTTTGAAAGCTAGGTTTCCAATTCTAAAACATATGCCTAACTTTCCATTCAAGAAGCAAGCACAAATTGTTATAGCTACTTGTGTGATACATAACTTCATCAAGATCCACTGTGATGAAGACGTCTTATTTGACGAATACCAACAGTGTGATGTGGAAGTCCAGGGAGTACAACAAACTGAAGTGTATGATGTCGGTTCAACTCAAACTCGGGCAATGGAAATTCGACGTGATGAAATAGCAGACAAGTTGTGGAATGACTTTCAAGCAGGAGTTATTTGATGTTTTCACTTATTTGTATTTGTTATTGTAGTCGTACTTCTTAAAATGTTTGGTTGATGTAGTAGTATTTTGTTTATTTGTTTAAAACAAGATTGCTATTGAAAACATAAATCAGTTTGTAATAACTGTATCTAAACAAGTTTTCATTTCCAGGTTTCAGTTTCAGAACTCTCTAAATTCTCAGCTAAACAAGTTTTCTTCAGGTTTTGTTTTCCAGAAAGCGACAGATTCCTTTTCTTCAGATTCCCTTTTTTGTTTTCCAGAAATCAAAAAACAGAATGAGTACTAAACGGGGCATAACTTACCTTTTCTTAGTGATTCTTGGATTTGTAAATTCATTTCTTTTTCCTTTCTTTTCAATAAAGAAAAGGTCGATAAAGAAAGGGTGTACATTTCTACTAATTTTTTGCACGAATATGCTCTACCTTCATAATATTTGCTTTGCAGAATATAACAATATCATCATCAAATAAGTAGTGAGAAATCTATGGATAGTTCTGATTTATTTTAATGTCCTAAATATCACCTCAAGCAACTCCTTGGCAATAAAAGAAGATAGAGCAATGGACATAAGGATAAATAAGAATGGGGAAATTGGATTAATTTGTCGAATACCTATAGTCAGGTAGAAAGATTCGGTGTCATTCATAAGTATGGAGAATTTCACAGTTCTTACACATGCATTGATCCATCCTCTCCACCTAATTCAGAAAACATAAGCTTGCAGGATGGAGTCAAGACATTCCCAATCAACCAGGTCATATGCTTTCTGCATGTCCAACTTGATCATCATATCTCACTCTCCATTTTAAGATTCTTGAAGTGGTGGAGTATCTCATGGACGATTATAAATGATCCTGAATGAGTCTACCACGCGTGAAATTCCATCTTAGAGACTAATCCCGATAACCACTTCTTCATTTTGGTGAATAGAATTATGGAAATTGACTTTGCACCTGAAGTTACAGTAGCTAATAGGGGTAAACTATTTGAGACAACTGGATTTTAGGAATGAGGGTTATATTTATGTCATTCCATAATAACATTCTCCCAACAACTTGAGTTACTGGGATCAACTGGTTTATGATATTATATCAAAGCTGGTTTGTTATTGAGGTCACGTGTTCAAGTTCTCACGGCCCCCAATATTAATCATTATCTTAAAGCACATGGTATGGGGAGGCCTGAGCAAACTTCAAGTCCATGAGTCGGCTTTCGTTTGAGGGGACTTGAAGGAAATGGTTAAGTACCTTAAATAAACCTCTCTCAACAACTCGAGTTATTGGGACCAGTAGGGTTATAACTGCAGCCTCAAAGAAATCTTCAACGTCCATGCAAAAATCTGGCCTTGTTTTGTCCCTATGTCTTTGAAAGAACATTACAGCAAAACAATCTGGACCATTGGATTTTGTAGGACCCAGGTCAAAAAACAACCTATATGATTTCCTCCAACGAGGGAATAGAATAGTGCACAACTCCTTATTCATTTCGTCACTAACCACTTGCGGAATTCTTATAGCACTGATGCATCAATCCTTTTGTTTTGGTAAACAAGTAATGGGGAAAAACCTAGTAACATGTGAGGAGAGTTCAACCGAGTGTGAAATGGTGTTTCCATTGTAATCTTTGAGTGACACAATCTAGTTTCTCTGTTTTCGATGCACATTCGAAGACCAACAACTTTTGATATTCTATTAACCTTTCTTAAGTCAATTGATTCTTGAACGTTGTCACTATAATAACTATTTGTCTTTCCAGATAACTGCGAGTTCATTTAATAGATTCTTACCATCCGTAACTATATATATATAGTTCCGTCCAAGTGGAGAATCTCCTTCGGTCTTTTATGTATGTATGATGCTCTTTTGTTTTGGTCATTATAGACTTGCTTAGCCCAATTTCGTAATTCTTTCACCACATTTGAAAGATTATGAGGTCAGATTAGTTATAAAAAGTTGCCTCCAAAGTAGAATACATGCTTAACTTCGTATTAATGAGGTGCAGTAATTTTACCACGAAAAAAAGTTGACAATCAAATCGAATAGCGCACAAAATATAAGTATTGCAGACCAAAAGCCAGTGCAAAATAGTAACAAGAGTATAAGACCATAGTACAGTGCAGTTAATTCAACAGTTCACACAGATGTAATACAACCACGTATCACCAAAAACGGTTATATTATAAAAATGGCTAATCTTAAGCAAAATGAGTCGTTGTAGTATAGTGGTAAGTATTCCCGCCTGTCACGCGGGTGACCCGGGTTCGATCCCCGGCAACGGCGCTAACCTTTTTGGACTGATTCTACATAGTCGGCTTCCAAATGGACAGCTTAACTACGAAGAAACAGAAACATAAATTAAAAGATCTCACACCCATCCACTTCTGCAAATCAATTTTGATTTGGACACTGGGTGGGCATGAAGATCTAACTTCGACCATAGAAATGCAATGGAATTGGATTAAAAAAAATTAAGAATGTGGTCAGAGAAATCGTCCTCACAAAACACAGAATCTACCAACCTAATCCAAAAAGAGAGAACTCTGAAAAATTCTGTACCACAGATTCTGCATTCCTCTCTTTCCTACATTCCAGGTTAAAACTTGAAAGCCTATGGGAATCTGTATCCCGGTGGGAACTCACTCGGCTGATTATAATCACTCGGAACAAACACGGGTAGCTGCCCGCCCCTCTGCGACCTCCCCTGATGATGACCAACCACTGGCCCTCCGAAGAATATGGATTGCTCCGTGTGCAAAAGCTCTGCTCCAGGTACCTGCGACACACCTGCATTATTGGCAGAAGCCACACCACCACCACCGACTCTTGGGATCGACGAGGAAACAAACCGGCCAGCATCCGGATCCCAATGAACCGTAGCTCTCATACTCTCCATCCCACCACCACCACCACCCATATTATTGTTCCTTCTCCCAGCAGCTGCCACTTGGGGCTGGACTCGACCCACATTGTGATTTACAGCTGACGACAGTGGAGACTGGCCGGCTGAGGGCTGATACATCGGGTTGAAATGGTCTCGATTCTGCATTGGTGATGCAGCAAGGTGTGAGACATTGGCACTGCTGATGCTGTGGCGGCATGACTCAATGTCCTCCCTGCTCGTCTGGCTCATGTTGCTTGGGGCGTAAGAAGCGTTGCTTTGGCCAGGTTGATCGATTGGATTCATGGGGCTGCTCCTGGCACTGAAGTTGCTGCCAGAGAGATGATCTGCGTCGTAAGGCTGGTGTCGAGGAGATTTGATTGGGCGGAGGACAGAGGAAGATGCTCGGGCTTTAGCAGCTGCCTTCATTGCCTCGTTGGAGTCCAGTTTTGCGAGTTTCCATGCACTGATTCTTACTTGACGTGGTGGTAATCTCTTGCTGCCTTCTGGTAATGTGTCGGGATCAACAGTCGAAGGTAGGCGTCCAGGCTCCAAATGTGGGATGATCTCATCCTTATAGATGGAAAGGGAAAATGTCAAATTGCTCAATCATTCTAAGACTATTGCTCATGATTCTTGAATGGGGTAAAAAAATACATAAACGGTCACCAAATTTTGGGGCCGCTAACAAATCGGTGGCTGAATTGAAGTTCGGCGACTGATTTGTTAGTAACCATTTATGTAGAAATTGACACCTCAGAAATGAGTGAACTGAAGACTTTCGAAGCTTGGCAATTGTAAATGTTTACCGGGTTGTCCATGAAGATTCTTGGAGGGGTACACCAAGCGCCTTTGTACTGCAACCCCATTCCAAGTGAACTTCTTCCACTAATTGCTGTCACGGCAGAACTTGTCGGTGAAGATGGAAGACTTTGCTGCTCACCTCCTCCATCGACCGATGGTCCAGGTGGTTCACTTTGTGTTCTCATAGCAAGAACATACTCGTATGTTGTGATACCCTACAGAAGAACATGTTAAACACCCTTCATTTTCACAGCAAATGAAGTCTCCTGCTGGTGCATGAAGTAAGTACCTTTCTGATCAGAATCATGTGGAAGAAGAATAGCTCGCCCAGGGGTATTGTGGCAAGGAATGATACAAAAGTGCAGAGTGCCTGAAAAATTGAAAATTCATACGAACTGTGTCAAAATTGTGTCAGGTGTGACTTCGTACATTTTGAGGAAAAACGAATAAGTACATTTCTCTTTACAGCCTATGCATATATCTTCTCTATGGCATCCAGACTAGCAAGGTTCAAACATTTACCACTACTGCCGCGAATGGGGGGCGGGAGAACCCAATGCCAAGCTTTTCTGATATTTGATGGTCCATAGTTTTTCGATCCACAAAGCATCTAACAAGGACTGCAACACCAACACCAAACTCAACAGCAAGCTGCAAACGAAGGAAAGGTAGGTCGGACAATTAACTCTTGTTTAGTTTAAAGTTGGAGGAGAGATCGAACTCAGACAAATTTATCAGAAAGTTTGATGGCATCTAGCATTTACCCAAACGAGGCTGGTTGCCATGAGAGTAATAAAGGAGATGTAATTTTTCCTTCCTACACAGTTGTTCAACCACTGCACCATAGATGAATACAAAATTCTTTATCAGATTGAACAAAGCAATAAATATCTATATATATGAGGCAAGGTGCAGAAAAGACAAATGAAAGTTTAGGAATTACACGGCAATGGTGATCGAATCCATCGACACATTTATCACAACTTCTGCAATGCTTGCTGAACTTATGAACCTGAGAATAAGCTTTGAAAGTATTATGATACGAAAACAGTAAAATGTTTCTGCACAAGCAGCCTCATCTATAGGTAAGATAGAGCTCTCAAAGAAAACAAAAACTACTAAGGAGATCAAACATCTCATGATAACAGGCATGAATCATGAGAACATAAATGTAGCAAAGATATCATCAATAAGAAGTAAAAACGCAAACCAGGTAGGAAGAAATCATTAATTCAACTATTTCATACTGGTCCTATTATCCTTCTCGCATTGCCAACTTTCATTTCCAAGACTTCATTTTTTCCTCTACTCGGTTCAAGCCTACATTCACTTCAGACAGACAGCAGACTATCCAATAAAAGAGCACCATACCTCAGCATTGCATAATGTGCAGAACAAAGCTTCATCTCCAGAAAGTATGTCTTCATCGCTCCGGCAGTCAGCTTTGGCCAGAAATCCGCAGCAGAAACATCCAAGAATTGAGCAACATGTTGAACCATGTCTACCAGATGCTCCTCCAGTACTTAACCCAACCTTGTTTGCTTCCTCAATCGAAGGTCCATTTTCTAGGGAAGCAGAAAACAATGTTCATAAGCAACTGAAGGAAGCAAGGAGATCTCAAACAAGGAAGTTCCGTTTAAAACTCAGTATGCAGTATCAAAGAGGTTGAACAATATGACAACCCTAAATCTACGGAGAAACAAGTTCTTGGAAAGCACAATCAAGACCAATCCTGCATTCACAACTTGTACATTGTCAGAGAGAGCCATTGTTTCCAAGGAAACCAACCAGGAATATCAGTGCCATTCTGTGATTTATCTGCTGCTGTCCCAGCAACTTGGAGCAGAATGCCAGGATCAGAAGGGTCAATGGCAGTGCATCGCACGTAAAGAGTGAAGACAGATAGCGCCTGAGAACAAAACCAACAAAGAATCAGACACAATAAGCCAAAAAGCAAAGACCAAATGGTGTAGGAGAACTGAACAACTGTGCTTTACTTACCAAAACAGAATAAACACCACTAGCTATATATTCATAGATGTCCTTCCCAAGGAAAGGCGCAAAGAAGGCATAGTACGCAACCGCTAGCAAGAAGAAAACTGTTATAGCCACGATCTGCACCAATACACCCCAAAGAGAAACACATTGTTGTCAGAACAATCCTTGACAAAGTTATGATTAGCCGGAAAGCAAAAGGATCCAAATCTAATATGTTGCAGTGTTAAAATCCAACCACGGAATCTCAAAAAGCCATTTTGACTTTGATCCCTCTCAAATGTCCTCCACTTTTCTTGACCAGGGAAACAGAAAGATTGCAACTTTCAAACTTAAAAAGGTCCGCAATCCGCCGTCATAATCAAGTAAACAGCAGTAAGACACAGCGCAGTAACAGTAGAATTGACTAAAAGGCAAAAGGGGCGGCGAACCCAACACTCTACTAATTCTCCAATTGAAGCCCCAGATGCCATTCCAGCGTCAGTCAACAAGAAGGGAAGCAGACAAAATCTGAGTAATGAGTCGAATTTTAGCGTTGGGAAGAGAACAATGCCCAAAATCAATGTACCTGAAAAGAGTGGACGGGGAGTTGCCATCCATGGCGCCTAGCCATGGCTATCAAAAATCGAACTAAGAGAATGGGAAAACGAAACCCTTCTGCAGGAGCCAACAAAGGGGCTACTTCTTTATTGAATCAGAGGGATAAAGTTGCCATCTTTCGGACTATGAATGAGCAAACTCGCCTGCTCCTCCCCGAGTCCCAGAAGGAAGTTTTGTGCCGTACTCCAAATCAAAATGGCAGAGTAAGCAATATCATTAAGCCATCAACAATGGCGGAAGAATGTGGGAGTGAAAAAAAGGAACGGAGAGGGGAAGTTGAGTTTCGCTTTCTAGGGCTGGAAGTGGAAGGAAGACGACCCATTGGTTTTCTCTGCTTCCATCCTGGAGGAAAAGGACCAGAACGAGAAAAATGGAGTAATCGCAATTTCCTTTTTCTCCTCCTTTTCTCTTTCCTCATTCAACGACTTCCTTTTTTGTTTCTGTTTTATTTTCCTAAACAATTCCACCATTTATTTTGCCGGCATATTGAGATGTGGAAAGTTTTTTTGCCAACCCATATATAAGAGAGCAGCTTTTTCTTTTGTGAAAGGTCGGTTTAATTTAATTCACACTGTATTTATTTATGCGATTTGGTATTTATTTATGCGATTTGGTGATTAGTCACATAAATGGTAATGATTATTCATTATAATAGTGTTTATTAAGTATATTGTCATTTATTTTTATTGTAATATTTTGAAAAATTAATCTTTACATTTTGAAATAGGGTAAATTCCACATTTGGTCATTAGGATTACTAAATCATGTTATGTTTAGTTACTAGAAAAAATTAGGATAAATACAATATATTAGCCACAACTATTATGAAGTGGGGAATTATAGCCCCAACTATGTAAATTCAAATTATTAACCATAACTATTGTTGCGGGTCAAGATATGGCTAACTGTCCGTTACTATTACTGAATTTTTAATGGAGAAGGCAACATCATCGGCCACGGTAGCAGCCAATCAGCCACGTCAGACTGTTTTTAATTTATAACATTAAAACATAAAAGTTTAGTCAACATTACTAACGGAATTGTTAACAGAGATTTAACATTTGGCTAATAATTTGAATTTCCATAGTTGTGGCTATAATTCCCCGCTTCATAATAGTTGTGGCTAATATATTGTATTTACCCAAAAAATTAATATAAATTTTGGTCACTCGAATTACTAAAACAGGTCTCATTTAGTCACCCTCCCGTTAGCCTTCGTCCAACTCCGGTCACTCGAATTACTTCTATTTTTATGAATGTCACTCGAATTACTGAAACATGTCACATTTAGTTACTCTCTGTTAGTCTTCGTCCAACTCCGTTAATGAAGTTGGACATAAATTGATATTTTTTTATGACTAAACATGACATGATTTATAAATCTCAGTGACCAAATATGACATTTACCCTTTTGAAATATATTGGATGTTATTGGATAAATATGATCAATGTAATTCATTTTTATAAAATTTGAAAATTCTAAGTTAACTCCTTAAATTATGGGCAACAGGGCAAGCATTGGGGAAGAGCTCGAAGTGGTTAAATTTTTGAAAACATTTAAAATTATTATTGAAAATGAAAGCAAACAAAATTGTTTCAAAGTACTTCGAAATGTGAATGTATTTGTAAAGAATTTTTATTTATTTAATTATTTATATTTAAAAGTTCCATAATACATTTTATTTGTAACATAGTTGGTAGATAACTAATTCCTCTAAAAAAATATCGCGTGTTCATATTCTCATCCTATTACTATACTTTAATTATAACAAGCTTGGGGAAAAGCTCGAACTGGTCAATCGTTGAATAGGTTTCTCAGTTAATCGCTCAAACAAGTTGTCGACTGACCATTTCTCAATAAGTGACCACAATAACTGCCATCCGAACCATACTAGGAGACGATTGCTTGTTTTACAGGACGAACCAGGTGGTCCAACTTGGGTTTAATAATAACACTATTTTACCCTCATTATAGAACCCATTTGGTAGAAAGGTCTGTCCTAATTCCTAACTACGTGTATTGAAAATATTTTCAACTAAAATTAAGCGTTAAATTTTCTTCTTCCTGTACAAATGCCAATACGAACAAACAAGAAGTCACAACAATTTCACCGAAAACATGAAAACCGATGAAATCTTGATATTACACTATTATAGTTGTCTACTTTTCTAGATTTTATTAATCACAACATTCTAACCACAGGGCCTCCGATATTTTCAATCTTAGCTTTTTTGTATGAGATCAATCTTACCATTTAGTTAATTCTTGAAATGTTATAGTCTTTTTTTTGGTTAACATGTAATTATACCAGTTTGATTCTTGCTCTAATCATAACTTCTTTTATAATTGAAATCAAGTCATAACCTTTATATATATATATATGTCATAACCTTTTCAGACACTCACAACTGAAGAAGTGTTGTGAATGTTTGGTATGGGAAAGACAGTCCCACATGACATATTTAACTGACACCAACTAATTAGGTCACTGGTGGGGTTAGAGTAATTATATAGTGGGGCAATGGGGTCCCTCGCTAATCAATCTAAATTAAGGACATAGTAGTTGTGATTAGAGTCCAAAAGAAATGTAATTAAACAAAAAGAGGATGGATGATCATATGCTAATAAAGAAACACCAGGTGGGGTTGCTGTTTGTTGACCTTTTGGGTAGATGCTCTTACTCCACTTGAGCTGCCATTGTCCCACACTCTTCGCTTATAAAATTGATCATAATCAGACTATTATGTTGCTGATATGTTTTTGTTATAGAGGAGTTAATTTGGACTCTCATTAGATCACCGATTTTTATGCTTAATGCTGACTGTACTGAAATAATTGTTTGGTAATTGAAATTTCATAAATATTATAAAAAAAAGTTTGGGCTCTCATTACAAGATTTGACTCATACAAACCAACTCAAAGTTGTATATAGAAAGTCCCTTGGAATTATCTGAACAGGAAGTTTCCAATGGCATCATCCTTGTTGGCATTACTATAATCCACACCACTAAGTAGATTATGATATTTGGATGTAGTGATCAAGTGATTGTCATTCTGTTTGGATGAGACACAACTTAACTTTTTGATACTAATTGGTTGGCATCACTCTATCCCATCCATTTGTCTAGGCTTGGCAACGGGGCGGATCGGGGTCGGGGCAGGCCCATCCGTCACCCGCCCAAAAATATATCGGGTTTTTCCCGAATTCGCCCCGTTAGCACTAGCAGGCTTTTTTTTTTGCCCACCCCCGAAACCAACGGGTAACAGGTTAGAACCCCTTATACCGGGTTTACCCGACACAAATCAAATCTGCTGAATCCAACAAAAAAGCAGAGACACTACAGTCAAATTGAAACTGAAAAACTACATAAATTGCAGATGAAATCCACCAACTTGCAAAATCCAGCAACCAGACATCAATAATTCATCATCCAAACAAAAGAAAACATGTTCGAAATTGGATTCCAACATCCATAAAGGCATATAGCCATAAACCAAACGAAATAAAACAAGTTCCAAATTGAACCAAAGAACAAAAAAGAGCAGCAATAGTTCTCTTCACCCTTCAGTCTTATCGAACAACACCATCATCAAGCAATCAGACAGCAAACAAATCCAGCAGCCCAACACAACAATCACCAGCAGCACACTTCAATCTTCAATGTCCAAGAGTGTACGACTCCCTTCTTTCTTAAACTCTTCACAACTTGGATCCTCCATTGTCATCACAGAGAAGCAAGTCTCCAAACCTTGAATGTCAGCCTTTCCATCATCTGCAGCATCTGCATATTCAAGCAGAGTATAGATAACAAAACTTTCGAATATTTGAAATTAAAACAGACCGGGAAATAACAAAAATAAGAGCTCTCACCTTTGCAAATGTCACTCTGAATCCAGCTACGGGTGCACATGAGTGCCTCGACAGTTTCAAAATGCAGCCTACTTCGGTGGGATCTAGCAGCCTACCCCCAGAGCTGAAGGCTGACTCAGAGGCCACAGGTACAACAAGCAAATCTCTTTCTACCTCTTGCAAAAGTGGGTATTTTCCAGCATTCACCCTCCACCAATCCAAAACCCAAACATTTGAACTTCGAGGACTAACATCCTCACAGAGATAATGATCCAATTCAGAGCATAGTGAAACTGTTTTGGACCTATTCCTTCGGCTTAAATAAAGCTCGAAGTTAAGGTCACCAGAATTGGCCTTAACACCATTAACAGAACCAGAGGAGGCAGAATGGTCATCTCTGCCCTTTTGTTTCAATTGATACTCACGGACAACATCATAAACAGTGTCCTTAACAGTCACATGATCAAGAGTAGGATCAGAGCCATTGCTCTTATCATAATAGTACTGAATCAGCTCAAGTTTATATGCACGATCAAGAACAACAGCGACAGTGAGCAATACATGGATATCAGTCCAGTATTTGCTAAACTTGGCCCACATTTTTGCGGCCATTTCACAAATGATGCTATCAGGATCAGTCATCCACTCAAGCTGATTCAATTTCAAGTCACAGATTCTTCGAAAGAATATATTAGTAGTAGGATAATTGCTTCCAGAAAGAAGCTCAGAAATATTTCTGAAAACCTCAAGCTTTTTGCCAATAACAGTAGCAAACATCCAATCATCACTGCTAGGCAAGGAAGTATAGTTAGGTTCTCTATGATTCAAACGAGTGAACACTTCCTTGTATGGAATTGCAGATTCAAGCATATGCAAGGTGGAATTCCACCTAGTAGGGCAGTCAAGTGCAAGTTTCTTTCCAATACAAACATTCTTTTGCCTAGCAGTCTCTTCAAAGAACTCAAGTCTCCTAGGAGTTGCAGTCCAATACACCACACTTTCCCTTATCTTTTCAATCCCATCTTTTATAATTTCAAGCCCATCTTTAACAATTAAGTTAAGAATGTGAGCCGAACATCTCATTTGCAGGAAGGAACCATTCAATAGAAAGTCAGACATAACCATCTTCCTTTTAATCTTTTCAATCATGGCATCATTTGTAGAACAGTTGTCAAGAGTTATAGTGGATAACTTACAGTCCACATTCCAGGACATTAGGGCCTCTCGGAGCACACTTGCAAGTTTCTCACTAGTATGGGGGGGCAGGAACATAGAGAAACCTGTCATACACTCACACAAACATCAAATGAAGCTCGAAGTCAGTTTCTGTTAAGTGTTAAACAAATAAACATCAAAGAAAGAACAAATTGAAAATTTACCTTAACAAGTGGCTCCTAAGGTTCCAATTGTTGTCAACATAATGAGAGGTTACATCCATGTAAGCCCTCTTCTGATTACTTGTTGTCCACATGTCAGTTGTGACAACAATTCTACCTTTGTTACCATCAATCATTTTTTGAATCTTTTTCCTCTCAATCGCATACAAGGCAAGAATATCACTCTTGCAAGTGTTTCTACAGGGAACTTTGAACAAGGGTTGCAGAGAATTGCAAAAAAAATTGAAATACAAGTGATCCACCATACCAAGTGGATACTCGTGCATCAAAACCATAGTGGCAAGTTCCCTCCTTGAAACCTCTACATTGAACTTACCAGTACACAGTTATTTCTTTCCAATCAAACCATTAGGGAGGAAATTAGTGGCAATGTTTTTATGATTACCATCGCGGATTTGTTTCTGAACACACACCTTTTTATGGTTCCTCAAATGAGAGGTACCATTGCTGGTGTCACCACCAAGAACCTTTCAACAGTACTTGCATCGTGCTTTTATTACACCATCTTTATCCATAAACCTTGTAAAGTGAGGCCAAACATCACTTTTCAGTGGACGTTTGGCCCCAAAAGGCAGGGGAGAGGGCTCTGACTCACCACCACCACCAGCACTAGTATGAGCATTGCCATTCACAGCTGCTGGTGCATCAACAGCAATCACTGGTTGATGCTGCTGTGGTTCAGGCAGGGGCTGAGGATTGGGGGGTGGGAGTGGGAATTGAGAGTTGGGGGCGGGAGAGAATTCAACTCTTCCATTAATTAACTGCAATCACCCGAGAAAACAAACCAATAAAACCAATCAGTCGCTGCTAAATTCCTTGAAACATGAAAGAACTAGGAGAATCAAGTAGTATTACCTTTCTAAGCTTCGTTACTGATCAATGACAACCCCGCCACCAGAAACCCTAACATCAATCAACAAAGTCCCGAGGTATTAGACAAGTCATAAGAGACAAGTTGTTGAAAAAAATCTTGCAAATCCCAGACGAAAGGCTAAGAAGAACACTTATGGTTGTGCTCCTTCACCTTGCAGATGCAGTGAGCCAGTGACTGGAAATCGCGATTGCAGACAGCTGCTAGCTTACTACTTCTCTCTAGAGTGGTCTGCTTTCTGAGAATCTGGCAATCTGCAGCAAAAAAAAATCAAGTAAGGTATTTATAGGCGCATGCATGAAGGGGAAAAAGAAGATGGTATCGAACTCGAAGAGTCGATAAAGGGAAAATGGCGTTGTAATCGCCATCGGGAATGGCTCGATCCGAAAAAATCGAAGGGTTTGCTCTGATTGATTGGGTATATGCTCTTAAAAACAATGAATGTAATGATTTTGTGCCGTTTTTCTCTACAATCGAAGAGCATATTGCGAGATTTGAGGAGAAGAAGAAGGGACAGGGTTGGGGATTCGATTTTTTAGAGCGGCGCTAGGGTTTGTAAGGGATTGAGATGTTTTCGCGAAATGAGTTGGGGACTGGGGTGGGGTGGATGATTTGAGGGGAAGCGGGTTTCTGGTTCTCTCGGGGCAGATATTCAGAAACCCACCACCACCCGACAACCGACTATAGCGGGTAACGGATTCCCCGCAAACCGTCAACTATCCGTTTGACCGGGTTTTAACCGCCACAAACCGGGTCGGGTTCGGTCGGGCACCCGGAATTCGGGTTCAATTGACAAGCCTACATTTGTCTCTTTTTATGATAAGCATGCAGTATTAATTTGTTTAAAATGACCACATACTATACCATACATTTATTTATGAATATTATTTTTGTATTTTCACTCAAAGACATCTAATAATGACTCAACCTAATCAATCTATACCATTGAGACAAAAAGAAATACAAATTATTTAGACAAACATTTATATAAGGTATCAGGTCTTTAGATTTATCAAGGAACTAAAGCCAATGAGAGAATTCTAATCCTTAATACCCTTCAACTCCTTTTTTTGGTACAACCCAAAATCTTGTCCTCATTTTATATGAATATAGCTTTTACACAATGTCCTTACTGTTTGCTATTAAATGAATCGAGAATTCATTTCATTGTGAAATGAATTACCGTGTAGAATTCATTGTGAAATGAATTACCGTGTAGAATTCATTGTCAAATGAAATCTTGTATTTGGTAAGTCATATTCAAAGCGTAAGAAATAAAATAAATTGTCGTGTAGAATTCGTTGTCAAATATATTCATGCGTTTGGTATATTCACTCGTCCCGAATACCACAATAATTTCCCGCCTAAGGTCCAAGTATAAACCTTAGTCGGGTGCCGTAAATGATAAGTATGTTTAAATATCAACTCGGGTTGGTCCGTCTGCCCCTACTTCAATCATTTGAATCATTATCTAGCAATAAAGTTTTGGTTGAAAAGTTGCTAATTAAAGTAAAACAAGACAAAGGTGAATGGTTTTGAAAGCTCTTTTGTGGAAGGATCACTCGGGTGTCGCTTCCCCCTAACTACTACCATGGTATGTGAACCGAAATGATTGCTATGGGCAACGTGGTCGCTAACCGCTAGGGGACGCAAATATGGTCGTAGACCACACTCATGATTGCTAAACCGAGGCATGCATTATAGGCTGTCAGTAGGCCCTCTCGATTTAGGCAATCAATGGTTGACTTACTCCCTATCTCAACCCAAGGGTTGGATGGCTTAATCGCGCTTAACCAAATTGCTTAATCCATTATTGAGGTTTGCCCTAAATTAACCTAGTTAGGAGACTTAAAAATCCCTAGGAATACCAACTCAATTGAGACTCCCTTGGAAGGGGGGTTTCCATCTCTGGACTAGGTTAAGTGGCTAATTAGATTGCTAAGCATAGACATGCACAATCCTTAGGTTGCTAAGCACTAATCATGCACAAACCTAAGGATGCTAAGCACAAACATGCACAATCAAGATGAATAATACCTCAAACATTTGAATTAAACAATACCCAATGACAATCATTCAATTCACATAAAAGAAAACTACATGGTAGAGTTAGGATTTCACAACACCCAAGTGAAAAGAATTCTACTCCATGCTAGAAAATGAGAGACACACAAAAGAAGACGTAGAAACCATCTTGGAGGAGGCTTCTAATCTTCTTGGACCTTGTGTTGAACTTTCCTTGGAAAAAATCTTCCCAAAATCCACCTTGGAGCAAAACCCTAGCCTCCTTCTTCTTTGGTTCGTGTTTCTCTCTCTAGAAATCAGAAAAAGGTTCTCGCTCAAACGGGCTCCCCCTCTCTCTTCCTTTCAGCTCAGCTTTTAAACAGGGAACGAGCTGTGTTCACGGCTCCAGTTCACGGCCGTGAACACTGAAACGCGTCCGTGAACTCCAATGGGTGCCGAAACGCACCGCTTCGCTTGCTTGTGTTCACGGTCTTAGTGACCATGAACACGTCTTGCTTTAGTAACCTCTGGAAATGCTTTGGACGCCTCGACGTACACGGTAAAAGCTCCTCTTCACGGTCATGCAAGACCGTGAACATCCCAAGAAAACCGTAATCTCGCCCTTTTTCACCTCTTCTCCCGGGTTTCGATCCTTTTCGTCCAACTTTCGACTCCGAGGCTGGTTTCGCTTGTTAAATCCTGAAACACACTAAAACACGAGAAAAATGCCTACAGAAAACGGGGGTAAAACATGTGCATTTAGGCCCGAATCATATATCATATGTATAAGTAAATTAGTTAATAAAAGAGATAATTATGTCATTCTATTATAATTAATAAATACTTGTGAACTCATTTGGAAGTTCCATATCAATTCCTCGGAATTGCTATAACTAGTTCGAATTCTATAGAATTCAAAAATTAGATTTGAAAATGAATTCTTTTATATACCAAACACAAAAATGTTTCATTTCAAAATGAATTCCTCAAATCTTAAGAAATTCATTCATACCAAACGATATGTAAATTATTGTATTTATTCTTCATAGATAATAAAAGGTAAAACTTATTGTGCTAGAATCTAGAAGTCTCGAATAATTTAGAAATTCACTTATTAATTCTCGGGCTAATACCACTACAACACCCTTACTATCCGGAAAATGCCACTTGTGTCCTATTATTCCCAATATTCCATTTATGTCCTGAACTATAATACTTTGTGTCATTTATATCTTGTCAATTTCGTTGACCGTTAAAGATAACGGTTGACCGAACGGTGGTCAACGCGAAGTTGACTTTTGTTGACGTGGCAAAAAATGTGGCTGCCATGTCACTGATTTCATATTTTTTATATAATATTTTTTTATTTTTAATAAAAAATGAATAGAACAAATAAACGAAGAGGAGCAATATCCCAATGGAGTTGGAGATCACATTGGCTTTGGTGAACGAGTTCCTGAACCCACCAGAGGCCCTGATGTGTTCTTGCGGCAAGTACCCAACAATCACAAGGCATATCGCCACACCAACGAAATTGTTCCTCATCGTGGAAGCGATCAGATTAGGAGCCACCACTATGAGCAGAATCGACGCAACCGACATCTCCAGCCATTCTGCCAAAAACCAGGTTCAAATTCTCAGTTAAACTCAAATTGGGTAAAAAATGGCCGCTTCTAATTTTTACAGCAAACAGAGCATTACCCTGGAAGCGGTCAGGGAAGAAGAGGTGCAGTATGACTGCAACGAGTGCCACCCCAAATTGAGTATCGAGATACAAGAACGATGAACCCATAAATCGATCAAACAAAATAGATTTACCTCAATCAAACCTGTTTTTAACTATTCGACCTCAATAAATTAAACCCAAAAATCAATAAAATAGATCGAATGACCCAAAACACATCGACGAACAAAACGAGGAACCTAGAGAACACTGAACCGGAAAGACGAACCCAGAACACTGAACAAGAACGACGAACCAGAACCACGAACCCAGAACGACAAACCAGAACGAGAAACCTAAAACGACGCTAGCGAGGTGATCCGCCACGCACGAGGGAGGAGAGAGAAGGGTGGGGAAGCAGATCCGGCTCCTACTGCTGTGGGATTAGGTTTTCCGGGAATCGACATTAGCGAATTAGGTTTGGGAAGTGGCGGCGCGGAATAGAAGAAGCAACCTCTCTCGACGAACTTCTTCGCTTTGATTCCGTCTCCGACTTCTCTTCGTATCTGAAGTACAATTCTTATGGATGTTGGCAGAGGAAGAGCAGGAGAAGGAGGAGATTTTGGGCCGGTGGTTTCCAGATTTGCGATGTAGCAATGGGTTTCTCGCAAATCCAGACCGATTTGCAATGTGTTCTTCGCCAATCCGACGGATTCTTGGTGGTGAACATGAAGGGTGAACCGGGGAGAAAGGATTGAGAGGGTGAATGGTGGAGATGAAACGTTTTATTTTAATTTTCATTGTTTTTTATTTAATTTTTTTATTAAATAAATTAAAATTCCATGTCATGTGCCACATCAATGCTGATTTGACTTTCTGTTAAAAACTAATGGTCAAAATGAGTCAACTTTACATAGAAAAATAGTTCAGGACATGAATGGAATATTGGAAACAATAGGACACAAGGGCCATTTTTCGGATAGTTCGGGTGTTGTAGTGGTATTAGCCCTTAATTCTCACATTGGTTGCTTAAAATGAGATAAAAAATGAAATTAATCTTTCGCGGGTTCATATATTTCTTACCCTATATCTCATGAAACTGAGGTTCCGCCAGGTGAGCGGCTGGGGTGCGAAGCTCAGTGACACCATGAATGGTTGTTTTGGATGGTCAAGAGCTAGCTTCCGATGAAGATGAGCTCAGACAGAAGAGAGTACTGGAGGAGAATCGCCAGCACACAAAGCTCAGTCTCCGCATCAATCGTCACTCAATCCCACCTTAAATCCCGCACAATCCTTGAAACATTTGATTCTTCTTCTCACAAGCCCAGTTTTGAGGTGAGATTGAGAGCCGAGAGAGACAACGTCGGCGAGATTGAAGATGCAGGTCTAGACTTTTGGAGGTCTCCGTCGCTTTGTGAGTAACAGAGTCTCCCCAAAGCTCCTGCATCGTCGTTAGGAAAGGGTAGTGGCTTACTGACTTCATCATCGTCGTCGCGACAGTACTAATTAACCCACAACCGCCGCGACCGCGACTACTCCTCCGCCGCTGAGAATGTCGCCTTTGACAGCGATTTCCAGATCTAGGAATTGCCCACCAACACCCACATCAAGGCCAACATAATGGCTTCAGCTCCTTCTTGAATCAAATCGACACAAAACCCACTCCCATCCCCATTTGTTCAACGAAGGATAAGAAGATAGCTAGTGCTTAGTGGTGCTCGATTTCATAACAGGGAAAAGAACACCCTTTGTCGAGTCCCTGCTAGTGGTTTCTCCAGTCCTTGCTGCAATGGAAGAACAAGGATAGGTCGGTATCGCACTCGAAATCGCAAAGCCTCCTTCAACTAGGCGAAGGAATGGTGGAGTTTTGGGTTCGACGAGGCGGAGAAGCGGCCGCGACGGCTGGTGGGGCTGAGTAATCACAGAGGGAAGGAAGGAGTGTGCATTTGGTGGGGACCTTTCATCTCCTTTTTTATTTTATTTTTTATTTTTTAAACTTAATCCAGCGTGGAATTATTGCTGGAGAAACTCGCCAACTCAGCATTTCCATTTGTCCAGTCAGCTTATTAGCTGACACCGTTAAAGAATTCGACGGAAGTGGCTATAAGTGGTATTTCAGGAAATTTGGATATTATTGGCACAACCATGAAAGTTTTGGATGTACAAGTATATTTAACCAAAATATTAAGTATAGTCATATTCCAATCCACCATTCAAAGATTGTGCAAAATCTGAATGTAACATATACCTCTAAATTTACAACCCAAACTCATTAGGAGTAGAATCCCTCCTCAACACCTAGAGAGGGACTTAGCGTGATTTCTGCTAGATAGTATCGAATCGAACTTAACATGATCAGCAAAATTTCATCAAAAAGAGGAATGAACGAAAAAAATATTCTCATCCTTCCCAAAACCATTCAAAGTTGTACAAAAGTAAACTCCGACTGATTGATCTTCTCCTGTTCATCTCGCCGTCGAGTTTCATCAACGTGCCCATTCCGATCGGATCCACCACCGCCGGCTTCGAATTCCGATGCATCGGTGTCAGAGTGGTAATACGGCGCACCGGGGACATCCTCAATGTCATGCTGAGTCGATCGGTGATTGAAATTGTGAAGCAAATGCACCGGAGATGCCGTCGTGCTCGGTGTCGTCTCGCCGCTGGTCAACACCGATCCTCCTCCGCCGCCGCCTTTCGCTCCGGCGAACTTAAACGGACGGGGAGAAGTAGCTCCCGAAGACAGGGGACTGGCTCCTTCCCCACCTGCCTGCCTCAACTTCTTCCTGTCCTGCGCCGCCTTCTGCCATTTCCTCAGCGCCTTCGCTGTTTGCTCCTCGAAGATCGCTTGCTTCATGTTCGAACCCATCTGCCCAAAATGGAAAAATTGGCGGGTATTTGTTCAAAGTTCGTTACTTTAAAGGAAAAAAGAGCTTGAAATTTACAGGAAGAAAGTGGAAGAGGAGTACTGACTTGTGTGACTAGAGAATAGAGAGGGAAAGTGATGTAACTGCAGATGAACTGAAGGATAATGGCGAGGGAAACTCTGACCAGGATTGCCACCTTGTTTTCACGGAAGCAATTGTTGAACTTGAATTCATACTGCCCGCCATTTTCCAATAATGGTTAGCTTTTGTCTCTGTTTTGGGTGGGGGAGCAAAACAGGGGAAGGAACAGAGGATGAAGGAAGTAGCAAAAGAAACGTACCCAATTCCACAATAGATACGCCATTTGAAACGCATTCTGCAGAAAGAAAGTGGGAAAGGCATAAAAGAGATGTGAGAAAGAAAATCGATAGAAAAACTGTAAACTAATGAAAATGGGGGATGAGGGTTTCACCTGGAACAGAGTGTAGTGGAGTAAGAGGAGGATCCAGTGAGGTCGATTGAACCAGAAATATCTGTTGTCGGGTTCAACGATTGGAGCTCCTTTAACCACTGTGCTTCTTTCTTGGATCTGCTGAGCCATGTCCATGATGACAAGTTCCAGTTTGGTACCAACCACCAGAAGTATCTAACAAAAGCAATTGTCAGGGATGACACTTATTGCTCTGGAATTGGAAAAGTTTTGGTGGTAGTAATGTTATGATGGCTTACAATGAATGGGACTGCTGTCAAGTAGGTAAGCGTGTGCCATCCTACATTGAGTAACAACAATTATGAGTCATCTTTATCGTCCAATTCCGCTATGGTGCTTATAGTACTATTTGTAAGAACGTCTTTATAGTGCTGCTCACGATCGTTGGACGCTCTAAGATCGTTGGATGAACACAGTGATAATTTTGTAAATAAGATGTCATGCGTTCATTCAACAGTCATTGAGCACCCAACAGCTGATCGGAGGATTCTGAGTGTTGTAAAGACGTCTTTACAAATGGTGTTGTAAGCACGGTAGCCGGAATCTCTAATGGTTAGTGATTGGATTGGTAGAGAGAGAGAGGGGGAAAGAGAAATTTACTATGGACATTTAGGAGCATGAAGAGTATGGCGAAAATCCAAAGTGGGAAACTGTAGAAAAAAAACATTGAGAAGTTAGTTGTGTTATGCAGAAGCTAAGTAGTTTGGTTTTCATTTTTGAGAGGAACTCAAGGAAAGGAGAATACAGGGGAGGAGGGGGTGGAAAGGCAGAGACCTAATACCAACGACCACTTTGAAGTCATCTTCCATGCACCTCTTTATGTATCTATGGAAGTCGAATTTGGCATTTGAATTTAAATGTGCCTGTGCATTAATATATGTTTGGTGAGAGAGATGAAAATGTAGTAAGAGAATCCTTAAACAAAATCTAAACTCATGTTTGTTTCATTGTTACTCACATTGATGAACCCATTTCTCATGGTCAAGTAATCCACTTTAGTGATTGAACCGGTGAATTGTCTAAAAAATGCGACCTGAAAGTTGGTATGTATTTAGACAAATTAAAAAGCCAATAACAGAAATGAACGAAGAGAAAGAACTAGCAGATGAGTGATGTATACATACAACCCATCTGATCCCGGGTGCAGCGAAAATGCCAGAATGTCGCTTTACAAAGGAAGTCTGATGTGCCAATCTGAACCTTGTAGGATCTACATATTCGTGATACTGGAACGTCAGAGCACGTCAATAAACGTGACAACCCAAAGAAGAAGAAGAAGAAGAAGAAAAGGCATCACCATTGGTAAATTGGTACTCCTCAGAAGAAGTTTCTGACTCCCATGTCTTCCATTTCTTCACCTGATTCAGCACCAACCCAAACCATCAACTCTCTTTCCGACACGAAACATCTACCACATACTAGATTCGGTCGAAGGAGCATTGAGATCAAACTGAATAAACTTACTTTGGCTCTCCCTAGGGTCATGGTAATGACACAGTACATGATATGGAAAACGGCCAGCACGAACACAAATATGTGCAACTGATGCACCCCTGTTACTGATATCAAAGGTACCTTCCCCTGCCATTGTCAAAGTTTAACCCCGAAATCAATACCATAGAAGGTTAGAAACAACAATGCCATATGACACAAGATTACCCCCCAAGAATTTACCCTTGAGGAACAGTAATCCTCGCCGCCTTCTGCCCCTGCCAACATTCGATGCCACGATGAACCCATATCCCCTGTTCCATCGAAGGACAAGAGCTTTCTTCTGTCGTCGCCGCCGCCGCCATCTTTGCCTTTCTCTTTTGATACTTCCAAATCACTAGTGGTGCTGCAAGGGAGCATCGTCCGGCCGAGTTCGTGGGAGATGCATATCCTTGGAATCGCTCTCGTTCCCGCCGTCAGCATAAGCGATATAAACCCTAACAACATCAACTCTATAAACAAGAGACATCCTGTCCTGTTAGTTCAAATTTGGAGGGAGAAATTTATGAAAGATGGACTAATATAGCATAGGAACTAAAGATTTTTCATGTGAATATGTCACTGACCAGCTTTAACCTTCTCCAGGGCCTCAATCATGGCCTTCTTCTGCCGCTTCTGGAACCACTGCGGTTACAGAAAACAATCGAAAGAAAGAAAAAGAACAAGCCGACATGAGATTTGAACACACCGATTGTATAGAAATGAACCTATTATGTGTGAAATGCGAAACCTTTCCAAGTTTGAGAATGGCGTGTTCGATGAGAATGGACAAGATGATGAAGATGGAGCAGACGCCGGCGACGGCCCACGTCGGAGTGTCGTGCAGGGAGCGGTCTCCGCCGCCACCTCCTCCCGCCATGGATCAACCCAATTAAGAGATTACGAGAAACAGAGTTTCAATCAAACTGAAAGGAAAGAAAGAAAAGGAAAAAAATGGGCCTGGAAGAATATTTTACTAAGCAACTGATGATCAGTGATAACTGCTCTGTTTCTCAAGTTGCGGGAAGTTCTCGCAAAGTTTAAATATAACAGAAGAAAATATGAAAAAAAGGCATAATTTTTCCCCCTTCTGGAACGTATGTCCCAATGCTAGCTGGGGAACCTGTCATCTAGTAGGTGTTTAATTTGTTTGATCATATATTAACAAAGGGAAATAGGAGGAGTTGCGTTGTTCTCTGTTTTGCTTCTTGTTCTCTGCATTCTTTCTTTCCTTCTTTATTTGTTGATTGGGAGCCGGCCAAGAAGCCGGATGTAGGAGTGGTGTTTTACCAAGTCTTTTAACAATGGCGCCGAAACAAAGGATATAGTTATGTAAACGGATTTGAGGCGATTTGAAAGTGATGGGACGTAGAGTACAATGCTGTGTTTGAAGTCTCTGTTTCGCCATCTTCTTTCTCACTCTGCTTTGTTTGCTACCTAGTTACACAACACCATATACCCATTGTGTGCATATGGCATATGGGGCCGTATGCCTTGTCGTTGTGATTGTGAAGATCGAGATGATAATGGTGGTATAATACTGATCCATGATCGGCGTTTACAACGCCAGCAGCAACACAAGGTTTGGACTTGGATGCTCTTGGAATCAGGAAACAATTATAAGCAAACTTCGGGAGAGATTATCATGATGTAAAGATATTATGTTTCATGTAGGGAAACAATTTACAACGCTCGATGCAAATTAAAATTATCCATATATAAAACACCATTCTATAAAATTCAAGCAAATCACAAATTAACTATATAAAGTGTTCAACATCAATCTAGAAAACTCAAGAAAATTGAAACAAATCACAAATTATCCATAAATATCATGATTAATTGAAAGCTTCTTCCTTCTTGTCAATTAAGTTTTTTTCACTTTCCACTCAATAACATCAACTTCGTTCTATTCAATTAAAAAGAAAAAAATTAGACATGTCTCAACCAACATAAAAAGATTAGTTGTTTAGAATATTAAATATACTGAGAAAATTAATTATATGGGTGTGGGAGGGTTTACCTAAACCCAAACTCAACCCAACCCGGTGAATATAGTGAATGGGTTTAAACCCAAACCCGGCCCAAAACCCGTCAACACGGATTTTACCCACGTTGACCGGGTTGGGTCGGGTGGGTACCTGTGGGTTCCGGTTTTGTTGTCATCCCTAGTTTCATGGCTTCTTGAACGACGCTTTTTTATGGGGTTTTTTTACAACGAACTATATTAAGTTACTCTGCTCATGTTGAGGTTGAGTGAGAGAGCTCCACAAACTATTGATTAGCACAGAAAAGGTAAAACGTGATATGTGCGTTAGAGTGTTGGTTTTGGGAACAATGAGAGCTCCACAAAATATCTATGAATTCATGCTTAACTTAAGGTGCTTGATATAGGTTAGGACGAAACTGCTTGAGGGGTAGGCAATGGCCGATGAGCGGGTTGACAATGGGGGGTGTGATGGTGGTGACCACATCGATGGAGTGGCGATATTACACTGACCCTTCTTGAATGACATCTTTTAAGTCGAAATTAAATTAATCTAATAAATATTGTTAAGTTAGTCTTATAAACTACAACTAGCTAAATGGCCCGCACTTTGCGGCGGGGCGACCATTTCATATGATACATCGTTCATTAAATTTTATAATTTGGCCACTTGAAACGTATAGAGAGCTTGAGTTATGATAGTTACAACTTACAAATTAAACTGTCGAACTTGGGAAATTGTTGCTTCATTAACTCAATGTTTATTTGAATGATAGACAACTTACTTTGAAGTTTGAAGAACAAATAAACTGAAAAATGAGCAATTGATTAACTATTGTAATCAGTAATAAGAATGGTAAGACATAATGAGTCTATGCACTCTTTTGCCGCACTTGACATCATTCTGCTCCATTTTGCGTACACTTCTTTTTAGAATGAGGAACCCAAGAACCAAGTTAAGAAGCATATGTGAGGAGTCGTTTGGAAGTTGTGATTGTTTTGTTGAGATTGTCATTATGCATGTATTGTTTACAATGCATCGTTTTTTTTTTGTTTTTTTAGCAGAAACAATACATGGATTGTTTCTATGATGTGACAGAAACTATCACTCATTTTGAGTAATTGTTATATCTCAACTTTTAGTTGTGATTGTTGAGGTAGTTGAGTTGAGATTGTTTTGTCTCAGCTTTTAGCTGATGCGACATATACAATCACACATACCAAATTTTTGTATTCTACAATGCATCAAATTCGACAATACATGTATAATATTAAACATGCATTCTCAGCAATACATGTATTTAACAATCGCAACTTCCAAACGACCCCTAAGTAATCTAACCCGTAAAACATTTTCATTTAGCTATGAATATTAGAAATGAATATAATGCTAAACAGTCACTCATCATATGACTTTTACTCTCCTCAATGGATGATGACGGTATAGGGATGGCAATGGACGTGTTTGGGGTGGATTTGACTAAATTAACCTCATTTCTATTTTTAAATATCCAAATTCATATCCGTCACATATCCATGCGGTGGAAGGTTTTACAAACTCATCTACATACCCGTGGTTTTCGGATACCCCATGGGTAATACCCGCCCCATCAACTATTCACCATTAATAAAAGAATATGGTGACAAATATGGATACTACCCGCCCAAAATTATGGAACTAATACATAAAGTGATGAAATTACGATTTGGTTGCCATCAATTACGTCTTAACACTTTATTTTTTTTCTTTTAATTACCCTTCATTCTATTGACAAGTTACAACAGACTCCTTATATTTTATGAAGTAAGTTCACGTTAGGAACTTGCCGCAGAACTTCATTCAATAATGTTAATCAACCCCTAAAAGAACCCAACACAATGTATTATGGTCTTGACTGGATTAATCAATAAGAGTAAGGGGAATGCCGGAATGGATGGATATTGATGAAAGTCACGGATGGGCTCTTGAACAAATCAACTGCCCCATTCTGTTTCTATACTTCCCCTTTTCCCTTCCCTGTGCATTGGCATACAGTGGGATTAGGCCTAGGGGTGTTCAAACGGTTTGGTTAACGTGACAATCGTTTTAATCGGTACTATTTGGATAATTTGGTTAGGTTAATTTGGATAATTGGTTTGGTTAAAGTTTTTAGCTTGTTTGGTTTAGGTGGTTTGGTTTGGTTTCAGACACTCCTAACCAGTCAAACCAAATTAACCAGTTAATTAATTAGTCATATATCTAACATATACTATATACACATACTTAATACTTTGCATAACCACTCAAGAGTTAACGTTCATCCCTTTTATACTCATAAAATATAAACTCAATATTGCTCATATAGTGTATATTTGTATATGTAAAGTGTAGACCACAACATATGGACGCCTAATTTAGATAAATTTCATACATTATGATGGATGAAAACTTGAAAGAAAGGTCATTTCCAGCCTATGATAATTGTTAAGAGACTAGGGCTCGTTTGGATGAGGAATTCTAATGGATCAATCTGACACAATCGTCTCATTTTGAGTCAATTGTGCTAGATTGATCCGTTTGGCAGCAGAAAATTTGGATGAAACAATTTGGGCTGGGAAATTCTGAATTGACTCATTTTGAGCTAATTACAATTGTCTGTGGTGGGGGCAGGTAATCTGAATTGACTCGTTTTAAATTACTCGTTTTTTAAAATGAAACAATTGGTCAAATTGTCTCGTTTTACAATTGATCCATCCAAACGATTCATTAACCCATACCATTGTCATAAATTTTTGTTAGGTGAATAATTCTATACTAATCGTAAGATAATTGTCTTAGTTGCATGTATTTTTGTTAAGGGTCAACTATAACTACGTGTTGATTGTTATGTTTTATTCATTATATAAATTGCGAATTGTTGCATTAACCGAAAAATTTTCATCATCAATGATAATGTGATTTTATATTGGTTAATCTGGTTAACCAATTAACCAAACCGATTAAACTTTAGTTTGGTTAATTTGGTTGTTGTATTAGTTTGGACGGTTTGTTTATGATATCATATTCCATGGTTAATATAATTTAGCCTTATTTGGTTTCGTTATAACCATGGTAACCATTTGAAAACTCCTAGGATTAGCCATTAGAAAAGAATCTTATAAAACATCAAGGTCAGCCGCCAGGGTATCAACTGATGGAAGAAAAAGAATGGCTAATGGAAAAAAAAAACAGTTTATTAAACTCAGGCCCCGTTTAATATTGTTGCCTGTTTTTGTTTCCTGTTGTGTTTTTAAAGATTGGAGAAACCAAGAAAAAAAACATGTTTAGATGGGTTTCTATTTTCTGTTGTGAATCAGAGTTGCGGCCCAAATATGAGAAACAACAATTTATTGCTTTGGATATGTTTTTAAAACATGTTGCACACGGGATTCCTATTGGTTGGGCACTTGATTTCATTAAACCAGACCAGTTTTCGAATCCCCACAGAAGCAAATTTTTTTTTTTAACACAGCCGCCACCCCCCAAACCCTACTTCTAACATATCAGCCGCCGCCCCCCAAACTATTCTCCCCCTAAACCCTTCTCAACAGAGGCGTCACCCGCCACCCTTCTCAACAAGGCGCCACCTCCGCCTCACCTCCGTCGCCGACCCTTCTGCCTCCACGCCCGACCCCTCCTCCTCTGCGCCGATCCAGCCCGCCGCGCAACCCGAACCCTCCGCCGCACAGCCAGCCCAGCCGGCCGACCCGCGTTTTTGTAGTAACTAAACGCGTTTTTGTTTCTTGTTTTCAGCTTTCATGATTTTTCAGATTTATCAACTAAACATGTTTGTGTTTTCTGTTTTTTTCCTGTTGTAGTTGTACATATGTTTACACAACACCACTGCAACCACAACAACAACAAAATGATACTAAACGGACCCTCACTGTAGACCCGCACTCATTTTAGTAAACCCTTAAGCAAAACTTGAGGATTAATATATCTAATAATAATTCATTGAAATTAATCACCGTGGTTTTTTAGTGATAAACAATCGCTTCAACGCATAAGAATTGTGGACTAAATTATTTAAACATTGCAGCTCTTACATATCGAACACCACGACATCACCCTTTTACTTGGCCAAATTTGACCTCTCAATACTGATCCATAGATAGAAAAAATACCCCCTGGCTGCCAAACAAAAGGGAATTAATAAGTAATAACATCCATTAAATATTTATATTTTTAAGATTATATTGTAATAAAATCTAATCACGTTAAGACTAATAACATCCATAAATTATTCATAAATTATCCATATTGTTAAAAATAGACATAGAATGATCACGTTTTGCTTTCTAGGTGTGGATAAGGTGGAAAGCGGGTTGGGTTTTGGCAAAACCCAACCTGCAAACTTTTTAAGAGGGTAAAACGTATACTGAACTAAAACCCATCAACCCCAGATTTTATCAGAGTTTGACCGAGTTGATTTGAATTGGATTCTCGTGTATCTGGATTCAACTGTCATCCTATCCATCAACTAAAATTGAAGACTTCTTACATAATCTTCTAGGGCCTAATAACTAGTTAGTTACTAGGGGTTCAGTATTTCATTTTGTCTCACAAAATGTTCCAAACCTTGAATTCTAGTGAGCTGCATCCATTCGTAAAAACAAAATGCAATTTATCAAAGCATAATGGGTAGCTAAATACAAAAGTTTCTTATAGTTTCTAATTGTACAAATTGGTTTGCTAATGCTACAAATTGAGACACAAAAGCTAACAATTAATAGCAAAGAAAAATAAGTATGAAAGATTTTATCATAGTTAAATTAAATTAAAAGAATTTAATAAGTTTAATTGAGGGTCACATAACATGATCATTCCATAATAGAGATCCAAATACAGTTTTCCTATGTTTCATGACATAACAACAAACTGGATAATTGACTCGCATTTCTCAGCGGTTTACCTAAAATATTATATGTTAATTAAAAGTGAAAAGCACTTCTGTTCTAAATTAAGGTTGATATCATTAGAGAATGAAATAAATTTTTAGGAATCGTTAACCTTTGTGATATGAATATAGTTTTTTATTAAATAATTTTTTCAAACTTTTGCACACATATTACAAAATCTATAATTACGAAATCAAATATTATTGGTCGTCTAATCCCTATTAAATGAAGGTAATGATATTTAACATCCTATTAGGTGCTAAGTCATTGTGCGTGTAGTGTGACCCCAGTACGGGTTATTAATTCGATTGCACGACTTGTATTAACTAACCCATATTGAGCAAAGTATAATTCAAGAATGCATTGCTAATATAGTGGTCAACCAAGGTCGTATTCCACGGGTTTCGATACCCTAGGCTACTTCTCACTTTGTTGTTATCTAGTCATTCGGTTTAGGGTTGTTTTCGAAGTTCAAATGGAAGATAATGGTTAGGGATAGCAACGGGTCGGATCGGGGGCGGATAGTTGATATCCAATACATGCCTAAGTAAATTTCGGGCGAGTCAGACTGGTACCATATGTTGAAACAGATACCATATCTCTTACCATAACCATGCACACGGATATCGAGTTGGTACCCGTATACCCACGAATATTTTTATACCTGATATTTTATGGTTCCATCCAACTCACCTACTGGCCTAGGGCTGAAAATTTATCTGTCCCATCCCTGTCCCTGTCTGACCCGTCCCTGAAGGGTCAAGATGTATAACCGTCCCGTCCCGTCCCTGTCTCCTTCTTGACCCTGTCTGACTCTCAAGGGTTGGGACGGGACGGGACGGGTTAGTGGGTCGACCCTAATCAACACACTACTTTTTTACAAATTACATTTTGGTACCCAAAATTATTTTTTCTTACAATTTAGTACCTAAATTTTATTTTTTTTACAAATAAGTCCATAAATTTTGATGGTAAAATTACGTTTTGGTACCCAATTTTTTTATTTTTACAAATTAGTACCTAAACTTTTAAAACTTTACAAAAAGGTCCAATGAAGTATGAGATATTTATTGTTGCTAAGGGTCACAGGGTCAAAACGTGATCCGTCCCTAAATTGTCCCGACCCGTCCCGACCCTTATAGGGTCAACAAATGACCTGTCCCTAATCTGTCCCTGTAGACAAACTGACCCGTCCCGACCCTTAGGGACGGGACGGGTCGGGACGGATCATTGGGTCTTCCGGGACAAACTTTCACCCCTACCTACTGCTTGTTCCAAATTCCATTGTAATTGTTTTAGTACCGAGATAACTAATCTGGGCACTATACAAGCACCAAGAAGACCACTGCACAATAACTGAAATTGGTAAATCATTTGCCAAAGAATTACAATAGTCTATCTCTATACCCTCACAGTCCTACTAATAAAAAAATTTCGTCAAACTAAGATTGCTTTTATCTCTTGCTTTGCCCTTCTCCGACGACCACCATCATCTCTCCTCCCCTACTGCTCGCTATACTAGTCGTCTTGTTGGCAGGTGAATACCAACCTGACGATCAATATCCATACCCTACTAGTCCCCGGCAATGCCACATTCGGGTTTGCCCGAACCCGACCCAAACCCGGTCAAAGTGGGTTTTGCCCACCGGTACCCAAACCAATTGGTTTATCTGCCAACCCTAAATAAGGTGGAGAAAGCAAATATAAAAACAGGTACATCGGGGTACTACCCTCTCCCTAGATCTAGGTTCATTATGAATATGGTTTATAATGTCGGTTTTGAGGTAATAAGGTGCAAGATTCGCTAAAGTAGGGACTAGCTCAATGGTCATGCAACTAGCCCTCCTCCCAGCACGATTCCTTAACCCAATGTCACCTCGATCAAGTTCACGATGCTAGGGATGAATTCTAGACCCTTTCAATAGGTTCAATCTATTTGCACACTAGCTCGACATGTTGATGGTCACGCATCGCTCTAGCATTGCTTAGGAGGGCCACCCAGATTGGCTCCTCCTTCTTCTCTTCTTCTCCTTCCTTTAGCTTCTCTCTCTAATTTCTATCTCGAAAACCAGATTTTCTTAGTGATTTTAGCTCTCAAATGAAGGGGGATAAATCCCCTATTTATAGAGATCAGGTTGTCGAGCAAGTTCACGGCTGAACAGGTAAAGATCACGGCCGTGATCTTTGGGACAAGAGGCCACAATCTTAAGGGTCGTCATTTACACCTTGCTTAATGTTGAGTTCCCGGCCTGACATCACGGTCGTTAACTGAATGTCACGGCCGTGAACTTTATCGCTGGCATGGACAACGAGAGCCGCGAGTCGACTGTCGAAAGTCTTTGGCCCTCCCTTGGTGGCTACTGGCTACTCCTAAAGTTGGTGTTTTGGCTCTATACTTCATGGTCGCGATCACGCTAGTGGAGGCCGCGATCTTGGTGCTCTGGTTCATGCTTTCTCTTTATGATCTCCTCGCTCCTAGCGATGATCTCTCGGTATTTCCCATAATCCTACAATTGTGACCCCTTTTAACGCCTAAAATGTTCATATCATCTAAAACACAATAATATGACAATATTCTCTTCTAGGAACAAAGTAGGGATGTTTTATGACATATCAACCAATGCGACCACGAAATGACTCAAAATGATCCTAAATATGAAAGCTATGGCTGAGCATGTGGGCGGGTGACCAGCGGAGGTGACCCTAACCGACCGCAAAATGACTCAATCCACATTATATGGGTGGGTGACAGATAGGCTAAGTGACAACGCGCAAGAGGCGGATGGTTGACGAGTGAGTTCGCGGGTCACCTGCAAACCCGATCCCCCAATGCAAGAATCCCTTATTATGTTGTCTAATGCAACTTATGCTAAGATTGGAAAATAGAGACAATCAAGCTTCATGTGCCATTCACGTCCGCTCTACAGCTTTCCCAAATTATGAAGTAAGCCACATGGTTGTGTAGTTTATGACAGTAGGTCTATATATGTATTACCTTGTGGTGCTTGACTTTCACTTATATTACATGTATTGCAAATGACAATATACAACTGTTTTGTACATCATAAAATTTATTGCTAATCAAATGGTAACAACTTTGCACTTCTTAAATGTTGATTTGTGGATGAACCCACATATCTAACCACACATCCGTGCGATCCAAACCGAGACTAAGTGTGAACAGGTGACGAGTTGTCAATCCGTTGAAGAGTGTGTGGATTAATTTCATTGCCAAAATCCATACGATCCGCCCGTTGTCCATCCCTAATGGAGGCTAAATAACACCATTTAGGGTGTTATCAGTGTGTAATCTTTTCTCTATGAAATGATCTTTAAACTTGGATAAACACAAACATAATTGATTTGGCCAGAACGCTCCTATTAATGAAGGAGAGCATGAAGTTCTTTCGTGAGGTTGTGTGAATAATGATCAGGCTAATTTAGCTACTTTAATTCATTTGTAATGAATGTTACTTGGGCAGTGGTTGGTTAGGGTTAATCGATAGTTACTGGGCATAGTGAGAACACATAGTTATTCCATGTAATCTTGCTCATGTGCATATTAGTTTTATCCCTAGCTATTGAGTAGTGATTTAAGTCACTTAGTAATAAACCATACTTGGAAGTGAGTGACCAAACCCAAGGATTGCAATATCAAAAACTAATTTAGTGTTCGTCCTGTTGGTTGAAATGTCATATAAATATAACATATTTACCATGTGCATCCTAAAATTAATATTTGAAATATGTATTTCTATCCAATAGCTAAATTTATTGTTAAAATATAATTAAAAAAATCAAAATATGAAAAGTAAAATAAGGGTTAGTGGGATAGCTAACCGTGTTGGAAACGTCATCTGATTTTGAGATTTTAGGATTTTATATGTTTGTATTTAAAAAACGATACATTGAATTCGTTTAGTGTAATTGGTAATGATGCATGTACTTGTTTAAAAGATATCATTGTTCCAATGTCGTGATTGATGTATTTTTTTATGAATAAGAAATAGAAAACTATGAACTATCCTTCCTATTTTCTCTCTCATTAGAGGATATACTCGAAATGCTGAAAAAGTGCTCACAACTCGGTTATTAATTATTATATATTTTTAGATACCCATTGTAGCTAGGGGTGGAAGTTTGGTATCGGTATATGGGATACACCAATTACCACACCAAATTTATCATTATTTGGTATTATCTATTACCAAGTTAATTTTTTTGTTTGTGATTGAGATTGATTTTTTATTAGTATTATATATTTGGGATATGATATTGGAATTGATATATACCAAGATATCGAAAAATACAAATAATTTAAACATGATACAATGAATCTTTCCTTCTAACTGAGCGAGGCTCAACTCAACCCCTCTCAAATAAATAAAGGCCATGATTCCGCCCTAAACCAAAATTTATAATTAACTATTTGGTTGTAAGAAATGATCAATTCTTATTGACTTGTGTTTATGCTCATAATAAAATATGTTAGAAGAATGATTGCTTAGTTGTATTGATGAATAATTATAGTGAAACAAAAATGAGATTTAGAGAATTATGAACGATTTAATAATATTGAGGTACAAGTTTAGTCCATTGTACATATGATTGTGATAAATGGCTAATTCTTATTGACTTGTATTTATGCTCACGATAAATATTTTTGAATAATAAAGTGCTTTGTTGTATTGATGAATTATTATAGTAAAACTAAATTGAGATTTAGAGAAATATGATTTAATAATATTGACGTATAAGTTTAGTCAATTATACATATGATTGTATAGCTAATTTTTATTAACTTGTGTTTATGCTCATGATGATATTTTTTTAATAATAAAGTGTTTAGCTGTATTGATGAATGATTATAGTGATAAGCAGTTATTATGAACCGTGCGTGGAAACGTATAAAAATGGAGAAAAATTTTGATTTTATCATTTTTTACGCTTTCACAGATTTTATCGTCGTTTTTACAATTTTGTGTAATTAGTGACTTTAGGTAGAAACTGAAACGTTTTTGTGGTCTAAATAGGTAAAAAAGTACGATTCTACGCTTTAAAGCGCAATTTTGACTACACTGTTAGGATAAATGAAATTTTGGTTGGCGGAGAGGGAATTTCAACTTTTCGGCGGACTGAAAATTTAGGTCTAAAAATTGGGAGGGATTGAAATTGGACAATAAAAAATTGAGAGGGACTGAAATTTGGGTGGAGAAACTGATTTGTGAGGATATAATTTGTGACTTTTGTGTCTCTTAAATTCCGATATGGGATGCCTATTTTAAAAAACTTAATTGTGACACGAACTATTTGTTATATTACTCACTTTAAATGACGAACTATTCTAACAACAAGAAATTTGATACTTTTGAGCCTCTTACATCCCGATATGGGACGCGTATTTTGATAAAATTAATTGTGACACGAAATATTTGTCACATTACTCACTTTAAATGACGACTTATTCTGACAACAATTTTTGTCACATTAGGCATACCAAATAGGACATATATTGTTCTTTTCATATCACCATACCTATTATGACAAATAGAAAATGACAAAATAAATTTTTTTCCTAATAGGCTGAATTTGTTGTAGTGATAGCAAATGGAATAACTTGCTTGATCAACAAATAGAAATATGCAGGTTAAGGGAAAAAATTTGTTTTAATATAAGTCGTTGTAAGTCCTATGTTAAACCCTATCACACTTCACCATACCCCTTAAACAAACTTGCGCTATTTGTATAATTAATTAATGAGTAGTGGCATATATAACTTGCAACTAAGTACATTTACTAGTCATGATTCTTGAACTTGAGCATTCAGTGAACAACCATAGAACATATGTACACACTAATATAACCCTCTACGAATTGAGAAAGGGAAAACTTGCCTAATCTACAGCACAAAAAAACGCAGGTGAAGAAAAAATCATTTAACATAAATCATAGCAAAAGGGGAAACTTTCCTAATCGATTGGTAGAAAACATGGGTTAAGGAAAAAAAATATGTATGTGAGTGAAGAAAACCCCCTTTAAAATAAGTTCTAGCGAAAGAGGAAATTTGTCTAATAAATAGCTAGAAAAATAATTCTAACACTTACAAAGAAACAACTTCTAATGGTTAGTTGTGAAATAATTTTTTTAACAATTCATCCTGAAGTTACATTAGAATGAAACAAAATTGACTTTAAGGAACTTAGAACTAATTTGATTTCACATTATTTATAGCATGAACAATATAGCCATGTTTTGCAAGTTACAATTTCCATCAAAGCAAAATAATGTAGATGGCTTCAATATAATTGCATTTTTACACATACTGATAACGATGTAATTGCACGTATTTGCGCCCCTAGTTCTTATCTGTTTGAGGGGCATAGTCGTGTATTTTTTACCTATTTTACGCCGGGTTGTGCTATTTTGTCATATTTCAGGTCCCAGGCATCAAAGGAAAGGCTAAGCATGAGTTTTGGGGCATTCGGAAGTCATTTCGTCGAGCGGGAGCCAAAACACGGGCACACCTAAAACAGAACACGACCGTGCTTTTACTGCCAAGAGCTAATTGAGTTTGGCAAATTCAAGCTGCAAACACGGGCTGAAAGCACGGCCGTGTCCTCCCAAAAGCACGGCCGTGTTCTCCCAACACAATGGCCGTGTAATTAACCCTAGCCAAAGCACGGGCGGGCTGAAGCAAAGCACGGTCGTGCCCTCGACCGGGCAGAAGCAAAGCACGGTCGTGCCCTCGACCGTGCTTTGGCCACTGATGCCCTTTTAAGCAGATTTCAGCCAAAACAGAAGGGGATTCGAGTTTTAGAGAGACAGAGTGATTCCTAGAGAGAGAAAGCGACGAACAAGAGTCTCCAAGTGCCCTAGCTTGATCTTCAACACCATTGGAGGCCAGTTCGAGCTTGGAGAAGTGCCGATCAACGTCCAGGAGCAGGAATCCATCCTTCATAGTATGAATTCCGCGTCTGATTTTGCTTTTACTTCTTTCTCCATGGAGTAGTTCTCCCATTCATCTGGGTATGGAGAACCCTAGATTTGTATGTTAGGCTTTGATTGTATGAACCCAAGTACTGATTCTATGATTTGATTATATTCAATTGAGGTTTGATTGATTGAATGGCATGAATCCTGATCAAATTCCTGTTGTTTCTGCTTTAACCTAGAATGAGAATATCTGCTTAGGTTGATAGAGCATCCTTGATTGAAGGTAGGGAGTTGGTGACTTTAGTCGAGGAGCCAACTCACTATTCCGTACCGAATTCACTTCGGTAGTGGGGGTTTTGTTCATAGGGCCTCAATCTGTTTACTCCGGTGGAGGTTAGTCGCCCGCTAGAGACTCAGATTTAGAGGGTCTGAAGACCTTTAGTCGAGACTTCAGGCTGTTTAAGAACCTTCCGCAGTATAACTATCATAGAAACTGAACTTGGTAATTACAATCCGGCTTAACTGCAGTCTAGGGGGAACCATATCCGGGTGACCTCTCTTAACCTGAATACAACAGTTTACTTGCTTTGTTAGTTTGTTAGTTTAGACTTGCATTAAAGTTTCATTGCTAGATAACAAGAATTCACCGAGTAGTCATCAAATCTAGGACCCGGGTTGACATTTAAACCCAAACCCGCTATACTACGCTTTAGGAAGTGGTTTCACTTGGCCAATTCCTGGAGTGACAGTAGAAGTGAGTCAAGTTTTTGGCGCCGTTGCCGGGAACGGCTAGGTTGTTGAAGAAAAGTGATTTCTGTTAATTTAGCTTTTCTTTTCGCTTTGTTTGCTTTGTCCCACTTGTGCCTTCACGGGTTTGTTTGCTTGAGTGTGTGCAGGTAGTGCATGACCCGTAGCCAATCGGAAGGTTTACTGCCCTTGAATCCAGAGATTGAACGCACCTGTCGCCAATTCAGGAGACAACAGCAAGCTAGACTGGCTACGGAAGAGCGCATAGACGGCCACCTGAGCAGCGATTATGAGGAAGAGTACAGGATGGACGGAGATTACAATCAGCACCAGGGGAATCCTCAGCAGGCTCCCCCGGTGAATCAGGTCCTGGGGAACAACCCCATACCCCAGGATCATGGGGTTCATCATCATCACCCGCCGCCGGGTCCCACCTTGGAGTACTACTACACTCCTCGGATTGCTGACATCCGCCCGGTCATCCTCTACCCGCCTATTCCAGCAAACAACTTCGAGATCAAGCCATGCTGGATTCAGCTCATTACATCTTCTATCCAGTTCCATGGCTTGAAGGATGAGGAGGCCAGGGTGCATCTTTCCCGTTTTCTGTAGCTGACGAACGGGTTCAAGCTGAATGGTGTCCCTGATGATGTAATCCGCCTTCATCTCTTCCCCCATTCTCTGGCGGGGAATGCTAAGAGGTGGTTGGAGACCCAGCCCCCATTGTTCATCACCTCTTGGGATGATCTGGCTGACAAATTCGTGCACAGGTACTATCCGGCATCGAAGACTACAGAGATCCAGCGGGAGATCACTCACTTCCGCCAAGAGCCAGACGAGTCACTTCGTGATGCATGGGAGCGGTACATGGGATATTTCTGGCAGTGTCCCCATCATGGCTTTAGTGATGCATTCACAGTGGGGAACTTCTACAGTGCTCTCTCTCCAGACAGCCAGAGGGTGATTGAGTCTCTATGCCCAGGAGGGGATATTCTTACTAAGACTCCACCCGAGCTGAACCAGATGATCAATACCTTGGCTGCCAGAGATCATTCTTGGGGACAGAGCAGCAGAGGCAGACATTCCCGGGACCATGGTGTGCACGCCATGGAGACCAGATCCGGGCTCGAGCAGCAGGTAGCTGAGCTAGTGCAGACATTGAAGCAGCCCAACAGTCTTATTCCTGGCAGAGGTTTGGCTACACCTCCAGTAGCTCAATGTCAGTGGTGCGAGAGCTCCAATCACCTAGTGGAGGACTGCCAGGCTATGAGAGAGTCTACCACTCCCCAAGATCAGTTTGACTTCATCGCCAATGCTCGGCGCCTCGACCCGTACAGCAACACATATAATGAGGGGTGGCGCCAGCATCCCAACTTCGCCTTGAGCAGCAACACCACTAAACCACCTGGTTTCCCAGCACCAGCAGGTGGTTTTCAGCAGAGGCAGCCCTTCCAGGCTCGACAGGGGCCAGCCCCACAGCAGCAGCCCTACCAGCCTAGGCAGGGGCAACCATTCCAACAGCCCCAGCGTCAGTTTGTCGAGCCAGCAGCAGCCCCTGCCCCAGATGACCGGATGACAAAGCTGGAAAATATTCTAGCTTCATTCATGACTAGCACTCAGGCTGCTATCACGTCACTGGAGGCAGGTCAGCGGAACCAGGGTGCCATTTTGCAAGATCTGCAGACCCAGGTGGCCATCTTGGCCCGCCAAAACACTACCAGGGCACTGGGGACTCTGCTTGTCACCACTATCCCGAATCCTCGGGATCCTCACCAGCTCTAGCAGCTGGATGCCATTTTTACCAGGAGCGGTAAGACCATATCTGCTGATCCTGTCCCGGCCAGACAGGAGGAACCACTACCTGCTTCAGCACTTCCAGCCGACGATGCAGAAGTGCGGGTGGAGAAGGAAGCCCCTGCTCCCAAGCCACAACCAGTGGTTAAGGAGCATGTACCCCAGCTTCCCTTCCCCACTCGCCTACACAAAGACAAGTTGGAGACTGAGTTTGCCAAGTTTATGGCAATGTTGAAGCAGCTCAACATCAGCATACCGTTCGTGGGCATACTAATAGAACATAAAAAGTCATGCAAAAATGACCCACCAAGGTCTCTCAATGCACATAAGACATCATTAAAGCATACAGAACAATCATATTGCAAAGATAACTCATGTCATTGCCTAACAATGTACCAAAATTCAAATTACTCTCAACTACATTTTGACCTATCTAAGGTAGAAAAATAGTAGAAAAATGGAAAAGACTACCTAGCTTGCTTAAAAAATGATGATTGAAAATGAGGTAAGATGAAGTATGGTCGAAAAGGTTGGAAGAGCTTTGAAAACATGGTTTTTGAGATTTTAAAGTCCTTAGTGGAAAGAGCACATGAAGGCAAAGCTAAACCTCCCCTTTAAGGTAAGTCCTAGCGAAAGGGTAAACTTGTGTCATCGACAGCTAGAAAATCATATATTAAGAGGAAAAATCATACGTGTTAAGAAAGAAAAAATCTCATTAATGTAAGTCCTAGAGAAAGGAATAGCTTGTTTGATTGTCAACTAGAAAAATGTGAGTTAAGGAAAAAAAATTGTTTTTAAGATAAGTCTTTGCAAGTCCTATGGTAAACCTTGCCACACTTCACCATATCCCCTTAAACAAACTTGTGTTATTTTTATAATTAATTAATGAGTAGTGACATATAAAACTTGCAACCAAGTACATTTATTAGTTATGTTTCTTGAACTTGATCATTCAGTGAACAACCATAGAACATATGTACACACTAATATAACCCTCTACGAATTGAGAAAGGGGAACTTGTCTTATCTACAGAAGAAGAAAAAAAAACTCAAGCGAAGAAAAAAACCTTTTAACATAATTTCTAGCTAAACGGGAAACTTGCCTAATCGATTGGTAGAAAAACATGAGTTAAGGAAAAAATACGTATCTGAGAGAAGAAAAAAACTCTTTTAAAATAAATTCTAACGAAAGAGAAAACTTGTCTTGACACTGCATTTATACTTCTAATTAGAGGTGTCAATTCTCAATCCAATCCACCAATCCATTAAAAATATTCACATAATCCAATCCATTTAAATCCAATCCATTTGATCCAAATCCAATGGGATTCGTGGATTCATGGATTGATCCATGGATCCAAATGACAAATTACGATTTGGTATCTATATTTTTTATTTTTTACATTTGGTACCTAAATTTAATTTTTATACGAAAAATAACATTAAAAAATTATATTGTGGTACCTAAAATTTTTCATCATGACATTTTAGTACCTAAACTTTTCACATTTTACATATTGGTCCTTGGTTGAGGATGCCATTTGGATTCATGGATAATCCACCAATCCACTTGATCCAGTCCATGAATCTATGAATCCATTAGATCCATGGATCAATCCATTTGTCACATCTACTTCTAATGGTTAGTTTTTTGAATTTTTTTAATAATTCATGCAAAAGTTGCACTAGAATGACAGGAAATTGACTATAAGGAACTTAGAACTAATTTGACTTCACATGATTAATAACATGAGCAATATAGCCATGTTTTGCAATTTACAATTTCCACCAAAGCAAAACAGTGTAGATGACTTCAATTCAATTAAATTTTTACACTTACCCATCACTTACCCTATCTCTTAAGAATGATGCATATACAATGTACTTAGTCTTTCTTTCATCTATAAACACATCTGCTTTATATAAAAATTTGTATCTCTGTTTACTATACAGACAATGTTGTGAGTTCTTTTTGTTTACTTTCTTATATTTTTTTATGGTTTCATTTTTTTACTTCATTTTTTATATAAAATAATATTAATAAAAGAAAAGACAACAAAGAGTTTAAGCAAGAAAACAAGGCAAACAGACGACAAAACAAGAAACAAAAAAGACTGAACAAGTCCGAACCGCAGCAGAATACAAATAATGGATACGAAGGCTCTAGGATGAAAGTGATTCTAAAAAAATATCATATAAATATTTCAGACCAACACTCCTTCCTGCAGCAACATAGCCTAACAAAAGCAGGCCAGCAAACATCGGACCAAACCAGCAATACCTTTAGACCCCATCAAAACACCTCCAGCTTCACTTGACAAGATCTGTGAATCAATCCAATCCAAAGGTAGCCCTGCAGATTCTGCAGTATCAAGCAACAACCTACAACTATTTTAGGGCAGAAGTATAAGCCAAAAACAACGAATGACCACTTCTTTAGACCTCCTGCAACAACCAACATTATCTCTAGGACACAATGAACACAACAGGGCTACACCATACGCCCAAACAGCAAACCTTAAGCTTGATCATCCACTAGGTTATCATTAAACGAAACTTTATATCAAAACTCACTTGCTAGTCATGAATCATGCTTATTAGCCTTTATTTGTGTATATTTATGAAGGAAATAACAATTTTTTGTCACAATGAGTTTCTCGGTGAGAGCTTTGTTTGCCCTCCATTCGAACTCTCATCTTGTCCTGGACTCTAGAGTGGACAAGAACTTCCAAAAAAATATAGGGTAAGAGATATTCTTAACATGAAGATATGCTTATTTGGTTAAACGATGCATATTCTACATTGCATATGCATATGAGATACTATTATCAAAAATTTTAATCACTTTTTTTGTATTTGTGTAATTTCATATTTGAAATTGTGGATGAAGCAACTAGCTAGTAGTTATTCAATGACAAACTCTACCGATGCACATTCTTAAAGAGTTCTACCAACAGATATTCGTGAGAGTGAAGAAGTTGAATTTGGAACTTCAAATGTGTGACCATATTTTACTAGAATGAATTGGTTAGATAGGCTAAATAGATTTGTTGCTTGCAATACTGTCCAAAAAAGATGAAGTGTGCATCTACTTCTTGAACTAGTAGTTTTAAAAGACATTTGAGAAGATGCAGAGTCTACCCCTATAGTGATTTTAACTTCAGTAGTAATAGAACTCCAAGTATTAAGAGTATTAGCAATGCATCTCTCTCTTTTGCATCTCAAACATATGATTATAGACGAGTTAGCATTTAAACATGTCGAGTTTCATATTTATTCTAAAATCACTATAGCAAAAGATTGTCTCAAGTTTTTTTGGCTGTGAAATAAAAATTGAAAAATTACTTCAAGCAATCACAAATAAGAGTTGATCTAACAACTGATATTTGGGCAAGTAGACACCATTTGGATTATATGAGTCTTGCTGCCCACTTCACTGACCTTGATTGGAGAATACAAAAAAAAACTCTCAACTTCTCTTCTATTCATAATCACTCAGGTCACAAAATTGAAAAAATGATAGAAAACATCATCTTAATAGGGGAATTAATAGGGTTATAACAGTGAATAATGTAAGTTCTAATGTTGTGGCCTTGTGGGTATGTCATATTTAAAAAAAAAGATTTAACAATTGAAAGGGGAGTGTGTTGAAGGTAAAAACATCTTTGGATGAGATGTTGTGCTCATATATTAAACTTGATTGTGAAAGATGGATTAAATGATGTTCATGATTAAATTTTCATACTCGGTCGACATTCAAATTTTGTGAGATCATCAAACTTCAGAATGCAAAGATTCAAAACTTACGCCATGAAGAGAAGTTAGAGACCAAAAACTCATGTGTTTACATTTGGAGACTAGATGGAATTCTACTTTCATGATGTTGGAGTCGATTTTGGTATTTAAAAGGGCATTTGATATGTTAGAGGAGGAATATCTTAAGTTTAAAGTTGAGCTTGACAAGTTGAAAGAGACTCCAAAGGAGTTGGATTGGTGTTATGTGGAGTATTTAGTTTCATTTCTGAAAATTTTCTATGATGTTACAATGAAAGTTTTGGATTATTTGTATGTCACAAACAATAATCTTTTTCATGTAGTATATGGAATTGCTTGCAAGCTTAAAAAGGAAACTTCATCGAAAATTGAGAGTTATAAAGCCATTGCAAAAAGAATGAAAACTTAGCATGACAAGTATTGGGACAGTTTGGATAGTATTAACCACTTGTTATTTATTATTGTTGTTGACCCAAAATACAAGTTTAAATATGTTGTTTTTTAGCTTGATGAGGTTTATGAGATAGATCGAGAAGGGGGGAAGAGTTTCCTAGATGACATGTTCAAGAACTATTCATAAATGAGAGGGGTTATTTGTGGAAGTTCATCGAGAAGGGGGGAAGTGTACAACGAAATGATGAAAATGAGGAATGAGAAAATGTTGAGGATTGTTTGAAGAAAAATTTAAAAAGAAAGAGAATAGAAGATAGAGCAGTTTAAACTAGTATTCCATAACTTGAGAGGTGTTTGAAGGCAAACATTGAGGATGACGAGGATAAGAAATTTGATATTTTTATTTTAGCATGGTGGAAGAAACACTCTAGTGAGTACCCAATATTGGATTTGATGGGTACAGATATGTTGGCAATTTCGGTATCCACGGATGCATCTGAGTCCGCTTTTAGTACTAGTGGATGCGTTCTAGATGCATTTCGGAGTTCCTTGACTCTCTTGGTTGATGAAACTTTGATTTGTGGTCAGGTTTGGCTTTAATCAAGTACTCTTCCAATTGATATGGAAAAGAAGTTTGAGGGAATTGAATAACTTGAGCAAGGTATGAATTTGATCAATAATTTGATTTTAACATTTTATCATTTGTCTAGACTAATATTAATTTATTTGGGGTGTTGTTAATTTTGCAGGGTTAAAAGGAGTTTTGCTTGGATGATAGTACTTAGGGGTGGAAGTTTGGTTTGCAGATTGCGGGTAATCCACAAACCGCACCAAACCGCATACATTGTGGGTAACCATACCCACAATTTGTGGATAGTGGGTTGGGTGTGGGTAGCAAAATATTGATTTTTGTGGTTAGTGGTTAACCACTATCCACAGCGGTTAACCCACAAAACCCACAATAACCACACTAAGTATATTTATTTATTAATAATACTTTGTAATATTAAAGTATGTGAAAAGTAGAATACTACAAATTAAAGTAGGCTCCAAAATCAAATATATACTTATTTTATAAAATAAAACTAAGTCAATACACCGTGTTCGTATGTGATACTTTTATTAAATAAGTATTGTCCGTGTGGTATATGTTTATTTTATAACAAAACAAAGATGATAAATGTGGTTTATAGTTTATTTAACACTTTATTGATTAACAAAACAAAGCATGACCTATTTTAGTAATTCGAGTGACCAAATTTGATATTAATTTTTTCTAGTGACTAAACATGACACAATTTAGTAATTCCAGTGACCAAATGTGGCATTAACTTGAATAACAAAATGGTAATTATGTCCATCTCCATCCAAAAACCGTTAGTTTAGCCCAATCAGCACGCCATGTCACTTTAAATACTAGCACAAGACCCGGCCTGTTGGCCGGAAGAATTTTATCGAGGAATATGATATATAATAATCGATATAATAGATGATTTGAAATGCATGAAATTATTGTTTTCTACCTTAGTTATGCATATAACATTTTTGAAAGTGATCCAACTATGCATAATGTGTTTAGACCTCCATGAAAAGAGAAAAAATATATAATATAAGCATTACATATAATTATTGAATGAAAAAAGAAATAAATATAAATGATTGTCATTCACTACTTAATTAAACCATATAGTTGAATATTAGAGTTGCTTCTTATAACACATACATAATCAACCTTTAGGATGAAACAAAATGTCTCTCATAGAGTTTAGTATGTCCTTTAAGTTTTTCCCAATATAGAGCATTATTTTTTACCATACTGTTGGTAATGAATCTGAAGTTGCTTGATTTGAAATATATAAGACATGGTACTAACTTGTCGCTAATAGTTACTTGGACAATGTGTTGTGTACGGACTTACCAAATTATTCTCAGATTGCATACATGTCTCGCAACAATGTAGTAATTTTCATGCATCAAATTTTTTTTTCATGAAATAATTCAATAAATAAAAACCTATAAAATTCATATTACATGAAATATATGTTACTCATTAAGTTGACGAATGAGCGAGTGTATGAGAAACATAAATTTATTTTAAAAATACAGAAGTTGTAAAACATCTTTTGGGTTGAATGGGATCACATATTCTCATTCTCACAAACTGACTTATGTTTTTTTTGCAATAAATAGTTCACAATGTGTCTTAAAACTTTTGTTTTCACCAGTGTAAAAGAATTGTTGAAACCAAAAGATTGTAAAATCGTCTCCAAAAAGTTGATAGTATAGTATTTTATACTGAAATTATAATTTAACTGTGGTTCAATTGTTTCATATTGCTAAATATCACCTATTGATTTAGCCTATGGTGTGAAGTTTTATTGTCGAACCGCAGGTATGTACGATCTTTCGATTCAAACTTTAAATGAAAAACCACTAAAATATTGACATTATCAAATAACCCTTAAACCTAATAAATTACCATAATCGTATCAAGGAAAAAATCATCCAAATTATAATACAGATTTAGGATTTTAAATTGAAATTAAAATGGAAAAATTTTGTCAAATATAATGTCTTTCCTAACATAAATCTAAACATGGCAAAAAGAGTTTAAAATAAAACATCCAACTCCAGTCATACTTAAGTTAATTGGCATAATAGTAATTGCATAGACAAAGCTATTGATGCGAGAAGGAAAAAAAACTTTAATGATAGAGCTTAATGAAATTGATACGAGCAGATCTGGGTAAATAGAGTGCTTGAATGTAAAGAAAGCTTGTAAAGTAAATCACTTGAATGTAAATATGCTAGTAGGTGGATGATTATAACTGTACAATGATCGAGCATAAAATATACGAAATGAGATGGAATTTCATTAACAATATTGAAGCGGAGTCAAAAGCACCAACCTTATTGGGATTTCTGCTTCAAGAACACTTCCTTGATTCTCCTCACTTCAGATATCTGGACTAAGTTTTGTGTTTTAAGGAAAAGAGTGTTTGGGAATTGCCGTTTCTATATATTTTTCCTCCCCAAATCGTTCCCCTCAACAAAGAGCTCAAGGAGCTCATTTAAAGCAAACTAAACCGCCACGTGTCGCTCTATGATTCGAACATTTCTTTATTATGACTTTGAAATGTGTGCCTGGTCGGCTGGATAAGATATGGTCAGACCGATTTGATCAAGGTCGGTTTATGGTTGGTTTTTGGACTGAACTGGTTGGCAGAGTAGGACCTGTTGGGTTTGGGTCGGATTTCGTTGGGCCAAGTTGGGACAGAATTGGTTTCTCTGCTGGCCGATTGGGCCTCTGGTTTTGGGTTAGAAACTGGGCTCAAGTGACAGCCTATTTTGGGCTTAAAAATTTGGAATTGAACTAAGTGGTCTCTTCTCTTTTTATTTTTTTCCAGGTATCTTGGCTTGGTTGACTGAGAAAGTTGGGCCAGTGGACCAGATTCATGCCTCAAGGCTCAAATATTTCTCTCTTTGTAATTGTATGTGTACAAATCAAATTCCGTGGCCCAAATTTTGTAGAGGTACCATTAGTCACTGTAATTAATTCTAATTCTCGCTTTATTTAGAGGTCATTGCCCAAGTTGTACGATGTATGAACTTTGAATCTTTGATAATAAAGCTCATTCTACTATTTAATTTGTCCCATTTCAAATACCGAATCCAAATCCAAACTCGAGCAACAAAATTTCCGCTATAGTCATTTCTTCCATCCAATTGAGAATTTATATTTAAGATTTGCCACTGCTAATCTTTACTTAAACTGATCATATCTTAACTAATTATGCCCTAGAATCGACTAGGAGCACATTTGACAATTGTTGGTTCATATTGACTTGCAACCGCTAGTCTCAACCAAACTATCTTCGGCTTCCTTTTTAAATACAATCGTAGTACGACGTGGCAATAATTATTTTCAATAAAACGATTATCCCGGACAAAATGTGGTGTCTACATTCATGGTATGCTCTAACTCTGTCATGCTAGCTCGGCCATGTGCCTGGGTATAGTTATATGCATTATAATAAATAAGTTTCTACCTATTCAGAACACCAAGACAAAAAAAAGTCATAAATGCATCTAGTATTCGATTTTGACTACATGATAAAATACTATATCTTTTGTCCAAACCTTTTTTAGATTCTTTTATATTATCCAAACATATTAAAATTCGATTAATTAGCCAAACTTTCATAATTCATCAAAATATTAACCATTTTTACGTTATCGTTAATAATTTTGTAACTCTTTCTTTAGTTAAATTACTAAAATTTTGGAATCTTGACCTTCATGTGTCTCTTCCAAGTCAATTTCATGTTGCCAAGTCAATATTACTAACAAAATTGCTAACTGGAAGGGAATGCGTTAGCCTGGTTCCTTATTTTTAAGTAGCCACCATGGCTACCTCCTTTTTGGCCATACAGATTAGAGAAATTCAATCTGAGGGTCCATTTTGTTGAAGGGTGTTTACGGAAAGGACCACATAATCATTACTAGGCCCGAAATCATAGCCTTGCCCCACGCTTCCCTTCTTTATTGTTCCTTTCCTTCTCAACGCAGCTCCCAAACCCAAAACCCTTTTTCCTTTTCCCTTTTGCAGAGAGCAGAAGCTTCTCTGTCCGCCGCGATTTCTGCTTCTCTTTCCGCCGCAATTTCTCTCCGGCGTTGTCCGCCGCCGCCGCATTCTCTGTCCGCCGCCGCATTCTCTCTCTGGCGCCGTGGTCTCTCTCCGGCGCCGTGGTATCTTCCGTCTTTACCATCCCTCCCTCGCGCAAACAGATAAGGGAAGGGTTTTCTGGACCGTCGCCGCCGTCGTTCCTTTCTAGCGAGGGTTGTCGTTCATCTCCGATGGCGCACCGGCGACATTCAGCTTAGCTCTTCCAGCAACCATTCCCGTTGTCGGCTGTGAGCTACTGATCTGAGGTTCGTCTCCCGCTTAGTTTCCACCTGTATGTGAAACCGTGCTTTTTGATGTGGAATGGTAGTGTTATGTTTGGAATGGTAGTTTTTTTTGCTGTTTTGAAATGTAGTGTTATGTTGGAATGGTATTCTTTTGTGCAGTTTTCTTTCATGCATTGGTAGTTTTCTGCATACATGTGAAACTGTTCTTTTTTTATGTGGATTGGTACTGTTCTGTTCTCCATACATGTGAATCTGGTAGTTTGATGTGGATTGGTAGTCTTCATTTGGATTGGTAGTTTTATTACTGTTTTGAATTGTTGTGTCATGTTGGATTGGTAGTCTGCATTTGGATTGGTAGTTCTTTACTGTTTTCATTCATGCATTGGTAGTTTTCTGTATACATGTGAAACCATGCTTTTTGATGTGGATTGGCACTGTTCTGTTCGAATGGTAGTTTTTTAGTTTTTTTGAATGGTGGTTTCCTTTCATGCATTGGTAGTTTTCTCCATACATGTGAATCTGGTAGTTTGATGTGGATTGGTAGTCTTCATTTGGATTGGTAGTTTTTCCCCATGCAACGGTTGTGATGCTTGATTAATGTTAAACGACTTACCTCCCATTTTTCCAATTTTAGGAATGGCAAGAACCAAGAACCCCAGTCGTAGGGGCTCAAAACACAAGGAACCTGTTACCTACAACAGTCGTCAGGTTCAAGTTGGAAGTGGGCAAACCTCGGACTCTATTGATGAAGCTGTGCCGCAGAAGGATATGGGTAAATCTAAACCACCTGGGAAGAAGTGCAGCCCCGCATCGATTATATCAATTGTCGAGAATGGTATAACAAATGCAAGGATAGAACTAATAAAGAAGCTCGGATTGGATTTTGTTTTCCATTTGAAGATGAAAAGGTTTGACAGCGAGCTCCAATACGTCTTACTCCAAAACCCCTCCAGTATGCGAAGTTTTTGTAGAACTTGACAAATGCTTCCCTATTTTCAAATCTCAAATGCTGCCATGTCGATTTGTCGGCCGGGACAACTTTATACACCTGATCTGCAATTTGTAAAACAATAATTAATCACTACCATTCCAATAACTCATACTACAACTAACAAAGCACTACCATTTGTTCCAAATATGCCAAAAAATAACTACCATTGTAGTAGCTAATACAAAAATCAGAACCAATACCAATCCAATCAAACTAATACCAATGCGATACGAACTACCAATAGCAATCCAACATATACCAATGTAAGGACTACCATTATTCCTAAACAAGTACGTAACAATACCAATCCGAAACATGTATGCAGAAAACTACCACTCCATGAAAGGACTACCACTGCAAAGAAAGGACTACCACTGCATGGAAAAATTCACCTTCACCTTCGTCAGAATTGTCAAAAGCGTCGCCTACAAAGCCTTCTTCCACAGATTGATCTCCGACGATACCAGACCCTTTGCAAGGATTTCCGACGAAAAGGGATGTTAATTTTTTGCCGTTCAAGCAAAAGCATACAATCATGAATGGTTTAGATACTTACCGTCGTCGCTTTGGATCGCCATATCCTCTTCCTCGCCACCAGAAATAGGACTTTCTCCGAACAACACTTCCATTGCCATCCTTCTACGCTCTACCACATCCGGCGATGATGCAACGTCGGCGGTCGCCATTGAAGCAAAGTCGGCGGTCGCCATTGAAGCAACGTCGGCGGTCGCCATTGATGCAACGTCGGCGATGATGCAACTCCGGCAAAAAAAGTGGACTTCGAAGTGTACACGGCGGCAGAAATAGGGCCGGCCAAAAAATGTGCCATTCAAAAAACCCTACGATGATTAAACTACCTAATAATTAATTACCGTAATTATCTCTTCCTAATTAATTGCGTAATTAAAATGGTAGTTTGAATTAGGATGGAAGCAAAATACCCTTCTTATCCCTAGTAACCACCATGGTTACTAACACTAAGTATCCACCATAACCTCTCCCAACTGGAAGTTAACATTGGACTAATTCTTAGTATTTCGATAGGATATAAAAGAATCTGAAAAAGGTTTGGATAAAAAATAGACATTACCCTTATAATAAATAAGTTTCTACCTATTCAGAACACTAAGACAGAAAACAGTCATAAATGCATCTAGTATTCAATTTTGACTACATGATATAATACTACATTTGAACAAACTACCACTGATGTCACAAATAATAAGTATGCCTCTAAATCATACATAAAATATTTCATACATCACAAATATTAAGATTAAATTAATTGTTATAAAGAGTAAAAATTATATAATGAGGTTAATTATAACTCATTTATATGTTAATGCCCTTAAATTGATCAACACATCCAAAAATGGTGAAATGAACATCATATTAAACCCAATATCGTCTCATTATTGTCGGGTCCATTCATGCCAGATTATCAAGAGGTTTAACTTTTAGCAGTTAACCAAGCTAAAATTTATAGAAACAATCACCTATAGTTTGTACAAAATATTATTGCTTCGTATTAAACTCAATATCGTCTCATTATTGTCGGGCCCATTCATGCCAGATTAGCAAGAGGTTTAACTTTTAGCAGTTAACCAAGCTAAAATTTATAGAACCAATCACCTATAGTTTGTACAAAATATTATTGCTTCGTAGTAGTTCTGAAAATATACTTTAATTTAAAGAACTCTACATCACTTTTGCATATTGAATAGTGCAATTCGATATGCAATATTTCAAGCATTGAAATTTGTGTTGCAATTTTAAGATTACCCGTCATTTGATAGGTTATAAAAAATTATAAATCATGTATTAAACTTTGCTTGTCTGAAGATTTAATAGGCCAGATAACCGTAATGGAAAATTCCTCTCCTTTTCAAATCTTCGCTTAGTGTATGTTTACAATTTAAGAAGATAAAACAAATTTGTTTAGTGTAATTGGTTGTAACTATTGTTTTTGTTTGAAGATACTATGGTTCAAATCTTGATATTGATAGTTTTTTATAGGAAGTAGATAAATAATTGTGATGACAAAAATACTTTTCCTACTTTCACTCTCGTTTCACGAAATTTGAAATGAAAAATCTCAAAACATTGAATATATCTTATAGAAAATGGTAATTATGTTCATCTCCATCCAAAAAATCGTAATTTAGCCCAATCAGCACGCCATGTCACTTAAAATATTAATTGAAAGATTAATGACCAAACCCAATCGAACCGGACAACCCAACCAAAAACCCTATTTCTATACCATCCAAAATGTTGGAGACTATCCTTTTTCACCCGAGCTTCTCCCGGGTCACGTTGCCAGCCGAAACAATCGGAGGTTCGCGCCCTGAAGCAAACCATGGGTGCGAAAGGTCAGTCGAGTAGATGATCCTGCATTATTTGGCTCGCACGCTGTAGATTTTGGGCCGAAGTGGTGGAATTCGACGCCGACGAGCACTCGAATCCTGGACAATTCGTCATACCCGTCTAGTACAAGGGTAGTGAGCCCACCATCTACCTCTACATCCTTCCCTCGATGACTATCTGTAGATGAATCAACAAACCTCGTTGCATCAAACTTTCTTATGTACGAATTAATGGCGGGGCGGGGGTGTTGGGGGAACTCGGGAAGAAAGTAATCGCAGATCTGGCATCACTCCTCTGTTCTAGGGAGGATGGCGAGGTCTCGCTGACCGTTGATGCAAAAGCAGACCAAGCCGCAACAGGGGAAAGAGTCGTTGTCGTTTCGAGGGATATTTCCAATAATAGCACCTAGTTAAATAAAATTACAAAAATAGCATCCAGCCCACAAAATTTACAAAAATAGCATCATTTTTATCAAACCGCACCTCCAAGGTGCGTTTTATGTATAAACCGTACCTTGGAGGTGCGTTTTGCGCCACGTCAGACTGGAAACCGCATCAGGAAGGTGCGGTCTGTGTTTCCTCGGGAGCAGGCTTGGAGACCGTAGGATAAGGCAGCGATCCAGCGGCGGACCGCTAGCCACCTCAGCGATCCTTGCCACGGATCGAAGACCGCAGCTGGCAGGTGCGGTCAGCGCCTCGATCCCGCAGACCGCATCGGGAGGGCGCGGTTTCTGGCAAAGCTAAATTACCAGACCGCCCCTGAAGGGTGCGGTCTGAAGGATATAAATACCTCATCCCCCATGTCATTTCTTCACACCACAACCATTCTTCACTCTCTCTCTAGAATTATCTCTCTAACCCCTCACTTCCGGCGGGACTGAGTACGACATGGGTTTGGACAATTGAATCGATGGAGCCGGACGGTGGGCAGAGATAAAGGGTGCAGTGAAGTGTTCTCTGTAGTCCAATTCTCTAACCATGAGTAAGCTGTAACTACCCATCTTCTCATCTCCTTACCTTGAGTTTCAGTCGTCTTAAATGCCAAGCCTCTCTTCTGAGTTTAATCTCATTGCACTAATTACACTAGGAATAAAAGCTAAGTGGGTTATCTTTTCTTTCTTAGGGGTCGTTTGCTTGTTGGATTTGAAAAATGAGGGTTTTGGCTCAAAAAAACCTTTGGATTTATGAGGGATTTGTACCATCATGGATTTGAAGAGTCTATTGCTTGCAGTGGCGGATCCAGGGCTGGGCCAACCCAGGCCCCGGCCCAGCCCTCTTTCGGATCCAGAGTTAGTTTAGTGCTTATAAAATTTTTCGATTTAGGTATTTGGGCCAATGCTATATAAATTCATGTCTAGTTTTATTTAATAATAGGATTTTGTGTAACTAGAAAAATGATTCAGATGAACATATCCAAACCATTACTCTAAATTTATACTAAAATTTCTATAGCCCCAATGACTTTATTTGAAAAAAAACATGAAAATCTAAAAGTGTAAGATTCATTAACATAAAAACTCTGAACTAAAGCACACCCTTCCTTGAAAAATTCAAAAAATTTCCCAATCCCCCAAAAACAAAACAAGAAGGAGGAGACGAGCATACCCAAAATGGATTTCTCCGCCAACCCGTCGAGCTAGTTTTCTTTCCATTCTTTTGATCAAGAAAATATTTACCAACTTCCTGAATCATCATTTAGATTGCCTCAATTGAGTGGGGCACTAGATTCTAACCGTTCTTTCTGGTGTTTTGATGAAAAAAATATTTACAAACTTGCTCAAGAGTTTAGCCTCGAGACTTTGAATGCTATGAGATGCATTCTTTGGAGAATGCACTACTCATGTGAGGAAGATGAAGTTTCTTCTCTTGCAAAATTATTAGAGAAGCTGGAGGAAACAGGGATGGACACATAATACAAATTGATTTATCGGTTGATTTGTCTAGTGTTGATCTAGCCGTTTCAACAACTACCATGGAGAGAGTATTTTCAGCAATGGAACATGAACATTGATTTGTGCAACAAAATGAGCGATGAATTTCACGTTGATTACTTAGTTATTTTCTTTGAAAATAGTATATTATAAGTATGAATGGAGATTATATTATTGATGAATTTTATAAATTAAAAGACTTTCTTGTACAATTGACATTGTAATGAAAACTATATTATTATATATTTTTGTTTATAGTATATAATATTCTATTCAAATACGGCCCAATGCTCTTTTATATCCTGGATCCGCCGCTGATTGTTTGCATGATAGATTTGATGATATAATTATGATGGATTTGCTATAAATATAACTAGCCATCAAGGATTTACAAATCTCACCCCAATATGTGGGATTTACAAGTCCGTGGGTCCACAGATTTGGATACAAAAAAGGGAACAAATCCGTGGACCCCACGGATTTAACACATGACAATAAACAATGGACTTGGCTAAAATCCATCATGCTTGGGATTTGAGTCCCAAATCCATGACCCAAATCCATCAAGCAAACGACCCCTATGATCGAGGAGTACTTTTCTTACTGAAGCAGACAGGGGAAAGAGGGGTGTTTGCTTCAGGCCGATGTCGCGACCCGGAGAAGCTATTGGCGACGAGAGATTTCTAAGGGCGTGATTCTGGGGAGCGGAATCACTCTGCAGGGCCGAGTAAAAAATGATGGTCTCCAAGATTTTGGGCAGTTTAGAATTAGGATTTCGGTTGGCTGTCCGATTCAATTAGATTTGGTCATTAAATTTTTTATTAATATTGTATGTGACGTGACGTGTTGATTGAACTAACCTAACAAATTTTCGGATGGAGATAGAAGGAATTATCATTTCTTTACTTTCTCAAACATATGTTACTGAAACGTACAAAATCAAAGGTTTGTGATCGTTTCGTACAAAGTGAATATGTTTGTGACCGTTTATGCTAATTACCCATTTATTTTCATGAATTGTCTTCATTATCATTGAGAGGTTACAATTTGATCTATATATAATTTATATATATGAAGAAATATGTTTGACAGGACGAGTATGGGTATGGGGAGATTCTCTGCGTTGACTGGATCGAATACGATCGGATACTCACAATCATGAGTTTGATTGTCATCCCTACCCACAATCATCATCATCGTCATGATCATAACAACCACCGCCGGCCTCCTAGTCTACTGCCTTTGGGTATGTAATTACAACTCCACCACCTCCGTCTCTTCTCCTTCCTGGCGGCTTTCTGTCGTTCCTTTCCTTCTTCGCACTCTGCGTCGAGATCCGTGGTGAGAGCTCCAACTCCCTCTCTCGTCTAAAAACTAGGTAGGTAGCTGGCGTGGCTGGCTACTTTATTTCCCCGATTCACTAGGTTTTTTTTTTTTTTTTATGTTTGTTCGGATTCTGATCCATTTGCTTGTTGAATTGATATAATTTGACTTGATTTCATTGGGAATGCATTTAGCATGGATTGTACAGTTTTTTTCTGTTCCTAAGCTCGAATTTGGTGCAAATGGGTGGGTAGGCTTGTAGAGAATTGATACCAACGAGCTAGTGGATGCTATTTTTGCAGACCTGCTGCTTCATCAGGGATATTGCTTGGAGCAGTTGCATTGCATGCACTTGTGATCATGAGGAGAAGAGAATCTTGTATTAATGATTGTGTTGAGCAACTGTTTTTCAGCGAGAAAACTTCTTGTGTTGAATTGAGATTGATTGCACCTTTGACTTCTTTGGACAACGATTACTAAGACACGGCTTACACCTCTTCAAATAAAGTTTGAACGAGGGTGTTTGATTGATGGTTTTTAGGAACAAATCTAAATTAAATTACTTCTACTCCTATGGAGGTTCGGCGAGAGCTCCAAACTACGAACTACATCTATGGCTACATGATAGAGAAAAGGTATAGGATAAACTTGACATGTGTGTCAGAGTGTTGGTTTTGGAACCTTTTTCTATGTTCACCCCTCCTCTTATTTATAGCCACGAGGAGGTAACCGCCATAGAAAACCGCTTGTTGGATAACTGCTACAAAGAATCGCTCCATGCTTCCTCGGAGTGGTGGTTACTCTTTCAACCGCCTAGGGGCCTCTCTTGTAACTGTCGTGGGTCTTGGAGTGTAGCTTGCCTCGCCTGGTCTTGTTCTGAATCTCGTGTTATGCTAGTCTTTTGATAAGCATGTGGTATCTCACAAAGGGGGTCGTGGTCTTCTTGCTTCTTGAGACATATTCACCAGTGATATAATGCTCCATCACCACACCCTTTTTATTTGTGTCCATGGCCCCTCTCATGCGGCGGCATGGACCTCTCAATCGTGCACATGGCCCCTCTCGTGAAGCGGCATGTTCTTCCCAGACTTAGAATATTTTTAGGTCATTCGAATTTGGTCATAAGGCGGCATGGCCTTTTCATTCGCGGCCATGGACCTCTCATTCATGCTCGTGGCCCATCCTGTGACACGGCATGACCTTCTCGATCTCTAGAGAGACATGACCCTCCTCGTTAAAGCGACAAGTCCTTCTCCACACTTAGAATATCTTTGTCTTCTTTGAAGTGTGATTCGCGGCCTTGTGTCCATGGCCCCTCTCGTGACACGGCCATGGATCTCCCAATCATGCACATGGCTCTTCTCTTGAGGTGGCATGGTTTTCTCATACTTAGTTTTTCAATCATGCCTAAACCTCTTGTCTCCCATCCATTCCCCTTCTCCTGACTCGGCATGGACGTCTCGCGTCCATGCCTCTTCTCGTGAAGCGAGATGGCACGTGCTTCTCCTTGAAGCGGCATGTACCTCTTCCAGACTTAGTTTATTTTTCAGTCATTCAGTCTTGATCTTGGGGCGGCATGTGCTCCTCGATTTCTAGATGGACATGGCCCTCTTCATGAGGCGGCACATGCTTCTAGATTTTAGATGGGCATGACCCTCTTCGCTGAGGCAACATGTCACTCTCCAGACTTAGTGGCTTGGGCTTAAAATCAATATCCATAAGGCCCAACTTAAACAATATTAATTGTTATAATGGGTGCGGACTTAAACTCATTGATTATCTTGTAACTCACCAATGTGGTACAAGACAAATTTTATGGTGTAAACAGCAACAAACTGGACAGTTCAAGAAGCTACTTTTATTCTCTGGAAATGATTACTTGGATTCAGTTCACATCCCACAATACGAAAAGCTGCTGAATCTTCAAGTCGGTGAAGAAACCATGCTACATTGTATAATACCATGCTATAGTTGGAATCATAGGCAGGATTTTATCCAAGGTGGGTCCATTTAGAAAATATATGTATTACAATACTTCTTTGCTAATGAAAACCAACTTACACATGATTAAACTTTTCACAAATTCAAATACCACGTGCTTAACAAATGGAGTAGCCAAGATTCGAGCATATGATCTCTCGGTCAACCATTTTCAATTAGACGCACCCTAATTTTTATTTCCAATTAACTATCATACTAATTTACCCATTTTTAACTAGCTTGTTGTCCGACCCGTTGGTCGGAATGTCATTGAATACAATATATGTATGATGTGTATTTAAAAATTTTAAATTACTTGAAATGCAGAATTTCGCATGACATTTAGGTGAGATCAAAATTATTTTTCCATTTTTGAAATTCTTATAACTTTTCATCAATGATGAACATTGTAAGCTTAATTGTTGTTATAACCAAAGTTGTCCATCTAGTTCAAGTTGTTGAGCCGGGTCAAGCAAGTAATTTGAAGTTTAATGGTTTGATTGAGGTCCAACCTGTTTGAGCCGTTTTACACCTTTTCTAAATATATTTACATATAAGATAGAAATTTAGTGACTAAAATGGAATGTAATAACTTATATCTATTAAAAATCCAAATTCCATAAGAAAACATACTTATTTCAAGATCCATCCACCATCCTCTTGCCTCTCTCCCCCTCCCCCTTCCCTCTTTCTTCTTCTCCCTCTCTAACGATCAGACATTGGCTTTGTAGAGCCGGTTTTGGAGCACGACTTTGGTCGGATCTAGTCCAATCATCCACCCGGTAGAGGTGTAACAACCTTGGTTATAACACTCGTGAATAACCATTCGTATGTCAATTTAATGATGTAGTCACTCTGAAGAGAAAATTGACATAACAAAATAAGAGTTTGTCTAAAAAAGCGTAGCATAAATAGGAAACTCATGATCATAACCTTTATTCAATATTTATTTCTTATGCTTGAGAACAATACATATATAATAGTATATAAACCTTAAAGTATTCTGCACAATACAATAACAAAATTAATTAGTAGGAAAATAACATTTTCCATCCATACTCTATGCAATGAAAAAATTATTTATCAACCGACATACTCTAAATTTAGTTGAAGTACAATCTTATTCACTAAAAAAAAAGAAACCTATCTTGTGGTACCTACCTTCCTAGCGCACATGAGCACATCAATGCATCCATGAAAACTCCGGCTCGACTTTCATGATTTGTCTTGTATTGTGGTTATTTTATTTTAAATTAATTAACTATAAATAATACATATGGTCAATTATCATATAAGATAAAATATTTAAATAATTGAAATCATATAGAAAAATTGGTATTCAGAAATTGTGTTCTTTTAAACTCACCCATTTGAAAAATCGTGCCATATTATCACGAGAGTGAAGATTTAACAGTAAACCAAACTAAAATTTTAAAAAAAACTGGTCACTTACAGTTTGCATAACAATATCGTTGCTTTAATAGTTCTAAAAATTAATACCAAGTTAAGAATTCTACATCACATCTACACATTCAATATGTAATATTTGAATCAATGATATTTGGGTTTCAATTTCAAAATTATCCTCCATTTATAAGATAGACATAAATTAGATTTATTAGTAAAATCAAATTAAAATACTCAAAATATGATAATTCAAATATCAAATAACAAAGAAAGTACTTACAGGAAAGTTAGTGGGCTAGCTAACAGTAGTGGAAAAGTCGTATGATTTTTAGATTTCAGGTTTTTAGATTTTTTACTAGAAAAGATATAAAAGATTTCTTTAGCGTAATTGATAATGGTTGCTATCTTAGTTTGGAAAGAGCATGGTTCGAATCCCGATATTGATGTAATTTTTTCTTATGAATAAAAAATAAATAATGATTGTGAAGACACAATTACCCTTCCTACTTTCGCTCTCATTGCAGAAAATTTGAAATGCTGAAAAACTGCCTCCAACTCGGCTATAATATATTTGTAGATCCTCAGAGCCCACCCCGTTTAACTCTCCCTCCCCTGCTTCAGATAAAATTATGTGTACAAATCCGCTATGATTTGGTGAAATTTGTTGTAGATAATAGATAAGTACAACTTTGATTTTGAGCGGATCAAATGTATCGTTGTCATTCGTGCGTTATTAAAACATTGACTATGTCAGTAAATTATTTATAAATCATACATAAAATTTTTGAAAGATCGACCATTCTCATTTACATACACTGTAATTTTCATACTCGACTAACTATTATACCTAAGTTATCAGTTTTCCTCCCGAACCAGGGTGGGTCCTGGGACCCACCCCTTAACCCTCTCCCTTCGCCCCTAGTTGGAATGTAATTGGAATTGTGCTAGAGGAATGACTCGGAGCATTATCACAAATTTCATAAGCACACCAGAAACCTTCTAATACAAACCACAGACACGATAAAACAAACCACAAAAAGCATACCTAAAACCTTCTAATCCAGACCACGAGTCTCCTGAAATATATCAGAAACATCACAAAGCAAATCACAAATATTTATAAAAAACACCAAAACCTTCATAATACAAACCACAAACATGGTAAAGCAACCCACAAAAAGCATACCAAAAACCTCCTAAAGCAAACCACAAGCCTCCTAAAACATACCAGAATCCCCACAAATCATACCATAAAGATTTCAAAAGAACACCAGAAAACCCATAATGCAAACCACAAACAAGATAAAGCATACCACAAAAAGCAAACTAAAAACCTCCTAATGCATACCACAAATTAAAAGAGACTAGAAACCTCACAAAGCAAACCATAGAATTTTCGAGAGCACACCATAAACTTCTTTAGGCAAACCACAAACAGTCAAACACAATAAAGCATGCCAGAAAGGCATAGCAAATACACGAGAAAGCAAACCATAAATCTCACAATGCATACCACAATTTTCAATGATCGTTGACCGTTGACCAAACTCAGACGACCGTTAGTGATCCTGATTCCGGCACCGATAAGCATATTCTGGCCCCGATGATCGGCTTCCGACATCGTTAAGTGTACTCTGGTCACGGTGCTCGGATTCCGACGACGTTGAGTATATTCATGCGGTCAAATTCCGACGGCCAGCAATCGGATTTCGGAGACCAAAAATTTGGACACAAAAATTATAATTATTTCATATTTCCACCATTATTTTTTATTAATGATTGTTTATCATAATATTCAAAAGAACTATTATACCCTTTCATTGATTTCACACGAAAATCAACTTAGCTAATAAAAAATAATCAAAATCCTAACTTTTTATTGGTTGGACACTAGCGTTGTCACACTAACAAGTAACAACACAATAGGTGTTGTTATATTATCCGATCCCTCCATACCTTATACTTGAGTCAACGGTTAATATTGAATGTCGTAAAAATTCATACACAGGACCACTTGACCAAACTAACTGCCATACCTTGTAAAAAAAAATCAGTTGATCCCAATTTTTAATAATAAAAAGTTTAGAATCAACCGATTCATCCAACGCAAGAACCAGTAGTTTGGGACATGGGAGATGATTTCCATGTAGGCTGAATGAAGCGCCGAAAACGCACCGTATCACGGGGTTTCGCTCGCCTTCCTCTCTCTTCCGATGTCTGCAACTGAAACAAAAATGGAGCCTCGATATCATCGTTAGCTGTGAATGGAGCTCCAGCTCACTCCTCCAAACAAAAGCCAGCCGTAGTTAAAATTCCTCCAAACCTTACGCCTCTCCTTCTTCTTCCTCTAATCTCTTTCGATCCCTCCAAAAAAAAAACCCTTTCTCTGGAGTAGAGAAACCAACCATGGCTGCAATCTCCAACTCTCTGGTTGTCTCCAGAAACCCTCAGCTCTCTTCCGGTAATTCCTTCCTTCGCTTCCTTACATCCCCCATTACTTCCCACTCCAAAATCGGAGCAGCATCGAGCTGTTTTCTGCTTCTTCAGCTTCCATTTCTTGCTTGTTATGCTCGCTAACTGTCTATTGTTCTTCTTCCAGGTGTTGCACCTACAGTGTTGTCCTTCAATCCCACTCGCCCTCGGAGCCTCCGAGTTGGTCCCTCGAGAAGGTCGCTCGTCGTTCAAGCTGCCTACAGGTACCATTAGCTCTCCCTATCTTATGGCTTTGAACTTAGGATTGATTGAAGGCAGGATTTGCATCTTGTAGTTGCTATGGTGTTAGTTTTGGTTTATAGAATCTGTAATTGCTATAGTGAATCAGACGTTTAGCTGGCGTTAGCTTCGTGCTTGTTGATTCATTCTAGAGATGGTCCAGGATTACTTGCTTGTTGTGGTTTGTACCATTTCCTAGCCTCATTTTTTGGTGAATTGGATGTTGAATTTTGGCTTTACAGTGATGGTGAAAGATCAGGATCGGGTAGTTCTGGAATCTTTATCGGCGGGTTTGTGCTGGGAGGACTAATTGTTGGTGCGCTTGGATGTGTTTATGCACCTCAGGTTCGATTGTCTTCGCCTTCTGGATCCTTCTTTGGCTGTATAAAGAATTTGATTCCTCTTTCATGTTGATCCTTAGAAAAGCTACTGCGAAAATGGTTCAGTGTGCTGTAGACCGACCGGCTTGTGAGTTTCTTGTTTCTGTTGTTGTCGATTTTAGATCAGCAAGGCATTAGCTGGAACTGATAGGAAGGACCTTATGAGGAAACTCCCCAAGTTCATCTATGATGAAGAGAAGGCTTTGGAGGTTAGCTCTTTCTTCCTCTCCCTTTACATTTACCTTTCGACAGTTCATTCTTGCGTTGTGGTGCCTCGACCGTTCGGCTATTTCGGTTTGTTCCGACCTTAAAGGTTACTAAAGTCTGTAGAAAAGCTGTCATTTGTTCTACGCATTGATATACTTTCTCACTAGTAGTACTATTTCTTGCCTTACCTGCTGGCAGCTTGTATTTCGTCTGTGGTCTGAGTTCTGACGAACTTTCTTCATGGCTATCCGCTATGCCATTTCTCTACTTTGTTTTGCAATGCATAACCAACCTGATATTACCGAGTCAGCATCTGTTCTAGTTCAGGCAATGCAACTTATTGATGGAAACCCTTCTAATGGCATCCTCCTCTTTCGCTTGTTTTGTTTGCAGAAAACACGAAAAATATTGAGCGAGAAGATAGCACAACTGAACTCGGCCATCGATGATGTGTCCTCTCAGCTCAGATCGGAAGATGCCCCTGAAGAAGACATGTCCGTGAACCCCGATGAAATCGAAGCTGCTCTTTGAGAAAATCTCTGTGTTTGTCTTGTGTTCTCTCGTTACATTGTTGGTATACAGTTTACGACGCGGTCAGTAATTTTTTTGAGAACTCTGAAATAACAACAGCTGAAACTCATCTCAATGCGCTTCTTAATAGCTGTTTCCTTGCTGTGCCTTGCCTCCCAAGTACGAAATAGTGTATGCTGTTTGCCTCGTACGAAGGCAGCAGCGGTCATTTGGACAGGATTTATATACACTTTACACTTCTGTCTATTGTCATTGTAATCGAATGCTCTCATCTCGACTCGACTCTTGAAAGTAGTTTAATCGATCTTGGATTCGTTGGGAATTTGAGAGTTACACCAGCTTGAATTTGCCCGGTCGCTGAAGCTGTGGTTAGGAGAAATAGTATTCCTGATCATATCATCCGATCTTGACATAGATATTGTTGTATGCCTCAAAGTCTTCTCGACCATCGACTTTCAACCCTTACCAGCCAGAAAATGGCACAGTTGGAAAATCTACTGGATGAGACGAAATGTTGCCTCTCGTTCTGATAGAAACGCAATCAGGCATAAACACTGAGATCTTATCCCCACAGATTTTGTTCTCGCCCACACGTTCTCTAGAAGAACTAAGGTCCATAGATTATCCCAAGTGTTGGAAAATATACGAGAAAAAGCAACGTGAAAAGCTAAAGAAAACGTATTTCAGCTGGTACTATATATGTGAAGCATAGGAGTCAAGCTTCTAACTTTAGAGCCTTCAGCTTTGCAGCAGCAGCCATGGCCACTCACGCAGCTCTTGCTCCTTCGAGAGTTCCTGCCAGCACCAGGCTTCCTTCTTCCAAGATCACCGCTCATTCTTTCCCTTCGCAATGCTCGACCAAGGTTAACCTGTCTTCCTCCATTTCTTCATCTCTGTCTCCTTCACTTCTGCATGTGAATTAAGCTCTTTATTTTGAGTTCTGCAGAGGCTGGAAGTTGCAGAGTTTTCAGGGCTTCGTGCCACTCCTGGCGTGATGTACGCCAAGAACACTACTGAGGCATCCTTCTTCGACTCTGTTGCTGCTCAGCTCGCTCCCAAGGTTAGTGTTGATCATGTTCACAGCCACATGTATTCGATTGACTGCATAGTCTGTGGAAAGTTTTGCCTGAGTTGATGTCTTGAATTGAGAGTCATCCATGATCCATTTAGCTTACATTTTTTAAATCTCTATTGGAATTAGGCTGCAGCCATTACTCCTGTAAGGGCGGAGACTGTTGCCAAATTGAAGGTGGCGATCAATGGATTTGGAAGAATTGGTAGGAACTTCCTGCGGTGCTGGCATGGCCGCAAGGACTCGCCTCTGGATGTTATTGTTGTCAATGACAGTGGTGGTGTTAAGAATGTAAGTAACATCTTATATCTAACTTGTAAACAAGTGATCAATTTCCATGGGAAGGAATGAGAGATCTGTGTGTTTCTGCAGGCTTCTCACTTGCTGAAGTATGATTCGATGCTCGGAACTTTCAAAGCTGAGGTGAAGATTGTCGATGATTCCACCATCAGTGTTGATGGAAAGCCCATCAAAGTCGTCTCCAGCAGGGACCCCCTCAAGCTTCCATGGGCTGAGATGGGGATCGACATTGTCATCGAGGTAATCAAGCAAACCAACTTGTTTTGGAACCACCGTCTTAATCTGGATTGTGGTTCGATTCATCATTCAATATGTCTTCACAGGGCACCGGAGTGTTTGTTGATGGCCCTGGCGCAGGAAAGCACCTTCAAGCTGGTGCCAAGAAGGTGATCATCACAGCTCCTGCCAAAGGTGCCGACATTCCAACCTATGTGTTTGGTGTAAACGAGCAGGATTACTCCCATGAGGTTGCCGACATTATAAGGTAGGCATCTCTAATGCTGATCATTGAATGGACCTTCGCAAATCAGTATGAACAAACAACCGATTCTATATTTGATGTTTTGATGCAGCAATGCTTCCTGCACCACGAACTGTCTGGCTCCATTCGTCAAAGTCATCGATGAGGAATTCGGTAGGGAGGCTCCCATCTCGATTCACCGTCGGAACCCACCTGTTGTTAAAGCTTGAGTTTCAAGTAACTGATCCTTTTAGTTATTTTGCAGGCATTGTCAAGGGAACAATGACAACCACCCACTCCTACACTGGAGACCAGGTACTTACTATGATTCGATCATCCAATCATTCATAAGCAAGCAAATCCCAAACAGAAAGCTCATTTATCCTAAAGATTTTTGGCTTCCCTCTGTGATTCTGCAGAGGCTGCTGGATGCTTCCCACAGGGACCTGAGGAGAGCAAGGGCTGCAGCTCTCAACATCGTCCCAACAAGCACCGGTGCAGCGAAAGCAGTGTCGCTAGTCCTCCCTCAGCTCAAAGGCAAGCTCAATGGCATCGCCCTCCGAGTCCCCACGCCCAATGTCTCGGTGGTCGACCTCGTTGTGAACGTGGCGAAGAAAGGAATCTCGGCTGAGGATGTCAATGCAGCCTTCAGGAAGGCCGCAGAGGGACCATTGAAGGGCATATTGGATGTCTGCGATGTTCCCCTTGTCTCTGTGGACTTCAGGTGCACCGATGTCTCGTCAACCATTGACTCCTCATTGACCATGGTGATGGGTGATGATATGGTGAAGGTGGTCGCCTGGTATGACAATGAATGGGGATACAGGTCAGTTTGACAAAACTCAAATGGAACTAATTAAAGCTCTTAGCTTTGTAAAGGGAAGTGCAACTAAAAATTTGAGTTTTGGGTTTTTTTTGTTGGATTGAAACAGCCAAAGGGTGGTTGATTTGGCACACTTGGTAGCCAACCAATGGCCAGGAGTTGCTGCTAAAGGAAGTGGAGATCCATTGGAGGACTTCTGCGAGACAAACCCTTCTGAGGAGGAATGCAAAGTATATGAAGCTTAGTAGATAGATGAATGAACATCAGGATTCCCTTTCTTATTTTTCATTTTTGGGTTTCTTCCTTCTCTCTTGTGGAGAGAGATTGGTGCAAGAGGATGCTGTTTCTGTAACGAGCAGATCAATGGTTTCATGGTTGTGAAGAAAATAAGGCTATGTTGTTAACAGAAACTCTTCAAAAGTAAAGCTCAAATTGCATGATTATGTTTGCATAAAGAACTGAGAGTAACGAAAACCTGAGGGGAATGAGGATTGACGGCGAAACTTCAGCTAGGGGAGGAACTCAGTGGCGGGAAGATGAAGATAAACCCGACGCCGCTGCTCCGATCTTCAAGCTGGCGCGAACAGAGTACAGCGAGGTGATCCATTGAACAAGGTTAACTCCAGCGAGAACAGAGAAACCTGGATGATCCACCAGAACGAAACCCGAAACCCGTGCAAAAACGTTAAACGAACACCACAAAAGCGAAACGTTTCGGATCCTCAAACTAAAAAGCAAAATATGTTGCGATGTGATGAGATACGGTGACAATCTCTAAAGAGTTGTGACTTGTGAGATTTACTACCAATTTTGTAGCCATCGGATACGTTATCTCTCCTATCTCTTTCTTCTTTTTTTAAATCAATAGTTAAGATTAAACCAAGGACAATTTCGGAATGGAAAACTTACCACATGAGATCCTTTCCATTTTACATATACACTCTTTATTAACAAAAAAAAAATTCATACCCTCCTCCTGTCAAGAACCAGTTGATCCCAATAACTCGAGTTGTTGGGAGAGGTTCAATCGTTGATCATATACCACAACACTAACACGCCCCTCAAACGAAAACCACTCACAAGGGCTTGAAGTTTGCACAGGCCTGAAGTCTCTCCTATCTATTTCTTCTTTTTTTAAATCAATAGTTAAGATTAAACCAAGGACAATTTCGAAATGGAAAACTTACCACATGAGATCCTTTCCATTTTACATATATATACTCTTTATTAACAAAAAAAAAATTCATACCCTCCCCCTGTCAAGAACCAGTTGATCCCAATAACTCGAGTTGTTGGGAGAGGTTCAATCGTTGATCATATACCACAATACTAACACGCCCCCTCAAACGAAAACCACTCACAAGGGCTTGAAGTTTGTACAGGTCTGAAGACAAGAATACCATGTGCTTAACAAATGGGGGTCACCGGGAATCGAACACAAGACCTTTCGGTCACAGGAGGCTCTGATACCATGTCAAGAACCAGTTGATCCCAATAACTCGAGTTGTTGGGAGAGGTTCAATCGTGGATCATATACCACAACACTAACACCCCGAATTCCTGAGTCTCCCTCCTCTTCCCCTCTCACCTATCTCTAACAAAAAAAACCCTAGTCGTCAAGAGCTCCATCACCGACCTCCATCATCGTCGACCTCAATCACCACGCAGACCTCCATCATCGTTGTCGCGACCGCCTTCCTCCTCACGCCGACATTGTCCCCGCTGCCCTCGTCGTCCCAGTCGCGCCTGTCGCCGTCTTTACACCATTGTCGCCGCCTCTGCCTCCCCCTTCCCCCGCCTCTCACCACCTCCCGTCTTCACGGCGCCGCCACGAGGTCACCGCCTCTCCCCTGCCTTTCCCTTTCCTCATCTCCTAATATATTTTTTTTCAGATCTGTGATTTTTCAGATTCCAGATCTGGTTTTTTGTGTTAGTCTTTAGTGGTACGCTACTAGTGGTACTGGTACCCATCAGAGATAGTGGTACGCTACCAGTGGTACTAGTACGCTACCACTACTCACTGGTATCGTACCAGTACCACTAGTAGAGTACCAGTACCACTGTACGCTAGATAAAATCACTACCACTAGCGCACTCACGAAGTTGTACTTTTTTGCAGGTGGCCGGAGTGAGTCTAATTAAAGGTTGTCACTGAAAAAAAGTCTGCCGGTCGGAGTAAGTTTGACGGTCAGAGCGAAGAGGCTCCTCGAAAAAAGTAGAGAGAGATATAAGTGTATTAATTATAGGGTTTTTTAAAAAAAGCATCAATTTAATATGGATTTTAATTCCCAATATGTAATTAATACAAAAAATTAATTAATAAATTTATTTTTTGTTATACCCAAATTACCCTTGGTTGTGAATCTCACAACCTCATAAATCATAAGGGGAAGTGACCGTATCCCGTCCCTATTGCGATAACATCGCGATAGCAGTGCTATATATTGGGGTGGCGCGATATTTTCAGTGGACGCGGCCGCAGCCGCCGGGATTGGACATTTGGAATAGCAGAAAATTGCATTCAAAATTTAGGAAAATACATAATATATGACACCAAAAATGTAGGAAAATATATAAATCTAAAAGATAGAAAATCACACATGATAAACGGTCACAAATATTTGCACTTAGTACAAAATTATCACCAGCCTTTAATTTGTAATTACTCAATAATAACCCTTTACACTTAGTACAAAACTATCACAAATAAATACCATTAACTTTTGTTATCGTGTTTTTACAAATTATAGATTTGTGACCGTTTTGAGGTTAGATCGTGTGTTCGTTAAGTATATAACACTAACCAGTTGAACGATATTTAAGATAGTCGTCAAGTATATGAGAATAATGACTACATTTCTGTTGTGGCTACCATCTTCTAAAAGTATCTTGATATCCTTCCCAAGTTTGAGATGAAGCGTGTTTTGGCTAGGACTCGGAGACACTCATGGAAATGTGTTGTTTCCAAAATATCATCGATATTCTTGATTTGTCGAATAAGAATGTCTTTTGCTGACATTTCAATTTTAATACAAAAAAAGTAAGCAAGTAGGCCGCATTCCTTCAATTAAAAAGCAACCCGCAAACCATTTGTGAGGCGTTCAATTTCCTTATTGTCATCTTTGTTATGATCATATCGTCCAAATTGACATAGTCACCATACCTCGACTGGAGTGAACTATGAACAAAGATGAATCATTTAAATATTTGACCTTTGTATAAAACAGTCACAAAATTTTAATTTATAAAATTGTCACACTCACTAGTCACTTCTATTTAATTTGTCATTGATTTAATCGTTTTCTAACATGTGCATTGAATTATTATTGAATCGTTACAAATTAAAGATTTGTAACCATTTTGTACTAAATGCAAAGAATAGTGACTGTGTAGGCTAATTACCATTTATATCACGATAGCGTCAACGGAGCAAAACCTCCGCCAGAATCATTTCGTAGAACCCTGAAAAACTGCAACTCCCCCATTCCCCGTCACTTCCAGCCGAAGGAACCCCTAATTACGCAAACCCTTAACAGCCAATTACGTCTCCTAATTGGAAGATCCGCTCGGCGGAGAACTGCATGTCTCAGGATGAGACGATGTCTTGTACTTCGTATGTTTTTAATGGTGATGCTGTCGCCGTTGATACGCTGCATCTCCAGCTCAGCCGTCCCCCGGACGTTTCTCTCCGATCAGAGTAGCCGGGCATCCAGCCCTTTCAAATCCCTTCTCCCCCCAATCCCGTAAGTACTTCCAAGACTTAAGCCCTTCGGAAAGTTATGATTTTTCTGTGTCTGGCGAATATGGGTCGATGAGGGATCAAGTTTGGATAGCTGCTGATCCAAGCTCGATCCATTTCTTTGGTCTTTGGTTTTTATCAGTTGAATTTCTTGAATAGGCAAGGCAAGGATCTCAATCCCCAATTGGCAGCGAATTTCCGGTGCTCATTGTTTACTGTGTTAATTTATCCTGTCATTGCTTGCTTGTGGTTTGATTCAGCAAGCGTGAAGTTGCAGTGGTGGCTGCTTTGGATGGAACTGTTTACTTGGTTGATGCTAGCTCAGGGAAGATTCGCTGGTCCTTCCCTACTGGATCGCCTATATATTCTTCTTATCAGGCTGGACTTGATAATGAAGATGATGGGCTTAACGCTTCTAAATTGAGCGACGACTTATATTACGTCGACTGTGGGGATGATTGGGACCTCTACCTGCATAGCAAGCACCTTGGTAAACTGGTAGACTAACCCTCCATTCGCTACCTCAAATTGATCTCTTCCGTTCTATCAAAGTTTGCATCTTAATGGAAATATGCAGTAATTTCCCATTGGATATGAGAAAACTGAAATGGTATTGTCCTGTTCCACTGTTTCACAGCAAAAACTGTCTCTAAGTGCTGATGAGTACATCAGGAGGACACCACACATATCAGAGGATGGCGAGATTACATTGGGGTATAAAAAGACTACTGCATTTCTTGTTGATGCCAAGACTGGAAGGGTAGTTCGCTCTTTTGCACTGGATAGCTCTCCTAATGGGGGATTTCAGAGTGCTGAAGAAAATGCCCTTCGTTTGGTAAATGGCCCTGAAGAGTTGGTGGAAGCAGGTGTTACTGACTTGGGAACTTTTGAGAATCTGGTTTACATTACAAGGACTGATTATGTGTTGCAGCACTACTCGCCAAACTCCAGTAAAGTCTTGTGGAACGTGGCATTTGCAGAGATTGAGGCTGAGTTTCGATGTCAAGATGGTAGGAGTTTCTTCGATGGGATGTCTCCTGATGCAGATGTTGGAAGAAATGAAATTGAATGGCAATTTCCTTGTCAAGTGAAGACTGCTGCCGTGCGCATTCGGGAGCAGAATGTGCTGCCATATGAGAAACTAGCAATTAGTCATCTCCAATATGGAGGCAGAGCTCAGTTCTTACCTACCACGGATCAGCTTCCTGCTTTAGGGCCTATTTACAGACTTCCAGCAGCTCTTCCCACTGATGCAGGCAGAACTACTCTTGCTTTGCCTTCATCTGATATCTTGAATGGGGATACCCTTGTAGCAAATAGTACCAGTTGGCCTTCCGAAATAGCAGCCAAGTCTCACATGTGGTCTAGCGTAGTCACTATTCTCTCCATTATTGGTGTCATCATCTATAATTATATAGTGGGTAGGAAACGGAGCAAGCTGGGTAAACCAGTAGAAGAACTTAAAACACAATCTGGAATGCCCAAAAAGAAGAAAAATAAGAGAACAGGAGCAGGAAACAACAAGAACCATTCCTCAAAGACAAATGTCTCTCAGGAAGGTAATGTTGGAGGCACTGATGAAACCGAGGATAGTGAAGGGAATAAGAGAAAGATACCACAAAGTCTTATGGATATTATTGGTCATGTAGATGGGCGTAGAATTGGCAGGTTATTGGTTTCAAGCAAAGAAATTGCTAAGGGTAGTAACGGAACGGTGGTGCTTGAGGGGATCTACGATGGCCGTCCTGTAGCTGTTAAACGCCTTGTGCAGACACATCATGATGTTGCTATCAAAGAGATTCAGAATCTTATTGCCTCTGATCAGCATTCCAACATTGTTAGATGGTACGGCGTGGAGCATGATCAAGATTTTATTTATCTTGCTCTGGAGCGTTGCAAATGCAGCTTGAGTGACTTCGTCTATGTGCACTCTGGTACATTTCAAAGCCAAATGAATCCTGAGGGACAAGAGCCTGGCAGTTTGCCTGAGTCTACCACTAGGATATGTACAATCCTGCAGCAGAATAAGAACATTGAGCTGTGGAAGTCGAAGGGTTACCCTTCTCCCCTTTTGTTAAAACTGATGAGGTGTGTTTATATTTGCTCCCTTCTCTCTTTTCTTGCTTATTGGGTTTACAAATATTGGGTGCAATCAGTGGAGATGAAGTTGCCGTTAATTTAGTTTTCTTCTGTCAGCTCAAGTTTCTCTCTTTGTTCAAATCTGTAGTATTGTCGTTCCCAGAATCACTGCGCTATCTCAATATGAGGTTTCAGAAAATGCACCTGTCGTTGATTAAGAAGTGTTCAATCTGCAGGGACATTGTTTCTGGCCTTGCTCATTTGCATGAACTTGGGATAATTCATCGGGACTTGAAGCCCCAGAATGTCTTGATAATCAGCGAAAAATCATATTGTGCTAAACTTTCGGATATGGGTATTAGCAAGCGCCTTCTTGGCGACATGTCTTCTTTAACTCATCATGCAACTGGTAAGTATGGCAGGTATCAGATTATTGAAACTATGTTATAATGGGTTAGAGAGAAACTTTTAAGACTGGCTTTGGATATCTATCTGAAGCAAAGCAATTGCTATTTTTGCAGGCTATGGAAGTTCAGGCTGGCAAGCTCCTGAGCAACTTCTCCAAGGGCGGCAAACACGTGCAGTAGACTTATTTAGTTTAGGCTGTGTTCTATTCTTCTGCATTACTGGGGGTAAGCACCCGTTCGGAGACAGCATTGAACGAGATGTAAATATTGTGAATGATAGGAAAGACTTATTCTTGATAGAGAACATACCGGAAGCCGTCGACCTCTTCACTTCCCTCCTGGATCCCAACCCAGATAAGAGGTAAACCACATTTCCTTGTTAATCTGGTCTTCATTTTTTTCTTTATTTTCATCTGGTTCTAATATCTGGCCAGACATGACCATCCTCACCTCTACTTGTGAATCGTGTATTCCATATAATTTGAGTTGGCTCGATCTTTGTAGACCAAAGGCCGAAGAAGTTGCGATTCATCCCTTTTTTTGGCCACCAGAGAAGAGACTCACATTCCTTCAGGATGTGAGCGATCGTGTTGAACTGGAAGACAGAGAAACTGAGTCAGACCTCCTTACTGCGTTAGAGAGCATCGGAGCTACAGCATTAGATGGGAAATGGGATGAGAAGATGGAAGCCGCTTTCCTGAACAATATCGGCCGTTACAGGAAGTACAAGTTTGATAGCGTTCGGGACTTGCTCCGTGTCATACGCAACAAGTCCCATCACTACAGAGAGCTTCCTAAGGAGATCCAGGAGCTGCTTGGGTCGCACCCTGAAGGTTTTGAGAGCTACTTCTCTAATCGGTTCCCGAACCTCCTGATCGAGGTGTACAAAGTGATATGCAGCCATTGCGCAGAGGAGGAATTCTTCTGGAAGTACTTGCAGCAGACTAATGTAATTTAACCAATAGAGCAGTTGTAGAAAAGGCTAATTGTAATGCATGGCAATATGGCATGAGCCATCTGTTGTACACAAGAACCAGTGAGCAGTTACAAATAAAAGTTCAGTCTTCCATTTTTAGAGCAGGATCATGCGACTATATGAATATGACCATGTGGATAAAGTGATTACTGGTTTTACGATAGGGATGGCAAAAATATGACCAGAATTTAAGTGGATTTAAATAAACTACATCTAATGATATGATAGGGGAGTTGAAAATACCACTATACAATTGATTCTACCCTATGCTATCTTTTTGTACTTGAATTTAACTAATGATTATAGTAATTTAGCAGTGTTATTAAAGCCGAGCCAAACCGCTCGGCCCGACCGGTAAAACCACCACCCGATCATAAAACTGGTTCGGAATAGTCTAAAAGCCGCTCCAGTTTTATGTAGCGGTTGGCGAGCGGCCGAGGCGGTTAACCGTTCGAGCCGCTCGTCCGGTTTTTTCCATTCAGCCACTAAATTTAATTAAAAAAATTGCAGAAAATTGAAAATTGAAATAAACCAAAAAAGTCGGGCTCTGAAACTGAATCCTTATTTCCATTTCACAATTTCGAAGGAAAGAGATGAGCTCTGATTAAGAAATGTCCACTTTTTATATTGATAACGTTTATTAGGTACCGGTTCTCTAACGGTTTTTAAAAGGTCTAATGCCGGTTGGACCACTAAAGTACGAGCCGTTCACATTACCGGGTCATGCTCCGGTTCGGTTCTGACAACATTGTAATTTAGGGTTGAGGTGGACGTTGGACAGGTTACCAATTCTACTCAAATCGGCCAACTATAATCTACTCACAAACGATATGAATGATGAGGTGAATGGATGTGAGTTCCTTCCAACCAGACCAGACCCATCATAATTAGAGTGATGCCTGTCTCTATGCTAAAATCGTCAATTCACTCATTTTGTTATCTTAAATTCATTTAAAATTCATTTACCAGCACAATCTTCTTTCCTCATCTCCTCAATCCTCAATCTTTCCTTCAATATTTTCAGGCAAAATCATGATCTTGTAGCTCGTAGCTCGTAGCTCGATCTGATGATTTCAAGATGAAATATTGTGAAATTTTTAATTATCATAAAAAATATATATCTATTTCCAACTTCAAATTTATTCTTAACAAATTCTCAATTGAATCTTTTGTTCTTCAAAGTTTTGTTACAAACTTCCTCTGTTTTTAATCAAATTCCTTTCTTTCAGTAATTAGTTGTCATCGATCTATTATTCTTAGTCAAAATCGCGCTTTAAAACTTAAAAACTTACTATTTTACGTTTCTATGTCACTAAAACGCTTCTACACCAAATCTCAGTTTTTATAACTTATATAGTTAAAAACTCCACTTTAAAACTTAAAAACATACGATTTTACGCTTCTATATCACCAAAACATTTCTACGTTGAAACTCGCTTTTGACTACATTGAATCTTACCAAGTCTCCAGCAATAACATGCATTGATGTTTTTCTCATCTTATATTATCACTAGGAGCTTATATTTTCTGTATGGGTTTATTTTCGTTGATATTTGGATTTGGATTAGAATTTATTTTGACTCGAGTTTATTTTCTATTTTATGAAAATCATTTTACTCATCCAAATACACTTGTAAACCATATTTAACCAGCCCACTAATGCATATTTGGATGAGTGTGAGTCGTACTATTGTCACCCACTTATTCTTATTTATGAGTAAGTTTTCGTCCAAATCTCATTTAACTTAGCCAATGCTTATCCCTAATTCGCGGCTTCTATATTCCGGTGCTAAGATATCCCTAGGGGTGTCCATTCGGGTTCGGTTTTTCGGGTTTACCCGAAACCGACCCGATTATATACATTTTCGGGTTCGTTTCGGGTTTCGGGTTTTTCGGGTTCGGTTTTACTTATTGGTTTTTCGGGTTTCGTCTAAAAACCTCCAATGGATAGAACTCAACCCGTATTCTTAGGCGTTCGAGTTTTCGGGTTTGCTTTAACCGAACCCGAACCCGATAAGGAATTTTCGGGTTTCGGGTAACCGGAACCCACAAGTCCTTATCGAGTTCGGGTTCGGTTTTAGTGGTTTTCGGTTTTGGGTTTTTTCGGGTTTCGGTTCGGTTAACCGAACCCGACCCGAACCGACACCCCTAGATATCCCTACCAAGATTGTGAGCTAACCTTCCATTATGTTACCAATTTCTTACACAATCATAATGATGAGCAGCCTCCTCTTTGAGACCCTTCAATACAAATTTCTCTACAAAAGCAATACATATCTTTTCTTTTTTGTTGATTTACACAATGATCAACTCTTACTCTTACTCGGGATTAATCCCATTCCCATTCATGTTCCTTCTCGGTATCTCCATTTCTACTTCTCTCCTCTCATTCTTCTCAAACTCACCCACCCTGCTACTATCAGAAAGTGAAGTCTCCAACTTCCTCCTCTTACTACCCCTACCCTTCTTGGAAGTGTCTTTCTTCTCATCCATTATCGACAGCAGACGATGAATACTCCGAGAACGGGACGAGCTCCCCTGACCAGACTCTATAGCTTCATTAGGCTCACTTCTATAAAGTTTCCTGATAACCTGCACAAAGTATATGACAAGAGCTACAAAGCATGCCACCCCACATATCAAGAAAAGACCAATGAAGCTCTTGAGATGGAGCCTGTCTGATTCGATCTCTGAAGTCTCCGAGCTGCAACTGGACCCCGCCAGCCACTTATCATGGATCCTTTGAAGATCCCCGTTCTCCGATAGCTCCAGGATCGCGGTTGATATGTCAACAGCCAGTGGGGAGTCTCGCGGAAATGCCTTCCAGCACAAGAAACAAAGTGAAAAAAGTTTCTTCAGGAACAAGTAACTACTAAGAGTTTTCACTAATGTGACTAGTTATGGTTTCCAGATACTTACAAATCCCCATCCACTTTTGGTAAACTCTTGACCCACGATTCGGAATGTGCACTGAGATGCTAGGAAGAGTTCCACATAGGGGAGTTCATCGACAATTGCAGCAACTCCTCCATTCTTGGGACCCTTTTGGAGGGCTGCAGCATATTCTTCAGGTGATCCAAGTTCAATCAGCCGAGACTTTGGTATGCGTAGCTCCTCTCCCAGATAATATTCAGCAAAGGAACCTGTTTGATATCCTATAGGGTCATTGCCTTCCTTCAAGCTTTCGATTCCTTTGATTGGAGAAAAGAGCTGCTGTACTGTGAGGATCGATGTGAGGCTTGCTGTGTAGCTGGAGTTGATTATGAGAACCACAAAGAGCCATATTAGTAGCACCATCCGTCCAAGAGCGCTCACAGTGTTCTCTCCTGTCAAAGCAAAGAGAAATTCAAGTCTGTAGATGGTGTTCAGTTCTCATGAACGGGTCATTAATTTTTAATGTACTTGCAACTGAAGTTTGTAACTAACACAACAGTCAGTCCTTCACATGACCAGTTATTGACCCAAAGATCCATAACCAAAACTCACTGCACAAGCTAAAGGAGGTACTCACTGTGGGCGAAAAACAAAGTCGAGAGGCTGAACCTGCAAAGATTGTTACAAACATATCAGCCACAGCTTTCTGTGATAGAGACAATCATTACCAGTTTGCTCAAGAAAACTCACCATAAAACCGTAATCATCTGTCTTTTCGGAGGGCCTCTGAATTCGTCATTGATCCTGTGCTCCAGTACCCACACAACAATGCCAACAGCAAGGAAGAAACAACCAGTGACGATCCACATGAGGGGACTAAAGGGTCTAAGGAAAGCCCATGCCCCTGTGTTCATCTTCCTGAATGGAACCACCACAACCAGCCCAGATGCCACATAAGGCTGTGAAAAGTCTACTATCTTTGTCCTGTTTGTAACAATGGCAATGTCACCAATAGCAGCATCAAGAACCTTGAAAAGAAAAGGGAAAAGAGAATACAGTAAGAACACCATTTGGTTGAAACATAGAAGTCAATTACGTAAATGGTCACTGAAATTCAGGGTCAATGAACTTTGTTCCACTTTATCTCCAAGCAAACAGATAATTGCAAAAGGACCCCTAAAGATGCAAAGTTAACCCTATTTGACATCCGAGCAAAACAGTGGTAAGCATCTACTACTCACTCCGTTGTAGACTGAATTCACTATATCCATGTAGCTGGGGTTCTTCTTCCCATCTCCAACAGGAACAAACTGATAAGGAACAGGATACTGCAACAAGTTCACCGCAGCAGTGAAAACATCTATACAAAACCCTTGGAACTTGTCAGGTGTTCCTCTGGCTGGCGACACAAACTCCTTGAAGCTAACTCGAATAGGCACACCAATCCTCAATTGCTTCCCATTGTTGGGGAAAACCCATCCACGAGGCTTTACCGATGTCTCACCGGGCCAAATCACACTATACAGCTGCTGGTCAGCACTAGAACGATTCGGTGGACTCATGTAAAGCGTCTCGGGAGTCACAGTTGACAAACCAGAATAATTTGACCAGTAACCAACCCTTCTAAACCCAGTACCAACCACATTAATCACATCATATGCTGGAAAGGTCAGAGATCGATCTGGTTCGAATTTTATACGACCAGTCAAACCAACAACATCGCCCTGCAGTATATTCCCCAGGAGAAGCTTCCCATCATTGAAAATGCTCATTGCATCCAAATGAAGGTTACTGTCTCCTCCTGTACTCAACCTTGAGTCATTAGAAAATGAGATCACCCCACCTTGGTTGAAGAACTTATCGATGGCTTGAGCAACAAGCCACACGGAATCATAAGCAAACAGGCCATAAGAGTTCAGACCAGGAAAACCACCACTGTTCCACCTAGAGACGAATGCCTTCTTTCGATCTGAATCTGCAGTATGCTGGCGGAGCACAAGGGCTCCTTGTATCTTCTCCATAGTATCAGAATCAAGTGGTGTAGAATCGAGCACAGACGAAAGCCAATCTGTTGCTATCCATACATAACCATTCCCCATCATTCCCAAATAATTCGCCATAGAGAAGATCTCGAAGCCCTTTTGAGGATAGACATGAAGAACAATGACCCGAGATTCCATCATTGCCACCTTGACAAGAAGGTCCATTGTGTCACTTGAGTTAGCACCAGATTCAGGAGGGATTCCCACTTTGTAGGAGATTTTGCAGCGCCTCTCAGCAAGCTTATCACCTAGAGCTGAAAGGCCATTTCGTCCATAGTCATCGTCGATGTAGATAGCAGTTACTTGCTTCCAGTTATAGTAATCCACCATCTCGGCCACTGCAGCCATTTGGTAAGCATCACTATGTGTCGTTCTGACGAAGAATGGGAACTGAAGCGAATCGAGAGTTGGGTCAGTTGCTGCAAATGAGAGGAGGGGTACTTGGAGCTCGTTTGCCACATGAGATATGATATGGGCGACTACAGAAGACTGTGGACCAATGATGGCGATGGTATCAGTCTCCATGAATTGCAGCGCTGCCATTAGCACAAGGACATTGTATGGTTTTAATCTTGAGCTTACACACAACATGCGGACGCAACACAAGCAAAGACATATTCAAGGTGAGATGGTAGATAGTAAGTTACCTTCAACCATGCCAACGAACCCACTGCAGTTAGTGTTCTGCATCTGCACTTTCAGAGTAGTTCCAGGTAAGATGCTGGAATTTGCATTCACATCTTTGACAGCTTCCTCGATGGCAATCTTAGCAACTCTTCCAATTGAGGACTCAAATGTGAAAAGGGCTCCAATGTTTACTACAGCAGGCCTGGATGTACCATTTCCACTGTGGCCACCAGGGAATAGTCTAAACAAGAGGAACACGAGCAGAAGAGACCTAATTGTCCTCATTCGAAGCCAAGAATGCCAACCTGATTTCCAACTGTCCATTGACTTTGTGCCCAATCAATTCATGAGAACCTAGAGATTGGTAATAAAAGTTGGGAGTGAACTTCCATCAGAATTGTCAATTTATACCAACAAAAAGCAAGCCAAGTAATTGCATTTCAAAAAGAATCAAGGACCTACTGTTCAGTCTATGGGCAGAATGAACCAATAAACCAGATTTGAACCATCTCACTTAAGAGTTTGATACTTTAGGCCATTTGGTTTCCACTCAATGGAAAAGCCAATTAACAGGGGGCAATCCAGCTTAGGCCTCAAAAGAATGACAGGGTACCTAACAGAAACAAGGATCAGATTCTCAATTCAAATAAAGAGAGACCTACAGCCCCCCATTAAGCAAACTGAGGGCCTATTTCCTAATTAGGGAGGCAAAAATTCTGCTTTCTTCAAACACCCCACGTGAAACACCAAACGTTTACACACGGTGAAGAAAACTTAACATGGGGGAAAGTATACTGGAGGTGGAGGACCATTAACACCCTTCTTTAAACATTAATAAAAAGGGGGAGGAGAATCTAACGAAGATGGTATTTCAACTTTCAAGAGAGAGAGAGAGAGGTAAATGACGAGGACAGAAGAACAAAGTGAGAAACTTGAAATCCACGCGAATCAAAAGACTAGAGAGATACAGAACTGTTTAACTAACTTGCTCAAAGGGAAATGCTTTCCCTTCCCATTCTGCAAAAAAAAAATAGAAGCAGGGGCTGCACAGTGACAGGGAGTAAAAAGGACAGAACTTAGTTTATCCATTTCTATATCAGCTGATGGGTTTGAAGCCATTCGAGCAGAAAGTGAAATTAGTGGCGAGTTTAGGAATGGGGAGGAAGTGCTTCGCTACCCAACTGAAGACTCACCTTTTGGCGGCTGAAGTCTGATGAACCAATCACAGAACCCAGGTGTGAGATTTTTAATGCTTCATCAAGTGGGGAAATGGGCAACCAGAAAGTTTGTGGCAAGTGTGAAAGGAAGGAAGGAGAGGAAAGTGGTGGGGAAGGGGATGTGGTAAAGAATTATTAGAGATCAAAGCTTTGAGCTAGCAAAGGGCTGCGGCCTGCGGCGACAAGACAAAAATGGAGTAGTTGGAGTTGAAGAATCACGTGCAGAGGTCTGCAGAATAGAATAGATGCAGGAGGGAAGAGAAAAGGATGGATTCAATCTGGTTTTGGTTTGAGTTTAAGCGTGACAATAGATTAATAATGAACTTATAATGACAAAACAGCCTTCCTGGGTCCCGACATTTTGACATGACAAAATGATGGTAGAATATGCTGTTCCTTTTTCTTATTAGGAAGAAGAAAACAACACATTCAAATTTATGAGTGTGCCAAATCACCTAAATACCTGATACCTGAATTGTATCGTACATTTGTACTGTACTGAATACATAGTTTTTTTCATATGGTGTCATATTAAAAATATGTATAATTGAAATGGATTTTTTGAAGGAGGGAAGTTTAAAGTGATTAGCCCGTCAATTTGTTTATCTTATTGTGATAATGGGAACAATTAAATGATTATATACTTAATCAAATGTCCCCGAAGGAACAATGATGATATACTTTAACTTAGACGATGGTCATCAACTCATCATATGACAAATGCATAAGAAGAGGTAGAATAATTTAGCTAATGTGTGTATTTATATTGTGTAATTTTAAAATGAAGGAAAATCACAAATAGTTATGAATTGTTTTTGGTAACTTTTGTCAATGGGTGGGAGATGATCACCACGATGATCACCTCATGTCAACCGCCTAAAAATGCCAAGTTAATGATGATGGTCTTAGCAATTATCGTGATTAGGATTTTGTCGACTCGTTTTCGGCCTCACTAGTAGTATAATAATGTACTAACCTAGGACCTTGATTAGTTTATTAGGGATGACTTAGGTAATCATGTAGAATATATAGGATTACACGAAGAGACATTTCGTATTCATTGAATCCGCTAAAAGTTAGGAGGAGCTCAATCAAAGATATCGACATTATATACCAATATTAGAGAAGAAAAAAAGAGAATGAGCAAGAAATCATAATGATTTCCTATAAGACTTGAATAATAAATTATGTAACGATTCCTAATCAAGCATAAAATACACTAGCTAATCATACACAGATGCAATCTAGTCCTAATACTGTTACAGCCTTAAAAAGTGATCTTGTCTAGTCTTACACCTGATCATAATCAAAGCTATTGTAATTCTTCTTAGAGATAACTAGAACTTTCGCAGTCTCGTGAATGAGGGTTGTAAGTCTGGTCCTATATATAGTGGCGGAGCCAGAAAATTGGCTAAGTGGGTGTCTTTATCATATCATAAAAAATCACATATACAATAGAAAAGTCAACTTTAAATTAAACAAAAAGTCAACAACGCAATACTCTAAATTCATACAATTACATTAAAAGAGTTTCACGTACACCAGTTACAACGTCAAACAAATAAGTTCAGTACATACAAATCAAGACTTCCATTCATCAAATATTACAAATTAGAACTCATAAGTACCTTGGAATTGATTTTGTGAAACAAACAAGTGAACTTCAATTGGTACTTCTTCACTTTCAACTTTGTTTAAACAAAAGACAAGAAATTTCTCTGTTGTAGAGCTACAAAAAAAAAATTGAGCGAGTTTAAACAAAAGACAACAATTTATTACTATAAATAAAGACGAAAGTGCATTACATAACAAAACTCACTCGATCGAAATGATAAGAAATTCTTCCTGCAACTGAATGGTCATTGGTTCGAATTTGTATATATCTCTACTCGAAAAAAAATTCTCCAAACCCAAGGGGGGTCTCCAAGTGGCTCCGCCACTGCCTATATATTCATTGACCCAGTTCGACCAACCGTGAGGATCAAACTGGATCAGTTTGTCTACATAGTCAGTTTAGGGTCACGTCATCTTTTGGTGATATAAGGTACTAAATTGTAATACTAGTGATTTGAAATTGAGGGAGGATAGGGTACCAACTACCAACATATTTGACATGTTTGTAAAACTTTAAAGTTCAAGGTACTATAATGTAAGAAAAATATATAATGGTACTAAAACATAAATTTCTCATAAATTTTTTTGAATCGCTATTCGTCGCACTAAAATTTAAATTATATTGCCCTAAATTGTACTAAATTGACAATTATATCCTTGTATCCAAATTCGGTCCGTAATCTCTAATTTGGACTACCGCTGCTATTCCCACAACCCACCGCCGCGCCTCGTCCAACGACCGCTACCGTTCCCCCAACCCAAATTCAATCTGTAATCCCTAACTTGGACAACCGCTGTCGTTCGGCGCAACCCGCTGCCGCTCCCATTCCCCCCACCTCGCCGTCCTCCTATCATTACTGAGAAAGAATCCGACCAGCCGTGATTCCCCAATCCACCGGCCCGTCGCCGAAGAGCTCGGGGGCAGGTCGCCAACCATTTCTGCTTATACATGGGTTTCAGATAAGGGTTCATTTCTGCTTCTACATTGCATGGCTTTCATATAAGGATTCCCACTACTGATCATCACCATGCCTGCCTCTTTAGTTGATTCCGTCACGGAAACCAGAACATTGTGTATGAAGAATAGCCAATATGTTTTGTTATGTATTCGCTTTCGTGTTTACCTTCAGGCAAATGATCATGGACTAAGGATACTTAAGTCATTTTAATGAATATTAGGGCGACGAATAAAGAGTTTTAGAGCGACGAATATCAATCCTCAAATTTTTTTAACCTATTTGCAACAAAAAAAAAATAAGTACTAAATTGTAATAAAAAAAGAAATTTGGATACCAAATTTAATTTTCAAAAAATCAACTTGTTAATTGATTTGAACTAACCCGCTTACTCAGCCTGACCTGACCTTTCCGAAATGAATCAAACATGATCAAGGAGAAAACAAGAGCGTGACGGGTAAGTTCTACAAATCACGGTCACATAAGTTCTTAACGGTCAGTAAGAGAGTTTTTGCTAGTTTCAGGCAGCCCTGATAATTTATGATTCCTATGCCTACGAATACTTCCGTCCGTTTCACCGCTCCGGGATCAGATCGCCGGAAACGGACATCTGAGCTACAGAGTCCGATGATAATATTAATATTGGGGTCGAAGCTTTAGATGTAATGGCCGCTACGCACGACCCTACTGCATGCTCATCAACTGGGTCCTAGTTTCAGTCCTACATCGACCTTTTCTTCCTTTAGCGCCAACCCCATATTTCTTCCCTTAGCGCCAACCCCAATCCCCCCAACTGTGCTTCAAAGCGAAGCAGACGATCGATCAGTCTCTATACATATCCGAAACCAATTAACAAATCCCTCCCCAATCCCCAGATGTGTATAAATCAACAGTTGAATCGATCCCCCAAGATCCACCCACCAGACAATAATTAATAAACTGATCATGGAATCACTTACCGTGACCAGGCACGCTCGCACTCTGGTTCAGCCATTTCGCCGAACACCTTCCGGGCGTCTCGACCTCTCCTTCATAGACAGCCTGCCCGTGCTCCGATGCAACGCCCGTACCCTCCACGTGTTCAGAAGTGGCGGCGCCGAAGCCGCCGCCGTTATTCGAGAAGCCCTATCGAAGGCGCTCGTCACTTACTACCCTCTCGCCGGAAGGCTCGAACAGCTGGAAACCCTCCTGGTCGATTGCTCCGCGGAAGGAGTGTGGTTCGTCGAGGCATCCGCCGACGGTTCCGTCACTCTCGACGATGTCAATTGCTTCGACGACAATGTCGAGTCCATTCCTTATGATCGTCTGCTCCCCGACGGCGGAGCTGAACAGGGAGCGAGGGAACCCCTAGTTCAGATGCAGGCAACTATTTTTGTATTTACCGGGAGGAAAATATTTCAAGAGATTATGAATTTTAGTTTTTATAACATTTTGGGGCTTGTTAGTAAATTGAATAAGTATTTTTTAATTTTTTAAAATCCTAATTCCAATTTTTTTCTTGAAAATTAGCTACAATAAGTTTTCTTCTACACTAGTATAAAAAGAAAAGGAAATTGGTGTCTTTGAAACAATTTTAGAGAGAAAACTTATTGCATCACCATTCACATACAAAACCAATATTTTGAAATAATTTTATAAAATGTTTATGTAAATTTATTCATACTCGTCTATGTTGTATCATCAATTTTTTATGCAATGTTGACAATCTCTTTTACCGATCAATCAATCTTTTTCATGCAATTTTTATTCAAATTTGTTTGTTAAACACTTTAACACAAATAACATCGATAGAAAAAATTAATAAAAAAAAAAGTTTGGTGGCATCTTAAAAGGCACAACATCTAATTCATGTATTTTTTGCAGTTATTCACTTGAATTTATGATATATTTTTTCCGTTGAATATGAATTTATGATTATCTATGTTATATTGGTGTTTATTCACGTAAAAAACTAATAGTGGTAGTTATTCATGCAAACAATATTAATTATTCATGCAACCTTGCATTTATTTACGCATATTGTTATTAATTCATATCGTTGTAAAATCATTTTTATTTTATTTTTTTGTCGAAAAACAGGACGCTTAAAAGGCATCCCAACCTTTATGCATTAATAAAACGAGGGATTTCAACCCCGATTATGTCAAAATACAACCAATAGGCTAATGTGCTCAACGGAGCGTAAAAAAGTGAACACCAATAGGGTAGCTGTGCCCGATGGGCTATGGAAGCCAGGTAGTCCGCAACATAGTTGCCCCCCTAGAGACGTGGTCAATCCGAACATGCTAAGGAAGCTTAAGGTGAAGTCAAAATGGATGTAATTGTGTAGATTATAAATAATTTAACTCGTATTAATATAGACTTAGAAATTCAAATTTAATTCCACAAAAAATTGCAAATATTTTACTAGAGAGAAAAGAAAAAAAATTTACAATTTCATTTGCGTGAATAATGATAACTCTTAAGTTAAATAATATCAAACTATGTAAATAATTACCACCAATCCTTTTCTCCAACAAAATTTAATCATAAGGAATTGCTCGTAAATACATATGGGTCGCGTTCAATTTTATGTGAAATCTCGATTTTTCTCCTGCAGGTCACCAAGTTCGCCTGCGGCGGATTCGTGATCGGCCTCATATTTTGCCACGCCATCTGCGACGGCCTCGGCGCCGCGCAGTTCCTGAACGCTGTAGGCGAGATCGCCAGAGGGATCGACTCCGACCGCCTCTCCGCCGCCCCTGTCTGGCGCCGAGACTTCTTCCCACAGAAACCCAATCCATCATCCGCCTCACTCGCCCCGCCGCCGCCGCCTCTCCCCCCAATCCCTAATTACAACCTGCAGCAGGCCAACATCGACATCCCAATCGACGAAATCAACCGCGCCAAAATCCAATTCCACGCCTCCACGGGCGGGAAAACCTGCTCCACTTTCGAGGCCGTCGCCGCCAGCCTCTGGAAGCACAGATCCGCCGCGATAGATCTGGATCCGAGCGCGGAGGTGCAGCTCGTCTTCTTCGCGAACTGCCGCCGGCTGGTGGACCCCCCGCTCCCCGACGGTTTCTACGGGAACTGCTTCTTCCCGGTGAAGGTGACCGCCTCGATCGGTTCGCTGGCGGCGGGGGCGGTGGCCGGAGCGATCGAATTGATTCAGGAAGCGAAGGGGAGGTTGAGGTCGGAATTCGAGAAATACGTGAAGGGAGAGGAAGGGGAAGAGGAGGATCCTTTTGCGCCGCCGCTGGTGTACACGACTCTGTTCATATCGGAGTGGGGGAGGCTGGGGTTCAACGGCGTTGACTTCGGGTGGGGCCCGCCGGCGAACGTGGTCCCGATTCAGGGGTCGGGGATTATACCGGTCGGGATCGTCGGGTGGCTGCCGCTGCCGAGGAAGGGCGTCCGGTTGATGACGTGGTGCGTTGAGGAAGCTCATCGCCCCGGTTTGATCCGCCGTATGGCCGGCGATGGAAATTGAAATAACAAGCTTTGGTTTGCTTTTGCTTTTTCTTTGTATATTGTCCCGGACCGATGATGAAGATTGAAGAGAATAAAACTGTAAAAGTAAACAAAAGGATTGAATTGAACGTGGCGGTTTTTCTTCAATTTCCGACGACAAGTATTGGGCTTGGGCTGGGGCCGGGGCCGCGATTGCGGCCCATTTATAGTTTCAACCGCAAGGGTCCACAAAGTTTGATCCTTAGCCAGATTGGTCCAATAGCAAACGGCCACGTTTCGTTCCAGGGAATCCAAGGTTGCTTTTTTTTTTTTTTCACAACTGACACGCCTACCCTACAGCTCCTCTTCCCGCTCCCGGGAAAAAGTAAAGGTGGGAAAAAGAGAAAAGGGCGCGTGCGTGGCTAGCCGCTAGCTGGGAAGATCTCTAGTTTTCAGATCCAACGGTTGGGATGCCATGGCGGTAACCTATCAGCCGGACTAATAATAAAAATCATATTTATTCAATTCATATTTGGAGGGAAGAAGAATAATACGTACGGTCTTTGGGTCAACTATAGGTTTTTCCAATCATAAACTACCACGTGCCCCTTGCCCCCCCTTAGCGACATTTTCAATCAATAATGTTTATTTTGTGAGGATTTAATAACTTCAATTTTGATATTTATTATTGTATGAGTCTTGTGTAAAAGAACTAATATGGGTTCTCATGAGCAATGAATTATATACTATTAATATTCCTGCATCTCAAATTATTGTATTTCTAAATCAAGTTATATATCATTCTCTTGAGTGTTTCATCTAATTAATTGTAATCTAACTGACATAAAAATGCCAAAAAAATATCTTAAAGATCACTTGCCAAGTCAATTGACCAAAATATTTAGATGCCATGATCTTCATTTACTTTCATAAGATTTATAGTTAAAGCTTAATTTAGGGGGACACAATTTTAGTTCTTTCAATGCTTAACACACAGAGAGCTTGAAACCGTTAAAAGACCTGAAAGCATACATTTTGGATTTCACATACTCAAAGGAACTAATATAACCAAGTATTAGATCAACATGTGGGCTCACTATATCCATAATCGACTAATATTGAATTAATTAGTAATCATTGAATTCAAAATCGATCAAATTATTTCACAATTATAATCTCCTGTAGTCATTCAAAATAACAAATCCAACAATTTTAATCACGTGAGATCAATATTAAAAACAATAATAGTGTCGCACAAATTAAAATTGGGATTAACAATTACATTAGTACGCACATATCAATAGTAAAATATACAAACAAAATCCAAACAAATATATGCTCGAGCTAACTGATCCAGTAGGAAAAAATTGACTCTTATACTTGAAAGTATCTGCTAATATGTTTTAAAATAATTTTAAATGTGCTTTCATATTCTTTCATCCCGATTAGATTTTAATTTTAGGTTTTAATAATCGAGACATTTGTCAAACTACATATGAGGTTTGAGTGATTGAGATGGTTATTAAACCGGTGGCAAAACCGCCGGTAGAATCATGTTGAACCGATATCGAACATAAAAGTGTCTGGAATACTCCCGGGTATGACCAAGATGCTCAAATTTAATTAATATTGTTTTGTGATTTATTTTATGAACTTGAAAGTGAAATGTTGATGTAATTTGTTGGAATCAAGTATAAATGTTGAGTGTTGACGTTAAATATTGTATTGAAATATGATTATGTTATTTTGTTTGAAATGTTGTATTTTATTTAATATGAATGTAGATTGTAAGGAGATAGCCTTAATTTTATTTATATATATACGCTTAAATTCATATAATATTAATGGAATTTTACATTTTCTACATATTTTATTAAACCGACATTAACCGACAAATATTGATTCTGCCCTAAATATATCATAACACTTACTAAACCGCACACCAATATAAACTCAATTGACAACTTTGATTAACTAATTCCGGAAGGCACCAAAATAAATTAGTAAGGAATTTTCAAATAACATGTCTGCTGCATAGAGATCATTATCTGCAAACATATAATTGAATGCATAATACTCTTTGAGCTAATGGTAAATCCCAAATATACGGATTCAGATGAAAACATATAATTAAACAATAAAGAAAAGAAGAAGAAAAAAACTCAATAGCAAGAGAAAGAGCATGTAATAAGTAATGGCTTAGTAGACTAAGTAATGGCTTAGTAGACGCAAAACAATTGAAAAAAAGATAGCGAAAAAACAGATGAAAGTACCGGAAAATCCAAATTGTGAAAGTACCCATCCGCCCCTCCGATTTGTGCGTTTTGGCGAGGAAAGGCTGAGGTGGCAAAGCTGAAATATTGACATACACTTATATGTATGTGTAGATGGTGTGAAAAACAAAAAAAAAACATAGGTAAAAAACGGGTAAATGCCACATATGGTCACTGGGATTACTAAATTGTGTTATGTTTACTCATTAGAAAAAATTAATATCAATTTTGGTCACTCAAATTACTAAATCGGGTCACATTTAGTCACTCTCCCGTTAGCCTCCATCCAACTCTGGTCACTCGAATTACTTTTTTTTTTATGAATGTCACTCGAATTACTGAAACATGTCGCATTCAGTCACACTCCGTTAGCCTCCGTCCAACTTCGTTAATGGAGTTGGACTGAAACTGACGGGAGAGTGACTAAATGTGACATGTTTTAGTAATTCGAGTGACCAAAATCGATATTAATTTTTTCTAGTGACTAAACATGACATGATTTAGTAATCTCAGTGACCAAATGTGGCATTTACCCGTAAAAAAAAACTAAAAACATGATTATCGGTTCAACTTGGTTCAATAGATATTGGATCTCGACCCGATTAGAATATTCATGTATGAAGAGACGATCAAAGCTATTCACAAAATTGGTCGATTTGATCCGAACAAAGCGTTTCTCGAGGAAAACTTTTTGTTGTTTTTGAGTCTGTTGAATGGAATAAGTAAAAAAAACCCAATAATTCTGAATTTTAATATTGATGTTATTTCTTAGATAAAGTACAACCGTTTATACGTTGACGTTATTTGTTAGATTAAGTTTACATGTTTGGATGTTGTGAAGAGGAAAAAACTATTGTTTTGTGGTTCAGTGATTAGTCGTTTTAGAACTGTTGGTTAATCGTTTACGCGTTATAATATAAAAGATATATATAATACACTAGTTTATTAATGAATTTATCACTGACCATAAGCAATTTCAAATCGATACTATCCATCATAAAAAAAATTCAAACAAATAATTCAAACTATCTAAAAAAATCATAATTTTTTTCTAAACAAATCCGAGTTGGTATTTAGAGTGAAAATTCGCAATGGACCCTGTGAAGCAGGCGAGCTTGAAAAACAAAGAAAAATTAGCATAAATAAAAATAATAATTAAGGTTTGATAATCTTAATATATGTTAAATAGTTATTTTTAGGTTCAAATAGTGGTCCAGTCAAATCAGGATGGTTCATCTTTTTTTATTTATAATTGATGGTTCATCTGGTTTCATGTTGAATCTTCAAAAACTATTTGGTCATCCCTAGCCGTGCAATCAAATAAACTAAACCGATATTGTAACTGGTTTGATGGTTCTACTGATTCGGGTGTTAATCTGAATGGATTCTTACAACACTAGGAGAGAGAAAGAAGATGTTGGTTTAGCATAACCGTAAAAAAATGTCAAGAAAGAGTTTGAAAAGATAAGTGTAAAGACACTTTATTAGCCAAATCTTTTCAATCTTTTCATTATTAGCTAAACCCTTTGAAATATAAATTATTAGCCAAATTTTTATAACATCAAAATATTAGTAAGTTGTCTGTAATCGTTAATAATTTTGTAACTCTTTTCTTAGTTAAAAGAAAATACTAAAATTTTGGAATGTCGACTACTTCACTGTCATGTGTCTCTTCCAAGAAGCGGCGGATCCAGAACATAGTAGAGCATTGAGCCGTATTTCAATAGAAAATTAGATATCGTAAAAAAATCGTAGTTTTTTCCCCACAATATCAATGGTACACATCAATTTTTAAATATAGCGAATTCATCAATAATCGAATCTACATCCATACCAATAGCATTCTCTCTTTCAAATAAAAGAGTTAACCAATCGGGGAGAAATTCATCGCTCATTTTGTTGTGCAAATCATTTTTCACCTGTTTCATTGTTGAAAATGTTCTCTCCATAGTAGTTGTTGAAACGAGCAATATCAGCATTAGACAAATCAATCGACTAATCAGTTTGTATTGTGTGTCCATCTTTATTTCCACCAGTTTCTCTAGTGATTTTTCAAAGGAAGAACCTCATATTACATTTTATACCTTTAGTATTTTAGGTTGCGTTGTTTGTTTTTCTTTAGACGAGAATCATTGGAGCTAGAATTTATAGGCTAAATTTAGATTTGTGATTTGATATGTTCATCTGACTCATTTTTCTAATTATAAACAATCCTATTATAAAACAACACTGGACCGAATGGCTAAAATCGATGAACACATAAGGAGTATACTAGCTCCGGATCCAGAATAGGGTTGAGTCGTGGCCTGGGGTGGGGTGGTCACCCCCTAGATCCGCCACTGCTTCCAAGTTAGTATCATGCTGCCAAGTCGATATTACTAACAAAACTCCAAACAAAAACTTAACATTTGACTAACATTTTCTATTTTGAAAATTTTGATTAATAATTTGAAAAATAGAAAATTTTAATTAATAAATTATATTTACCTTTAATTATATATGTCAATTATCATATCTTCATTTTTAAAATCTAACAAGCAAAAGAACAATTTGTCCTCATTCCTCCCCTCCATTCAATTATGAGTTTTTAGTTTTTGGTAAGGTGATTAAAATTTTGAGTTCCAAACCATAGAATATTTTGATTTTATAATTGTAAAAATAATATTTTTTTCAAAATTCATAAGAAAAAGATATAATATTCCAATTTTACTTTATCATATATATAAACTTCCAACAATCTCCATCTCTCTTCCCATTTTTTTGTTTGTTTGTTTTCTTCCTTCTTTCTTTCTTCAACTCTTCTTCCTCCTTCCCCGTGTTCCTTTATCTCTCTCTGCATCATCGATCATTTCCCCGCTTTCCATTTCCTCCTTTCTCTTCCCTTCCCTTCCCTCTGTTAAAATCACAAATCTTTTCTTCCCCTCAAACCAACCCTTTTGATTCTTTCCTCCACCCTTTCTCTCTCCCAGACGTCTCTCTCTCTCTCTCTCTCAGAATCATCTGACACACAAATCAGAGGAAAAACAAAAAACGGAAGCCGCCATAGCCAAAACCTCCATCACCGCCTCTGCAACAACATCAAGAAGAAGAAGAAAGCAGCAGCAGAAGCAAAAAAGCTTGCCACCACAATCACAATCATAAGCATAATCATCCTCATCCTCGGATTCCCCTAATTCCAGAAACCCCCAAATTCTCCTCACCCGCGATTTCTGATACCATCCCATCATTTTCGCTTCCATCGTTGGGAATCAGAGCGGCAGAAGTTTTGGGTGTCTCTGTTTATGTATGTTCGGGGAGTAAATATGGCTGCCGGCACAGATTTCTCTCCTCCCTTTGCTCTGCTAGATGGCGGTGGATACAACAATTCGAGTATTAACAAGGATACCAGTAGAAACCTCTCTCCCACCGCCGACGAGAATTCCGACGGCGTCAAGCAAATCCCTAATGGCAGGCCTCCCCGCCACACCATCCCATCAGCCAGGCTCCTCGCCGCCGCCGATCTGGTAAGCTTTCCCTCCCTCCATCTCAGCTTACCGGTGGTTGTTTTCTGGATCTTGTTGTGATAGCCTAATTGATTTGGAATTTCGATCCACCTTTTCCTTTTTCTTCTTCAGGCTATGGATGTTGGGATTGTCGTCAATAAGTCGCCGTCCGATGAGAAGACCGATTTTTTGCCGGTCTTCCGATCAGGGAGTTGCGCAGAGGAAGGTCCTAAGCGTTACATGGAGGACGAGCATGTCTGCATAGATGATCTCAACCAACATCTGGGTTCGACCGCTCCCAGCTTCTCCTCCATGGGAGCTTTCTACGGGGTTGGTAATAGTTATAGATGTCATCTACTTGGATCATCAGAAAAGTCCCAGTAATGAAATTTCCCGTTGACAGTAGTCAAGTTTTGTACTTTTCACTAGGTGTTTGATGGCCATGGAGGCACGGATGCAGCTCTGTTTGTGAGGAACAACATATTGAGATACATAGTTGATGACTTCCAGTTTCCTATGTGCGTGGAGAAGGCAATCAAGAGTGCTTTCGTGAGAGCTGATTATGCTTTCTCAGACGATAGTTCTCTTGATATCTCGTCTGGCACCACGGCTCTCACTGCTCTTATGCTTGGCCGGTAAGTCCATTAGCTGTTCATGTCGAATTCTCTATTGCTGTTGTCTGATAGTCCTAGTGAAAGATGGTCGAAATGAAGGCAGTTAGAAATGCTGTTTCGGATGCTGGTAGTGAAGCTGAGAGACTTGGTTCGTCACCTTACCTGTTATGAAAAAGCTATCCCTTTGTATTGAACTATGATTGCCTGTCCTTTCTGATGTTCCTAGGATAGTAGGAGTTATGATTAACTTGCTTGGATGCTGATCCATTGATGCCTGTTGTGTCAGTGGTCAGACTCTAGAAAAGTTTTGATCTAAGTACTTGGATGTCGATCTCCACTCTGATGATTGGCTCTCTCATTAAGTTAATGGAGAAAATGAGAAGCTTTCGGTACCTGATAGTTCTGTTGTTCATCAGTTCATAGGATATTAGATGAGTTTGTGATCAAGTGGTGATTCAAGTACTTGGATGTTGATTTGTCGACTCCTTTTGCATTGATGTTAATAAGCCTGTGGAATCGAGATGTCAATGCAGGACATTGATCATTGCCAATGCTGGGGATTCATTAAGCCTTAATCATGAGTCTTGATCATTGCAGGACATTGATCATCGCCAATGCTGGGGATTGTCGAGCAGTGCTGGGTCGACGGGGCAGAGCAATCGAGATGTCCAAAGACCACAAACCGAACAGCACTTCTGAAAGGCTAAGAATTGAGAAGCTTGGGGGAGTCATCTATGACGGCTACCTCAATGGACAGTTGTCGGTCTCCCGTGCACTAGGCGATTGGCACATGAAGGGTCCCAAGGGGTCTGCATGCCCCCTTAGCCCGGAGCCCGAGTTGCAAGAAACAAACTTATCTGAGGAAGACGAGTTCTTAATAATGGGGTGTGATGGCCTTTGGGATGTGATGAGCAGCCAGTGTGCAGTGACGATAGTAAGGAAAGAGCTCATGCTCCACAACGACCCCGAGAGGTGCTCAAGGGAGTTGGTCAGGGAAGCACTGAAGCGAAACACATGCGACAACTTGACGGTTATAGTTGTTTGCTTCTCCCAGGATCCACCGCCTCGGATCGAGATCCCTCAGACAAGAGTTCGCAGGAGCATATCGCTCGAAGGTTTGAATTTGCTCAAGGGCGTGCTTGATGAGAACTCATGAGCGATGGAGGATGGGAATGAATGGCCTTTGTACAGGACGTATTCTTGATGTCCCGCTATCATCGAGAAGAGCCTTGTTCATGTTCCTTGGAAATGCAGAACCTTATGATGCAAGCTAGAAAATGTTGTACCGATTTGGGAGATGGTTCATTGTTCCGAGTGGCTGAGATGCATGGCTTGCTGGCCTGCTGCCTTAATTTTTGATTTATCCCTTGTACATAAACATGGAACTCATTTTGTTACATTTTTTTACTTCAAATGTTGTACTGTTATTTTGATTACATGATGCTATCACAGTTTCTTAGAGAGTTCTTTTCTGATTTTGTATAGATCATTGTTCTCAAAGAATTAGTCCCGATAGTTTTGGTCCATTGGTTTGATCCTTAAATCAGTTTTGGATCCCCTTGGCAAAATGTAGAACATATTCACCATTTCAAGTCTGTAGGCAAATGAATAGGGCCAGAATTCAATGGAACTAGAAAGTAAAAGACCAATGAAGAATTTATCCAAAAGGACAACCTGTTGAATTCCGTACTGTTGTCATAATTATCCAACTTCATGTTCTCTTCCAAGGAAAGCATTAAGCTCAAGTATGACAAATCATCAGCTGAAACAAATTAGTGGACAAAAGAGAGCCAGGGAAGCCGAATTTCTGTTTCAAGTTACAAACTCTATGGATGGTATCTAAGCTTCGCGAACAAGGCAACCATGCCAAGCCAAATGTCAGTTTCTTCTGCCAAGTTGCCTTTCTATATCTTTCACGTCTCGAGCTATAGTCCTTCTGGTGTTAATGGACCCAAAACAAACTCAGAGCTCCTCATTTTCGTCGTGACCATCAACATCAGCCTGATGAGAACCACTGCAAATTGAGAGAAACGTTTTCTTTATAAGAAATTAGCAGCCTGAAGATTCTGTATCTCTTTTTGGATAGTGGGATCACAATCACCAAGCAAAACCAAAGAGTGAAAGAGATAGGCGGAAAGCAAGAACTTTATTCTTTCTACTTGTGGGAAGAGTCTCATGCTGATGAGATGGCAAAAGAAAAGACCCCGAAAATTAACTCTGCGAAGTGGACAAGGGGTATAGATTCTTTTAAGGTTGGCTATAAACTCCAGGACTCCACAATTCGACGGACTCTTCTAAGTAAAGTAATGAGATAGGGTATGCAAAACACAAACTGACAAGTATTGCGCCTGCCTAAGGTACCATTAACGGAAGAAAGAGTATTTGCAACCCTGGTTGTAAGCATCCCACAGCTGTTAAGGTGGGTTTATTGGGTTATGACAGAATGATCTGGAATTGGAGATTACCTTGATTGGCAGTGTTTGCTTAACTCTTGGCACAGAACCTTGCTCACTCCTCCTACGGTAACCGATCCTTTCTTGATCAACTCTGTCAACTGTATCAGTAATAAGCATAAAGTAGCATGAAATGTTATAAGCAAATTTAAATGACAATTTAGATAAAAATATTCGAGACCTAAGAATGTCAGACTTACCTCATCTTCAGTTTGCTCGAGTAACCTGTCCCATTTTTGAAGAACTGGTTAAACTTCCTAAACATGAAACCAAGCATAAACTAGACTAGAGTATATAATAAAAGATGTACAGCATTTCACCTTACCTTCCACAATAAGATGACATCTGTTTTGAATACGCTCGAGCTTCTTGCTTGTCTGAGGAAAAAAATATAACACAGGCCATAGAGGTGTTGAGAAAATCATAAAATTGTTGCAGGCAGTGAATGAGCAAGCGATAGAAGGTTGGGATTCAACAAGGCCGTCACCATAATAAAGAAAATTCTTCAGGCGAACCAAGGTCCTATCATCGTCTGTGTAATATAATTTACTTACTCGTCGTCAAAGTGTCCCAATCATTTACTTTGATCCACTCCCGTCTGCCTGAATCTATCTGCAAGACCGGATATTACATTAACAAAAACTTAGCTCACTCATCACAACCTCACTAATGCAGATTCGCAACTGCAGACGAACAAAAAGATAAACTATCCACGTGACACATCCAAAATCCAAATCTCACCTTCTCAAGTGTATAACCTTGCATCTTGTCGCAAAGCCCATCCAAAAGCTCAACAACTCTCAGCTCACTGACTCTGTTGAAACATAGCACACCATTCTTAAAATTCAACAAGTTTGAATCAAGAAGAGGCATGGATCAACCAAAATCTGACCTTCTGAGCCTCTATTTCATTTGCTTATCCTTCAGTTCTACAGAGGACATGATTCTGCATTATCTCCTAAACATAATAGTTCTAGATGCATTGTGGGCAATACCTGTAATCAATTACCTTTCCTTCACGTTGCCCTTTTGAGTTCAAACGATTCCTCATGTCTAAATGATTCCTGGGCTTTTCCTAAACAAAACGAAGAACCCCAAAAAAGATTTTCAACATTGAACGCTCTGTAAACACAATAGTCACAGACGCAATTGAGCAGATTCCTTACATTGGACAGCCCAATCTCCAACTCCGCCTGCGAACAAAGAACCCATTTTTCGCCACCATCGTCAGAATTTGACCGTCGGTAATTTGCTTCAAGTGATCGAAGATCTAAAGCGAGGATTCGGAGAAAAGGAAATGAAACAGGAATGGAAAATAGAAGGTAGGTAAAGGTACCGCGACGGCATTGCAAGCGGCGCACTTGTCGTCGACGGCGGAAACAGCTGCAAACGTGAGGAGGAGGATGACGGCCGGAAGCAGCGACGCCATTGACTCCGCCGTCCTTGAAATCTCCGATCAGGCGATCGTTCGTTCCAGTGTCGTCTCAGTATGGACTTCGGAGCTACAGCTAAGTGCTAACCACACAGTCTGGACTCTGGAGTCTGGACAGTCAAAATGTCACAAGTCTGGTCCTTAACTTTTTCTAAGGAAAAGGCTTTGAATATGGGCCGACGACTGCCCAGTCCATTGACGCAATGGATCGTAGGCCCGACGGCAGACAATTGAAGGAGCAGGTTTGACAAGCTGGGCCTTGAAATTTGTTGTCAAATTAGGGAGCCACTGAGATGGAGGTGGTGGAGTATTGTGAGTTGTGACTAGGGGTGAGCATCCGGATTGGGTTTGCATTTCGAACCGAACCGTTCAAAACCAAATTTTTAATGTTATTCAGATCGGCATTCAAAGGTAATTCGGAATTCAGGATCGTATAGACCGAATCGAAATTGTGAATACCGAACAGATAAATCGAACAAATAAATCCAACCAACTCCCTTGACGCAAACCACTCCCCCCTCAGCCCTTACATCTAGGGTTGAACAAACACACCCGCAAATCGATCCACCCGTCCAACCCGACCCAACCCAACCCAACCCATCCGTATTTATCACAAAATCTAAGATTTTGGGTTGGGTGAGGATTTTCTTTTGTACAACCCGCCTCTTTTGGGTTGAGTTTGGATTTTAGATTACACAACCCGTAGAACCCGACCCAACCCGTGTTCCAACTATTGGTATGAGTTCGTATCCAAAAAAATATTTATCTCGTATTTACCATACTTATGAGAAAATTAAGATATTTTGCCATGTTTTTCTCTCATGGTCTCCCTAATCTAATGCATTTTTCGGCTTAAAATATAGACATAGATTTAATATAGCTATGATTCACGTAATCCTTTTTCTTGTGTACAATTTTAATAGAATAACATATTATTGATGCGTTCGTTTATAACATATTTAGCCTATTTTAACAAATATCATGAAAAAAACTAGACATATGTTGAAGTAAATCACATTTTATTAAAATTTAAACAACATTTGTGAATTTTGATACCTTTCACCTCGGTTTATTCGTTGAAATTTTAATTAGTTATGAAATATTTTTATGGTATAGAATAATTACATATATTGTGTCGGTTGAGTTTTTACTTAAAAAATATCGCCAACCCCACCCAACCCAATTAGAAACAAACAGTAGGATTTTAATTTTTTTTGGTGAGTTTGAGTTTAATATTTCCCAAATAGTAGTGCATGGGTCGGGTGATTAAAATGGTTAAACCAATACCACCCGATCCATGCACACCCCTAGCTACATCCCACCCGCAGCCGCACACTCCCTGAACCGTCACAAGACCGATTTCCCATTAATACCAAACATGCCATGAACTACCAATTATGCATCTCCTTCACAACTAACAATTCTGGATGACAATTTAAACCCATCTCGTTGGGTATTACCCGACTCTTAGTAGCTGGGGGCAGCCTTGGGTATCTACTTTCACCTCTCCCTGTCCCGTTCTTGGCTCAAACTATCTCAATTTCTTATAATATATCTTCATATTTCTTCTATTTTTACCTTTTTTTCAACTAGTTGGATTTGATTATTTAACTAGTTAGACACAATTATCCATTCTATTATCACTATTTCTCATTTATAAAGTGTTTTCCCTTCGTTTTATCGTAAAAATCAAAATTTTACATATTTTTTTTTGCAAATAACATATAAGAATGAATCGGCTTACCCGACTTACGCTTGGTACAAAGTAAATATGGGTATTAAGATATTCGACCGTCCTTTGCCATCACTGCTTCCAATCCCAAAGCCAATAACAACAAACATGGTTTTATCAATAATGGACCAAATTATTAATTTTGAACCCTTTGTTCATACTTTATACGTACAACAATTGATTGATTCTCATTAAAAGGAATTTTGTAAGGGGAATTAAACAAATGAGACGGCAATTTACTATAATTATTTGTAAAAGGGGGACATTGAAAGAAAGGTACACATGTTGGTCATAAATGCCACATTGTTTGCTTTTGTTGTCATACTCATTACCCCACAACCCACCCCATTGTCAAAATTGCTTCATTATTATTTTACACAATGATGTGTGTATTATAACTTGTTATAATAACACATAATGATCGGACACGTAGAAGGCTATCCGGTTGATTAAGGATCGGCAAGATCCTATTCACCCGTACGCTGCGTTGTTGACTTCGATCTAGCGGTGTATAGCTCAGAATTGGTTGATTAACATTGTTCCCACACATCGGGAAGGAAATAGAGCCGTGAACTGGCTCTCGAAGCACAATTTCGTCTATCCCTACGATATGCACGAACTTATTAATCCTCCTATCATGCTTTGTAAAATCTTGCAGGAGGATAGTCAGAGGATCTCTTTTGAGCTCCGGATTGTGATTACCCCGGTATCTAGTTCCTCTCCTCTTCCCCTCTCCTGTTGTCTTCCATTTCTAGGCTTCATCCTCCGTTAATGAAAAAAAAAAAAACACATAATGTTAATTTACATATCAAACAAACACAAAAGGCATAATTTTCATGCATTAAGTGAAGGAAAATGCACTTTCAAAGAGCCTTGAGAGTGCATAAGTTATCGGGTAAGTACATATTTTCAATTGCTTAATTGCGTGTGGTCTATTTTCCCATTTGTGTGATGACTTGCGTGTGAAGGAGAACTCAGGGTTGTTTGTTTTGTGGATTTGGGTACTAAATCCAATCTATTATGGATTTAAGCAAAATTCATTGTTTGCTGGTACTTTTTTTAGGAATCAAATTTGTGGAGCCAACGAATTTTAAGGGTCCAAATTCGTGGATCTCACGGACTTGTACATCCCACATATTAATGTGGGATTTGGAACATGCCATAAATCCATGATTAAATTTTACCTATATACCCTCTCGACGTTTGAATATTTCAAGGTTGCCCTCACATTTACTTATTTTACATTATAATTAATTAATAAATTACAACAACAAAATAATATAAATATTCTACCAAAAAAATAATAATATAAATATTCAATTAAAGTGAAAGCATGAGTTAGATTTTTTTATGTCATTTCTTGTATTCTGGTTTCCCTTTTTATTGTAACGTGAAATTATTTGTTCTCCTAAGTTTAATATATGTTTCTATATGTTACTTTTGAAAAGGAGGACAACGAATTTATAAATTATATATGTCACGTTAAAAGTTAAACCAAATTTTTTCGTTTATTATTATTGTTCTTGTGACAATATTATACTTATTAGTGCGTATTGTCCTTGTTTGCAGCCATTCGAGGCTTGCAAATGGCGTGGAAGAACGGGTACAGGAAAGTCCTCCTCCAATTGGATTCTATTACTGCCATCAACATTCTTACCTCGCAGGATCAGATAGAGCACATGTACCATAATCTGGTTCTTCAGTTTCAGGGATTGCTTCAACAGAACTGGGAAGTTAAAATTTCCCACATCTATAGAGAAGGCAACAAAGTGGCAGATTTTCTTGCTAATAAAGGCCACTCAACTAGTATAGGTTTCCATGTTTTTGAAAGTGCAGACCCGGGTATGAACTTATGGATTTTGTATGACGTTTTGGGGATTTCCCAAACCCGGTTAATTTAAGTATCAGGCAGAGGCGCCCTTTTAGCGTCACATTTTCTACCAAAAATAAAAAATAAAAAAGAGTTGGATATGGAACACGAGATTTCTTATATGCAACCATGCTTAATAATAATAACTACAACACTGAATTTATCGTCCTTACACTATGCTTGTGTCGAATTTTTGTAAACCAATAATTTTTTTAACCAAGATAAGCCCCTAGGGCATAACTAGTCTACAAATTACAGATAGATAATAATAAAGAACGATAGTCCGTATGCAACTGGACTCCCGATAAGAGAGCTTGTTTTTCCACGAAATGGGCAGCTTTGTTGAAACTCCGAGAAGCGAATAGACACGAGACTGACTCAAAGGAAGAGGAAAGAGAGTGGACTTCCTCTACGACAATTCCTGCTCTGCAGTGTGAAGACCTCCTTGATGTAGCATTAGTGAAGACCCGTTGGGGATTTGTGAAGCCGACGAATCAAGTTTCACAACCTTGTTGTGCTTTATGTGGCCCCATCAAAGCGGACCAAAATATCTTCACTAGGATAGTTTATGTCTGATCCTCGAGCCTGAGAACTTGGTCTTGTGGAAGAACGCGATATTGGCCTTTGCACTCCTTGAGACTTCTGAACCTTTTGTACCTCTATCGTACCACATTCGTCCACATGAGTTGTTAGTGGCCTGTACAGAACCTGCGCGCACTTGATATAAAATATGTCCATAAGTGGCCTTGCATCAGCCTTTCCATATTCTCCAAAAGAGGAATGCTGTGAAGGCAACATCACTCTTGGATATGTTTGGGGTAAATAATAAGTTTCTCCAAGCTAGATCCAAGGGGTTCTCTTTATCGTATCTCAAAGATGATCTAAACCTGTTATTCTCCACAATTCTCTGGTTATTCTACAATCAAAGAACCAGTGTTTGGGATCTTCAATTTCCTCACAACATACCAGACAAGAATTGGAGGAAATAACTTTTCGATAATGCAATATTCCTATAACTAGAAGGAAACCATGGATCCGCCTCCACAAAAAGAATTTAATCTTGGGAAGCACCGGGATACTCCACAAGCACTTCCAGAATTTTGTATCCAAAAAGTCTGAAAGATCATTGTGATGGGGTTTAGCTTAGACGCAAGCAGATAATAACCAGATTTAACTGTATACTCTCCATATTTATCATAGTGCTAAATTAGTTTATCATCTCGCGGGTAGGACGGGAGCAGGATGGATAAAATCTTTTCTATAGTAGATGGATAAAATAATAATTTAAGTATGTTTAAATTCCATGTCACCGAGAGAGGATCCAGAAGGTAGGATACCATTGGGTTTCTGAACCAACTTGCCAGCGTATGTAGTCCTTTTATTAGGAGGTCTTTTCCTTCCAGTATACGTTGCCAAGCCATGATGGGCGGGGCCCTTGTATGACCATAACAAAGTGTTTATTTGGGTGGTTCCGAGCCTTATATATATTTTGGCAAGGTTATTCGTTTATTCAAAGTGTCATTGTTTGAAAAAAAAGCCCTGCACACGAAGTCGCTGACGCCGCCCCACTTATTCGTTTATTCCGCTCGTCATCGTGACACATCGCAATCTAACCTAGATCAGTCGGGATTCTTTTGTCGTTGTTTGAAAATAAAGCCATGCACGAAGTCGCTGACGTCGTCCCACTTATTCGTTTATTCCTCTCGTCATCGTGGCACATTGCGAAGTGTCTTGTTCTCATGGGATGTTTATTGTAGTTAGTGGAATAAGTTAGCCCCGGTTTGTTGGTAGCTTCATTGTGATTAAGTTGCAATAGGGTTTGCAAAGCTCGAGCCTATATAAGCTCGACCTTGTATAGATATTCACAACTTGATGAAAACAACACGTTTTAACTTTTAATTTCATCCATATCCTTTTTCTTGAAGAAGAGAAAGCCCAAGATCGAGATAATTAAGTTTGATGATCAATGAAGATTGATAATTAGACAGAGATAGAAGAAAATTAAGTAGAAGGATATGCATGGAAAGTGTTATGTCAGTCGGATGGGAGCTAGCTAGTCATATCATCAGCTTCTCGTGCCAACGATTATTAGACATGAGACAGTTGTTTGGATCGTCAGATCTTCAACCACCCTTATCAATAGCGACAAATCCCCGGCGGTGGGGACTCGGTGGTTGAAACAACATGACTCCACCGCCGTCACCGTCGCAAACAGACATAAAGAAAGAAAGAGGTAAAACCATGGGTACTGAGGTGGCCGGCGGTGAAACCCGAAAAAAAAAAAACAAAAGAACAGAAAACTGTAGTGGGCGCTGGGCGGGTCAAGTATCAATCAAAGGATGTAGAAAACAAAAAGAGATAAATGCCACATTTGATCACTGCGATTATAAAATCGTGTCATGTTTAGTTACTAGAAAAATTTAATATCAATTTTGGTCACTCGAATTACTGAAATGGTCACATTTAGTCACTCTCCCGTTAGTTTCCGTCAGTTTTGGTCACTCGAATTACTGAAATGGTCACATTTAGTCACTCTCCCGTTAGTTTCCGCGGGTAAGTGACTAAATGTGACCAGTTTCAATAATTCGAGTGACCAAAATTGACGGAAACTAACGGGAGAGTGACTAAATGTGACCAGTTTCAGTAATTCGAGTGACTAAATGTGACATGCTTGAATAATTAGAGTGACCGGAGTAGGACAGAGGCTACAGGAGAGTGACTAAATGTGACCAGTTTCAGTAATTCGAGTAAACAAAATTAATATTAAAATGCGTTTACCGATGTTGGTTGTGGTTTCATTTCATATTTGTATAAAATGCGTTTACCGATGTTGGTAATTGACGATTATACAATTCGATCAATTGTAAATTCATTGAACAAAATTGGTTATGAAATTTATTACAATAGAGAGAAAATAAGCCACATTAAAATTACCTTATGAGGAGGTACGTACAAAAATGCTCGATGAGAAATGATACACATGCACAATCTTAAAAAAAACTGTTCCAGCCAAACCACCTCAAACACCAACAAAATTTTCAACATTCAAGGTATTAGTGATCAATTTTGTCAATCTACCGAACAAGCACAACAATTTACATTATATAATTGAATCATATAGACACAACAATAATTTTTTCTTTGTAACAAATACAATAAAAATAGTGATGCAGCCATAAATACGTGAAGCAAGCGGTCCAACCAAATGATTTGATTCATTAACTTCTCGCCATATCGGTATCTTAAATTATTAATCGGCATAAATAATAAAATAATAATAAACACATTAAAATTGTGATACAACCATATCAATCCTGGATTCCTATTTGCAGCCCTAAGTTTTTAAAGTTTCAGCCCTAAATAAACTGAACAGACAAAATTACCCCTCCAACCATTTTCAATCGAAGCCCTAATCCCCTAATCTGTCTCGCCGCCGTCGTTCGCCATTTATGAGCGCCGCCGCCGCCGTTCGCCCTCCCGTCGCAGGAAGCCCCCTCCCTCCAACCCTTTCCTGGATGAGCGCCGCCGCCGCCGTTCTCCCTCCAATCCTTTCCTGGACTCGGAATTCTAGGAAGAACGGCGGCTTGGCTGCGACGGAGGAGCTGGGCGATGTTCATCTAGGGAGAACGATGAACATATTAGCCATTCGCCGCCCTAATCCCAAACCATCGGCGCCGCCCTAATCCCTAAAATCCTGCTCATTTAATTGACCGGCAGCTGACGAAAATTGCGCGGCTGCTCCGCCCCGTCTCCGTCTCCGCCGCCAGAATCCCGCCACGCCGGCCGTCTCTACTACTATTGGGAGGAAGAAGGAACCGTCGCGCCGAGCAGGAATCGCGATCGAGGAAGGAGGAGGAGGAAGACGGCTCCGCCCCACCGGTTCAATCGTCTGCCGGTCTATGGTTTTCGGAGGAGTAAGATGGAACCGTCGCGCCGAGCAGGAACCGCGATCGAGGAAGGAGGAGGAAGAAGGATCGAGGAATCGCGCGTCTGGTTGCTGGTCGGGTCGCGGGTCTAGTTGCTGGTCGGATCGCGAGTCTGGTTGGCTGCAGGACTGTGCGGTTTGGTTTGGTTGTTTGAATAAGTGATTAGAATGTAGAATTATTATTATCAGTGATGATTTAATGCCTGGAATTGCAGGACAGCTACAATAATTATTATTATGAGTGATGATTTTATTGGTATATATATAACTAATGTACAACATTTAAACATTGTGTTATAATTACTTAGTTATGTATAATTGATTGGTTTTATAATCAATATTGTGTTTTATAATTAACGTACAATCATTGAGATTTATATTTAATTTTTAAATAGTGTGATTTAAATTTTACAATTAATCTACATTTGTTATTAGAGATGAATTTATATGATTGGTGATGAATTGCTATAATCAATGCTTAAATTGTATATTAATAAATAATATCTATAAGTAGGGCTTCAAGAGAATATGATTTCATCCAAAAATGGATAATTACAATCCTCTTTATATGTAAGAATATAAAATAATAATCACTTGATAATGACACAAAGGTAAATCCATAAGAATATAAAATAATAATCACTTGATAATGACACAAAGGTAAATCCATAATTCGACATAATGTTCAATCTTTAAAAAAAATAATGCAACAATGTTTAATCACTCTTGTCATCGTCATTGGCTGGATGATGTCCTCCGAGATCGACATACAATTGTCGCCCAGCCTCGTATAACAAATCCCAATCAGCAATTCTTAGCATATCCCGAAAGTGAGACCACTGTGGACTAAAATGAGGTATTGGTGGTGTGACCCCATCAACTTCGCCAAAATATAGTCGCACCCAATGTGCCCCAGTAAAAACAAGAGTTATAACTTAACTAGGTTGAGTGACCCCTTCCGGCGCCGTCAAAGGTAAGACTGTGTACCCATACGTGTTTCGTTCATTATACAGTCCATAAACAACAATTGCACAGTTGTATATGGTTGCGAATGTCAGCAAATCCACCTCCTCAAACCAATACTCTCGTGTGCAACTCCCAGCAGTCCGACGATCTAGCCTATGACGTGCTGCCTCCAACGATCCATCTCTGTAAAGATAAACCCCCTCATAGATAGGCCAATGATCATTGATTTCCGTGGCAAGTTTTTGCCTCAGTTGTAAGTAGTGTTCCTCGTCCCCATAAATCACATGTGACATGGCTCGAAAACCACATTGCCCGTCTGGTTTTGGGTCAAACCAACCTCTAAGAAGAGGGCGGACGCTAAGTGGGATATAGTGGAGATAAGGACAAACATTTCTCTCATTGTGGACTTGCATATGCTGACTTTTCGAGACACCTCCTGTTGGTACAAAAAATAACTACTGTAAACGGCTACATACCAAGGAGTATGATTACACTAAAAAGATAAGAATTTTGCTAACCTGCAGGAGTCGTCTTGTGTGTCTTTCTCGTGTTCTCATTTGTTTTGCTCCTCTTTGCCGATCGTGTCCTCTCATGCTCAAACCAAGAAGGATCTCTAGTGTTCGACCTCTTTGGTGGTCGTCCCTTTGGAGCCTCTGACTCTCTAGGCTCTAATAGGCCTGCAACTTGTGGACGAATATGAGGGAGTAGTAATTGAGATGCCTTCCGAACAGCAGCTGGTCCTTGCCTGTACACATCCTCCACCATGGCTGCAAAAATTCCACGCTCAGTGGCATAATGGTCCTCCCATTTTGCACCATCAGGAGGACTCTCATACACCAAAGATGACCAGAATCGATGTAAGTGGTGAGGGTGTAACTCCATGCCGACATCACTAAGTGCATCCATCTTACATTTACATGGCAAACCATGTGTCTCATGTAGCCGACATCCACATCGCTGAACAATTTCTCTTGCTCGTTCTTTCATCAACGACTCAATTGCCCACAAGCTTACTTTCATATTCAAGTGACCATATGGCGGACCGTCAGCTAATTTAAATACCTATTTCAAAGAACGAACTTCTAAGTCAAAATCAAATTGAGTATACGGAGGAATATCAACACCATTGAAGAAAAAATGAAAATACCTTCAAACGCGAATCCTCTAATTCCTTTCTTAGTTCAGTCACTTTTCCCTCAATGGATGTGTGATATCTGAGAAAGAGTGTGTCGATCTTGTGGGTCGAACTGGCAAGCCATTTCTTCAAGGAAGAATGAGCTGACTCTACCCTGTTTGTGCTCGTGTTACCAATATGGAAAACACGATTGGTGTAGCAATGAGCCCACCTTTGCGCACATGGTATCCACTCACCCCTCAAGTAGTTCATGAAGCGTGGGTTTTTACCCCAATCACTAGTTTGCAAGTCTACCCACCGTCGCTGGAACCCTCCCTGAGTGTTGGCATTCATGAGTGTCTGCCAAGGCCCTGCTACAAACGCCTCTGCAGATTCTCGACTTATCCCGAGAGACATCATCTTGGCTTCAATGTTCTTCTTCATGTGCCACACACATAGTAAATGAGCTGAAGATGGAAAGATCTCACGCACGGATACACCCAACCCGCCCTCCTTATCGGTGACGAACGCATCTGGTCTTCGACCACCAAGAACATTCTTCAATTGCGACAATACCCAAGCATATGTCTCCTTTGTCTCATCTGAAACCAATGCGAACCCTATGTTGAAGTTCTTCTTCACCGGACTAACACCAATCAACTGAACCAGTGGTTGCTTATACTTGTTGGTCTTGTACGTCGAGTCTATCAAAATAACAAAATACCATGCGCTCAACATCTTAATAGACTCCGGATGGGAAAGGAAGAGTCTAGTAACACGACGGTCTTCATCAAAATCAACTCCAATGAAGTAGCCAAGACGGTCAGCTTCTATAAATGTCCACCGCATAGGGGAAAGACCACCCAATCTCTCACGCCTAATCTTTGCTGTCTCATTATAAACCTGATCCATGTTGTGATGAGCATCAAACTTCCTATTTATAAAACTTCTTATATCTTTCGCCTGAGTATGTGTTGCCTCCAGCTCCTTAATTTCAATCTTTTCCTCATTTGAAAGAGCATTCCTTTGCTTGCTTCCTTCAGCATAAACTTCCAATTTGTGATTGTGAAATCCCTTTGGCTTCCCATATCTGTCCGTAACACCCAAAATTCTCCACTTACATTTGCCATCTACCAATGAACTCCGCACTACCACTCGGAACTGACAACCTTGCTTGCCTGATTTTGATATGCGTCTTGTCTTTGCCAAATCTGGGGTATATGATTTGCTCCTCTTACCATGGTTGCAATCCATATATATCCGCGGATAGTCTTCTCCATAATTTTTCTTGGTTGATTCCACAACCAAGAAAAACCTATTTCTTTGGGCAATCTCCTTTGCCGCCGCACAAGCTTCGACATGGGTATCATAAACAACATCGCTTATGAACAATGATGTGTAATCAAAATTGTCACCCTCATTCTCGCCAAAATCTCCCTACAATTAAATATGATAAAGATATATAAGGTTAAGAAAAGCAATAATTATGGTACAGTAATGGAACTATCAAACAACAAACAACAAGTACTTACTGAATTACTCATAATAATCTCTAAAGTAAATATCCTTAATCGAACTTGATTATCTTCGATTAGACGTCTTGATTTCTATTATGTTCTATAAAATTCGTAGGTCTCACACTCTCTATTTATAGAGGTTCCAAAAGCATGAAACTAACCTTGTAGAAATAGAAAAACAAATCCAACACTAACTAGGAAACATAATACTACTTTAACAAGGACTACTACTACTAATTAAGCTTCTAAATAACCAAATTTAATAATTGTAATGTACTTTTCCTTTGAGGAACTATTTTTAAAATTATTTTATTTTAGTTATTTTTTGATTTTGTTAGTTGTTTGTCCAAATAGAGCAGACCCAAATGTCCAACCAGACCAGACCCAACCAATTTGTGCAATTTGACCCGACTGGGCGGTCCCTTCTTCCTCCTAGTATCGCTGACCAGCAGAGACTTTTTGTTTTTTTTTTTAAACGGAGAGAATTTTTCTCTCTTACGCGTTCTGGATCGGCGCAGCGGAAGCCGAAAGGTATTACAGAGACCACTGCCGAAGAGCAAAAGAGGTACCCAACCGCATTTCCGGCCCAAAATCTGCGGTTCCGGTCCCGGGTCTCTCCGGCTATGGTGTCGACCTGATACCAGCAGCAGCTCGTCGACAGAGGGGAAAGAGGAACATCGCGATTGGGGCGATTGTGGCGTCGACGAAAATGTTTTAGGAAGAGAGGTATTGGGGCGATTGGAGCGACGGCGACCAGTGGGAGCGACCAGCAGCAGCCACGGCGACCAGTGGGAGCGACCAGCAGCAACGGCGCGACCAGTTACCCAGCAGCAGCGGCGACGGCGCGGTGACCAGTTACCCAGCAGCAGCGGCGAAGGCGTTAGGTTTAAGGCGTTGGGTTTTCAATCCGTCTGAATCCGATGAAGAGTGACTCCTGCAAATTTGAATTGGGTAATTTCTTCTTGTGAATGCTGGGCTCGAGTGCGGCGGCAGCCTGTTCATTTGTCGAGAGCGTCGAACGAATGGCCAAAGGCAGCAACTTTTTCTTTCATCTGGCTATCGGCGGGGAGCTGAATCCTCAATAGCGGCGGGTAATTGAAGGAACTGTTGGTCGGGCTTGGGTGGGGATAATTCTAGGGCGATAATTCGTTAGGCTGAGAATAAGGGTAAATGTGTCAACTATTGAAATTTAGGGCGGAATTTTTGGAATTCTAGGGCGATAAATATTAGCTCCCTATCAATCTGGCCATCGATACATGAATTAATCGGTCCAACCGACTGTTATGATTCATTTAACTTCTTTTAATAATTTTAATTATGAAAAGGCTATAATCAAGGAGAAAATTAAATGAAAAATAAATAAAAAAAGACGAGAAAAGAAAAGGTAGAGAGGTGGCGGTGGGGCCCGGGTCCGCCGGAGATGGAGAGTCGCTATACTAAATTCCCTCGCCATCCCAAACGGTCTTCGTCTTCATCATTCTCCCTAACACCACTGGAAAACCTTCTCTCAAGCTCACGGGCCGCAGCTCTACCCTTCCCTTTGCTTCGCTTCCCAGCTAATACTTCCCAATTCCCCTTTCACCTACTCTTCTCCCTCTTCATTTCCCACTTAGATTCGCTTTCTTAGCTCTGGAAACCAGATCCCGTTTGCTTGATTGTTTCCTGGGTTCGTCTCATTGCTTCTCCTTTCCGAGCTCTGCTTTCGATCCATGACTTTTACTTCCACTTAGGGGCGGGAAATGTTATCCGACGGAGACGCCTCACTCCGCCGCGATTTCGAGGCGTTGACAGTCTCCCGCCGTCTGGTACGGACAGTCAGCCAGAAGCTGAGAAAGAAGGCGACGCCCGATCAAGATTCTCCCGCCAACGATGGGTTTTCGTTGAAATGTCTTACCCTGATGGGACGAGGAGGCGGCTGCAAGGTCGGGGCCGATACCGGAGATGATTTTGTGGGAGACTCCGGCGGCCGGAGGAGGTCGTCAACTTCCAGCGATGAAGCGGGCAGGACGCCTTACAAGCCCATCTGCGGCGGGGAAGAGACGGGAGTCGATTGCTTCTTTAGAGAAATGTTTTGGAAGAAGCACAGCAGCAGGAGGGATTTGCAGATTGAGGCGGCTCCGATTGCGAATCCATTGGATACCAGCAAGCTGCACATCTTTCTTCCTGACGATATTCTAGAGCTCTGCCTGGTAAGACTTCCTCTAACCAGTCTCATGAATGCTCGCCTTGTCTGCAAGAAATGGAAGAACTTGACTACTAGCCCTAGGTTCTTGACCATGAGATGGGAAGGCTTGTATAGGACACCGTGGTTGTTTCTGTTTGGAACTGTTAGGGATGGGTATTGCTCAGGGGAGATTCATGCTTTGGATACTTGCCAAGACAAATGGCACAAAATTGATGCTGACATTCTGAAAGGGAGGTTCATGTTCTCGGTTCAAAGCGTTCACGATGACGAAATCTATGTCGTGGGAGGCCGGTCTAGCCTCGGTCAACCAGGGAGACTAGATTGGAGTTCATTCAAGACTCACAAAGGGGTAACGGTGTTTAGCCCTGTGACCAAATCGTGGCGAAAGGTGGCCTCCATGAGGTATGCTAGGTCAATGCCGGTCCTTGGAGCATCCGAGGTGGGTCCGGATTTCAATTCTGGTCATCTCCATCATCATCAGGAGAGGCGTTTTCCCAGGTCGAGGATTGGTGGGGTGTCCGATGTGTACGAAGATCCTCACAGGCTATCTCTTAGGCGGCAGTATAATGAAGTGTCGTTCATGGCCAACAGAAAGTCTCACTCTCACTCTCACTCTCAAAAGTCCATGAGGCAGAGAAGTAGCAATTGGTTGAATGCGAAATGTAGCAAGAGGTTCGTGCTGATTGCAGTTGGAGGACTCGGGCCATGGGACGAGCCATTGGAGTCTGGAGAAATCTATGATCCTTTGACCAACAAATGGTCAGAGATTCAAAGGCTGCCTGTGGATTTTGGAGCAGTTAGTTCCGGAGTTGTCTGCAATGGGATCTTCTACGTGTACTCCGAGATCGACAAGCTGATGGGGTATGACATAGAGAGGAGATTCTGGATGGGAATCCAAACTTCCCCCTTCCCTCCTCGAGTTCTTGAGTACTACCCTAAGCTTGTGGCATCCAATGGCCGACTATTCATGCTCTCCGTCTCATGGTGCGAAGGGGATGGCCGAATCGGGCAGAGGAACAAGGCTGTTAGAAAAATGTGGGAGCTTGATCTTGTTTACATGAACTGGAGTGAAGTCTCGGTTCATCCTGATGCTCCGATGGATTGGAATGCCGTGTTTGTAGCTGACAGAGGGCAGATATATGGGATCGAGATGTTCAAGATATTTGGTCAGTTGTTGGATTTCTCGACCGTGTGTGATGTCTCTGGTTCAGGGACAACCAGCTGGAGGCATGTCTCGAGGAGTCACGTCGGTCATGAGCTAGATGCTTCTTCCTGCATGATGAAATCCTTGTCAGTGCTGCATCTGTGAAAAGGCCGTGGCGGAATTGAATGGCTCTCTCTCATAGAATTGATGCTTCTTGTTCATGCAATGATTTTGAATCCGCTTCGGCAATGCTGACTCAGTGAAGTTTCCATGGAGGAAGTTTCTGAGTTACACCCCCCCTTGTTTATAGACGGATCTGAATTCTTCGTCATCTTTGCTCATGTTGTTTCCATAACAAACTTTATTTATCCAATTACTGGCGTCATTACAGCTTGAAAATTCATCTTGCTCCTGTATTGGTACATTTTTCGAACTATTAATCATATGTTTGTAAAAAACAGCATAAAGTACAAAACCCAAATGAACTATTTGGACATTTCTCTACAACTGGAGAAAAATCGGGTCACGATTATACAACAACAAAGCAGATATCTATACTATATGCAGCAGCTTGAACTAACCCTGAAATGGAATAATCATACTTGGGACTCAGAAAACTGCACCAAGTAAATCAAAACAACTTTCTTCATTCAACCGCCACCCAAGTTGGGAAACACCCCAGAAAAGTTGGGTATCTTATCTACATGTCTCAGCGCACGCTCAGCAATCTGCCTCGTCCTGTAATCAGCATGCTGAAATGCATCAACGAGGGCAGTCCCGACATTGTTATCCCCAGAAATCTCGTACGCGATCTCCTCGGACCTCAATAACCGCTCCATTGCCCACACAGCTCTCCTCCTCAGATTCTCCGTCCTCTTCTCGACCAACACATCGATGATCGGTCGAATCCCTTCCGCCTCACACAACACTTTCATCCCTTGCTCAATGTCCACACCGTCCTCCAGAAGCGTGCAAACAGCAGCAAGAGCTGCCTCGACGACTCTCTCGTTGTTATGATCCAACAGGGCCACCAGTTTCTCGACGCCCTGACCTTCCAACAGACAAAACGTCTCCTTCAAGGAACATGTCCCCCGGTGGAGCCTACACAGCCCGGTGATCACGGGTGGTCTGCTGAAACATGGGAAGACCGACGAACAGAAGCTTGGGGTGGGCAGATCAGGCAGTTTGGTCAGGTTCTTGGACTCCTGGGACAAATTCTCTAATGCCACGGCCGAGCTCATTTGAACATTGTCAAGACCATTGGACTGAAGCAGCTCGATGAACAAGCGAGTCAGCTCGTGCTCGCGACAAAACGACACAGCATCGTGCTCTTCCCCCAGCACGAATGTGACCCGAGCAAGGACTTTGACCAGTCCCTCGAGAAATGGGGTTACAAATCGGGTCCCACGAATCTCACCCTGTCTGATCTTGACCACTCTGGAGAAGATCAGCTCGAACGCTCTGTCGTCCAGCATCTGTCGAGTGAGGCCTAAATCTCGCTCAGGGAGCTCGGCTAAGAGACCAATAGCAGCAGCCTGCTCTTCTGTGATCCCCAAGTTTTCCGACACCACTCGGATTAAGCTCCCAAGCTGGCCCACCGTGCCACGCAGTGCATCTGTCAGCTCTTGTCCCATGTGAGGGGACAAATTCTGCAGAAGTTTGATGGAAGGTAGCCGGAGATCCTTCTGTGGAGCTTCTATGAACTGAACCAAGCTGATGATAGCTCCCGAGCTCTTGATAGCAGCTACCACGTTCAGAACAGTGGCCTGACTACACGTCAGCCCAACCAGAACCTGGAGAAGCTTGCATTCAATACCGGGTCCCGTGTTGCTGATCAAATGGAGCAAATTATGAACTATCTCTTCTGAAACCAGTGTCTGATGATCTGAACCAACCTGGATCACATCAAATTCATACCCTGAGTTGACCACATTGGCGAGAATTGTGGCGGAGACTTCTTTGAGACGCATGGGGAGTTGATTGGAACCCACGGTGAAGAGGTCCTTGACGAGTGGTGGGAGAATTCCTTCCTCGATAAGGATTCTGGCACTTTTCTCGCAGCACGAAATCTGGTTCAGAGCTTTCAGTGAAGCTTCTCTCGACTGTGGATTGCCACTTCTCATGATGGTGATTAGAGATGAGCCAACAGTTCTGGCCACAAAAACTTGGACGTCATTGTTGAGAACTAGCTCGCCGAGATAAGATGCCATTGAGAGCTTGGTTTCCAGTGGACCTGATAAATGATATTCCTCATTATGTTTTATCACAAATAATAGGCCATCGAAAGCTTAGAGAATATGAAAATTAGAGCAAACGAAATAACCTCAATGATGGAAAGAAGGAATCTTTTCATCAAATGCTAACATAACAAACTGAAGAGAAGATTAGAAAATATCAGGGAAAGTGAAAGCTGCACCTTCAAGAATGTGATTCAGAAGAGGCTGCAGTCTACCGTTTACAGCCATCTGCAGGACATTGTTCTCACACTTCTCCAGATTCTCCAGTGTTCTGTCAGCCTTCTCAACAGTAGCAACATTTTCAGACTTGCTGCTAGTCATTCCAACCAATATCAGAATCGCTCCATTCACTGAACCGATCTTCTCGCACAAAGCTTCCAATTTGGAGAGCTCGTATAGCAACGAGACAGCTTGCTCCCTCTCTTTAGATTGCTCATGTGACAAGAATTTCACAATCGTGCGGACTGTGTCGCCTTCCCCCAATATCGCCTGCAAAACAAGAAAACCAGTATCGAGTTACTAGTTTGCATCCAAGGTAGTCACACTATAGATTCTATCAAGAATCGGACATCATTGAACTCTAACCTTATTATCAGCATCATCTTCAACCACAATTCGCAGAGTCTCCAACGCCCTACACCTTGCTCTCCTACTGCTACTCTTCAACATAAGAACAATCATCGGTATCAGCTCGTTGTTCCTCACATCATGCTTGTTTGACCGACTCTTCTGACAGATGTATTGAATATATTGCAACGACTGAAGAATCTCGCTCTCCGGACTGCTTAGATTCAACGACCTTCTCGCCATATCGAGCTGAACAGCTTCATTCCTAGCAGTCCACTCTTCGATGGTATGTCGCAGAGCTATGCTGGGGTTCAGCTCAATGCTCTTGAGCTCCTTCTGCGTCATTGGACACACTAACTTCCTCCCACTATCCCTACATTCCTTGAACCATCTCTCGATCGCCTCCCGGTCGAACGTCTGGCCGTTTTCCAAGCTGACAGGATCTTTCATGACTTGCTTGGTTAAAGGACAGATGAAGGAATCATAGATAGGCTCCATGTGGAGTCTTTCAAAATGGTAGCTCTCTTCTGATTGACTTCCATGGTCATAACTCCCATCCCAACTATCAGCCATAATCACATCTACTAAATGCTCTATAATCAGTAATTCCTAAACCTAAATTTACTATAAATAGGCAGGATAACGAATTACAGTTCGCCTAATTTAGGAAAAGAGATTGACAAATTGGGTTCCCCTGATTACTGAAATGGTATCAAAGCAGCATATAAGAAACAAACTTTCCCAATTCTCATCAGAAGGGCAAAGATAGAACGAAAGTAGGAAGGAAACCCATACCGCCAAAATCAATCGGCGAGGGTAGAGAACCCTAATTCTGCCAACAAAAGCTGCCAACAAAAAGGGGGAAGATACGTTGGAACTTCCGTGGACAGAGATTCGGCTGCGAAGAAAGGCAATAAGGTGAGGAAACAAAGGGGAACTGGGTTGAAACAAACGGGGGTCGCCGGCAAAAAGGGGATCGAATTCTTTCTTTCTGCAGCTGCTTGGTTGATTTTAGTTGTTGTTGTTGGGTCTCCTCGAAATTGGAAGAAGAGGAAGAGGAAGAAGAAGAAGAAGAAGAAGATATACGACAAGAGGAACCCAACAAATAGTAAATGGTTCATATTTTCTCCGTACATCCCCTGTATTTGGACGACGACGAAGAAGGTTGACTCCTAATACGGCTACTAAATTACCAATGACGGAAGAGAGAGAGAGAGCGTGTTGAAATGGAGAAGATGGTGGGGTTCGGAACTGTACTAAGCTGTCAACGCCTAATCAAGAAATTGGCAAGTGGGAGCCACAGGGTGGTCGGGAAAAGCAGCAGCTCCGGCGGCCGGCAATCCAGAGTGGTTTTGTTTGTACTTTGCCAGGCTGAGCTGGCTTTCTATTCTTCAATGAGATCATGGCGAGAAATGTTCAGGTGAAAAAAAAAAAAAGAAGAATCGCCATTAACAAACAATTCCCTCGCGCGGGAAATTTTTGCCGCGGTCAGTTACCATCACCGCTCCCTAGAGGCGGACCTAGGGCAAGGGGAGGGGTGTCACCTGAAACCTTTGTGAAAGACCTCCATTTTTGGAAAAAATCCCAAAGTACACTAGTTTTTAAAAAAAATTCCCAAAATACATTAGTTATAAAAAAAATTCCAAAACTACACATGTTTGAGCATCACCGTTTTTGTCTAAAACGGTGAAGGTCATCACCGCGTTTGACAAAAACGGTGAGTACTTCACCGTTTTAAACTAAAACGGTGAAGGGTTCACTGCTTTTGTTAAAAACGGTGAATACCTCACCGTTTTAATTTAACACGGTGATGCCTTCACCGTTTTAAACTAAAACGGTGAAGGCTTCACCGTTTTAAACTAAAACGGTGAAGGCTTCACCGTTTTTGTCGGCCGCGGTGAAGATGCTGACGTGGACAGCACGGGGTATTCACCGCATTAGACAAACACGGTGAATAACCCGTGTTTGTTTGCGTCAGCAATCCGCGCCAATGTGCTTTCACCGTGGCCGTTAGATGCGGTGAGACGCGGATCGTGGTTTTCTTCCCACGATCCGACGCCTCACAGCACGCCACGTCACCTTTGCATTCACCGCGTTTGGTTAAAGCGGTGAGTTCACCGCGTTCATCAAACGCGGTGAATGGAGCCCTAATAACTGCGCAGCAGCTCCTCCCCCCTTCCCCCAAACTATAAATACCCCCTTCCCCTTTCACTTTCAACTCACCCCACAAACATTTCACTTCTTTCTCCCTCAATTTATCCGCTCTAGTCTCGTTCTAAGTATGCTCTGTGGTTGCGGCTAAGTCCGATCTTCCACATCAGAAAGAATTACTAGAGTTTGACCCTAAAGCCCCCGTCCCGCTAAGTTCCCGTCCCTTACAAAGCTAAACCCGTCGAACCTCTGTTCGGCTTCCGCCAATAATGGACGAAGAGGCTCTTCGTGTAGGTTTTTGGTTTGTGATTTTTTTTAATCGAAACAATTTGATTTATTTTTTATCAAAACAATTTCTGATTATATTACTTTTTTTATAGATGGGTGCCGAGATATACGATCCTCGATTGTATATCCATTATGGCCCAAGGGATGCGAGTCTCTTAACCGATCAAAATGCATCGCTCCCGTGCCATTTGGGATAACAATCCGGTAATTTGATGAACTGACTTGCTTTATTTTATTATTTTCTAATGTTTTATTTTGCTTTATTTAATCTAATTAATTGATGTTTTTCCTATTTTTTTTAGGAATCTCTTGTTCCCGTGGTTCATAAAGGGACCAATAACTTGCCCACTTGGCATCCAAGGTTGGAGCCCTATATAGCGAGGACCGGTTTGGGAATGTTGCGCCATTTCTTGCGGATCGAGATCGACAACGAGCTGCTTACGGCAATGGCGGAACGATGGCGTCCCGAAACCCATACATTCCACCTTCCGGAGGGGGAAATGACGATTACCCTCAAAGACGTGGCGATCCTCACCGGGCTTCCTATATATGGAGATGCCATCATTGGTTCCACGACCAAACCCGGAGGAGGTTGGGGGCCGCTCATCCGTGATCGTTTGGGCTTCGACATGCCGACCACCACACCAAATCAAGGACGGGGGCATCCACCGTTGAATGCGGGGCAAGTGTCGGTCCCGTGGCTGGTATCTCACATCCAGCAAGAGGTGGAAATCAATGACGAGACACCGGAAGAACAAGTCGAGCGCTACGCCCGCATCTACCTCATCGGTTTGGTGGGTGGATTTTTGTTCCCCGACAAGTCCAACCGGTGGATTCAAGGCATATGGTTGCCATTGCTCACCGGTGACTGGGATGCAATTGGAGAGAAGAGTTGGGGATCGGCCGTGCTAGCGGGCGTATACCGGGAGCTGTGTACTTGCTCGAGGGTTGGGGCAAAGCAAGCTGGTGCTGCGATGTTCATCGTTCAACTGTGGGTATGGGAGCATCTTCCAATGTTCGCACCTCTCGACCCACGTCCATACCGGAGAAACGATGATGAGCTCAACCTTCTGCAAAATCTCCCCTACGGTGTCAAGTAAGTTTATTCCGTACTTAGCCTAATTTAAATTTTATTACATGCTTGAACCACCACCCTCCCCGTAACCTCCTGTATAACCACCGCCTTGGTAGTTGCTCGAACTACCACCCCATTCGTACCCTCCTGCAAAACCATCATCATAAGAATACTGGTGAGAATGAGATTCACCGAGCGCCTCGGTCTCAACATACACCTCTGCAAGCCGGACTTGGTTATCGCTTAGGAACTGTAACATCATCATAACCGCGTCATCATCGTTTATGACAACTTCTTGGAACACGACCCCGCCAGCACTCATGTCTGGATACCGGTAAGTAATTTTGCCAAGTCTCGTCTGTCCGCTCGTACAAACCCTTTCTGCACAAAGATCATAGAGTTCTTGAAAATTGAATCGGGATTCAATTTTCAGCATAATGGATTCGCCGTCCTCATAATCAATGCCTATGTCAGAGTTTGTCACCCTTCCATTCCACCGAATAGTAAGATGAAACTTCTTGAATTTACCCATATCTACAATTTACAATAAGTATCTATTAGCTTAAAGACAGTAAAATTAACCAAAATCATATTGTACAACTAATATTAAATCATACCATAACTAACGAAAATAAATTCAACTAACTAACAACAACATAATACGAAAATTAAATCATACTATAACTAACGAACATAAGTTCAACTAACTAACAACAACATAATACGAAAATTAAATCATACTATAACTAACGAACATAAGTTCAACTAACTAACAACAACATAATACGAAAATTAAATCATACTATAACTACTAAAAACATAATTAGACCATAATACGAAAAGTCTCAACATACCGAAAAATTTATGTTCTGTGTATTATGCTCGATTTTGGCTGCTGAAATTTGAAGAAAGGGGAGTGGTTATGTTTTTACAACTGCGGGTGGTGTGCTATTTATAGGAAAATCTGCCTACTATTCACCGTTTTTGTCAAAAACGGTGAACACTATCACCGCGTTTGTCTCAGACGGTGAATAGGTGGTAGCTGCGACCTAATTTTGATCTACCAGGGGTGGGAAACGTGGGAAATGATCACCGCGTTAGTTAACAACGGTGAAGGCTTCACCGTTTTTGACCAAAACGGTGATGTGTTCACCGTTGTTAACTAACGCGGTGAAAGCTTCACCGTTTTGGTTTGAAACGGTGAATACTTCACCGTTTTTGTTTAAAACGATGAAGTATTCACCGTGTTTGTCAAACGCGGTGATGATCTTCACCACGTTTGTCTAAAACGGTGATGCTCAAACATGTGTACTTTGGGAAATTTTTTTATAACTCATGTATTTTGGGAATTTTTTTTAAGAACGTGTGTACTTTGGGATTTTTTCCTCCATTTTTTCGGTATAAAGTTTTTAATTTGGAACTTCCGACACCGCACTAATAATTACAAGCGACACTACTTTCATTATACGACAATAGTATTAATGTTATAAAGTTATTCATTATAATTAATAATTAACAATAATAAGTAAAATCAAATAAGCATGCTTGTTTTAAGTAACCCACAACTAGGGATGACAAAGGGTCATGTTTGGAGCGGGTACCCCCAAATCCGTGCCTTGCTCTTCCTTTTAACCTATTGCCCGCTCTGCCCCGCGACCCGCAACGAATCTTCTTTTTCTGACTCAGAATGTGCCCCGCACGGGGCAGGTAAAACCCGTCCTGCACCATTTTAATTTACCAACTTGTAATATAATCAATGCATCATATACCAGGCCTGCACCCTACCCCATTTTAGTTCCCAACCTTTGATTTTGCATCATCATTCATCATGTAGCTTAACATGTAATATAACATACAATCCATAATGAAAATTCAAATTCCAAATTTCATTCATCATCAACCAAAATCATCTCTCAAGCCTCCTCTAAGAACTGAATTCGAATCCAAAAAGAGGTTGCATAAACCATAAGAATTCATAAGAACATTAGAAGTTGATCAAATCATAAAAATTCATAAGAACATTAGAAGTTGACCATTTGAAAAATCTGAAAAGTTCAAACTTCTTTCTGACTTGCAATAGCTGCAGCCGGAAGCAAGCCTTTCTAAATCTCTAGTGCAGCAAACAAATTCTCTCCAGCCTCCCCTAACTTTGAGTATCAGTAGCCTGCAATACATATACATAGAACATGAACCAGACAAACAAAGAGGTAAGATTGTAAGTGCAATTGAAAAAGAAACAAATGCATAAAACATGAATAGTTGTTGCACGTACATATGCAGATGCAGCAACCATCAAGCCTTCCCAAGTCTCCAAAACAGCAAACAAATCCTCTCCAACCTCCCCTAACTTTGAGTATTATTGACCTGCAAGTACATATACATAATACATGAACAAGGCAAACATAGATGTAAGATTGTAAGTGAAAATGCAAAGGAAACAACCAAACATTCATGGAGCACCCAAATACCATTGCAATTGAGAAGTAAAATGCCATGAAATCAATACCTCAAGATCATTCTTTTCCTCTCCATCAAAATCCTCAAGTATTGTACCATGTGAGGCCTTCTCTATAGTGGATCAGTTTTGTTCATATATAAACAGTTAGAAAAAGTCCTAAATCATGTATATGTGAAGGAAAAAAACATTTAGAATTATGAAAGTGATTACCTTTAGCTAGGGAAGTAGCACGCAACCAGCTTTGAGCACACATCAACCATTCTATAGTATCTGGATCCAGCCTGCTTCGATGAGAAGAAATCACCCTACCATTGGTGCTAAAAGCAGACTCTGATGCCACTGTAGAGACGGGAATAGCCAAAACGTCCCTTGCAACCTTATGTAATATATGATATTTACTTCTATTTGACTTCCACCAACACAAAACATCAAAATCAGGTGTGTTGGGTATAATTGCATCTTCCAAGTAACAATCCAGCTCCGATCTAGTTGGCTTCCTTTTCCTTCTAGAAGCATATAGAGAAAATTTGGTTGATGATTCCTTTTGACTTGCAGCAGCTCCTGTACTTTCCATTTGAACTCCATCATTTACCTTATCTTGCTCTTTTTCCTTCTCTTCGTATTCTTCAACTAGCTTACGACATATACCAATCATCTTCTCCATCTGCCACTCACTATCCTCACCATAAATATCAGGAAAGTAGCAATCCATTACATCAGTTTTATACATTGGATCAAGTATAGCTACAACCCCCCATTAAAGAATGCACCTCAGACCAATACTTGTCAAACTTTTCAAACATGTTCATTGCCATATCCTCAAATGATTTCAATTCCGCAAGCACACCGTTGCCATAAAGCAAGCTTAAGCTCACAAATAAATTCAAAACATAAGTTGGCAATCGGATATTTAGTGCCAGAAAAAAGGACAGTGACACTATAAAACTTCTTTAGCTTACCACAAATATGTTTTGTCAACTTCCAATCACCCTCAGTAGGCAAGCACTTGTACTTTGGCTCCCGATTCCTTAACCAATTAAAAAACTTCTTTATACCCCAAAGCAGTATTCAACATCAAAACATACATGATAATAAAAACTTCTTTATACCCCAATTTAATTAAACTTAAATAGTAGTAACAAGTAATCACATAATGAGAGTGGGCAGTAGTAATAGGAAGGCAGTGAGCAAAAGTAGTATTTCACAAGTAATCACATGACTACGCTGCAGCAAAGTAATGTTACATAAAAAAAACAGCACTTGTTACCAATGATAGCAAGAATAATTCTTATTCCAATGCTTAAAGAGTTTTTTGCGATAATATACAGAAGTAATAAATGAAAAACTGTTACAATCCTAATATCCAATCTATAAGAAGTTCTGCCATGATATCAATATGATAAATGCAAGCATATTTAATCTAACCCATCTAAAGAGCCAAAAACATAGCCTACAGGAGGAATAAACAACTATTGCTGTCGAAAGAGAACCATTCACCCATCCTTTTGATTGCTTATAGAATATAACACATCTAAAGATGGATCAAACAGATCTAAGTTGAGAGTAGTCTACTTCCGCATACTGTAAAACTTAAATAGCACTACAAGTAAACACTAGCTAGCTAATCACAAGTAATCTGATATTTACTCGTAGCATTAAGTAGGTACCAGCTGCAGAAGCAAATTGTGAATCTGCTACAATACAAGTAATCACAAGGTAGCAATCACGAGCAATCATGTACTGTAATAAGGGAAGTAAGTACTAGCTAGCTATGAAAATCAAAACATACCTAATAATTCGACTTTGTAAAGTCCAATTATTATCGATATAGTGTGCAGTCACTGCCATGAAACCCTTCTTCTGAGAAGAGGTCCACATATCTGTGGTTATTGACACTCGACCTTCGTTCTTCCTCAAAAGCTCCATTGCAGCTTGTTTTTCTAGATCATAAATGCCAAGGAAATCTTTCTTTATGGTGTTTCAGCACACCATCTTAAAGCATGAATTCAAACTCATACTGTAACTCCTAAAACCTTCATGCTCCACGATCGAGAGAGGGTACTCATGCTTTATAATTGCCTTAGCCAGTTCTTTTCGAGAGTTCTCTTGACCAAAGTTGAACGACGTCAACTGGAATTTATCCTTATTCAGATTTCCTTGCAAGAGTTGTTGTTTTATATCTCCAGTTTGCTTCACTTTAGGACACTGAAAGTAATGATTCTTCAGATGAGCTGTTCCTTGTGATGGGTGTCCAACCAGCCTCTTCTTGCAATACTTACACTCAGCTTTTGGCTTGCCATCCACTGTTATCTTATTGTAGTGTTGCCACCACTCCTAGAATACCTTACCAGACATACGGCCCTTGCGTTTCTCCTTCTCATCAGTTGCAAGTGGGGCTTCATCAACAAGACGAATAACACCAGGTTGAGGGCCTTGAGTCGGATCAGGTTGAGGTTGGGAAGTTGTTGCCTCCACATTCAGAACAACAGATTCAGTTTGAGGCCCCTCCATGTCCTATACAGTTTTAGTCCCCTCCATGTCCTGGACAGTTCGCACAAGTAGAAATTTAAGAAAGCAAACTATGAAACTAAATTGACTATTCAAAAGTTGTAAACCATAGATGAACTAAATATTATGACTAAACTTGGTTAAAAGGAATAAAAGATCATTTCCAAAGACATGGTTATCGACCCAATCCACCTCTCCTTCTACGTGCATGAAACTGAATGCTTGAACTCAGCAAAAAGCGGCTCAAGCAATGATATATTAATGATCATAACCACCATTTTGCAGCAGCCAATTTTGCAGTAGCCAAACAAAACTCAAAACAGTTGTGGTTAGCTAGAGAGCTGTGTGCGAAGAGGCTCTTGTATTCAAGGAAATGGGTTGTGTTTCTCTGCTTTGGCAGTTTCTAATTTTGATCTAGTTGAGGAAGGGTTTTGTAATTCATACCAATAATTCCAATGGTTTGAAGAGCATAGTCTTGGTGAGGAACCAGTTCGTTATAATTTTGCGGCATCCAAACAAAACTCACCATAATTTTGCAGCTGCAAAACAAAACCCACCACAGTAAACTATCGAAATAGACCAAAGAAAAGTAGAAAACTAGGCCAAGAAGGATTTATATTTACCTCACCACTGTAATCGTTGCTGACCTCCTTGTTAGAAAGTCGAAATATGTGAGCTTTCTGTCTTTCTTCTATTTCCCTTCCAACGGCGCTATCGAAACACGAAAGAAGAAGAAGAAAAGAAAATAGAGAAGAGGAAGAAGAATGGCGTAGTTATATGAGAGCTCTCTCTCATCTTCAATTTAATGCTCCATAACGCCATAAAGGGGAGTTGGGAATTGGGGAAGGAGATGAATCGTTAAAGGCGCAAGGGTTGGGACGGCGGGATTGGGTTATTGGGTTTTGCGAAGAGAAACCTTTGTGGGAAGATTAGTAGCTTGGGACTGGCTGTGGATGTGGCTTCACAGATGCTTAATCGACGGGGCGGAGCAGGTTAGGCTTCGAGACCCATATCCGACGTGTTTGAACGGCGGAGCGGGTCGAGATCCGCCCCATTCAGATACGGGTCGGATTTTATCCGCCCCATTGCAAGTCGGATCAGATAAAATCCACGAGGGCGGATCTGGTTTGCCATTCTTACCCACAACCCAATTTAACTTGTCGATTTGTAGTTAATAGGTGAATTGCGTATATTTATGGTAGATTGTGGTTTGATTTTGGTTAATTTGATAGAACTAGAGAAAAAATGCTAATGTTATTACTTAGGCATATTTTGTTTTTTCTAAAATAGCCGATTGGTAGCAAACTAATTTATTTTAGACATAGGTCGATTCTCTTTAGTTGAGTGACTAATTTATGAATGATTATGTAGTGTATATCGAAAAATGTTTGATTTGCAACATAAACGATGAATGTAATTTAAAAAAATATCAGGATATGAAAAATCATCATAATTCGTAGTAAACATGACTTTGTAAACTTATAAATGAATTTCCAGTAATTTCTATTAAAATTTTATTTAATTATTTTATTTATTATAATTTTTTATCGGCGACACCCCTCTTTAATAATTCTGGGTCCGCCATTGCCGCTCCCGGCAACTTAAAACTACGACTTTCGTCCATGAAGTACGGCACAAGTGATACTTTAGTCCCCTAACTTAAATTATCCATCATTTCACTTCTCAAACAATGCAAGAGTTCGATATGCTACATAGAAAAGAGTGGAGTAAACTTCCATCCGATTGACCTTTGGTAAACTGACATTTGCCCAACAGCGGACTCTAATGTAATGCATGCACCCAAACCAAACCAGAAGTAGGTGTCAAGGAAATTTCATCTTCAAAAAGACTTTGGCAACCAGATTGGTTGACTTCGTTCGTTGCTACCCTTCTGCTTCTTCTCTTGCTTCTAGCTTCCAACTCAATCCATTCCATCTAAGCCTATGATCTCACGTTCATAACTACCTGACATCTGATCTCGCGATTCACCGTTGGGATTTGGTATTTCATTAGCCTTCACAATTGAGGCAATGAACATGGTTCACAAAGAGATTAACATATCTCTTCGGCGAAGATGATGTCGAAGATAGATTGCACTGCAGTGGAGAATGATCAAAAGCAATAAGGAGATTTAATGCAGAAGGATGCTGATGCACTCTCCCATGAAAAGCAGTGGTATTAGCTCTTTTACCTTCTTCTTTGGGGATATTAGGCTGATCGACCAAGAGCAGGTGAAGGGCACTTAGATCAGTTGAGCTGCAAATTAACACCAAGTCCGATCTAGTCATGAAAACCACTCTAGCAAACAAAATCAGTAGCAAGGCAACAACAATTCTCTGAAGCAAGGTCCGTGAAAACTGATACTGTTTGCATACAAAACTTGGATTTTGATCCTTAATTCACTACAAGTATTGATGGGCATGAAGACCAGGTAAGCATCATGATTTGCATCTGGTAAAATATGTACACTAGGCTAATTCTAGTGCATTACAGAATCGATTGATAACCTACCTAGGTTTCAAGGTAAGAGATGAAAGTGCTGAAACCACAGATGATTTCAGAAGGTACCTAATAGAAAAGCTGGTTAAGTCCCCATGAATTGATGCATCTGAAGAAAAAAAAACTTCGCTAAGTAGTAAAACACACAGCCATTACTCGGATTGATGCATGTCGTGAATTCGGAGGAGGCCATCCAAGCAATCTGCTAGTGACGGTTTAATTCCAATCCGAAGCTGCAATTGCTTGGTAGTGACAGCCTGAGCAGAACCCCCGCTTACCAACTGTTTACCATCACGATGCATCTTCTCAAGAGACAGTGCAATACGATGAAACTCTTCCCTTCAAAAGAGGAAACCAAACCCACTTCAAATTTCTCATCAATTTATCAACTTTCCCAGTAAACAAATCGAGATATGATGCTCGACAAACTTACAGTGTGGTGTTCATGGAGCGGAAAATGGCGCCAAGAGAATCCATCTGCTTTCTGAGAACCACATCTTGAACTCCATGAATGCTATTCAGAGCTCCGTAGTTCGAAGAACTTTGAATTACCTGCCCGATTAACAGAGAATTGAATTCAAGCCCACAATTTTGCTTCCGGAGATTCAGCAAGCAAAGCATGATAGAAGCTCACCTGCAAACGGTCGACGATGGAAGAAGCGTTCCTAAATTGGGAGAGAAGACGTGACTGAAGAGCTTCCCATCTCTCCATTTCATCCTTGACCCTTCTGAATCGCTGTTGATACTTCTTCACCATTCCCTCCATTGCTACTCTGCTGGCCCGCGTAAACCCGCCAAATCCCCCAAATTACATAAACCCTACTGCTTGTTAACGTATTATTATATTATTATTACTGCAACCGTGCGGCGCTGTGTGTTAAATGACGGGAATGCCACTGAAGTTCAAAAGCTTTTCTCTTTACCAAAGAGGACTGCCCGCTAGATCCCAAATTCCCAATAGTCTCCGAGTAAGTAGGAGAATCCATGGCGGAATTGGCGAGGACGGATGAAATCGAGATGGAGGTGAAGAAAACCGATGAGATGGCGGAGCTCGAGGTTGAAGAGAATCCGTGGGGCGAACCAATAGAAGACTTAGAAGGAGAGGAAGATCGGAATAAAGCTGTCATGAAGCTTCTGGATTCCATGGATGGCTACTTAACCCAATTCAATTCTCTGTCTTCTACGCTGCGTCAGGTAATCCTTACCCCGATTCTGAATGTTTGGTAGCAAAAGTATGAAACTTTTCTTTGTTACTAGGCGTGGGAAACGCTGATAATGGAAAATTTGACTAATGGCGATCCCTCTTTTTATATTCTGCTAGGGATGGCTGGACTTGGCGAGCGCCAGGCATTCCATGGGCACTTCACGCATCAATTACACCTTGTTAGACCTTAAAGAACACCCAGCTTCTACTTCATTGCGGATCATCTCAGATGATGATGATGATGATGATGATGATGATGATGATGGTAAATCTTTTGCTTGATTATATGATAGTGTTGAAGTTTCATTTTGTCTTGAATTTGGCGTCATATGTGTATTGTGCTGCAGTAGATGATTCGACAAGGAAGCAGAAACCACGATTTCAGTTGCGGAAATGGGGATCCTTGGACAACCAGACTTTCTCTGCTGAGAAGCAAAGGTCAAAGGAGGAGCATGAGGAATCATCAGGCAGCTTAAAGCAAAGACATCGTGGCGATTCCCAGCTTCCTGGTATTGCTAATCAACTACCGAGTAGTTGGCCTGGAAACAAAGTGCTTTCCACAAATTCTGAATACCTTCTCAATTGGATTATGTTTGTGGTTGCGCTATGTATTGAGCATTCTTAGCTTTCTATTAGGATGTGGCTTAGTTTTTCTTTCTGTGTGTTTCTCTTTACAGAATGTGCTTGTAAGCCTGACGACGGAGCTCAGGTCCAGATTGATGACAAGGTGAGTAACTATTCTATAGCTGTCTGCTTGGTCATGTAAGTGTAAAAGAAAGGACTTAGTGTGGTTTCAATGTAGATAGTGTGTTGAATCTGCAGAAACGGAATGACATTGCTACTAACTACAATCGTCGTGTTTCTGGAATCGTGATGATCTTTGCAAATTGGATCGATTGGTCATGTTAATTTAACATTGTGGTTCTGGCAGGTAAAGAACGAGCGGTCGAAATCCCTTGCCATGTTTGGAACACTGGTTTCTCCAAAGCTTCGAGCTTCCCAACTGTCATTTGAGAAAGGTAACTACTTATACTAACGAAAGCAGCTAAATATTTTGGTGACGATGACGCCGCTTACTAAGTGGAGATGGTTATGCAGCAATTGAGGCGATTGTAGAGATAGCTAATCTTCGTTCGGAGATCCTTGCTGCATCGGCTCAAGTGCAGAGGATATTGGAGGTTTCCAAGAAGGTCACATAGAGGATGATAATCAGGTATTAATCCAATTGTTATCAAGCATTCTGATCTGTTATTCTTGCAACGATCATGAACTCATGGTGCGATGTATTGAAGTTCAACCTAAAAAATCAGTTTCGTATGATTCTTGTATCATCTTCTACATCCTGTGTCTTACACAGAATCCCTGAATATATTTTCTTTCGTATTGGTTTCCACTTTGCAGGAAATTTTGTCCTTGAACTCCAAGAGAGACTACAAGAAAGGAGTAAAGAAGGCCTGCTTGAGAGTGAGACTCGAGCCTTGAATGAGATAGAAGAACCCCGAGATTGAATCATTTTTCATTGTGCTAGGCTTCTATGAAAGTGATCCTGTTGAGTAAAACATTGTCAATCTACAATGTCTTATGTTTTTCAACGATCAACCGAGACATTACCTTATTTCGACACTCCCCCTTAAAGTGTAATTTGCCAAAACTCCGAGTAGCGTCTTCAATTTGACGAATACGCTTGCTTCAGCGACTTCGTGAAAATATTAGCAATCTGGTCTACTTCATATATGAAATGAAATGCCTTGTTTACAAACGTAAGGTTGTTGGAATTCAGAGGTCACAGGACTTGGACTAAACAAAACTAAACATCTCTTTCGAAAAACTTGTGTACTTCGGATTTCCAGCCGAAATTGACCCACGAGAAAGCCGAAGAGAGAAGCACAAGAATACATGATAATTCAATCTAAAGAACAAAAACCCTTAAGAAGTACAACAGGCTTACAGTACTGTCAACCAAACTCTACACAAGAACAATTCTCAGCACACACTATACATGATTCCAAAATCAAGACATCTATTTCCGCCGACAGCAGTGAATAATCCCCTCGATTGTATATTTGTATTTATATCCTGCAGTGATCAGCAGCATCTGTAGTGGTAAAAATGGACACTTTTTCAGTCCATCAAAGAAAAAAGTTATGGGATTTGACTTTTGGCTAGAAGGCATTCCAATTGTCGGAGCTTTTCTTAGGGCTGTGATGGTGGTCCGACGAGGTGGAAACTTTGAAAGGCTCACTGGATCCAAAAGGGTCTGCATCATCGAACGAGGAGAACGACCGGTCGTATCCACCACCACCGCCACCAAAGTCCTTGCTGCTGTTTATGGAGTCGAACCTCGACAGTGTTGCCTTCTGTGGGGAAAACCCGCTCCCTTCTTGCATGCTGAAGGAGTCGAATCTTGAGAAGCTGTCAAATTGGTCACCGGCTTCGCTAAACCTTGGAGAGTTGGCGAACCTGGACATGGGAGAGCCAGCTACGGATTCCTCGAAGAATATGCTCTTCTTCTGGAAAATGTGGTCTGTTGTTGTACTGGTTGGAGATCCAGATGTCCTGATTGGCTTTATGCCAAAATCCTCGCCGCCAAAGAAATCTTGGTGCTTCTCTGAATCAGTATCCTGTTGACAATGACAAAGTTGTGGTGTGCCAAAATGGATAAAGCTTTGGTTATGCTTTGGAATACCAACTGGAACTACATGTTAGAGGTTAAATGCCTTAAATGATCACCAAACTATGGGCACATATTAAAAAAAAAGGTCACCAAACTAAAAACTATATGGTTTGTAATACCAAACAGTCACTTTCTCTTGTTCTGTCTAACTGTCAATAGTTCGGCTGAGTCAGCATGTCAAATAGGTTTGTTGGGTCTCAAAAATTTCCACGAGTGAGTCGAATTATAGATTTCGAGTGGGTGCTTGGTCTCTAGTCGGGCGATATTGGTAACACGGATTATGCATGCTGACTCACCTGAACCAACGACGTATAAGACGGAACAAGACAAAGTGACTACGAACTACTTAGTTTAGTTAGCGTTATTAGTGACCATTTAGGCATTTCATCACTATGTTTTAGGTTCTTGGAGAGGTTTCAGGACAAACCTTGGCACTGGCAGGATTAAATCCCCATACGGAATCCACGTCATCGTTCGAGTCAAATGCTGCACCCCATGCTGAATCGTCGAAACTTCTAAATTCCAGGAGTGAAAACAGTTTCAAGATCAGCCAAGATACACTCCCGAAAGGAAGAAGACAGAAAAATGAAGGGAGATATATACCTATGAGCTTCTGAATCTCCTTCAGTGCTCTTTGCAAAAACATCGGAGAAGTCTCGTGACGGAGTCCTTCCAGCAGGGCTGCCTTGAGGGCTTCTTGCCACAGACTCAACTTCACTGTGAGCGTATGCAGATTCGTTCTCCTCGAGGTTATGCTCATGATCATGGATATTCCTGAAGTTCCCGGATTTTGCATCACCGTTGGACAAGGAATCTGGAGTTAAGCTACCATCTGGTGATGCTATTCCATTTTGAACGGCATTGGCTTTCCCATTCGCGGTCTCAGAAACATTTTTCACATCGATAGTGAGATCATGGCCAAAACCTGAACGAATCTTAGATCTTTAGCAACATTATGTATACAAAATTATCAGAAGTATAGATTCCACAAGTGAAAGCACTTAGAATAGATTAATATATATTTAGGAAAGGTTGTCTAGCATAACCCACCTTTATAGGGGGTATGCAATGCATTTTCCTCACCGTTGTCAGCACAAATTAGTATTGATTAAGTTTTTATCACTATATTTAGCTAATGATAGAGATTACAATTTTAAATTTTAAATATCAAATTCTATTTGCAGATGTAGGGGGCATAGTAGGTTGTGTTTTTTTGGTCTTCGTCTAGTAAATTATAAGGTGTGAGAGATCTTCATTAAAAACCGACAAAGCATACCTTCATCTTCAAACTTATCCCATTCTTCATCCCAAGGAGCGGCATTCTCTTGAATTCCAGGTTGCCATCCTTATTAATTAATCATCAAATAAGAAAACACGAGCAGAAAAAGGGTCCAAGTTCGAACCAAGTCATGTCAGAGTGATTTATAATGAGTATCGGCATTGGTTAAAACTGAAACACCACATTGTTTAATAAGTGAAAAGATTCGACTAGGATTAGAGTACCAAAGGGAAGCTCAACCATCGCGGTCGACTTGATATCCAAACTGTGCTTCTTGGAACGCTCGATTAAAACCTTCGTCAGTTCATCCAGATCTGACTGTATACGATCTGCACGGACCTATAAAATGCATTGAGTTGAGCGATGGGAATTTAAGGGCGCCTCTTAGTATATGAATTGTGATAGGGAAAGCTGCCTGTAAATAAATACCTGAAGAAGGCCATCAGCACTGCCACCTTGTTCCATGTTCACAATTGCTTGATGCAACTCCTTCTTTCGTTCCTATTAGCCAGTCAATGATTAATACATAGATGACCGTATCATTTCTGGACAACTGATATGAACGATTCTTAACAGTACAAGCATAAAACTGGCGCCCAAAATAGTAGGGATACAAACTTTGGTGAGCACATTAGTCAATGATTAATACATAGATGACGTATCATTTCTGGACAACTGATATGGACGATTCTTAACAGTACAAGGATAAAACTGGCGCCCCAAATAGTAGAGATACAAACTTTGATGAGCACATTAGTCTAACCACAATGGGCATAATTATTTTCTTGAATATATAACTGAATATCAAAATCAACTAGACTAGAGACTCACAGACTAGTTCCACTAACCAATCACTGAGGTTAATAAAAGTAAAAGGAACTAGTTACCTGAATATCCCGAAACTGGGCCTCTTCAATAGTTAATTTAGAGGCCACTTCAGCAACCTGCTTGTACTTTTCTTCATACTTCTTACCCAAGATTTCGGCCTGTCAAACAAGTTTAAGACACTCGGGGTTTTATTACAGAAATCAGATATCAGGAGACAATAAGTAGGCAGTTGCTTGAAGACAATAAAATACCTCACGCTTATCTGCTAGTGCTCTTTCTGTTATCTCATTGAGCCGATTATCACATCTACTCTTATATAGAACCTAGAAAACAATCCAGAAAAAATAAGAACCAGAAAAGGGTACAAGACCCATGACATTTTGACATCTATTATTTTATGGGATATGCGAAAAGTTAAGAATTTGATACAAAGCAGGTGAAAGAAGGAGGTTCATACTTCTACCACGTTAATAAAAATAGATTCCAAAGTTGTATGGGGAATAAAGGCCTAGAGCATAATTTCATACTACAAATCCTACTAGTACAACATTTATCAGATAATTAAGCATTTTCTTCAGTATAGAAGTTTCGATGTAATGTGAAGTTACTTTTAACCCAAAAGAAAACAGATCCATGGTTTTACATGTACCATAGCACAATCATCAAGCAAAATTAGATGTTTTGCTCCTTGAAATCTCAACTCTTAATTCAGCAAACCGAGAAAAAATGACTGTTCCTGGACTTTTTGGTTCATTAATATTCTATTTGGCTACTAACTGAATTTGGCTCCCTTTGAACGGAGTCCTTCAACTTACTCCCACCTCCCAATTACACCCAAAAATGAAGCTCAATAGGGAAAATGTTCTCTCATATCTCTGGGAATGCACACACCTTTGATTCCCATTACAAGAAGCCTTTAGTTATTAAGTATAACAAAGGAGGACAAAATTAGATACTTACAAGATCCTGCATTTTACTGCGGAAGTACTCAATTTTCTCTCTGGAATCCAATATCAACTTCTCTGCTCCTTCAGCCTACATAAAATACAAGGAAAATTTATATGCTGCACATATAGTGTCGTCAACCTTGAGTGTCACAATCAAAGTTATATATCTGATCCCATCATTCTTCACATAAGGTGATAGGTTTCACGCGCCCTCTTGGACTTGGTCTTGAGAAGTAGCAAAAGGTCAAACGAAAAGAACATTCCAATAGCGTAGAAACATTATATGAGAAAGTGCCTTTTTCTCTGCAGTTCCATTTTGCAGCATTGCATTCCCAGAATCGCCATTCTCACGGCTCAGAAAGGAGTCATCCAACACATGAGATCCAGAATTGTTTTGACTGGACACTGCTGCAACATCATGCTGAGGTCCAGGTACCGGAGCTGGTGGTCTCAAGCCAGGTGCAGGACCCATTGGCGGTCGAGGGCCCATTCCTGGCTGCTGAGCAAAACCTAGTCAAATAGCAACACAAACAAATATCAACAAAAAGCCCAGATGCCAAAGTAGAAAAGAATGGAGGGAAAAGAAACCAGTCCTAGAAGAAAAGCTATACCAGCACCAGGTGCCCATGCAGCATTTCCATATGCAACCTTAGGTTGGCCTGTCATTGACATCAGTGTTTCGTCGAACATCACATTACGAGGGAGGATGGGTGGCAGGGGGCGACCTTCCCTGAACCGCTCCATTAAATAGAGAGCAAAGCAGAACTCCCTCAAAGAAAGCATGCTATCACTGTCCTGGTCCGATAAATCCCAGACCTGCTTCAAGACCTCTGAAAGCAGAGGCATTAACACCAGTTACTATACTTAAACCACTGAGTGTACAGTAGGGATTTCAGATCTGTTACTATAGTAAGAGATTCACATAGAAACTAGGTCAACTTTTCAGTTCTGTGTGGTATCATAAGTACCATGACACAAAGTAAAAATCAAGTAGTTACTTGCATGGTTTAAGAAACTATCGTAAGCAACACCAAATCAAGCATTTAGTTCCCCATAACAACCATAATCCAGCACACTACTTCCGGACCAAGCACTATGAGAGTAAATAACTTTAATATGGACAGAGAATGCGGAGGAAGAGGCAGCATAAAGCAAAGAGCAATTACCTCTTGGCAACCTCCAGCTTAAGAAAAGGGTGCGCGCCTGCTCACCGGTAATCTTTCCATCTCTGTCCGTGTCTACTTCCATGAACACCTTTGTGTACTTCTGAATTTCTGCTGCCTTCATCTTTGGCCACCCAGGCTGGGAGTTGTTGTCTAAGGCACTTCCTAGTCCAACAGAAGTTGCAGGTGAAGCAGGTAATGAAGAACTTGAAGCTGAAACCTGCTGCCCTATTGTTGGCAATGACTGGGCCCGTTGAAGACCACCAAGGGACTGCTGAAAAAAAGCATCCTGTAACGAGCCAAGTGAGTTGGACTTGATAGGGCCTTGACCCATAGAAGAGACCGGGGCAAGAGCAGTTGTTGGAGATGCATTAGCAGCAGAATAAGTTGGTTTTGGAGGTTCCTGCTTTTGTGTAGACGGAGTAACTGAGAACATGTCATCTCCGAAGGAAGAAGTAGATGCCGACGCATTGCCAGAAGACACTATAGCTTTGGAGTCACTAACTATGGACTGCGAAGACATTGGACTTGGAGTTAGTTGCTGCAAACCAGACGTTGGGCTGGCACCTCTAGGGCCAGCACCAGGTATAGATCCACCACTTCTTCCACCCAGCCAATCAGTCGTGCTACCAGAAGTTGATGTGGCAAGACCACCAGCACCACCAGTTATGGATTGGGTGGCTGGACGATAAGCAGTACCAGTAGGCGTTGCCTGAGAGCTACCCATCATGCTAGCCTGAGGCAGATGAGGAGCAGCTGCAGGAGATATCATCTGAGGTGGTCGAGGGGCTGCCACGGGAGCAATTGTCTGAGGTGGCCGAGGGCCAGATACTGGAGGAATCGGCTGAGCTGGTCTCATAAACTGATTCTGTTGAGATGGAAAGTAATTTGGGTTCATACCCACAGTTGGAACACCCTGTGGTCTAATGCCAGGACTCTGAGCTGACACTGAGGCAGGCATACCAATTTGCGGAGCAGCCATTGAGCTAGCTTGAGGTGCAGGCACAGCTGCAAGATTAATTTGTGGTGCTGGGATTTTGGCCGCAGCAGGGCCATATAGCGCAGCCTTTACAATCTCGGGCGTCAGCTCTCGCTTGCTCTGTGCAACCGTCACGAGCTTAAGAGCATTGTAAAATTCTGCTCGACCAAGGAAGCCACTACGACTTTGGTCAGCGTGCATCCAAATCTGCAACCCCAATCACAGAAACACTCAGCCAACTATAGACACGATCATAATGAGTTATGGCTCTTTCATTATAGCCAGTGCCAAATTCAGGTTGGAAACAGCCAGATTGTTCTTACATACCATCGCATTCCCTCTTTGAAGTACCGTAATTACATCCTAAGTTACTAACACACAGCTTCCTTCCATAGAGATTCTAGCACCTAGGCAGAGAAACTACTTGGCCCAGTTCACTTACAACAGATCTAACTGACTAACTCCGTTCATTCAAATTGGATACTAAATCAATCGACATTTTCGAATTGATTCCAAGCACGGGAATGTTCATTAACTAATCTACACGAAAAACTCGAACACTCAGAGAGAATTGGAGAAAGGGCAGGAAAATGGGAAGTGAACCTGAGCAAGAACTTGCTTGTGCAAATTGGATCCCTGGAAAAAAGCAACAGCTTCAGCTCCACTGATCTTGCCATCGCCGTCCAAATCTGCTCTTCTGAAGTAAGCGTCGAATTGATCCATGTTCGGCCCCGCCATGCCGGCTCACCCGGCAACGATTAGGCGCGAGCTTGGAAAGTGGCGGAGGGAATGATAGCAGCGTAGCTTGAGAATGTCGATGGGGGATGGGAAAGCTTGACTGTTAAGGTCGGAGGAGGAGAAGCGATAGTGAAATGCGTCGGAAAATTGGGGAAACAATTCGGTCGAGGAATTAAGGAATCTAACAGCTGCCCGGAATTAAACATGAGGTGTGATCTTCTGGAGATTAAATAAAATAATTCATAAATAAGAAAATATCTGATTAATAAAAAATTTAATAAAAAGTCATTACGTGTTTATATATTTCGAAAAAATATAAAATAAATTTGGTATCTACACTGCTCAATAAATCTGTATATCGTACTAGACAATCTCCGTGTAACCATAAAATCAATTCAAATTAGGGGTACCCCTGGGGATAATGAATCATGTCTTTACTCTGTATTACATAGTGTTTAAAATGGAATAACACATGAGTTATAACCTAATGGAATATGTTTAATAATAGTAGTGTCCTAGGTTTGAATAAAACAAACTACCACTTATATTTTTTTGGGCATGCCTACTATGACATGCATGTCACCGTGACATGGACTTTTCGGTCGACCTAATCCTGAAGGCGGTCGACTGAATTGACTAATTTGGGGAGCACGAGAAAGCATTGCGGTCGACCTCAAAGACCACCTGGTCGACCGTTCTTAGTTTAAGTTGTTATTTTTGGTTGACCAAAATAAACCTCGGTCGGCCATTTCGTTGGCGTCAGAAACAACATGGTCGACCGTAAAGGTATATAGGTTGACCACTTGATGGCAGTCATTAACAACATGGTCGACCAGATAAAGAAAGAAGTCGACCAGATAGACGATAAGTGTTCTATCAATTTATCCAATCATTTGACGTAAAATGAAGATCAAGTGTTGGTGTCGAGGTCGACCTAATCCGGTACGAGGTCGACCGAATACAAGAAAGTCAACCTATACCCCGTGTCTTTTTTGCTTATGTATGTTGATTTGTGTGGTTCTTTTGCTCGTCTAAATTACGCTTTAAACCATCATAACTAGTCATAAATAATGATAACAAGGACTCATCAATTATGCTATGAATTGAGGTCGACCGCCTTTACGATTAGGTCGACCGAAAAGTCCATGTCACGGTGACATGCATGTCACCGTAGCAAAATCCTATTTTTTTTTATCATACGCAAACTACAACGAGAGTAAGATAATCAATTTTTTTAAATTTTTAGGAATGTCCCGAATTACTGATTATATTTTGTTTATCCACACGAAATTACCACTGACGGTTGGATAATCATTTTCCCAAATTTTAGGGGTGTCTAGGGACAGGACAACCCCTAAAGCACCATGTATCCGCCAATGGAGGAAGGAAGATGAAGATTCCCTTTTTAATTCATGACCTTACTTACTATGGGTTTTTACTTTTTTTTTTTTTTTTTGAAAAACTATGGGTTTTTTACTTTTTATGAAATCAAATAATTTACAAAATTATTTAGATCAGACACTTACATAAGTTTCACTTAGTGTCTTGATCATTACAGATAACATACATCAATCATTTTTTAAGTGATACATAATAAATAATTATTCCTGCACAGGATTACATAGTGTTTAATCGTTATGGAAGACTTATATAACATATTTTTTTAACTGATGCATACAAAATGATTATATGTTCATAATATTTATTTAGTATTTTAATCATTAAGGAAGACTCTTTAATATCTTTACTTACATAACAGTTATCCCGCTATAAATTTTAGTTTATGTAGTGTCTATAATTTTTACAAATGAATTTATAATTTATGTAACTATTATACAATGTTGTTAATGTAACTACTATAGCATTGTTACATAAATCTTTCATAATGTGTGGTCTAATAATAAAATCAATTTTAGAAAGTAACACATGATTAAACTGTTATACTAAAGTCAACTAACTTTGCAGAATCTTTTCATAATGTGAATTGATGGCATGTTAAATATTTTAATTAACAATAATGTAATTTTGGTTAATAATAATTAAATAATTTAATATGGTTTCTATTATTTAGGAGAAAAGGACTTACCGTAGAACTGGTTGTTACCGTGAAAAGAGCTAATACTCAAATAGTCTATTTTTTTCTTAATGAAGAGTAAAAAGTGCTTGTGCTGAATGGTCTAATAATAAAATCACATTTTAGAAAGTAACATATGATTAAACTGTTATTTCAAAGTAAACTAACCTTACAGATTTGCGGTTGCGGAACATTTGCATAATGCGAATTGATAAACAAAATCAAATGAAAGAAAAGAAAAAGGGACCATCAATTTAAAGGAATGAAACAAAAGTAAGGCCAGCCTTTGTACGGATCTAGGGTGGGCTGTGGGCAAATAATTATATGAAATTTTGATTAATAATGGAACCGACTGTGGCAGATTCATTTTCTCTAGTGAATAGTGAAGAAAAATCAAATGAAAGAAAAAGGGACTATCAGTTTAAAGGAATGAAACAAAAGTAAGGTCAGCCGTTGTACGGATCTAGGGTGGGTTGTGGCAAGCAAATAGTTATATGAAATTTTGATTAATAATGGAACTGGCTGATTAATAATGGAACCGACTGTAGCAGATACGTTTTCTCCAATGTATAGTGAAGAGGGAGAAAAAATCGTTAGGAACAGTACCATTGATTTCCGGTTACTTGAGCTTTAAACGTATAAAAATTACGTAGTCTTGTTCTGGATAAATAGACTTGTATAGCCACAAATTTGCATTTTGTACGCAGATGTAGTCATTCCGTCAATAACTTTAACTGAACAATAGTAAATATTGAATGTACTAATGTTTGATGCTGACGTGTCAATTTTTCATAAAAGATATGCAGATGAAAATTATCCTTCTTCTAAGTTATAATTAATTAAAAATTCCTAAAAAAAAACTTTTCTCATCCTTCGCATGTACTTCTTCCTCTTCCTCGAAGGTCTCCACCTCCCACCTCAGTCTTGTCGTGCCTTCAAGCTCTCCACCCTTAATTTATTCGAGAAACCAGATCTCCGCCTTGGAAAATCTCAGATTGTTTCAGTTTTCACCGTCAAAAGCTTCATTGAAGCCCTGTAGACGTCTTCATCTTCTTCTTCTAGCCACTGCACTCCTCCGGACGCATCCACCAACTCTGTCGCATACCAGAAGCAGACGGCGAGGCAGAGCAGCGACCTCACCCGCTTCCCATCGGCAAGGAGCAAGTACTGCATTGACTCGTGGATTTTCGGCAATCGCATATAGTTTTACCTTTTTCTTCCACCAGTCGTCGCCTTCTTATTCTCGACCGAAAATTGATAATCTTTGCGGCAAAGGACCTGAGACGGGCAAAATGGGTTCTGGAACGACAAGGATTGGGTTTCCCAGATTACGCGAGCTCACGGTGGTAGAGGATTCGAGATCCGAAACTTCTCAGCGGCTCTCACTCTTCCTCGCTTCCGATTCCTCTTTTTTTAGGTGAGATAGTCTCAGAGGGGAGCGAGCTGTAGAGTTGGAGCGGGTGGTTTGGAGGAATTTCACATATATGCCTCTAACTAAGGGTGAAAATTGGTACACTATGGGTATCCTAATAACAAATATCAAAATCCTGAATATCTGCAATTCACTCCTTAACTAGAGGTCAGAGAGTCATTGAGGAGGAGAGGACACGGAGGAGCAGAGGTCGGGATGGAGAGGAAGAGGTTGGGAAGGGTTAGAGTTGGAACAAACACAAAAAAATGAAGGATTTCAAAATTGTTGTGGGGTCCGCTGTTTTGAAATTCTTCAATAGCATATTTTCGAAATTCCTTGGTTTTTGGAGTCTTCCCAAACACAAAAATGTAGTGAAATCTGGGAAGGCGGATTGGCATCAGTTGGCCCCAAAATTCCTAATCTAAACAACCCCTGTAATAATCCTAATACACAATTCACAATGTTGAGATTTTTAATGGTGTGAATGGAAATGGAAGGGTAAAGATCCAAGAGAATCTCTTGAAGTACCATGTTGGTAAGCTATGGGAAGGCGTGGCCGCGAATTCGGTCAATTTGATGTACTATGTTGGTAACGATAATATTGGTTTGTGTAACCAACCGGACCAAACTGAGTTGAACCAAATCGATCCGAACCGATGTGGTGGTTGGAATAACCAAACCGGTCCAACTACCATGGACCAAACCGATGCAATGGTTCATTATTTTAAATGAACCAGTGTTGGTTGGGGGTAACCACTCATCCGAAGAGTCGCCTCCCTTCGTACGCACCCCTTCATTTTCAATAAATAACACATAACCCCCTCTGGTTTTTAGACACGTGTTCCGGTAACATAACTCTGCTAAAATCCAAAGTAGTTTTCTGCATTCTTTTCAAAGAGAAAATCAAGTCAAGTGTGGTTCTCGACTTCTCGCTGGTTCACTGCGTTCAATGGTTTTCGGGGTTTGAGGTACCGCTACGCCGGGAAAGGTATGTCATTTCTATCCTAGGAGGAATCATTCCATTATCTTGGGTACTAGAGGGGAATAAGATTCCTTAAGGAGAGACGGTGAATTCTGTCAGCTAAGACGATTGCATATGTATTTGCATAATTTCATGATCTTATATGTGTTCTTGTGTTGATTAAATGATCTTAATTTGTTACCTGTTCTACAAGAAAAATAGTATACGTGAACAATTTCCACAACAATCTTAAGGAATCTTATGTTATATTTGTTCACATGTACTGTTTCCGACTATCATGAGAAGGAGACCTGTCTCTGGAAAATTGCATAACGAAGTTATTGATTGTTCAGTTTTATGAGCATATGTGCATGTATGTCATATCATATTAGTCCAGTTGCCATGCAATTGCATCAATTCTTTTTGTTACCCATTTTCCTTTTTCTTTTCTGATTCCTCTCAATTAAATATTCCATGTTGCACTAAGTTACTTACGGAGGACTAGATATGGCCCACCTATCTTCCGAGGTCACTAGTTTACACTGCCATAACCAGCCTCTTTATTTATGTGCGTACACATTTTTCAGGGTGGGGCCACCTTTCCTCCTGCTAACCTTAAAACTTCAAGAAATCTCTCGCATTCTACTATATATCCATGATAGTTCATGGAAGTCTCTGAAAGTTCATGGATATATGAAACGTTGCATGCATTGGAATGAAAAGTAAAGGGACACATCCTTTACGTCTTAACCATGGAGGACGGAGGTATTACAAGAGCATTTTTTTTTTACAAATAGTATTACAAGAGCATACTGGGGGGAAATCTGGATTGGTTCCCGAAAGGAAAAGTGACATTTGCTAGTCAATTCCGAAATCAGGTAACATTCTGTCCCTGTTTTTAGCAGTTAGAAGTGTGAGAATAGATGATATATATGTATGTATTTGGTTCCTGCACGATTGGGAAAAAATGCATTTGGGGTTGTATTAATTAGTCAAGTAGCCATGATAAATTTGTTGTTGAATTGCTAGATGAGAAAACATCAATACGTTGCATGAAATGGTGTTAAAAAAAAAAAAGGATGACGGTTTTCCCGGATGGCCTGTAAGGCGTCACCAAACCCATGGAATGCAACGATCCATTGAAGAATTGCATCTTTTGGCAAAGGTTATCACTAATTGTAAATTTGTAATATATATATGGTGGCTTCTATGGTACCCCGGGTGAAATCCGGGGTACCGTATACCTCGAGTATGGAAACTCTATCTAGACCTTGAATTACCAGGATTTTTGTGTCTGATATTATACCCTAACCCTTAATGAGTGAACCGTAGTTCATAATTATCTAAATCATAATCTATAAACCCTAAGATGGTGCATTCCTCTTTGTGCCTATATTTGGATGAATCATAACCGTCGATTATTGTTTCTAATTAAATTGATCTTGGAGTATAAGATTGGGAGAGTTAACACCTAGATTTTGATCTTTAAGTGTTAGAGTATAGTATAATGTCCGAAAGATCGGTCAATTCAAGGTCTAGATAGTGTTTACATACTCAAGGTATGCGGTACCCCAGATTTCACCCAGGGTACCGTAGAACTCGCCATATATATATATATATATATATATATATATATATATATATATATATTGTTGGAATATGGCAAGTGTGATTTGCCGATTCTCAAGGCCTTTGCAGAATGCTCCAAATAAGGGAAGTGCTTCAATCAAGCAAATCTTCTCCAACGGTTTGCTTTCAGCAATTCATCTCCAACGGCTAGCTTGGATGCCTATATATTCAGACGAAATCTCTTGTGATATACACTTTTGTACGAATCAAGCAAAGGGTATAGGTCTGAGCTTAGATTTACAGAAGGGTTGACAGTATAGGGGTAGAGGTTCTATACTGTGGTGGCAGATTGGGATTGGATTGTGATCCTGGAAATTTCTCTTATCTTTGTTTTTCTTGAGTCTGTAATCTTTGTTTCAATTTGCTTGATAGGAAAATCAATAAAAAAAGAGTCTCCTAGAACTCAGTGAGTACTGAGTCTAGGACGAGGAATGACCAGTAGTTGGGAACCTCGTTAAAATTCGTATGTGTCCCTTTTCTTCTGTTGCTCTTCGTTTCTGCATTTGTTACTTTGCTTTGCTGCTCTGTTCCTCACTGCTCTCCAGAGACTCTGTCTCTAAGGTTATCAAGCCAAGGAAGAAGACAGGCTCTGGTATGTTAAGTTTACTTGGGCCTGCTCATTATAAGTCTTGTTTTATTTGCGTTTTATATTTCTTTGTTTAGTGGGCTTAGTTTGTCCAGAGCCCAGTGCGAAAGGATTCTTCGATTGAGAAAGAAACATTATTCAGTGTTTTTTTTTTCTGAAAATCGATCAAAGTCCCATTTCCCTCTCGTCTCTCTGCTCTTCGCAAGAACCCTAATTTTCCCTTTATATTTTCTAATTTTCCCTCTCGTCACTACTGCCAAGGTAATCGATCCAATGGCATCTAGTTCGTTTGGTCAAGCTACTCTCAATCATCCTCCTATCTTCATAGGGTCTAACTACACCGCCTGGAAAAAAAGGATGAAGCAATTTATGTGGGGTGTAGATGAAGAGCTGTGGTTGATTGTCCAAAACGGACCCATCCAGATGGACATAGAAGATCAACAAACCTGGTCGGCAGCTCAGAAGAAAAGCGCACAATTGAATCAAAGGGCAATGCATGTGCTCCAGTCAACAATGAATCCAGATGAAGCTGATCAAGTAGAGAATTGTGAAACGGCGAAAGAAATCTGGGCAGCGCTCGAAACTACTTATGAAGGTACCTCCAATATCAAAGAATCTCGTATTGACCTATTAATGCATGAATGTGAGTCGTTTAACATGCTTGATGGTGAGGGAATACATGAAATGTATTCCCGATTCACTGTTCTTGTTAACAAATTAAAAGGTTTAGGAAGGTCATCTCAAAACAAGGATCTAAATCGTAAAATTCTTAGATCCCTACCTAAGGAGTGGCTTCCAAAACGGAATGCTATTGAAGAAGCTAAAAACTTGTCTACCTTGCCTATTAATGAACTAATAGGGTCCTTACTTAATCATGAGCATGTTCTTAAGCAGGTAGGGCAAGAGGATGAGAAAAGAAAAAAGAATTTAGCATTTAAATCCAGAGTCATTGACTATGATTCTGATAATGAAAGTGATTTTGATAAGGAGTTTGCTCTTGTGAGCAAGAAATTCCATCGGATGCTGAAGTATAAAAATGATCAGAAACGTTTGTCTAATGAATCAAAACCCAATTATTATGATCATAACAAAAGTGGTTATCAAGATAGGCTGCTCCAACAGCAGACCGGACTTTTTGAGACAGGTCAGCAAGACAAGGAATCTCAAGCTTGCTACAAATATGGAAAATTTGGTCATATCAGGGCTTAGTGTCCCCAAACCTTAAGAGCCAAGGAGAAAGGAATGAAGGCTTCATGGAGCGACTATGACTCAGAACCAGAAGCATCAAAGTCTGATGAAGAGGCTTTTATGGCTACAAAGGATTCAAATATAGAAGATGAGATTGCACTACACTCAGAATCAAAACATCATGATGACAAGAAATGGTATTTAGACAGTGGGTGTTCTCACCACATGTCTGGTAAGAAATCTCTTTTCACATCTCTAAGAGCTAATAATGGAGGTAAGGTGTTTTTTGGAGACAATGGTCATGGAAACATCATTGGATGTGGAACTATTGGAAAATCTCCTTCACCTTCTTTTCGTGATGTTCTTCTTTTTGAAGGATTAAAACATAATCTCCTATCTATTAGCCAACTGTGCAATAATGGATATCAAGTTGCTTTTAAAGCAAACCATTGCATTGTTGAAAGAGTTAGAGATGGGAAAATTATGTTTGTAGGAAACAGAATAAATAACTGATAGGTCAAAAGCGTATGCCTTAATCCTATCTTGTAGTAAAACTGGAAAGTCCGAGTATCGTCTCTCAGGGACTGGTACAACCTTATGATTTATCAATTCTATGGAGTAAACTATAGGTGGTAATGGTTTAATGAGTTATTAACTACTAGCAAAATAATTAAACTAATTAAGCAAAGTAAAATGTTCGGGAGAAAATCAATGGGAGAAGCTCTGGGAGAAACACCGGAATTCACTACCTATCATATCCAAATTAATTCACATATCAATCAGTTTAATCCAATTCTCTACAGCCAGGATATAACGAATGTGCTAGCTATCCCTGTCGGGAATTACTACGTACTAAATAATCAATTCAAATCCTACTGTCGTAGCTCAATGAATTAACTATATAGCCTGAAGATCGATATCCTATTCAAGACCACATAGCATCTTATTTAATCCACTGTCGCTTCGATAAGTTACTATGTCACATGAAACATGTTCAGTCATTAGGGTTTCACTGTCGCTAATCACCTAATTAACAACAAATCAATGTATTGGTGGCCAGTCAACACAAAGCATTAAGCAATTTCATGCAATAGAGATTGGAAGAAAAGAAATACGAATCAATCCATCAATTCTAGAAATAGCTTCATCCTATGGTGTTTCCCCCAACAATTGGGGTTTAGTTCATGACGAAATCAAAAGATATAATCATGTTCTTAATCATCATAAAACTAGTAACGAGAAGGAGAGAAAATAATGATACGAAATAAATTACAGATTCTGATTTTCTCTCCAATCGCTGCTCGAAAATCGCGTTGCGCTCTGCTGCTTGGGCATTGCGCTCTGCTCCTTGCGCCAAGAATTCCCATGTCCAATCAATTCCCCAGCTGCCCCCTTTTCCTAGAAGGTTCCGTGTCCCCCAAATATAATTCCTAGGGATGGCAATTTGAACCCGCCCCGCCGGGTAATACCCGTCCTGACCCGCGATGGGGCGGGTATTACCCGACCCGCATTAGCGTGGGGCGGGGCATAGGTATCAACTTCCGACCGGCCCTGCCCCGCCCCGCCCCATTCTTAGCCCGTTCTAGGTCAAATTTTTACTCAATCCATTCATATATCTCCTATTTAGGCTTTTATTCAACTAGTTAGACTTGATCTTTCAACTAAATAGACTCAATTACTTATTATATTATCACTATTATTCATTCATCAAGTTTTTTTCCCTTCGTTTTATCATAAAAAGTAAAATTGTACGTGTATTTTTCTCAAATAGCATGTAAGAGTGGGTCGACCCGCCCCGCCCCGTACCCGCGCGGATATTACCCGCTCCGACCCGTACTAGCGTGGGACGGGGCATGGATATTGAGGTACCCGCCCCGCCCAGACCCATTGCCATCACTACCCTGCGCCTCTTGTTCCGCTGCTCTCAAAAGAAGTCCCGTCCCCAAATATTCCTTCCAAGAATTTCACCTGTTCCCTCCTTTCCTCCTCAATCGTCCAATTCCCTCATTTTTTTCTCAATCCAATTCCACCCCAAATTAAGTTTCCTCCAGAATAATTGCCTTCCTTCCCCAAATTGTGTCCGCCCAAAATTCCTAGATCCCTGTCCAAACCATTTCGTCCAGGCCCAAAAGAATTTCCGGCCCACAAAATTCCAGTCCCGGTTCAACTCCTCAGTAAGTTCCGGTTCAATGTACATCCAGTCCACTTGAATTATTCTATCCACCAATGCAAATTTCTCGTTTCATTTACCTGAAATATATAAAACATTTGGCACTTGATGGTAATGGTTTTATAACCATTCCAGGCTTAGTTGGACCTCAAACAAGTATTATAGGTCTCAAACATATCATGAAATAATCACATTAAGCACGCAAAATCAATATATTTTCGACAATTGTCACAACCCCACACTCAATACTTGCTTGTCCCTAAGCAATGACTCACACAAGAGAACGATAATTGGAGGAAACACAACAAAGACCAGGGAGACACAACCTTTCTCATAACACAAGACCCACGACACACAAAACTCAATGTTAACACAAAAAATTTATCCTTGTACTCTTGTGATAATCAGTAGTTTCTTTCTCAAAGGATGAGTTGTCCTTTAATGATCATACATTTTCACCCCACACTCAAGGTCTTTGCAACCCTTAACCATTGACTGACTCAAATCCATCAAAAACTCAAATAGCAACACTCAATTCCGATCGTCAGTAGTGGGTGATTAACAACTTATGGTGTAACAGTTATTAGGAGAATCTAACCACATCAGTGAGGTGCATATCTCGTGAGGACAATCTGGCTTACTCACACCAATCATAAGCAATTAACTAAGCATGAGTCTCAAAAACAAATGGGGGAAGCTTTTGGAAAACTTGGTTTTTACTTTAAGCACATCACTACCTTTCTGACAAGGAGAGGCTTTCTCTCTTTCTGCTTTTGCTTGCCGAGAATTCGTATTTAGTACAAGTGGGATTTGGTTCTTACTACCGGTGACCGAGCAAGAGCAATTTCTGCTTCTTAGCACTCGCATAAGGGCTTCTTTTAACTCGTTTTCCTCGGTCCGTGTGGAGGGTCATTGCATTCTCTAATGGCACTTCACTCTACTGGGGATCGTACTTGATAAGCAACATCGTACGGTCGCGAACCGATTCTCAATTGAATCTTTCCTCATCCCCATGTGAAATGAGTGATTGCCTCACACGATTTTGGCATTTTTACCCACACTTTAATTGTTATGGCAACTTTCTTATATTGTACTTGTCAGGTAGTGTTTTCTTTTATAAAGATACAGTTCACCCCATCATAAAACATTTAAACAGAGAGACTCATTGCAAAGTCAAAAACTCACAACAACTGCAAGTAAGCACGGTATCCAAACATGTCGAATGGTCAATGTTCTCCACCCAACCAGTTCACCAAAAGTCATTACACTATCCTCACAAAATAGAATGTTGCTAATGGAGTTTGCTAATTCAAAGCACATCAAGTCAATCAAACTATCAAGCTCATTGTGAAGAACTATGCAATTCAACACTAGTGGGGGTGATTTTGATGACTTCCTTCAAGCACAAACTCATTTCACACGCATCACGGTCATTTACATCATGTTACCACAAGAGTACAAGGTTTTGTTTTTAATTTTTCTGATTTTTAGGTGTTTTTTTTAGCCATTAGCTTTGCACAGGCAGACTGCATGCAGTTTGGCTGTGCTCAACCTAATGGCATTTTTTTTTTTACCACATGCAATAGGGACAAACAAACACTAAGACTCACCACCCCACACTCAGGATGGAACATTGTCCCTAATGTTCAACTCCTACTCTAAACATGCACGGGTTTGACACAACTAACAAGAAAAATAAAGAAAAGAAAACTTACCTTGGGTTGCCTCCCAAGAAGCGCTTGTTTAACGTCCTCAGCCTGACGTTCATGGAGCTTTCAACCAATGGGTATGGAAAAGTATCCAGAATACCCTCCGAGCAATGATAGAACGCATAACCTCCATACAGCATATGAGTCACCTCTGCAGGGCCAGGTGTGCAAAAATTGGGTATGACCTTCTTAGCTAGCATGTTAGACCCTTTAGTGAGGCGTAGGTGGTACTGCAGCGCCTCAAGCAGGTACTCTTCCTGTTTCAATGTCAGTGAAGAAGGAATGATAACAGGAAGATTGAAATCCTTACCCAAATATCTATACTTGAGGTGACCTGGCAAGGATTCCTGCCCTTGCTTTGACTTCAGAATCTGAGCAGATAGGATATGTGATAGTTCTTCGGATGGTCCACTATCACAGGAAGAGGGATTTTTCCTTTCTCAAGCTCCACTTTCAAATTCATCATGATTATGGTCAACTTGAAAGAAATTAAAAATTTCCTCCTCCTTACCTACTCGGAATGTCAACTTGCCTCTCCCAACATCGATGAGTGCATCACCGGTTGCTAGAAAAGGTCTGCCGAGAATTAGAGGCACTCCCCGATCATCTTCCATCTCCAGAATTACAAAATCTGTTGGGAGAATAAACTTCCCCACCTTCACCAATACATTCTCCACCACTCCTTTTGGAATTTTTACTGATCGATCAGCCAATTGGAGAGTGATCCGAGTAGGCTTAAGAACATATCCCAATTTCTTGTAGACTGAGTATGGCATCAAATTAATTCCTTCTCCAGGATCACAAAGTGATTTATTGAATTCTGTACATCCAAGCCCGGATCATCCCTCTTTTCTGGTAATTTATTCTGAATCACAGCACTACATTCAGAAGTAAGGGTTACCTTCTCCATATCAGCCCATTTGCGCTTCTTCGTCAGCAACTCCCTTAAGAATTTAGCATATGTAGGCATCTGTTCAAGTGCCTCCGCCAATGGTATGTTGATATGAAGTTGCTTGAAGATATTCACAAATTTCTTGAAGTTTGGGTCTTCCATGGGCTTCATTAACCTTTGAGGGAATGGTGCGGGAGGTTCATAAGGCTTTACCTCTTCCTTCTTCAATTTTTCCACTTTTTGAGGTACACGGGCAGAATGCTCATGCACAGACAGATTGCATGCAGTTTGCCTGTGCAAGTCAGATTTTTCACCTTTTGCACTTTCTTCATCCTCTACCTCTACAACTCCTTCTTTTTCAGATTTTGTTGACTTCCTTGAACTCTCTGGATCCTCCAAGGCCTTTCCACTCCTCAATGTGACAGCTACAACCATGGCGTCCTTCGGATTCCTCTTGGTATTTGCTGGTAAAGTTCCCGGAATCCTACCTTGAATATATGCCAAAGTTTGAGCCATCTGGCCTATTTTCCTCTCCATAGCTAGCATAGATGATTGCATATTATTTTTGATGGCTAGCTGTTGAGTGACAAATTGATCAAGACCCTTAAAATTATTGTATGTTTTCTGCATATGAGCCAAAATCAATTCCTCCAACTGGGGCTTCTTCTCTGGTTGAGGTTGTTGCTGCTGAAAACCAGGAGGTGGGATGTTTCGAACACCAGCTGGATTATTGTTTGACCATGACATATTGGGGTGATGTCTCCATTGAGGGTTGTATGTATTTGAATACATACCACCATGGCCTTGACTTTGCGGATTATTGATATATTGGACATCTTCCAACTGAGCAGCTCCCAGTGGACACATATCCCTATGATGAGCACCCTCACAAAGTTCACATAAAGCAACCTCCTCTTGTCTACCAAGAGCCATCTTAGCCAGCCTTCGTTCGAGTGCATCGGACTTAGAATCCAGCTTAGCATCTATCTTGGCTTCTAGACTCGCAACTCTGTTTATCTCATGCAAGCCTCCTCTTCTTCGAATACTGGTCTCACTACCCCATTCAGTGGCTTCTGAACAGATCTTCTCTACTAGATCATATGCTGCTGGTGCCTCCATGCTTGTGAAACCATTTCTAGAAGCATTATTCAGGGCATTCCGGAATTCCCTTCTGATTCCATTGAAGAAAATAATGATCACGTTCCAATCTTCAAGACCATGGCTTGGGCATCTCATCAATAGCCCCTTATAGCGCTCCCATGCCTCAGTCAGACTCTCGTCATCAGCCTGCTTAAAAGTAACAATCTCTTCTTGCCTCTTCATTGCCAAGGCAGGTGGGAAGTATTTACCCAAAAAGGTCTTCTCAAGCTGACCCCATGTTGTGATGGAACGGGGTGTTAAGTTTAGGAACCAGTGTGATGCATTCCCTAGCAGAGAAAATGAGAACATCCGAAGACGGATGACATCATCAGACACAGTCGGGCTCTTCATCGTATCACAAATGCTTGCAAACCGGCGAAGATGTTCATGAGGATCTTCGGTGCTAGCCCCTGAGAAGGTGTACCCATTAGTGATCATATTGATGAAGGCTGGGGTAATCTCCATGTTTGCATCCCCAGCCGGAATGACAACACATGAAGCTCGGGCTCCAGTCCTTCGATTCAAGCGAGCCCTGATCGAACGATCATGTTCTGCCATGATAACAGGCTCGATGATGCGCGGTGGTGGTGTCGGTGGTGTAGGGATGACAGGTAATGAAGTTTGTCCTCTCTGTCGACGACTATGGGTTAGGGAAGGCCTAGGAGTTGTGGTTGGCTGCTTCCCTAACTTGACCTGCTTCTTGTTCTGACGGCAGGTCTTCTCGATCTCTGGATCTAGTGGCAGTAAATTGCCAGTCGTCCTTCTTGGCATGCACGAGGAAGATAAACCTGAAAATTCTTCTGCACACTAACACCGAGATCAAAATAGTTCACTCACAAAAATCAACAAAAATAAGGTATGGCAGTCCCCGGCAACGGCGCCAAAAACTTGATAGGTCAAAAGCTTATGCTTTAATCCTATCTTGTAGTAAAACCGGAAAGTCCGGGTATCGTCTTTCAGGGATTGGTACTGGTTTAATGAGATTATTAACTACTAGCAAAATAATTAAACTAATTAAGCAAAGTAAAATGTTCGGGAGAAAATCAATGGGAGAAGCTCTGGGAGAAACACCGGAATTCACTACCTATCATATCCAAATTAATTCACATATTCCAATCAGTTTAATCCAATTCTCTACATCCAGGAATCACGAATGTGCTAGCTATCCCTGTCGGGAATTACTACGTACTAAATAATCAATTCAAATCCTACTGTCGTAGCTCAATGAATTAACTATATAGCCTGAAGATCGATATCCTATTCAAGACCACATAGCATCTTATTTAATCCACTGTCGCTTCGATAAGTTACTATGTCACATGAAACATGTTCAGTTATTAGGGTTTCAATGTCGCTAATCACCTAATTAACAACAAATCAATGTATTGGTGGCCAGTCAACACAAAGCATTAAGCAATTTCATGCAATAGAGATTGGAAGAAAAGAAATATAATCAATCCATCAATTCTAGAAATAGCTTCATCCTATGGTGTTCCCCCCATCAATTGGGGTTTAGTTCATGACGAAATCAAAAGATATAATCATGTTCTTAATCATCATAAAACTAGTAACGAGAAGGAGAGAAAATACTGATACTAAATAAATTACAGATTCTGATTTTCTCTCCAATCGCTGCTCGAAAATCGCGTTGCGCTCTGCTCCTTGCGCCAAGAATTCCCATGTCCAATCAATTCCCCAGCTGCCCCGAACACTGCTCTCAAAAGAATTCCCGTCCCCAAATATTCCTTCCAAGAATTTCACTTGTTCCCTCCTTTCCTCCTCAATCGTCCAATTCCCTCTTTTTTTTTCTCAATCCAATTCCACCCCAAATTAAGTTTCCTCCAGAATAATTACCTTCCTTCCCCAAATTGTGTCCGCCCAAAATTCCTAGATCCCTGTCCAAGCCATTTCGTTCAGGACCAAAAGAATTTCCGACCCACAAAAGTCCAGTCCCGATTCAACTCCTCAGTAAGTTCCGGTCCAATGTACATCCAGTCCACTTGAATTATTCTATCCACCAATGCAAATTTCTCGTTTCATTTACCTGAAATATATAAAACATTTGGCACTTGATGGTAATGGTTTTATAACCATTCCAGGCTTAGTTGGACCTCAAACAAGTATTATAGGTCTCAAACATATCATGAAATAATCACATTAAGCACGCAAAATCAACATGTATGTTATTGATCTAAGTGATTTAAGTGCCTTCAATGAAACTTGTTTTGTTGTCTCAAATCAGCAAGAAATGCTATGGCACAGAAAGATGGGTCACTTAAGTTTACCTAAACTAGTGACTCTGTCTAAATCAAATTGTGTTCGTGGTATGCCAGTTTTAAAAGAGAAGTCTGATTTTTTCTGTGAGACATGTATTTCTGGAAAACACATCAGAAAATCTTTCAAACCTAAACCTGGTATAGTCACAAAAGGTTCATTTGAACTGATCCATTTGGATCTATTTGGTCCCTGTAATGTGACTAGTTTAGGTGGAAAGAATTATGTCTTTGTGCTGGTTGATGACTACTCTAGGTTTTCTTGGGTTTATTTTCTATCTCATAAGGATGAAGCTCTAAGTAAATTTAAAGTCTTTGTTAAACTTTATTCTGGTCTAATCAAGACTATTAAAAGTGACAATGGTGGTGAATTTATTTCAGAACAGTTTGAGATTCTATGCAATGAATCAGGGATAACTCACACTTTTTCAGCCCCTCGAACAATCTTGGGCAGAGGCAGTGAGTACAACATGCTATGTTCTTAATAGAGTTCTAATTCGTAAAGGTATTGGAAAAACGCCTTATGAGATTATGAAAAATAAAACCCCCAATATGTCTTACCTTCATCTTTTTGGATGTCCTTGCTTTACTCTTAACACCAAGGATCATTTAGGAAAATTTGATGCTAAATCAGATAAAGGTGTCTTTCTGGGATATTCTATAAAAGGTCAAGCTTATCGTATTTATAACAAGCGAACTAAGAAGGTTGAGGAATTAATTCATGTTGTTTTTAATGAATCTAACACAGATACTGAGGTTTCTGATCAGGATTTGCCAATCTACGATATGTTGGAACTGACCAGGAGCATCAATAGTGATAGACAGGAGGAAGAATCAGATCCCATCATCATAGCAACTGTGGAAATTAAAGAAGACACTCATGATGACGTGCTGACTAAGCAACCTACTGAACCTCCTCATATACAGAAGTGTCATCCTACTGAACAAGTCATTGGGAATCTCAATGATAAACTAAGAACACGAGGTAAGTACGTTCCTGGTCAGTATGCCTTTGTTTCCCAGTATGAACCTAAATCTTACAAAGAGGCTTTAAAAGATGAAAAGTGGTTGCTTGCTGTGCAAGAAGAATTAAATCAATTTGAGTATCTTCATGTGTCGGATTTGGTTCCTCGTCCTTTAAATCAATCTGTCATTGGCACTAAATGGATCTATATAAATAAAACCAATTAAGAGGGTATTATTACTCGTAATAAGGCTCGTTTGGTTGCTCAAGGTTATAGTCAGGAAGAAGGTATAGACTATGACGAAACGTTTGCTCCTGTAGCACGTTTGGAGTCTATCAGACTATTATGTGCTTATGCTTGTCATATGAATTTCCCCTTATTTCAAATGGACGTCAAAAGTGCCTTCTTGAATGGGGATATTCATGAAGAAGTTTATGTTTCTCAACCACCTGGTTTTGTTAATCATCAGTATCCTAATCACGTGTTTAAATTACGCAAGGCCCTATATGGACTTAAACAGGCACCTTGTGCTTGGTATGAGCGATTAATTGCGTTTCTTAGTGACCAGGGCTTTAAACAAGGATCAGTGGATAAAACTCTTTTCACTAAACATGAGTCAGGAAATATTCTTCTTGTTCAGATATATGTTGATGATATAGTCTTTGGATCTACTAATCCTGACTTATGTGGTAAATTCTGTGAGTCCATGAAACAAGTCTTTGAAATGAGCATGATGGGAGAGTTACAATACTTTCTCGGACTCCAAATCAAACAGACTTCTCATGGAACTTTTATATCTCAATCTAAGTATATTTCCACCATGTTAACTAAATTTGACTTTCTTTCCTTAAAACCTGCCCCTACACCTATGGCTACCACTGTTAAATTAGACAAGGATGAGACTGGTTCTTCCGTTGATGAATCTAAATTTCGTGGTATGATAGGTTCTCTTTTATACCTTACTGCTAGTAGACCAGACATACAACATAGTGTACGTCTGTGTGCTCGTTTTCAAGGAAATCCTAAGGAAAGTCATTTAAGTGCTGTTAAACGTATTTTTAGATATTTAAAAGGAACTTCTGATGTTGGTTTGTGGTATCCCAAGCATGAAAATTTTGATCTTGTGGGATATACCGATTCAGATTTTGTTGGCAGCCTTACTGACCGTCGAAGTACAACTAGGAGCTGTCAGTTTGCTGGCACTTCAATTATTTCTTGGTCATGTAAAAAGCAAGTTGTTGTTGCTCTATCGACTGCAGAAGCAAAGTACATTGCTGCTGGCAGCACATGTACTCAGCTCTTGTGGCTTAGAAACCAGCTATCTGACTATGGTATGCACATTTCAGTTATTCCTCTATTCTGTGACAATACCAGGGCAATTTGTATGTCTAAATACCCTGTCCAGCACTCTCGCAATAAACATATAGACATTAAATACCACTTCCTTCGTGAATTGGTCCAAACAGGGTGTATTCTTCTTCAATATATTAGCACTGAGTATCAACTTGCAGATCTGTTTACCAAACCTTTGGCAACTGACCGATTCACTTTCCTTTGCCATGAAATTGGATTGCGATCTGCTCAGTCGATTCCTAATTTTGCGATACCTTAATGGTATCCTTCTTGCCTTTTTCCGTTTTTTTTCTTTCTGTCTTTGTGTCGTTTTTGTTTCCCGTTTTTTGTTTCTTGCTCGTGGTGTTCTTATTCCTTTTTAGTGTTGATTGTTGTATCTGTTCTTGCCTTGTTTATGGTTGTTGCGGGTCTATTTATTCGTGAGTCTTTGTTCGTGTCTCTGCATCCCTTGAGAGTGTTTCCTTGAGTGCTTTGAGAGTCTCCCCATCATGGCTTACTCTTTTGCTGTCACCTTCTCTAGAACCCTCTTCCATGACCCTACTCTAAACTTCCATCGCCACTCTCAATCGTTTGCTAATCGTCCTATCTCTCCCACCCTCCTTGTTCCTTTTCCTGGTCTTTATGCTCATGGCCTTGAAGTTCGCCATTGGGTAAATAACCTTGGCTGTAACTTTCTCCTGGAAAACCATCCAGCCCTTATGTGTCCTGAGGCTATCAGGATGTTTTTCTCCAACTTACGGTACTTTGGCCTGCAATCGCGCACTCTTACTACCCTAGTCTTTAGCCATCTGTTGACTCTGCCTGCTGATGATATTGGTCGCCTCCTTGGCTTCCCTGCTGTTGGAGAAAATCTCGCCCATGAGTCCGAGCTTCCGCTCTTAAACTTCAACATTGCTGAAGAAGTTGTCTAGTTGACGGGGCATCAACCTGATGAAGACTGTACTCTTCCAGCGTCTATACTTCTCACGTACATGAGGGTCCTTCATTACCTTATCACTCGATTGTTTGTGCCTCGCTCTACTTTGCTTGATTGAGTCATCCCGCTGGATCTTTGGATTATGGCACATGCTGTTGCAGAGGTACCCCTTGATTATTCTCATTTATTCTTTGGGGTTGTGCTTCCTTTCATTGATCACAATCATCCTGCCCCTCTTCCTTTTGGTACCCTGATCTCTCAGCTTCTGTTGGCCCTTCCTATTAACCTCAATCCCTATCGTTTTGAGTCCCCCACCGTCTGGTTGACCGTGGATATGATTCTTGATGACCTGGACATTGCGATTGAGGGAGAGGTGAACCTGATATGGATTAGCGATTCAGATTATGACTCTGACGACTCTGATACTGGTAATGCTGATGGTGGTACTGGTAATGATGGTGATGGTGCTCCCGCTCCTGCTCCTCTCGAACCTTTTGCCGCTGCCATCCTAGAGCTTTATGGATCATATTTTGATGCATCCCAGGCGTCCCTTAGTCATCTCTCAGACTCTGTTAATGTTGTTGATCTCAAAGATATCCTGTTTGGAGAAGAAATGGATGACTAAGCTTCAGGTTGTGAGTTAAGAGAGTTTTCTTTGTTGTCCTTGTTTCGTTTTGATGTTTGATCTCAGGGAGAGATCTGGATTGGTTATTGTGTTGACTTGGTTGTTTGATCTCAGGGAGAGATCTGGATTGGTTACTTTTGTTGGATTGTGTTTTCTGGATGAATCTGTCTTTCCCTTGTGATGTGTATGTGTTTTGTTGCTCTTACTATTTTGCAGGTTCTAAAGCAATCGACAATGTCAAACTTAGGGAGAGATTATTGGAATATGGCAAGTCTGATTTGCCAATTCTCAAGGCCTTTGCAGAATGCTCCAAATAAGGGAAATGCTTCAATCAAAACGGAATGGTTGCAAATTGAATGCAAAGGTTATGTTCAAAGTAAATTGAACATAGTACAAAAATGATACATCCAATGTTTTGGAGATGGAATTTGGTTAATGCTCGGCTAAAGAATGCATTACGAGTAAGCCACAAGTGACGAGGAATTCCTATGATGCTTGTGAAGACATGATAATTTATTTATCATGCATATGGTTTATGACTTGATGATTCCTATGCCATAAGGGCATGGAAAATAAAGTTATGATAGATCCTTACAAGGATTGTATAAGCTTGCCAAAGAATGGTGATCATCAAAATTGTTTGTGGTATATGTACACTATACCATTGGCAAACAATTTGACTTACGATTATTGTGTGTAGCTATGTGTCATAATTGTTTATGGTATATATATATAGACATATTCCATTGGAAAACAATTTGGCATGAGAGCTCAATTGAGATGATCTTATTGAACTTAATGTCTGAATTACTTATGGTATATATATATGAAGTATATCCCATTAGGAAGTAATTAGACCATTGACTTAAAAAATTTATTGGAATTACTTGTGGTATGTCAAGCTTCTTTAATTAGTCACTCGTAAGTAATTAAATGGGGTTCCAGTATTGGAATGCATCTGAATTACTTGTGGCATCTTAAATTGTCTTGACCAATATCATTGGTAAGTAATTAGATGATAATTCTAATAATATCTTAATTGTTTGTGGTATGCTAATCCAATTAGTTCATATCATTGGTAAACAATTAGATGAAGATAGTTGTTGTCAATTTCAATAAGTAAAAGCCATGGAAAATAAATGGATCATTCCATGATGTTTGGCAAATGGTAGAATTGTGGGGGAGAAGAGATAGCCATTGTTGCGGCTACTATCTCAAAACCCTACAATGGGACGCAAACCTATCCATAAGATGAAAATGGAAAGGTCAAACAAGTCATACTTGAAAGTATAAAAGTGTGTCCAGCGAGAAAGCGCAAGTCCTTAAACCTTGTGGAGTTAACCCAATCCAAGGGTATAACTTATGAGTAAAATCTAGCATATGTTGACAATTATGTCAGAGAGCTTGTTTAAGAAATCCAAATAAGATTTCTTAGGAATGTTAGTACACTCTTTCCAAAGAGAAAATGATTTTGATCATATATATGATGGTATATGAACAACAATCCCCTTATCGGAAACATTGGGTTTCAACAACTACAGAAAAATAGTAGAAATGTGGGGGATAATTGGGGAGAAGTGATGTGGATGTCACTTGGGTGATTCCAAAGTGAAGTGATGTGAATACTTAGGAGTTTTACGTAAACCCTAAGCTAAGTCATAAATCTTACTACATTTGAAGAGATACTTGTGAAGCTCAAGTACTCTAAGGTTAATGAAGTAAAGATAGACTTCAATACCGTTAGCATGTGTTATAATTATTGCAAGGCAACAATTCAAGTCAAGCACACATGATGTGTAGTTAATCGAAAGAGACGAGTCTTTGGTGTATTGTACCGAAAGGGAACTCACCGGATGAACCAAAAGGCAATCTATTAATGGATATGCATTTATGGTTGATGGGGATCAATATCTTGGGAAACGTCCAAGTTAAACTATATATATACCCACTCTAAGATCGGTGAAGTTCGATAGTATGGCCCGCAAAGACTGGCGTTAATAAACGCACTTGTGCACAAAGTTGTTATTGCAAGGGCTAGAAGTGTTATGTGAAAATCTCGTAATAGGTCATTGAAACATAACATTATTGATTGATTAAGTTCTAGCAAAGTTATCGAAGATGATCATTGAGATCAAATGATAACAAACATGGGGCCCACCTAGAAATTAATTAAAGCATCAAAGGGAATGGACTCGTGGCCTAGGACAAATCATCATGGCGGTAACTCTACCTAAGTAGGATTGGCAGGCCCAACCTCTAGGTTTAAGGTGCAAACAAAGTTGTGAATGGTGGTCCGACATTGTCAACTTATTCAAAATCCATTCTCATGATGAGACAATGTCCAAAATAAGGGTAAACCTAAATACAAAAGGTTTTTAATGGTTTCTAAATTTGACACGTGGTGTGATCAAATAGTGTATTTTTGAAATACACGTTTAGAAATCACCTATGTGAGTGTGAAGTGGAGCCGCTTCAAGGAGAGTAAAAGAAGGTCAGTTATCTAAGCACTCATGAGACCAGGCGGTGTTCATGGCTAAAACGAACACAACAATGAGAACTAGTGAACGAATTAGAGTTAGTTGTGTGACATATGTTGTCTTAGAGTACAAGCAAAATCGACGATTCAAAGATATCACATCTACCAATTGGTGAGTATACTCGATATATGTTCACTAAGGAAGGTTCAAAGGGAAACCTACCTATCCCGATGCAACTAATTCTTAGTCGAGAATCAAACACGATTTTTGGCATAGTTTTTAAAGTACAACATTCTCCATTCATGTGGGGGTTGTTAAGATTTTTAATGGTGTGAATGGAAATGAAAGGGAAAAGATCCAAGAGAATCTCTTGAAGTACCATGTTGGTAAGCTGTGGGAAGGCGTGGCCGCGAATTCGGTCGATTTGATGTACTATGTTGGTAATCGATAATATTGGTTTGTGTAACCAACCAGACCAAATCGAGTTGAACCAAATCGATCCGAACCGATGTGGCGGTTGGAATAACCAAACCAGCCCAACTACCATGGGCCAAACCGATGCAATGGTTCATTATTTTAAAATGAACAAATGTGTTGGTTGGGGGTGTAACCACCCATATGAAGAGTCGCCTCCCTTCGTACGCACCCCTCCATTTTCTATAACTAGCACATAACCCCTCTGGTTTTTAGACACGTTTTTCCGGTAACAAAACTCTGCTAAAATCCAAAACTAGTTTTCTGCATTATTTTCAAAGAGAAAATCGAGTCAAGTGTGGTTCTCGCCGGTTCGCTGCATTCGATGATTTTCGGGGTTTGAGGTACCGCTACGCCGGAAAAGGTACGTCCTTTCTATCCTGGGAGTAATCATTCCATAACCTTGGTTGCTAGAGGGGAATAAGATTCCTTAAGGAGAGACGTTGAATTCTGTCGGCTTGGACGCTTGCATATGTATTTGCATAATTTCGTGATCTTATTCTTATATGTGACTTAATAGTTGACTGCCACGTAGGACAAATTTAACGGAGTGTAACGGCCGGTGACTAACGGTGAAATGATTCGTAAAGTTAGTGGCGACTAAGAAACAAAAATAATTCGGATAGCAAACATGAAAGATTTGTATAATTTGAGTGACCAAACGTGTAATTTAGCCCAGAAATAATAGCAGCGAGTCATATTTGTAAGACCCTAACCCGGCCGGGTACTACTTTTACTAAAATGTCATTGATAAATAAAATACTCAAATCTTAAATTGCAGCGAGAAGAATTTTCATAAATAAAATACTGAAAACACACACTTGGAGTTTAAAGCAATGCCCTAACACATGGACAAACTCAATACTTAAAATCTCAAAATGATCTCCAGTCTATACTCATAATCACAAAAGTAAATAACTAATAATCTCTAATGTTGTTGCTACTGAAAACCTTGACTAAGCATCCTCCGTAACGCTTATATTGTCCTCCTCTAGCTGGCTGCCCTCGAACTTGCTGCTCATGAACCGCTCCTCTAGCTCCTCCTTTAGCTCTTCGAACTGGTGAGTGAGATGGAGTCAGTCTACGACCTTACGTTTAAACTCTAATGCTTAGCACTTTACTAAAAACACTTACTTAAATTGGTGGAAGTTGTTTGTACTTCCACTCTTAAAACTGTATAGGAGTTACTGTTACTCTACATTCTTAAATTTCAAAGCTTGGCTTAAATACTTGACTGATACGGGGATCCCTCACTAGCTAGTCCGGTTGCCCAAATCATATGTATGAGAAGCCCTCCAGGCTTTCCTTAAACTTAAACTTATCGTGGAAGGCTCTTCTTCCACGAGACTCAAGAGCATAACTGCTGCTCAACTTAAAAATCTCAAGAGCATAACTGCTGCTCTATATGAAAATCTCAAATGGCAACGGACGGGCGCTAGCAACTAAAAACACTTAAACGACTTCACCTTCTTGAAGGTGAAGTACTTCTTAACAAGAACTTGTTTCTTAAACTTTAACAATAACTCATTACAACGTAAAGCTTTAAAGTAAGTAAGGACTCATACATATTCACTTCAATCAAAGCTCATCATTCACAATCACCAATCATAAGCACAATCAAATCATAACAATCACTTCAACAAAATACTTAAAGCTCGTAATACTTGAAAAAAACACGTAAGGAGTAGAATTTACCCCCTTTACACTCACCTTATTTCAATGTCGATTGACTTTCAAGTTTAGTTCCAATTCGATTATATCCTCCTTGAGATGGAGGATTAAACCATTGCTATGGTTCGCTCTCCTAGTTGGCCGATGCAAGAATTGCTTCCCTTATTTTTCCAAGCCTAATAACCATTAAAAAAAAAATTACAATAACAGCCAACTAACCTAAAGCCAATGTAGACCAGTCCACGTTCTCATAACCTGGTGAATTACCGCTTTGAATGAATGAGCTTCCATCTAACGCAATTACCCTTCCCGTTGAATACGGTCCAGATAGTATAACAACACATTAAATTAAATTAAAATATAATTAAATTAAAATATCTAAATTCCCACCGCCGACGCCGAGCACATTCCATCACTCCTTGCTCTTGAGCCTCTCAACGCGCTGATTCAGCTGCTCGATCTTGACGACGAGATTGGTGGCGGAGTAAAGCAGCCAATAGAAGATCAGCGCGGCGGCGATCAACAGGGCATTTCTCTGGCTCTTCATGATTGATTTCTGGTGGCGGAGCTGCTCGCTCGGGCTGCAGGAGCCGTCGCAGCTCGGCTGGGTCTCGTACAAAAAAGCAAAAGAGATAAGATTACCCGTTGGAGCTTCCATTGATTCACTTTATCTCAACAGCTCGGGCTTATTCATCTGAATGCCCTTGATCTAACATGTTGCGTCTTAAAGGATATCTGATTTCTAGTTGTTTCTAGTTAATCCCCTGGACCAGCGAGAAAATGTGTTTTTGGGTGTGAGGGAGGCGGTATGCCCTCTTTTCATCCACTGGTAGCAGATTGGCTGGTTAATGCTACAAGCTAGAGAATAGAGCAAAATAATATTTTCTGTTCGCTTGTCTTTGCTGTTTAAATTGTGCATAAGATGGTCATTCTTGATGTGTAGCGAAAACTGGATTTCCTATGTATAATTGAACAACACAACATTGTTTTTTCAAAAGATTTGAAATTCCCTTATGAGAATTCACCAATTGGAGATGCTGCATATAATGATAGCTGAATGAGCTTACAGATCCACCTGGGTTTCTGAACTCCAGAGACAGGACAGTTGGACTCTTCGTGTTCTGGGAAGTGCTTACAGATCCACCTGCTATGTACCAAAGAGAAGTAACACTTTTAGGTGCAGTTCTACTTTGGTACCTGGTCAAATCCTTGAATTTCCTGTCATAAAGGCGGCTTCGGGAGCTTTGACAAGGTAATTGCTCTTATTCCATTAGCTCGCCAATGTTGATATAGTGCTTTTGTTAGTGTACGCGTTTTAGTATAGGTTTTGAGTTTTAATTCATTATTTTTATTTCTATCTTATGTTGGTTTATCGCATATATCGGTATCACTAGAATACTAGATTTGAGTGTCCTGTTTTTGCTACTATCTTGACGGCCGTGTTTTTTTGGATTTTTCGGAACAAATCACAATAAAGCAAACAAAAAACGTCCTAATACAGACCATAAATATATTAAAACAAACCAGAAACCTCGCAAAACAAACCACAAAAGTTTCGAAAGCACACCAGATACTTATTAATGCAAACCAGAACCCTCCTAGTACAAACCACAAGTCTCCTAAAACATGCTAGAAACCCCGCAAAGCAAACCACAAAATATGTCATAAGCACACCAGAAACCTCCTAATGCAAACCACAAACACAGTAAATCAAACCACAAAAAAGCAAACCATAAACGTCCTAATGCATACCACAAATCTCCTAAACACCTAGGTTGCATCCCGAGACGAAAACAAGATGGACGTGGTGCGATGGAAAGTGGGGCGGCGGATGGGCAAATAGTCGCTCTCTTTGTTTCTTTGCCGAAAGCTCTTTGCGATTGGGGAAAAAAAAGAATGAAGGGTTTTGTTAGTTTGGGCTGAGGTCGAGTGGGAGGTAGGGTTAGGGTTTAATTGTGCCGGGTTAATTTGGGAATTTCCTCATTACGGGTGAGTTTAATCCGAAATTTAGTTAACGTCCATAATTTTCTCACTTCATGTCGAAACTCGACACCGTTTGAACTATTAATTCACATTTTTAATTCTCATCGATAATACGGTGGAACTTGACCCAAGAGTATAATAGTCATTTTGACTTTTGGGAAGAGCGGGGTTTAACAATATTCTTACTTCACAATCATGGTCGGTAACACATTAACTCGCTTGTTCATATACGTTTATTTAACTGTCTAGGACGTTATTCAATCATCAATTTCCCACCACCAGCTTGTTATTTGATCTACCAAATTTCCAGGGACGACCCATTCTTCTTTCAATTGACGAGCCACAACCCTTGAATAAACAGAACCAGACCAATTAAGCTCATGCCTTAGCGACTTTTATTACCGATTATAAATTGTTGTTGAAAAATGAGTTTGATTGGCTTCGGTGAAAATTATCATTAAAAGAACGAAAACAAGGAGAATGATTATCCAAAACTGACATCGACACGATTTTGGTTCTGTAACGATTTGTACTATGGTTATCGCTTTTGGTTAGTCGTTACCGCTGATGATTAAGTTTTGGTCACACACGACAAGGACTTAACCATTTTAGGCTTATCTAGTTCGAGGGTTTCATGACTATCCAAACCAAACCTTAAGGAATTTTTTAGAAGAAAAAAAAAACCCAAGTAAATCGACTCATCTTCTAAAACTTGTCACTTTGTCATTCATAGATTGCTTGGATACATATCGATTCATTAAATTCAACATTGTTAAAGGAATCATATTTAGCCTTTTTGAGTGACTTGATGTCTCGAACTTGTGATAACGATCGAAAATCAAACATCTCGTGCACTCGTAACGCAAATTTTAAAAGAGGAAACAAACTTTTATTAATATTTTCCTAACAAAAAAGTTGCTAATTTGCTCTCAACAAGCATAAGGAAGATTTGGATTATACATCAAACTATTCCCGCCAAACTCGATAAGGCGGTTCCAAGTACCCCCAATATTTCCTTTATCAATCGCGCCATAGTGTACTCTATCATTTTGATAGATTTTACAATCCGCGGGATCATAATCAATCTTCTCATTTTCATCTACAACCGTGATTGTTCTAGCATAACCATCGAGCTTTGGGTCTCCATAAGGTCGACAACCAGATCCCATCCGTGGAGTGACAGTACCCGGAGGACTGTAAATTTCTCCTCCCCATTCCGCGTAGTTAGCAAAACCTGCTAATCCAGTGAAAATGTCCCTCGGCCAAAATCCCAAAACCTTATCATGATTTCCAAACATGAGAACCCAATCTCCACTGTAATGATCCTGCTTGCACAACAAAACAATTTGTCAATAATTTTGCTCGACAATCTAATTCAACTATCTATTTGAAATAATAATAAAAAAATCTATTGTATATCAACAAATAAATCCATGAAAACAACACTAAGATATATGTATATCTAGGTTTTTGGCTGAGTATTAATAAATTACCTTCATAATAAAGAATTTTATTTCATATATTGGTCCACCTCGTCTGGAAACAGGAGAAAGAACAACATCCAATGGTATTTCATGATTCGTCACCACAAATCCAGGGCAGTAGGTGTTGTAGCAATGCACATCCTTTGTCTGAGAAGTGCAAATATATTTATTAGTTAAATAGTGTTCTCCCCTCCTTTTGATATAATGATAATAGCAAAATATATTATTATTGTGACAGTACTTTTTATAATAATTCAGAAAATACTCACAATTGTATAGATGAAAAGTCGAGTGTTTGTATCATGGTACAGGCTCGGATTAACCTTAAGCAAAAAAAAAAAAAAAAAGGAAAATGGAATTATTGTGTAATCATATAATTAATTTATCATATTGTAACTACATCATTAGGAAAGGATGAAATGGAACTAGTTATGATAAATTAGTTACTTACTACCCATCCAACTGCAATACTATCAGGACCATTATTCAATTTGAAACGACTAGATGTGTATTGATTGCCTTGAACGTCATGATTATATACACTAGTGTACATTCCGGCTCCACGATATCGTTTGTCCCCAGTAGACCTGAGTACCGCAACCTATGTAGCAAAATGTATGGTACAACAACCAAAATGTAAATATGATTAAAGTATGTATAAAAACCCCAATATATAAGTAAATTCCATATTAGCTGATAAAATAAATTGAATATTAAATTAACTATTTGTTCACCAATACAAATAATAATTTTAATAACTTACACGAACACCCGAATTGGCGTTTGATGTAACGGCAGCGTCTTTGAGTAAATCCGTTTTTGTAGTTTTTCTAATTGGCACTGTTCCAATTGGACATCCTTTACCATTTAACCATATGTCTGAGGGTTCGCTACCAAATGAGTCTGATTCTGCTGCTCTTACTTTAAAGCCTTGTAACGAAGAGTTCAACTACATTTAAAAACGAAAACATGTATAGTTATTATATATTGATACATACCATGTATTTTAACTAAACGCATTACAAAAAGAATCACAACAAAAATGTAATGATCAACACTCATATACCTGATAATCAAATCTCCGATTCTTCAATAAAGGATGGTCAAATGCTGGTTGTTTGTAAAAATCCACACAATTATATGTGTCTCCATGGATAGTCTATTTGGCAAGGGACATAGTAAAAGCATCAAAAGCCAATTTGATGCTATTAATCGCAATTATAATAGGAAGAATGAATATTTGTGCCAAAATTTATTTATTAATTAATGTACCTGAATAGTGGCAACGACATGCTTATCAAAATGAGAGAGTTGTTTTCTTGATTTGCCAAAGAACTTTTTAGCTGCAATGACGTTAGATTCTAACAATAATACTGACCATAATAAAACAAACATCAGGACACAACTCGAGGTGGGACGCCCAATATTCATCTTTAATTTCCCTGTAACAAATAAAAAGTAATAAAAAATGAGTAAATATCTATAAAAAAAACATGGCATTGAAGCATGCTTCAACATATTTGTAAGACACTTACACTTTCTTTCCGCTCGAATTTTCTTTGGGTATATTTCAATTTGAATTGTTTTGTATTTGTGAGTGTTATTTGCCTTTATATAGAGAGGAAATGTTTTTTTCTTTCAAAAGATAATACCGGCCTCCGGAAATATCGTGAGATAGACTTCCTTAGTTATTTGAAGTTCATATTGTAAATTTCGCTTTTATAGTTTTGATTAAATTGAAACATTCAATGTGGTCAATGAAAAAGATAAGAATGAACGACGGTCTACGCATTTACAGTAATAATATCAACAAACTCTTACTTTTTCCATTTTTAGTCTATGTATATTTTAAGCAATAACATTAACCACATCCGTACTTTTATAGTCACACACCTTATTAAAAAACATACAAAATAGTTTGTATTTCATTTTTTTTATGAATTATACAACCTTTTTTGTCTTTTACTGTTAGTTTTCCCCCTAGAATTTGTGCTCGGCTTTATTAATCAGAAAACACATCTTTTACTATTGGTTGGTCAATAATAAGGGAGGAGATAGGGTGTGGTTGTCATGCCGGCTGGTTGAGCCTGGTTCAATCGCTGTCGATCGTGGAACCGATATAAACACTACTGGTATGACCGAATGATCGATTTACGAAGTATACATAAAATGACGTCATTTAGTAAATTTGATTGATAAAAATGACTTTTTATGTGTCTTATGAATATAAAAGTTAAAAGTTGATGTAATTTGTTAGATTCAAGTATAAAAGTTTAGATATTGATATTAAATATTGTATTTAACTAATGAGTATTTGTTATTTTGTTTGGAATGTCGTATTTAAGCCGGAATGAACCGACACAAATTGATCGTACCACTGATTACACCATTTCACTTGTTAACTCGATATAACGGTAGATATAAACCGATTTGACAATCTTAACACTCTTTAAGTGTTTGCACCATGCCAAATTGCCAACACTTTTAATAACTAAATCTTCTTTTTATTCCTGCACCTCTCCTCATATACATTGCTTTATTGGGTTTCACATGCAAAAAATATAGTTTTGATACCTGAATTTAATAGATCTTAATATTTAGTACATAAAAATATTTTTTTTCACATAAAAGTCCTAAAAAATATTGATAAAATTACATTTTAGTATATAAAATGTTTTCTTCTTACATTTTTATACCTAAAAATTTTAGAATTTACAAATAGGTCTACTATTGAGAAACTTGTGGTATGTTTTATGAGACTTGTGGTGTGTTTTATGGGATTTATAGTCTACTTACTTGTGGTGTGTTGATGTTGTGGTTTCTTTTCTAATGTTTGTGGCTACTTTCAGGAGATTTCACATATAAAAGTACAGTTTTGGTACATGAACTTAATAAATCTTAATTTTTGTACCTAAAATCAATTTCTTTACATATAAGTCCTAAAAATATTGATTAAAAATTATATTTTATTACCTAAATTTTTTTTATTAACATTTTGATATCTTAACTTTTTGAAATTCACAAATAGGACTGCTATTAAGAAACTTGTGGTATGCTTAATGAGACTTGTGGTCAGTTTAATAAACTTGTGGTGTATTTTATAGGACTTGTGGTATGCTTCATGAGGTTTTGGTCTCATTTCTAAGGCTTGTGGTTGTTTTAATAAACTTGTGGTGTGCACGAGATTTGTGGTATGCTTCGTGGGTGTGGTGAAGTTGTGATCTACTTTCTAAGATTTGTTGTGTGGTTTCTTGTGTTTGTGATATGTGTTTAATTAATGCAATATACGTTGGTTCCCTCCCACTCTCCCAATTTTGCATAATACCAAGCATGTATCTCCATCCATTCCTCATTATTAATTGTGCTCAAATCATTTAAATTAGAAAGTCATCCAAACAAAATATTCCTATTGATTTGAACAAGTGTTAGCATCATGCTAATAAAAAAAAGTGTTAGCATGAATAATAATATCTCCCATGTTTTGTTTCCTTATATAAGTAGGTAAAAAGATAAGAATGTAACAACGTCTATGTATTTCTTGGGCAATGTTTTGCGGCACGTTCATAGTATTATTTTCATACACGAAATAAAGTAACGATCATCTGAGAAATGAAGAAGAAGAAGTAGGAGTAGTAGGACACATGGTTACTGGATATAGAAACGTCTTCTGATACATGGATCCTGTTTCCAGCAGCATTTTAGTAGGAGAGATGATCTAAGTTTTACGAGAAGGAGTGCCTATGTCTAAATTCCAGGTGAAGAAAATATGGTTCAGCAGCGAATAAGGATTTGGTCCGATGGTAATACCGCTAGTCTTAAAGAGCTGGAGGTCCCAGATTTGAATTTCGTAGGTAACATCTAATTAAAAATCAAATGGCCGCATAATTGCCAAAGAAGGATTAGGGCAGTGGTGGTAAACAGCATAAGGAAGGGACATTGTAAAACTATCATAATGTTACATCAGTCTTCATCCATCTTCCATAACTGCTCCCTCGCTGGTGTATTAACATTCAAAACTTCCATCTCAGCGGCCTTCTCATGCTGTCAAAACCTCGACCAACTCGGCTGTAAACATGGAAGCTTGATCAGTCCTCACATTGTTCGACATTCATCGTATCATATTCATATGATGACTGTAACTCGTAGAGGGTATGTGAATTTCTGCTGTAAACACCTTTGTCTAATTCTGAAACCTGCTGCCCTATTGGGGGGCAATGAATGGACCCGTTGAAGATCTCACAGGGATTGATGGAATAGAGCATCGTGCCAAGTGAGTTGGGTTTGACAGGGGCTTGACCCACAGAAGAAATCGGGGCAAGATCAGATGTTGGAGATGCATTAGCAGCAGAATAAGTTGGTTTTGGAGGTTCCTCCTTTTTGCATGGGTAACTGAGAACATGTCATCTCCGAACTATAGCTTAGGGTCGGTAACAATGGATGAGGAAGACGTTGCTGCAAACTAGACGTTGGGCTGGCACCTGTAGGGCCAACACCAGGTATAGATCCACCACTTCTTCCACCCAGCCAATGAGTCGTGATACCCGAACTCGATGGGCCAAGACCACCAGCACCACAAGCCATGGATTGGGGGGCTTGACAATAAGCAGTACTAGTAGGCATTGGCTGAGAGCTAATCATCATGGTAGCCTGAGGCAGTTGAGGAGCTGTAAGAGATGTGTTATCGGAGGTGGTCGAGGGACTGCCACAGGAGCAGTGCCTGAGGTGGCCAAGGGTCAGATACTGGAGGAATCGGTAGAGCTGATCTCATAAACTGAATCCGTTGAGATGGAAAGTAACTTGAGGCCATACCCACAGATGGAACACTCTGTGGCCTAATGCCAGGAGTCTGAGCTGACGCTGAGGCAGGCATCCCATTTGAGATTGTGAGCACCAATTGAGCTCGATTGGGGTGCAGGAACGGCTGCAAGATTAATTTGTGGTGCTGGATTTCAGCTGCAGCAGGACCACATAGAGCAGCTTTTACAATCTCTGGCATCAGCTCTCGCTTGCTCTGTGGCTCTATGCGACCGTCACAAGATTAACAGCATTGTAAAATTCTGCTTGACCAAGAAAGCCACTACGACTATGATTAGCATGCATCCAAATCTGCAACCCACATCACATAAACACTCAGCAAACTATAGACACGATCCTAATGAGTTTCTCAAGCTGACATTGCAGTTACATCTGGAACCACATCATATTCTCAATAGTGCCAGCCATTTCGTCGCCAAAACCTACGAGCATTATCAACCTCGCGTGCAGCTTTAACTTTCAAAAACAGCCTGTAAGCCCTCTCGACTTTGCTTGAAGCAAGCAACTTGTGATTCAGTTTGCTATAAATTAGCTTGCTTGGGCAGAACCCTCCACGCAGAGCTTCCTCCATCACAAGCACAGCATTCTCCAGCTGTCCTATGTTGCACAGTCCATTCACCACATACTCATAAACTTCCATATCAGAAGAATAACCGCTCGTCTGAAGATCATCCCATATACTCAACAGCATCCCACATTTCCCAAATCTCGAGAGCCGCATCAGCAGCAACTTATATCCTGTGAGCGATATCTCACACCCAGCTTTTTGTGCTTTCTTATAAATCAACATAGCAGCATGAGGAGGACCAAAGCTACAAAGAGGTTGCAGAAAACAAGTCACATCTCCAGAAGTAGGAACAATCCCTCGTTCAAGCATCTCATCAAAGATTTCAAGTGCATCAGCTACCTTTCGAGCTTTGATCAACCCAGAAATCAATTTCGTATAAGTATCAGCATTTGGTTCACTGTTGCTACTCAATAAACACCTGTAGTACTTCATGCACTCATCAAACTTCCCAGCTGAGATAAAATTACCAATCATTGCATTGTAAACTGAAGTATCTGGCACACACCCTTTCTCCTCCATCTTCTTAAAAACTTCCACAGCATCTTCAATCCTGCCAGCTCTTCCTAATCCCTCTAGTAGAAAACTGAAAGTTGAGCAATCAGGATTAAAACCATCATCTATCATTGTCTCCAAAACCCGCTCGACCTCATCAACTCTACCGCATTTCGACCAGCCACCAATCACAACATTATACGTTGTGGCATTGAATGGTACCCTCCCTTTCATCTTGTTCAAGTAGGAAGTTGCAGCACCAACATGGGACCTTATACAGAGACACTGCAATAGGACATTCAAAGATTCCGTATTGCATTCAAATCCGTATTCTTCTCCATCTCCAAACATTTGTATTGCCTTGCAGACTCTATGAGCTTTAACTAAACTATCCATCACAATTGACAGAGTTTCAATGTCGGGGTTTATACCTTCAGCTTTCAGTTCTTGCAGAACTTTCAGCAGGAAGTCGACGTATTTTCTTCTGCCTAGAGCTCTGATAAGGATATTGTAACCATGAATGTCTTTAGCCACCGCCGGCTGTTTAATCGCCCAGTGGAAGAAGGTAACCATTGATTCACCTCCCAAATTACCCCTGTTGAGAACTTTAGCCATGACTTCGACCGTCAATTCCACGCCGGAATTGGTTAAAGCAGTCTCGATTGCGTGCGTGCCTTTCAACTTCTGAAGGAACACTCCTCGGAGACGCTCCTCTGGGGATAGAAACCGATCGACGACGGCGGCTCTTCCCTCTACTCTAATAACTGAATCTCCGATGCTTTGTGTGGGGGGAATTCTGCGGAAAACCGGAAGCAATTTTGAGAGCTCGCTGAGAACCTGACTTTCGTCCGGGTTGGAGTCCTTGAGAATCGGTAGTTCGTTACCGTCCACCTGAGCATCGGAGGTTAAAGCTGCGAGAGAGGAAAGCGATTGGCAGGTGAATGGAAAGAGAAACTTGGAAGCGTCGGAGCTTCGCCGCGAGAGCCGTCCGCCGAATAGCTGGGATCGAATCGCCATTCTCTCGCCGGGAATCCAGAGGCCGACGTCGAAGTGAGTGGTCACTCCGGTCAGAAGTACGACGACATCAGGGAAGATAAGATAGAGAGAGCCCAAAGGCTAAGGTAGAAAGGAAATGCTGGGCCAACAATATGGACCATGGTTAAAGGGCCGAACAATAAGCAATCTCTTCACCAGGCCCACATGAGCAAAACCAGGCCCAGATAAGGACAGTTCCACGGAGCTCCCGCCGTCCGGCGAGAAGTAAAATCAGAATTGCCGCCATAAACGAAAAAGGAAACTCGAAAACTCCCGCCAAAGGAGTTCCCACCAAAAGGCTCAATTCACCGAGCCAAATCGTCCCCAGTTCTAACTTCCAACACACAAGCCTCATTTTCACTTTTACTCCTCACCAACGACCATCACCGATCTCTCCAGGAGCAATGGTGTCTGAACATCAATCGTCGCCTCCGGCGAATCAAAACCCTAGCTTCAATTCCAAGAGGGCTTATCATGTAGGAGGAATCCCAGTGGAGTTCCCATACCAGCCGTACGGAACGCAGCTGGCGTTCATGGGGCGGGTCATTTCGACGCTGGAGCGAGCCCAGAGGGAAGGGCACTGCCATGCTTTGCTCGAGTCTCCGACGGGTACCGGGAAATCTCTGTCGCTCCTGTGTTCGACTCTGGCATGGCAGCAGACCCAAAAGCTGAAGAATCAGTACGCGAATCTTACCCACTCCAAACCCGATCCTGAGGCGATGAGCGATCCTTTGGGTCATGGCGGCGGATTCGTCCCTGAAACGCAGCCTTCGAGTAAGCGAAGTGAACATTTGTAAGATTGTGGCTGAATTCCCAATAATGGAATTTGGTACTTTCTTCTTCTAGGGTTTTGCAATCGAGCTGACAATGGATGTTGGTTTTAGGAAATTTGCCTCCGGGGATGACGGAGCCGACATCTCAAGCGGCGCCGAGCAGTAAAGCGCAGAAGAAGAAAGTGGCGCCTACTATCTTTTATGCATCGTGCGTATTTGCTTTGCCCTCTTTAGAGTCATTTATCAAATATTGAAACTAATTGAAGAGTGGCTTGTTGGGGTTTCCCTATTACTGTTTCATTGAAGGAGGACGCACTCACAGATTTCCCAAGTGGTACGAGAATATAGGAAAACTGCTTACCGGGTTCCAATGGCTATACTGGTGAGTTGCTTGGGTTGTCTTGGGTCTGTTCTTCATTGATTTGATCTTAACTGGAATTTAAGTGCAAAGCTTGATGGCTTTTTTACTGTACTTTCCAGGCTTCAAGGAAACATTACTGCACAAACAAATCTGTTATTCAGTCTGGCAATGTCGATGAAGAATGGTTCAGCTTTAGCCATATAGATATTTCCTTTGCTGTATAAAAAGTATTGCTTTCTTTCCGATCCTCATTTGAGTTCTTCGTTAAATTTACAGTAAACTGCTCATGAAGGATCCTGAAGGCGGATGCTCATACTTCAAGTAAGTTGAATTTCAGCTCCATGTCTCCTTATCTTATTAATTTGAGCCTGCTGATAATGTTTTCCGATGTATCAGAAATATGAATAAAGTCAAGACACATACATCACTTCAAAAGGGAGGATGCCATGAGGTCCATGACATTGAAGATCTTGTGAAAGTTGGAAATGTTGTTAAAGGTCCCATTTCCTCCTTGTCATAACACGCATGATATTAGTTATCAAAAAAGGAAAAAGGACCAGTAGCAGTTATTTCTTCTCTAGTTTGCGTACCATGTATGCCTCTTTCTATTCAATTCAATGTACCTCAAATGGTTGACTCTTGTTCCAGGTTGCCCATACTATGCTGCTCGCTCAATGGCAGAGGAGGCACAGTTGGTTTTCTGTCCATATAGTTATGTAATTAATCCTATTGTTCGAGGTGCGATGGAAGTTGACATCAAAGGAGCCATTCTTGTTCTCGATGAAGCCCAGTATGAGTTGCAATCTCTTATCCAGTCACTCATATGAACCCAACTAGATTTGTGCATTTTGTTAGGCAATGTTTCTCTAGTTGACTTATGACACTGTCTCCTTAATCAACAGCAATATCGAAGACATTGCTCGTGATGCTGGTAGCGTGGATCTCGACGAGGATGCTCTACGAAGTAGGTTATAATTTTAAATTTTCTTTCGCTTTGTTTTCTGTCATCTGCTACTTATTACAGTAATATGCTACCCCAGAATTAGAGATGGAATTAGGTCAAGTTTGTTCAGGTGATGCGATGATATACCAGCCACTGTATGAAATGACGCAGGTAATAATTGTTCAGGTTAATCTACTCATAAGTCCTATATTCAGAATGTTGCCATCTATCCTGGAATAACGACTAAGGTGTGCTTTAGGATCTGTTGAGTTGGATGGAGCGGAAAAAAAGTACACTTGAGATGCGTGAATTTCAGCAATTCTACTCTTGGTGAGGTGTCATGTTGCATATTTGTGCTTTTCATGAGTAAATGATGCATCAAGGTTTCTCTTTTATGTTTTGTTACTAAAAGATGCTTTCATGCTGCAATCTCTTTTAGTTGGACAGGTGATCAAGCTATAAGGGAGCTCCAAGAAGCTCATATCACACAACAGTGCTTTCCAATCTTGTTGGAGTGTGCCCTAAAGGTTCTTCATCCTAGATTGAATATTTGATTTGCTTGTTTTCGTTTGGTTGCTTCTCAGAAGTTGACTATATATCAATCATCTGCTGGCGCAGGCAATTAAAGAAGCAACTGATAAAGAGGCAGAATTTGCTATTTTAAGTGGCATGTCCGTGACTATATTGGAAGGTCATATTCATGGTCTCCGCTTATTGGGCATTCAACTTTAGTATACCATTTACTGATTTTCAAATTATTACCAGGTCTCTTCTCCTCGCTCACATATTTTTTCTCAAGAAACGGATCCCATGTTTCTGATTATCAGCTTGCTGTCCAGCGAACTGTAAAAAAAGATACGAGTATGTTTGATACTTTACCTAGTCATCTTATTTCTCACGCATTAATCATCTTTTATTAGGCCTGTTTTATTTCATCGAACATTTTACTTCACTTTTTTTCAGAAAACATTGTTTCTGGTTGGACACATACTTTTAGCTTGTGGTGCTTGAATCCAGCTGTTGTGTTCAAGGACATCACTGATCTTTCTTTGTCAGTCATTCTAACATCTGGGTAAGCATCATGCTTAACGTTCTTCATTCTATGAAAGTATTATACTCTTCCAAGGCATTTGTTTCTCATGAAATGTTCCTGGATCTCTTAGGACTCTGTCACCTATGAATTCCTTCCCATCTGAGCTTGGAGCGACCTTTGGTACTTGTATAGAAGCCCCACACGTGGTTAATATTAAATCACAGGTACTACTCGATTTCCCTTTTTAATTATCTATCCTTTGTTCTTATCTCCGTGCTTTTCTCAGCTTTTATCGTTGAATTGTAGGTTTGGACTGCAGTCATATCCTCAAGTCCCGAACATTATCCGTTGAATGCTAGTTATAAGACTGCATCTACATTTGCCTTCCAGGTAACTTTTTCTGTCTAATTTGCTTTGGATAATACAAGAAACTCTTCCATAAGCCAGTGAAAGATAATGTCATCCTCGCTTGTAAAGGATGCACTTGGGAAATCCTTGGAGGAAATTTTCAAGGTTGTTCCCGCCGGCGCTCTTGTGTTCTTTCCAAGTTATAGTATGATGGGAAAACTATACAAGCGATGGCAAGAAACAGGTCAATTGTCGAAATTACATGCACAGAAGCCCCTCTTTGTTGGTAAGGCCTTTGCAGTTTTCTTTTCGTGCGTGTGTGTGGATAAATATAAATTAGCTAAGGCTTGCTTTGGTGTGTGCAGAGCCAAGAGGAGGAAACCAGGAGGAGTTTGACTCTCTTCTCAAGGATTACTACAAGTCAATTTCCGGGAGTGAGAAAGTTCCTGTCGGAAATAAGAAAAGGACCAAAAAAACGGTCATCAAGAAAAGAGGAGGTGCTTTTCTTGCTGTTTGCAGAGGAAAGGTGCGGCAGCCATTTCTAATGATTAATATTAATGTTTGAATTTGAATCTTCTGAAGGAAGTAACCTACTGTTGTCTGCAGGTCTCAGAAGGAATAGATTTTTCAGATGATAATGCTCGAGTAGTTGTATCCTTGTTTGAATTATGTTGCTTTTCTTTAAGTGATGGTGATCATCAATCCATATCAAGTTTTATTTCTTCAGTTGGTATTAGGTGTCATCAAATGATTGCTGCCATGAATGGTAGTTTGCTCTCTTTATTCTTGCTTTTGCCCTACATGATTATTATTTTTTCTTTGTTGTGGGCCCTTGACAATTTCAGATAATAATCGGCATTCCTTTTCCAAACATGTAAGATCCCTACCCTAACCAGTTCTTTAAGTCTTCCCATTCAAAAAAATGGATGTTCTGATCAATTATTTTCTTATTGAAGTTCAAATTTTTTGTAGAAATGATGTTCAAGTTTGCTTGAAGAAGAAGTACAATGATACATTCAAATCAACTAAGAACCTTATTAGTGGAAGTGAGTGGTACTGCCACCAAGCTTTCCGTGCACTGAATCAAGCTGCAGGTATGCTCTTGCATGACTTGGATTTTGTTCTTGCTCACATATTCCTCTAAATTTGTTCCTTGTCACATTGAGCCTTTTAAATGCACGTTTTGGTATCTTCTTTCTAAAACTCTCTTTGATATTTATTTTTTATCCTGATCAAGTACTAGAGAGCACTTGCACATTAAATCCACGAAGCAAACGACCCCGTGCATGGCATTTTGTTGCATGCTTTTCTATAATCAGTTTCCTTAAGCAGGACTATGGTTAATATTTTCAGGACGATGCATACGCCATAAAAATGACTATGGAGCAATCATCCTTTTAGGTAATTCTCTCTCTTCGTTAATTTTGAACCGCCATTCATATACACCTGACTGGATCTGTACCTTTTACTAAGACATAACTACTTCTTCTCTATCAATGTCCTTAACTGCAAATAATAATTTGTAATGTTTCCAATTTTGGAAATTCCTTGGTTGATAGTCTTCTGAATTTAGATTCAGATAGATGTTGATTGTCAGTCTTGGTCTAGTTGTGTCTGCATCATGCTTGAACGATGACATCATGCCATATTTTTCATTATCTGATAAATTTTACATGTCTGATCAGTAGGTACTGTAAGGCTTGACATGGAGCGTCCTTTGACATGGAAACTCTATTAGCATTAATATTCTGCCTCAGGTTCAGACAGTGCATTGATTTAAATAACCGATGTTGTTTTTCTTCATAGCCATAGAATGCCTTTGATATAAGTTTTTCTTTATTAACCTATATTTGAGAAACGACAAAAAGTTGATATGGTTCCCAAATCCCAATGCAGCTCCTTGAACAAGTCCTTCCATTCTTTGTTTCATCAAGCTGACCTCTATTTTTGTGAGCAGATGAGCGTTATCAGGAAGAGAGGAACTTAGCATACATTTCCAAGTGGCTCAGAAAATCCATTCAACATCATGATAGTTTTGACGAGTCAATTGAAGGATTAAAAAGCTTTTTCAGTGATGCCAAGGTTTCCATTTTATCATCCTATCTTTTGCATACAACATATGTTAGTTTCTAGTTTAAGTGCGTTTGATGCATTAGATGTCACACTTTTTCCTATATGAACCTGCTTACAGGAAGCTGTTGCTATAAATACACCCAGCCCGGTGCCAAATTTTATGGTTAAGGTGGAGAAAGATATCACCAAGGATCCGGAAAATAATTGTACAGGTGAGAGTGATCACAGGTGGAGCAAGCCGGGCTGTTGTGGGCAGAAGCTAGTTGCTGCACAAAAATGTAGCCCTTCTGCTAATTTTGACTTCAAAGGTGAAGTCAAGCCAATCATAATAGAAGATGACATTGAAAGCTGCAAAGTTATTGACCTAGATTGTGAATCTCCGAAAGCGACTAGGTAATAGCACTTGAAAATTCCAGCTGAAATGGAAAGGCATTCTCTTAATTTCCCTTACATGTTTTGTAGTGACAATAGGCAGCAGAAATGATTATATTACTTGAGCGATCTCCTTCTGTTTGCCTGCAGGTTTGCTGAGGCATCTGACTCTCTAGATCCTGAATCGACTTTTGTCAGAGAAACTCCAGATATGGTTGGGAATGGGACCCCATCCACTGGAAGCCCAGAACCTTCATCTACTACGCCTATGGATTATGGCTCTAGTATGATTCAAACCTCTACTGAAATAGCAACTCCTAGTGAAGTTACTTACCAGGTCCAGGGTTCATCGATATGCAGCCCTGAGAAAGTGTTTCGTATATCTACCTTTAGTCCAACACCAGAAATTGATGCTGCTATGGTTCCGAGTGCTAATTCTCGTACCCAGAAAAGAAGGAAATTGCTGGATTCAGCTTTATTTACTTCTCCTCAGCAACAGTCTGATTGTTGCAATGCAGGAAATTCAGGATGTGCCAGCTTAACAATAAGCCCTTTCTCAAGTGGCCTGCAGCAGCCTGTGTCTTTTGGTCCAACTCTAGAGAAAAAACTACGGGTTTCCTGCTTGCTTTGCAAAAAGCCATTGGGTCGTCCTGAGAACAACCTCTATATTGAATGCTTGTCGACTTCATCATCAAAAGTTCACTTACAGGCCCTCGCAAAGGAAGGAATGCAGAGTCAAGCTGAGACTATGTCAACATCTGTGCCTCTTCTCTCAGCAGACATATCATCAGTAGATCATCATCTTTGTAACAGTACTCGAGAAGATGCTCCAAGTAAAGGGGTTTGGTCCGAGGAAGATGGATGTGTTTTCAAGTCTGTTCTTTGTCCATTCTGCAGTCAGCCCCATTGTCTAGGAGTTCAAGTCATGGCAACTGATGCATCAAATGTTGAGTTGCTTAACAAAGTAAGTTGGCTGGAACTGGATTTTAAAGTTATGCTCTCGGACGAGCTGCACCTTTGCTTGCACATAGATTGAGACTGCCGATCCTAAATTCTTGAACTACTTTCCCATAACGCAGATACTTCTTTTCTACGATCGTCTTGAAATTCAGACTGTGGGAGCTTCAGGAGACAAAGCATCAAAGAACTATGTAAGTTAGCTCTCATGTCTAAATGCAGATGTGGAAATATGATCAGCTAGTATTGAGATGTCGAAACATTTCCCATTAAACTAAATCTTGATTCAGAAGTTCATAAAATAATCACATTTTCTGACTTCTATGGAGTATTTTCCACCGAGATGAAACATTAATATCACGAGTTAACTTGATTGCAGAACCATGTCCGAAAGAATGGTTGTGCTGGTAAACCTGTAGCTCCAGATCCCATTGAGAGATTCTCGTTCTCCCCACGACAGAAAACTGGTGGCTGGAGAAGTACAAAGGTACATTTTGGAAAATGTAATTAAGCTTTTCATTGATGATTCATCTGTGTGCACAAATTTGAGTACCTTCCTCTGTTTATGGCAGCTGAGTCTACAGAAGAAGAGGCCAAGTCGATAGAGGGAAAGGGGTAGGAAAGCTCAAGACTTTGAAGCACCCATTTTTGCCGTGTATGTATAATTTGATTTTGGATGTATATAGCAGTAGTCAAAGTAGATCGAGTCCAGAGCAGCTTCAGACATCAGCAAATAGTAAGCGCTCTACTCTAATGTAGGCTGCCCTGCTAACTTGGCGGAAGTGAAACTGGACAAATGGACTTCATGTAAATCATAAACTCTTGATTGTTTTAATGAATCTGGTTTTGGCACTAATGTCAATTGAGACATGCCTCCTGGCAGACGTAATAACCAAGAATTTCATTGTTTTCATGAATTTGATTCCCGAATAAGACTTCTGATTCAGTCATACGTTGTCATGACTAATGACATGCCTCCCTTTGATCACTTCTCTAATCTCACCGATGTGTACCAATCCTTGACTGTTTTTTCAAGCGATGAAACTTAGAGTAGCAGAATCGGATGCAATGATTCATGACTGAGGGGGATTATGAAGATTTTTTTATAGTTTGGGAGGGTTGTTCTTGTTCTTGCACGTACCCTTTTGTGCTTTCTCCCTTATGTGTTTCTTTGCTCTCTTGCTTCCTGGACCTGCCAGTCTACTGCCAAATTTTTGGCGTGGTGTAATGGACTTCCCTCTCTTTGCTCTTGCTGGTCCTCTGCCACCACCTCTGTTGCATTTACAGAGCTTTTGGGGCAAAAGTTTTGCATGCGAGCAGAGCATGACAGTAGAAAGAGGTATCATGACTTCGCCAAATATGGGAAGAGATGTGGTGACTGGTGAGACTCTGTGTGCAGGACACGGCAATGGCGTCACCCCTCACCCCCTCCTTTTCCCTGCTGAAAGGCTTAACTGAGAGATTATATATTTCCCTTCCCCCACCATGTTTTCCGACTGCAAGAGTAAGCCGAGATCACCCAAGTAAAAACGACCTCGGACAAACCTCTCTCTCTCTCTCTCAACACTTAGCTCGTTTTTACTAACCCATGAAAATCATATGGCAGAGTCCTGAGAGTCAAGACTGGCAGCCCATGATTACAGTCTACGAGAGGCCCCAGGTCACCGCCAAGAAGAAAGCTGAGAAGAAAGCCAAGAAGAAGAAGAAGGCCGCTGCAGAGGTGGCCGCCGGTGGGACAGATTTCTCTGGTTTACTATCTTTTGTTTCCTTCCTTTCTTTCTTTCCAGTACTTTCTCTTAACAATGGTGGCCTTGCTTTTACATCAACAGGTGTGAAACAAGCTATGGACTGAAGAAGGCCATGAAGCTGCAGAAAGAACTGCCCTGAGATCACTGTTCATCTGTATTTTCATTGTGTAATGAATATGCAGATCCTTATATTCTAGTAGTAGTAGTTATGGCCATAAGCATTATGTTGTTGAAGTACTTGTGTAGCTGTGGCAGTAGTAAACCAATGGGTCTGGTGGTAGCTTATCCAGTTGTAGAACATTTGGTTCTGTTGATCAGATGTTAAACAAAGTTCCATGTTATGGTACTGATAATGGTAGCAAAAGGATCTCATTAAATTGTGATTTTTGTTATGGTTTGAAGAAAGAAAAAACACTACATTTATCGATCTAGCTAGTTAAAAATCTTAAATGTGACTTGTAATGCAACACGGAAAATGTAGTCCTTATTAGTGATGACAAGAACAAAACTACAATACTGAACATCGAACGCGATCGACCGTATACCAACCGATTGTTTTTACTCTTTTTGGAGTTGTTAACAATTTTATCACTTGTTAATTGTTATGGTGTACTAAAATTTTCTTGTATGAAGAATATCCATTTATAATTAAATAGTTGTTGAATGCAAAGGATGTAGCTTTAATAACCACATTGAATATGATCATATTCCAATTCAATCCATAAAAAAGTTCAAATAGAAGTAATGTCCTAATGGATATAGGCATATAGCTACCCATTGCCATTCATATTCCTAACAAACTGAAAAGCCCAGCCCCCAGGGAGTTCATAAGATTCCAATAAAGCAACAAACAATCACTCAACTTACAAGCCAAGAAGAATTCCATAACACTTACTAACCTGAACAATACCCTGATCTCTTACTAATACTATCCTCCTATACCACATAATTCCCCTTTCCTAAACCATATATATTTCGCAACTATTTTACATTTCAACTATGGTGTCTAACTTGATAAGCTGTCTACTGCAGCACTTCGTCACAGATCTACCTTTATAAGAAGCAATCATCAGGAGAAGCCATTTTGCTGGTTCTGCCAATATAAATTGTACCCTTCACACACCTCCAATTTGCCAATCAGTTGGTCAATCCCTGCACACAGAAAAGGAGAAGCCACAAGGACCATATTAACATACACTGTTCAATGGTTGGGATGGATTGATCCAAATCTCAGACTGATCTATGTGTTGCACCCCCCTTATCATATGCAAATGAAATCATAATAGACGCAAAAAATGCCTACCAATCTCTGGACTGTGGAAGTAGAGCTGATCGACGATAAGCTGCTCGTTTTCATTCTCGTTCTCATCTTCTGCTGGTTTCTCCTTCTCCTTCTCCTTGGCACCAGCATCCAGCTCTGCTTCAACATCAAAGTTAACAGCTTGCGGCGCTCCTGGAGCTGATGATTGCTTCCTCTTGCAGCGAGCCCTCCTGTTCTGAAACCAGTTGTAGACGCTGGCTTCTTTAACTTGACCGTACTTGGACAGCTCAGCGGTGATCTCCTTGATCTTTTCTTTGCTTGGATTTGCATTGCACTGCGCAAAGATGCGCTCGAGGATTTGCAGTTGTGCCTGCTTTGGCGCCCATCTTTGCCTTGAAGGAATCCTGGATGGACCGCAGGATGATAAAGGGTCGCCATAAGCATTCCCTGGAAGCATACCTTGAATTGTAAACAAGCCAGCATATGAACTTCTTGCCATGTCAACTTACCATAGATACCAACCACAATTTAACGATTACAGAAGAGCTTAGAACAAAGGAATACAATTAAGAAACTAAGTGAAGACTGGAGTACATAACAGATAGTGGATGGGCAATTCGGTCCCCACCCGACCTAATCAGACTGAATCGATCTTATATAATTTCGATCCTATTGCATCTTTACCACAACTAAATAGTAAATACTAAGGCCGAACCAAATAGAAAGGAATGTGTCGATGATACTAAGCATTACCTTCATTTCCTATCCGATCCTTCATGCCCAACCCTATATACAGAACACCTTCGTGCAGAACAAAAAAACATAGGCATCCTGAGCATGATATATCCACCAATAGCAGAAACGACAATCGCAGTGGACAAACAAGGGCATCAAGGAAATGATGCAATTCAGAAAATGGAAGACAACCAATGATTCCTACTTCAATAAAGCCATCCTCCCAAAAGTTATCCCACCCCTCAATTGGAAACAGTTTCTACTTACCCTATTTCCACTTACAAGCTTTTTCTCTCCTACTCAATGTTCAGGCCGAAAATGGCGAAACCCTATGGGGGGAAGGAAAAAAAAAAAGAGAAGCAGAAAGAGAGAGAGAGGGGCTGAACCGGAAAATTCAGGGCGATTGAGGGCGAAGGATGTGTGCATCTCGACGAGCCGCTCGCAAATCGTGGCGTAAACGGAGATTTGCTTCCGAAGAATCTCCATTTGTTCGTCAGTCATCACTTTAACACCAAACCCACTTCCAATCAGCGCCTGCGCCGCCGCATTGTTGTGAATCCCTCCTCCGCTTCCCAGCTGGGTCTGACGATGATCGACGCCGGCGTCGACCGGCTGCTGCTGCCGCCACTCCATCATCGTTTCGGTGCTAGCTCACTCGCCACAAAACCCAGCTCTCAGTTTGGGGGGTTTTTTGAAATAAAAATGGAAAGGAAAGCAAATGGGGGAGGTGAAGAAGAAGAAAAAGCGGATAAAGATGGAGACTTTTTGAAATTTGTTTCTTGGCGTATTGTAGCGGGAGAATGGAGGCGGCGTCATGGTGGGTGGGTGGCGCACTTTAGCCTTGATTGCGCGGGTTTCCCGCGGTCTTTTTCCCACGCGACGAATCCACTCTATGGTCCACGGCCCGGTTTGGTCAGAAATCAAATCCATTTGGGTATTTGACCGGTTCAACAGTGTAATAAAATGTATTTTTTCCCCCTTAGTTAAAGGGGAGATGCATGCATATGATTTGATTTGATTGATTTCGGCTAATTTTAATTAGCTTTAATTACTTCGACATTTTAACTGGAATGAATCCAACCAAATAGAATCGGACAGAAATTTGAAATCACGTCAAATTAAGCATCGGCTCGATCAGACTCATTGATCAATTGCCGACTATGTCTGAAGTATTGCACACCCACCCTAAGATTTCATTTCCTTTTACGGTAAAAAAAAAAACTAATATTTCATTTCCTTTTCTTGTTTGAGCACAAAAGTATTGTTTTTCAATCACATTTCTGTTAATTATGGTAAGGGAAATTGAATTTATAAATACTATATCAGTGCCTGATACTCATAATATTTCGTCAAACACACCTCCTCATCTAGATACTACAACGAGTCGGGTCGGAAGTGGATAGTGCATATTCATTACCCTACCCAAAACAGTTAAGTATTAACAATACTCATATACTCATACAAGAATCGGTAGAATATCATATGACAATATCAAAGAAAAACAATATACAATTTCATGAAAATATTATATATATATATATATATATAATAAATATAAAATATATTGAGAAAATAATGGTCAATTAAACAAAATACATATGTGTATAAAATCGAATAGGTTCGAGTTGGATATTGTGCAAATCATGCTCATCCAACATTCGCGAGATTCGAGTTTGAATTTTACCCATATCTATTTTATAATCGTTCAAAATTCGAATTTTACCCTATGCCCCTGCCAAATTCGAACAATTATCCACAAATATGGTATATTTGTCATCCTACCTTATCTGCATAATTTTGTAATCCCTCAAATTAAGGAAAACATAAATAGCGTTTTATTGATAAAAACCCAAAAAAAATTAAAAAATTCGCAATGTTTTATTACTAGCTTATAACCCGACCCATTGGCCGGAATGTTTTTATTTGATTATTTATATTTTTATGTTATGTTAAGTCAATCAACCGGTTTAATTTTATTGACAATCTTTCGATCGAGATGATACATAAAGAAAGAATATGTAGGTCTAACATTTAGAGAAATACCATCATCATTTAAGAATATAAAATATAAAATGTATCATTAATTTCATTTTCATAATGATAATTAAGTCATCGTTAAAATACTATTGGTTAGTTGATTGTCAAGAAAGAGGGTATAAAAGCTCAGTGAAATTCCACACAACCATTAGATAGTTTGAAACTAAATCACCTCACAATCCTACATAAGGGTTTAATGCGCTCCATTAATGAACAATATGTCACTAATCAAAAAGAAATGGAGATTCTACCAAAAAAAAAGAAATGGAGAGTTGTTGATTCAAGTCAACTATATACTAACAACTCGACTAAGAGGGGATCATCAAAACTTGAGAGCAAACGACAAAATTAGGGTTATCTCCAACATACTAATACACTCAATCAAAGTAATAATGCACAAAATTACACACTCCTTGTCTATCAGTTCCAGTAGGTTAATAAAGAATCGACCTACTTCAATAAATCAATCAATGATTCCTCGTTTTAAGATATAAATAGGTTGTGATAGATGTAAAAATCATAAACATAAAGATCCAATAGCCACCACTCTTCATTGTACAACCAAATTTTTATCTCAAGAGACATATGTTTCAACCAAAAATTCAATTTCGAATCCTCCTTCTGCAACTCCATTATTGATTAAACTCTTTTACTTGCCCAACTTAAATCCCCAACAATAAAACCGCGTGCCAAGAGATACCGAATGATCGATTTTCAAAGGTCGCCTTGTACTGGGAAGTGAAAGGGGCGCAAACTATTGTACGATGGAGGAAATTTTTGAGGAAGTTAGAAAGAGATAAAAACAAAGATAAAAACCACAAAATTTAAATTGAAAAATGCAAAGACACAACACATAGTGACAAAATTAGTTTTTTCCATGTTAGCCAATTACCAATTTACCTTTAGCAAAAATCAATGAGAGAGAAAGAATTTTAAAATTGAGAAAATTACATGAAACTCTACTATGAAAATTGAAGTATCAATCACCATAAGAAAACATACGCTATACTTAGTGGGCTTGCTAATCATGATGGAAAGTCCTGCGATTTTCAGAGAGTTGAACTTCGTTTATATTTTGTATTCAAAATGACACAACAAATTTGTTCAGTGTAAATGGTTGTGATTGTTGTCTTTGTTTGAAGAGACCCGGGTTCAAATCCTGATGTTGATATTTTTAATGTGAGATTAATTAATTGTAAAGACAAAAATATCTTTCCTACTTTCACTTTCGTTGCAGGAAATTTGAAATAGAGAAAAATACACAAAAGTGTACTATATATTTCTTTTGTATTATATATTATTGGGGGATGAGAAATTAGGAAGGGAGTTAGTAGTTCCTATCCATGAATGTTTTTGGGCCCAACAACATTCTCATTCCATAGATAAGCCTACTTGGTCACATGAGTTCACTGTACAACACCAAAGACCCATCCTAAATCAATCAAATAATATTTAGACGATTGTGATTAGTGTACTTTTTTTTGTCTAGTTATTGATAAGTCAATTCAAATCGATTAACATAAGATCAGCCAACAAAAGATAACAAGAGCGATATAAACTTATTAACCCAAAGGTATACTTTATACGCTAGATCATTAGAGACTGAACTGCCGCAGATCAAACCTTCCAATGACCAAAAGCCGACATCCAATCCAATCCAATCCAATCATGATCAGGAAAAAGAAACTTCAGTTGCAACTGTTCAAAAGTTCGTTACCCTCCACTCTGACAATAAACAGACTACAAACAGAAATTAACCGCCTCGGCAATGATGACAAACATGATCTGACTGACTGACTTTTAAGGTGAAACCAATCATTATCTTTGGTCAACCCGTAGAATCACAAATATGCAGACACATCACGATAACATTTCAGAAAAGGGTTGCGACTTGGGACACAAGTCCTGAAAGAATCAACGCAGAAGACATGAACAAGCAACTGGAGGATACAACACGAAACCGAGTTCAGAATCTACAGAGAGAACCATTTCAGCTAAATCATTGAACCAACCTTGATTCAGATTACAGATAGACTCCATCTCCCCACTTCTACAACAAACTATCGCGCGCAACCAGACCGGACACTCCTTACAGAGGAGGATGAACAAACTAGGGGAGAAGAGATGTCATCCTCTTAGGAGACAGAAGGTGGATAGTAACTGGGAGAAATGAATTGACAGATGAAATTAACCATCCAGCCATTAGACATGTTTTCCAAGTGATCAGGCTACGTGACTAAAGAGCTCTCTATTCTTCTCCCATTCATTTACTCCTCGCCATCCTCTTCCTGTCGAACCACCACAAATGAATTTCCAGGAGATAATCAGCGGGCTGTATAAATGATCAAGGGGACTTGGAATCAAATAATCAAAGTTCATTTTCAACTGACCTCTCCACTTCCCTCTTCGTCATCCTCATCGTCATTAATCTCGGACATCGACTTCTCGGACTCCTCTTCGTCCTTGGGTCCCTCGGCCTGAATTTCCGACCAAAGAAATATGCTATACATCAGAATGCATTCCTAACTAACAACACAACGGTAAACCCAATCGAGCAAAGACAACCCACCTGTTCCTTATTGTAGGCCTTCATCTTCTTCTCATACTCAGCTTTCCTCTTCTCAGCTCGGGAGATGAAGGGTTGCTTCTCCTACAAATTTTTGCCCAAATTCAACTCAGATCAGCGATAATCCAAAGCATCGAACCAACAGAAGCAACCATCATCGTCCCACTAGATTTACTCACAGCATCGGTCAAAGACTTCCACTTGTCTCCTGCAGCTTTTCCTACCTGAGATTATATCCACACAAAGCAACAGAAACCCAATCAACAAAACCAGCAATTTAAGCTCAAACATAGAGCAAACATAGCGGGCGGAGATGGATGAACCGCTTACAGCTGCAACTGATTTATTTTTGGGGTGTTCCTTCTTGTATGTCTCCCTGAACTCCTCCCTATAGTCGTGAAAGCAAAATCATTACACGGATAACCTAGTGCACACCAGATATCCAAACCACCGAAACAAACACCCGAGCAAAACGAATCAGAAGCCCAATTCAAACGACAAACGACTCTTCGGCTCATAAACCCTAAAAAAATATCAATCAAAATTCCTCAACCAACATGGGAGAAGGATCTAGAGAGCAGGAGGGGAGGGGATAACAATTACATGAAGACGAAGAAGGCACTCGGTGGCCTCTTGGGCTTGTTGGGGTCTTTGGCTGCTTTAGCGGCTTTCTTCGTCGGCTTAGCAGGCTTTTTAGCCACCGACAACCTAAACCACCACCGCCACGAAAAAAAAAACAACCACGACCGTCAGCTCACAACAAACTCGATCTACGATCGATCCACGGGCACGGCTGGCGATTAAGATTCTCCTCTGGAATTCAATCCAAACGGGAAAAGCAAAGAGGAAGGGGCATGGAAAGCTCACTTGGTGTTCTTGGCATCGGACTTTGATTTACCTCCCTTCATCGCGAATTCTGCCAAAAAAAACATCACCAGATCAGCTCAAACGCCCCGCGAAATGGACGAAACCGAGTGGAAATCAAGTCAAGAATCGACGAGGAGATCTCACCTGACCGGCGAGCTAGGGTTCGTGGGGGGAAGCGAGCAAGCGAGCGAGAGGACAGGAGGGAAGAGGCGTAAGGGGAAGAATGAAATGGCCGCCTTTAACGCTGAAAGGCGGAGATATTAAGAGGAGAAGAGGGAAGGGAGATAGAGAGAAATGGTGGAAATTGAGATTCAATTGCCCACGAAATGAAAGTTGGAGGGGTTTAGGCGGGATTTTACAAAAAAATTAATGCCACCTCAGCGATCCGCGTTCGATTCGTTGATTGGCTGGGAGAGGTTGGAGATTGGAGCCATTGTGCTCCTTGTGTTTTCCTCTTGTGCTTCTCGCTCTCTCTGCGTTGTGAGCTAAGAAGAGACGTTTGAATGTTCATTTCGTCCTGTATTTCTTTCTTATTAGACGCTTTTAATTAAGCATATAAATAGAATGAATCATGGAATTTTGTATTGTTAACTTTGTGTAAGTTGATGATTACAAATAATACGAGAATAAGATGTTGGATCTCAGTGCTTCCAATTGCCTGAATTCTCTCACCGGTTAATCTTTTTAAAATCCAGAGGAATTACGGAGTAGTTTTTTAATGAACTAGACCATTATTTTTTTAAAGGCGTCAACAACTCGTAACTCGCCTGACCTGCAACCTGATTAACTCAAACCCGATTGACTCGCAACCTGATTAAACCCAAACCCGACTAACCCGCAACCGACCGGCTCAACCCGAACTTCATCTAATCCACTTGAATAATTATTATATTATATAATACATAGTTTTTGAAAATAAAGATTTTCATTTTAAACTTAGGTAAAATTATTTCTTCATTCCTTATAGAAAATTTAAAAATATGAAACTCACTTGATATTATGTATTTTAAGAAATTTACAAAAATTAAAACATGAAGGTCACTTGAACACTAAGTTCTTTAACAAAATTATTAAAGTATATATGAAATATAAAACCAGCACAATGTGAATATTAATAATTAATAATTGAGATCATGGACCATATTAAAATAATATATAAATTAATTTTTTTATTAATTTAACTTTTCAATAAAATTATCAATTAAATATGAATAAAGTAAAGCAATATATTTGGTAATTTGAAGCTTTTAAAAGAATAGGAAAATTTTGGTGTATTCAACTTTTTTGGAAGAGAAAGAAGAGGGAAATTAGGTGATTTGAATTTCTTAGAAAAGAAAAAGGGGACATTTTGGTGGTTTTGATTTGTGGAAAGTTAAGAAGTGGAAAAGTTTGGTTCTTTTGATTGTGAAAGAGAAATAAGGAGGGAAATCTTGAGTTTTCAACTTTTTGAGGAAAGAAGGAAGGAAGAAGGAAATTTGGTTCTTCAAATAGAAGAGAAAAATGAGGAAAATTTGGTTCTTTCAATTTTATGAAAGAGAAATGAGGGAAATTTGAGTGTATATAATTTACTGAAGGATAAAAAAGAAGGGGAATTTTAGTATTTTAATTTTTTGTAAAAGAAAGAAGAATACAAATTTGGTGTTTACAACAATCATTTATTTTAGAAAAAAATCACTTAATTTGTCTACTTGTTTTTCTATGTTTCTACATTTATTGTAATTTCAACACTACATGATCGTTATATTACAACACTTAGTAAAATTTTCGCACATTTAAGTTGTGTTCAAGTTGAACTTTCATTTCAAAATGGGCGTTAACTGTTAATTTTGTTTATCGGGTTGTGGGTCACTTTGGAATGGAAAATGAGAGGGAGGTTTGGATAGGAACTTTGGAATGGAAAATTTATGGGCAGGTGGATATGAGCCAACAATTATGCTAAACTTGATAAGTAATTTTTGACGGTTCGTTGTTTAGGGTATAAAGTATATGGTTAGAGTATAGGGTATAAGGTATAAGGTACAAATGGTTTAGGGTGTATATGGTTAGGGTATAAGGTATTGATGGTTTGGATGGTTCTAAGTTTTTTATTAACATTTGTTCACTTAAAGTCATTTAAAATCTTTAACGGCATGAGATCCTTTTTAAATTTATGTTTAGCTACGTGGTTAGGATACAGGGTCTATGGTGTAGAGTATATGATATATGGTTAGAGTATAGCAAGTGTCACTCTTTTATCTATGTTTCGAAAACCAAAGTATGAATTTCATTTTAAATTAACTATACTAGCAAAATCACAACTCACAGGGATATATGGTTGGGTATAGGGCATGTTGTTAGTGTGATCCTTTAGAAGGAGTCTTCCTGGTATGACACATCTGCTAATACCATTCCTTCCTTAGACAATAACAGTTTGTTTTGCTTTTGGAATTTTGGCTTGTATTGATTTTCACTTCTTCAATCAGCTTATATGATGTTGAGTTTGGGTTTACAGATCAAGGAAAGAAGACAAGCTTGGGACAGAAGAAAGTACATTCCGTAACAGGAAAATGAACAAGTTAACTAGTTTGGGACTCGTTTGGTAATTTGCCAGAGACTACTTCACTCCAGGTCCGATGCGTCGTCGTCTTGACTGCTGCTTGAGTTTGCTTTAGTGGATACGGCGCCGTCTGGGTTGCAATGGTCGATGGATATGAATGATGGAGCTCTGCCTCCTGCTCTGCTGATTCTGGTTCCATTTCAGGCGAAGAAAAACGAAGGTTTTTCTCTGATACCCCCCGCAAGCTGGTGGGCAGAGATTCAGCACACCAAGCTTGGAGAGAATGTGATTGAAGGTCGCCGGAGGAAGAGGTTTGGTGAAGAGATCTGCCAGCTGATGCACGGTGGAGATGTGAAGCACCTTGATGATGTTGGAGATGATCTTGTCGCGCACAAAATGGCAGTCAAGCTCAATGTGTTTCGTCCTTTCATGGAAGGTTGGATTTTCGGCGATGTAGATTGCAGACTGGTTGTCGCAATAAAGAATTGCTGGTTGGGGATGGCCAATTTGTAGCATTGGAGAAGATAGAGGATCCATTGGATTTCGCAGCTTGTGTGAGCGAGTGCCCTATATTCAGCTTCATAGGAAGAGCGGGAGATGGTGGTTTGCTTTTTGCTCTTCCATGAGATTAGAGAGTCACCCAAGTAAACACAGTACCCTGTTGTTGATCTCCGAGTGTCAATGCAAGCCGCCCAGTCAGAGTCACTGAAAGCCTTGAGCTGAAGTGAAGAAGTAGCTGAGAAGAAAAGTCCACTGGAGGGAGTTGATTTGAGGTATTTTAGAATTCTGAGAACTGCTTTGTAGTGGTCTTGGCTTGGATTAGACATGAATTGGCTCACCTGTTGTGTTGTATAGCTAATTTCTGGTCTTGTAGTGGTGAGGTATATGAGCTTGCCCACGAGTCTTCTGTATAGAGTGGGATCTTGAAAGGGGTCAGAATGTTGAGATGATAGGTGAATCTTGTAATCCATTGGTGTAGTGACTGGTTTGCAATTCAATAAATCTGCTTCTTCCAAAATTTCCAGTGTGTATTTCCTTTGAGAAATGTGGATGCCTTGTTTTGATCTGGCCACCTTGATGCTCAGAAAGAATTTGAGGGGTCCCAAATCTTTGATGCTGAAGGCATTGTGAAGGGACTGTTTGAGACTGGTGATTTCTTGTAAGTCAGTTCCTCCAATGACCAAGTCATCAACATACACAAGTATGCATGTGTAGGAGGATTTAGTGGCCTTGTATAATAATGAATGATCCACTTTTCTCGATTGGTAGCCTTGTGACCTGAGTTTGTCTGCCAGTTTAGAGAACCACTGCCTTGATGCCTGTTTTAGACCATAGAGTGACTTTTTCAATAGGCAGACTGGAGATTTGAAGCCTGCTGGAGGCTTGTAGCCTGGTGGGAGTTTCATGTAGACTTCCTGGTCAAGGTCCCCATGTAAAAAGGCATTGTTCACATCCAAGTGGTGAACATGCCAGTTTTGAGCAACAACAATTGCTAAGAACAGTCTGATGGTTGTCATTTTGACAACTGGGGCAAAAGTGTCTTGGTAATCAACTCCTTCTTGTTAGTTGTAGTCTTTGGCTACCAGTCTTGCTTTGAATCTGTCAATAGTTCCATCAGGATTGAATTTGATCCTGAATACCCATTTGCATCCAATTGCTTTCTTGCCTGCTGGTAGTTCTACAATTTCCCATGTCTCATTAGAATCAAGAGCAGAAAGTTCCGTAGTGACTGCTGCATCCCATTCTGGGGATTGGATTGCCTCTTTGTATGTATCTGGTTCTTTGTGGGATGAGATAGATAGAACAAAGTGTTTGTGATTTGAGGAAAGATTGGAGTAATTAAGAACAGTTGAGAGTGAGTGCTTGGTACCTTGGATGTGCTGCTGTGGAAGATGACTGGTAGAAGGAAGCTGCTGAAGCAGGTTACAATGGTAGTTTTGTAGGTGAGAGGGTGGTTTAGAGGGTCTAGTTGATTTTCTTGTTGGTTGGATTGGTTGTTGTTGTGGTGGGGTGGGGGTGGGGGTGGGGATGGGGATGGGGATGGTGGGGTTGGAGAAGGGGATGGTGAGTCAAGGTATGCAGGATGATCATCCTCATCACTGTCTGAAGGAAGATCTGGAGGGTTAGTTGGAGGAGAGTCATGGGGTGGTGGGGGATAGTAGGTGGGGGGAAAATCATCAAACAGGGTGGGAAGGTAGGGTTGGGAATAAGCTGGGTTGGGGGAAGTGGTTTGTTTTTGAAAGGGGAAGTGATGTTCATAGAACTGAACATCCCTAGAAGTGAAAACATCATTGGTAGCAAGATCATAGATTTTGTATCCTTTGATACCTGCTGTATAACCAATAAAAACCCCTTTTCTTGCCCGAGAGTCAAACTTAGTTCTGTGGTTTTTGAGTGTGGTGGCATAGCAAAGGCAGCCAAAGACTCTAAGGGCAGTAAGGTCTGGTTTATGGTTGAAAAGGAGTTCAAATGGTGTTTTGTTGTGCAGGACAATAAAGGGTACTCGATTGATTAAATGAACAACATGTCTAACACAGTCACCCCAAAAACCAGAAGGTAAGTTTGCTTGGAATTTTAAAGCTCGAGCAACAGCAAGAATGTGTTGGTGTTTTCTTTCTACCTTGCTGTTTTGTTGAGGTGTTTCAACACAGGAGAGTTCATGAAAGATTCCTGTGGTGTTAAAGAAGCCATGCATTTGAAACTCTTTTCCTTGGTCACTACGAATTCTTCGGATTGAGGTTTGGAACTGGGTCTGAACATAAACACAGAATTCCTTAAGTTTGGACCTAGCTTCTGATTTGGAGGATAGGAGAATGATCCAAGTCATTCTAGTAAAATCATCAACAATGGTTAAGAAATATTTGAAACCATCATAGCTAGGAACAGAATTAGGGCCCCATAGATCAATGTGTATAAGCTGGAAAGGTTTAGTGCATACAGTATTGCTCAAAGGAAAAGGCAGTCTTCTCTACCTTGCAAAATGACATACATCACAAGGTAAGGACTTGTCTGTGTTAATAGAGTTACATATTTCTCTCAAAGAAGGGATTTTAGAATGAGAAACATGACCAAGTCTATAGTGCCAAAGATCAAAAGTATGGTAGCTTGTGGCTGTGATGTGTTTGGGTATGCTGTCTGTTTGGTTTGGATCTATGAGGTAAAGGCCTTGGGTTAGCTTAGCAGAACCAGTCATCTTCTTGAGCTGCATATCATGTATGTGGCAAATATTTGAGAAGAAGGTTATGCATAGGGAAGTATTGGTAGTTAATTTGCTGACTGAGATGAGGTTGAAACTTAATTTGGGAACAAAAAGAGCTTCCTCTAGGATAAGACCAGGAACACAGGTGACTGTTCCTGTGTGGGTTGCTTCAACCTGCTCTCCTGTTGGTAAGGTTATGTATATGTTCTGAAGTCTCCTGCAATTGGTTAGCAATTGCAGAGAGCAGACAACATGGTCTGAAGCTCCTATATCTATTATCCATTGTTGAGGTGGGGAGAGATTAGAGTCAACAATCAGGCTGAATTTACCTGAATTGTTACTGAATGCAGCAACTGTGAAAGATGGAGGCTTTTGTGGTCCTTTGTCTTTGACTAGAGACATTAACTTGACAAAATCTGCCTTGGTGAGCTTGATTTCTTCATTGGAGTCATCATGGAGGTTGCTGGAGGAGGCATTAACAGATCCTCTTCCTCTTCCAGCACCTGTGGTAGTCTTGGGAGGGAATCCATGTTTAAAGAAACAACGTTCTTCTGAGTGGCCTTGTCTTTTGCCGAAGGTGCATTCATATGTTTTCCTCTGATTGTTAGAGTTCTTGGTGTTGACACCAGGTGGCCAACCATGCTTGTGATAGCATGTGTCCTCTGTGTGGCCTTCAAGTTTGCAGTGAGTGCAAAATGGCCTTGGTTTTCTGGTCTGGAATTGGTTTGAGGTTTGAGCAACAAGAGCCATGCTTTCAGTAGCAAGGCCTTTGGACTTAGGTTGACCATTGAGTTGGCGTTCATGTTGGAGCATCCTCTGAAAGACCCTGTCAATAGGGGGGAGAGTGTCTCCAAACAGAACTTGGGAACGGACACTAGAAAAGTTATCATTAAGTCCTCTCAGGAACTGAATGATGTAGTTAGTGTCTCGATAGAGGAAAACCAGCTTCATTGCTTTGCAGGTGGTAGAACTTGTGGTGGAGCAGTCACATGGTTCAAGGGGTTGGTAATTATCGAGCTCATCCTTAAGGGAAATGAGGTTGCCATAATAATCAATGACGGAAAGGGTACCTTGTTTCAAGGTGCAGAGAGATTCAGTGAGTTCAACAATGCGAATGAGGTCACCTTGGCCATATCTTTCGCGTAAGCTCCTCCATGCTTCCAGGGCTGATTTGCAGGACATGATGGTCTTGCGGATTGCAGGGTCCACAGCTTGCTGAATCCATGCCAACACCATGATGTTGTTGCGTTTCCAAGAGACAGATTGCTCACTGTCTTCTCCTGGATCTGGGATGCTGCCATCAATGAAACCAAGCTTGTTCTTGGCTCCCAATGCATTGAACATTGCTTTGTGCCAGTCATTGTAGTTGAGTGTTGTGAGTTTCTCTCCTACAAGCTGGGATCCTGGTTGCTCAGAACCATGGAGATAGTATGGATCTGCCATGGGATCTGGGTTTGCTTCCATTGGTGGCGGCTAGGGTTTAGAACCCTTGAGGCTCTGATACCATAACAGTTTGTTTTGCTTTTGGAATTTTGGCTTGTATTGATTTTCACTTCTTCAATCAGCTTATATGCTGTTGAGTTTGGGTTTACAGATCAAGGAAAGAAGACAAGCTTGGGACATAAGAAAGTACATTCCGAAGCAGGAAAATGAACAAGTTAACTAGTTTGGGACTCGTTTGGTAATTTGCCAGAGACTACTTCACTCCAGGTCCGATGCGTCGTCGTCTTGACTGCTGCTTGAGTTTGCTTTAGTGGATACGACGCCGTCTGGGTTGCAACGGTCGATGGATTTGAATGATGGAGCTCTGCCTCCTGCTCTGCTGATTCTGGTTCCATTTCAGGCGAAGAAAAACGAAGGTTTTTCTCTGATAGACAACCATTACTCTTCGCTCATATTTCCTTCAACAACAATTCTTTTGGCTTGGACACCAGGGAACGTAATGATGCCTCAGTTTGGAGTTCCTAAGTCCTCTTCATCTACTACACATTCCTCTTTTTTTTCTTCTCCTTCTCCTCTCTTTGCTTGGTCATCAACTTTTGTAATATGAATTTCCCTTCCAAATGCATTACAAGCAGTGGCAGGTTAGTCTCAATTACAAGAATTCATAACAAGAAATAAGTACTCAAAAGTTAAAACACCAACACAGCAGCAGCGGCCTACAAGCACCCTAGCAGCTTTCCCCTCCCTCAATGGCTTGGTCTTCTCAATCCACTCCACAGGATTTTGTAGATAGTTGTCTTGGGACTTGATAGATGTTAGGAAGGAGAACACTACAATCGTACTACCACTATTGATTCACTGCCACCATATCATTCTACTACAAGGGAGTATTCATATCTTATCATACAGGTGTGCTTTGTAGACAGATGAACATCAACAGAATGCATGCTATGAGAAGTTCTTCCCTTCTCCCTATGTAATCAATCAACAGAAAACAAGTAACTAAACAAGAAATTTTGTGACTTTCACTTCAGTAACCATTGAATTAAATACCAACTGTTCAGTTGAGGAACAATATTGTACAGTACTTACATTACTAACAATACTGAAACGAAGGAGCAATTTCTTCTCTTAGCGATTGAGGGACATGATACTAACCTGAGATAAAGATATTGAATTCGGAAGTCGTGAGGTATCAATGACAGGGACCAATAAGAAGGGGGCTTGCTATTTGCCGCCAACCAAATTGCTATTTGCCGCCAACAAAAAAAAAAGTATATATGTACATCTTTGGTTAAAGAGTTTCACAATCTACAACATATCCAACTTTCAGAGAACGTATTGAATCATAAAAATTCGACGCTCGTCGGAAAAGTCGCCGGAAAATCATCGGGAAAGCCTATCCTCGACATAAACTGCGTACACACATCCATTAACATTTGACATTTGACTCATTCCAAAAAAAACTTCTGTTGACGAGCCCAGTGCCTCCGTCGCCGGCACCGTTCCTCCGACGCCCTCAATCGTCGGAAAACAAGTAAGTTTACTTTTTCCGGCAAGTTTTCCAGTTTTCCGGCGAAAAACACCGCGGGCCGAAAAAAAATTGCGGCCCGAACGCCGCCGAGCCGGAAAAAATTTGCGGTCAATTTTTCGGCCCGGCGGCGCCTCGGTCGCAAAAAATTTTCGGCCGACCGACGAACACGTCGCCGGAAAAATATTGGCCGGCGTGTTCGGCGACCGGCCGAAAAGATTTTGCGGCCAAGGCGCCGCCGGGCCGAAAGAATTTTTCAGCCGGGCGTCGCACCGGCCGCAATTTTTTTCCCGGCTCGGCGGCGTTCGGGCCGCAATTTTTTTTCGGCCCGCCGTGTTTTTCGCCGGAAAACTGGAAAACTTGCCGGAAAAAGTAAACTTACTTGTTTTCCGACGATTGAGGGCGAC